TCGCCACTCTATTGTGGCAGCACTGGGGATTCAGCCTGGGACCTTTAGCATGCGAACATTGTGCTCTGCCACGGAGGCATAATCCCACCCTGCAGGTAGGTAGGTAGAATTGGGCTGCTATCTGCCTGCTCCACTATAAGCCTGCACAACACTATTCTCTGCTTTGCGAAAAGGTTGCTGCATGGAAGGTTTGAGACAAAGAAAACACCATCAGTAATCCAGTCTGTCGACAAGGTAGGAATTTTGAATATCAGGTAATATGCAAGCTGACACCACCCAATGGGAACAAATTGCTTTCCCAAATGTATTTCTTTTTTGTTTCAGAGTCCTACTGAGAACCCATTAATTTTCATCAACCACAGTTCTGCAAATCTCACATTAATAACTCTCCCAAAGTGACTTGTTCCACTAATAACTTTTCTTAGGGAGTCTTTCAGCATGTGTCTCAGAATACGAGCTTAGTAGGTAGAAAACAATAATTGTATCCAGCTGTGCAGTCACTTATTTTTTGTTGTGTGGTTCTTGAAATAAAAGAGCAATGGGGAGAACCTTTTAGAAGCCTGCATGTTCCCGGCAAAGGATGACCCCACCATGTGCAAAATGTCTGTATTTCAAAATGTATTGGTGCCTCATTGGCAACTAAATTACACTTCTGCCAACATTCATGAGCCTTCCCAAAATGATTTATAGCAAATGCATTTTGGATGCTTTCATGTTTTCTTTGACTTAAGTGATTTTATTTATAACACATGATTCATTGCATTTATTTGGTTACTGACATTTAGGCAACAGTCCTAACTTATTAAGTAGTAAGCCCTGTTGCAAAAGTCAGGCTTACTTCTGAGTAAACACTTATAGGATTTTCACCTGTAGTAATAGGAAGAAATATCAATCTATCCCCAATTTTAAATCAATTGCCAAAAGTTTCTCAAGCTTCAGGCTGCTTTTAAGCAATAACTTATGGGGAGGATACACTGCTTTCCATAATATGTTTCAGATAGGTGTCATACAATACTTCTTGAACCAAAGGTAATGCATTTTATTGTGTGATTCTTTACGTCTGCTATGTTCCATTGAGGGTGGCATGTAACAATATTCCAAAGGTGGCTGACAAGTTGATTCTGTTGGTAGGCTATCATCCCCAAGAACAGACATTGAGATCTTTCTGCAGTTGTATACCAAGCACTGAAGATGACACACCTCTTGAAATGGCTCTGCTTCCTGGTAGCAGAGGGTATAACATCAACAGTGACACCGTAAAATTTCCTAAGCCAGAGTGTTACATATTTAAATCTCTTGGCTGGATTCATCTGAGGAATGAAATTTGGGAGATGATAAAGCAAAGCAAACAAGTCTTTGTTGAAGAAATATCTATGTTAGCTATGGAGCTACTCTAAGTTCTGCAGGTTTCTTCACTGACCTTGGTATCTGTCACCTTGGTCATCCCTCTGTAGTGGCAGCCCCAAATCTTTTTCAACCCATGCTCCACCTTTAGCTCAAATATGTGTTTGGGGATCCACTTCTTTATTTATTTTTACCATGTAGATGTATGGTATACTGGGAGTTCTCTGAGTGATTTGCAATAGAGAGGAAATTTGGAGTAATAATTCCTGCTAAACAATAACAACAAGAAAACTTTTCCCCAAATTAGGCAGCTGAGATGAAGAAAGCTTGGTATGGGGATGGGAACATGAATGGGCTGTGAGCTCAGTTCTGTTACTGGGGGAAAATTGAGGGTTGAGTGTGTGTGTTTGTAAGCACCCTGTTTCTAAAAGTGTGTTGCTTCCCTCACCAAACCATGATTTTGCATCTGGCTCTGCTTGATGGATCTCAGGGTCCAATAAAAACTAACCAATCAATCAATCAATCAAACAAACAAACAATCAATCAGATACTGCAGTCCTGAAGTCTATCTGCCCCATCTCTATCAGGTAGGTCATATCTACAAAAAGTATAGGAAAAGCTCAATAATGATTGTGTTGCAGGTGAAGCACTACTCACACTTCTTCAGTTCCTTCTAAGAAGGTGCAAGGGCAATCTGAGTCTAGTTTTCCATGACACAGCTGATGGCAAAGATTTTATTCAGTACATTCCTCTCCGAGTACTGCATTTTTATTAGTTCTGTTATCATTTGACTCAAAGCACATTGTTCAATCTTGGTTCCCCCCCCCCCCCCGCCCCGATACCCAAGGAAACAAATGCCAAAGTGGAAACACATGAAAATAAAGATACTCAATGAACACACAAATGAGAAGCCTGGGTTGATCTGTGTTGTGTAAAAAGGTACCTATGGGAGTGGGTGCAGGCATTTTGCTCCATGAAGGAATATATGTAGTCCTGTCTCAGACAGAGACAAGAGCAGGTAATATCCATCTCTTCTGTTTTCAGAAGTTTAGTACAGTTGTATCTTGGATCCCAAACGCCTTGGTACTTGGATGTTTAAGTTCCCAAACACCGCAAACCCAGAAGTGAGTGTTTGAGAACGTTCTTTGGAACCCGGATGTCCGACTGGGCTTCTGCGGCATCCAATGGGCTGCAGGAGCTTCCTGCAGCCCATCAGAAGCCGCACTTTTCTGAACATTTTGTCAGAAAGTCAAACAGACTTCTGGAATGGATTCCGTTTGACTTCCATGGAATATATGTACGTTCCGGAGGTGACAGAGGCTGGGAATGAGAACAGACAAAGAGAGATAACTGTATCTAATTCCTGTCCCTAACAAGAGAAAACATGCCATTCTAGTTTTCTAAATGCAGGGCTTGTTGATGTTCTTTTAATTGGGGCAGAAGCATTTAAAATATGCAGCCTCTCACCTGCGTTTTGAAGTACTACTGACTTTAAAGGCTATGCCGCTACGACATCTTTGAAGGTAGAGTGCGGCTCTAACTCCTCAAGTGCCTACCATCTGTTTGGCCTTCATACTACACATACATATGTGGTACTCTGGTTTAAATAATAATGTTGCTCTCCATCTCTAGAGACTAAGAGCATTTTTCCATTCACTAACACTAACAACACCTTTGAGCCTCTGTTTTGCTATTTGTGGACATGTGAGAATGTTTTTTGAAAAGCGGCATTAGAAAACAGGAAAGAAAAAAATAAATGTACAGTATAGATTTTACATTCACATAAAAGATATGTGGGGGGCGCATTCTTGATCATTTTGCCACTGTGGATTTTGCCAGGATTTTGCCACTGTGGATTGCAGAGAAACCAGTGCTCTGACCCTGGTTTGAGAGATAAAGAGACCGAGGAACTTCTACACTGCAGTTTGTTTGATTGAACATATATCCTACCTTTCCTGCAATGAGCTCAAGGTGGAGTATTTGGTTTTCTTCCTTCTTATTTTATTCTCACAACAACCCTGTGAGGTAGGTTAGGCTGAGAAACAGACTGGTCCAAAGTCACCCAGTGAGCTTCATGGCTGAGTAGAAATTTGAACCCTGGTCTCCCAAGTCCTGGTCCAGAACTCTAACCACTACACCACCCCAGTTCACTGGCCTTTGGTTGCTATTGCAATCTTTTAATGGCACACAAAGGTTTTTCATATGTTACACTGAATAGCTATTCCTAGTATGTTTCATTGTCCCCTTTCTGGGTAGCTTTTGCTGAATGCAATCAAACCCTGAGAGATTATTCTCCAGAGAGACTATTGGGGTTGCTGAAATTTAATAATGAATAACTCAAATCTGTTTTCTCCAGATGCTGCCCAAAGAAGACCATGAACAATATGCAGGATTCTTATCAAATTCTCAGTGATCAGACATACTTAAAGGTTCAGGGCTGATGACAGCCTCCTTGAGCTCTTTATCTTCAACCTTTCCTGACTCAGAACCCACCTTTGCCCAAATATGCATTTAGGGATTTCTTGATTTTTATATATTTTTACCATATATTTGTATGATGAAAGTGCTGTTACAATGACTCACCTTAGGTGCTTTCTAGTGAACCATTTGAAGTGAAGTCCAACTTGCTTTATGTATTGCATTTTTATTGTTTGCTGGTTTATTGCTTAGTTTAAAACAACAGCAACACAGTACATATAAACATGAAAAATATGCAACAAAAAATGTAACAAAATGTTGCACATAATAATAAAAAAAAATCCAAGTATCATTTGGGTGCATTTGCCAATACAGTACAGTGGTACCTTGGGTTACATATGCTTCAGCTTACATACGCTTCACGTTACAGACTCCGCTAACCCAGAAATAGTACCTTGGGTTATGAACTTTGCTTCAGGATGAGAACAGAAATCGTGCTCCGGTGGCGCAGCAGCAGCAGGAGGCCCCATTAGCTAAAGTGGTGCTTCAGGTTAAGAACAGTTTCAGGTTAAGAACGGACCTCCGGAATGAATTAAGTACTTAACCTGAGGTACCACTGTATTGGCTCACTCTGCAGCAGCTGGCCTGGCTTTGTAATGTCTGAAACCAGTTGTAGAGACCCCAAAGCATATATTTGACCACTGCAGTCTTGGGCGTTTGCCGCCTGCTGGCCCAACCCTTAGGCATTGGGAGGCAGTAGCCTCTGGCAGCTAATTGTGGGCGCCAGGAAAGTGCAACAAACTGGCTCCCTAATGCATCATTACAGTATTTTTATTCTCAGGGAGAAATGCTTTGTGGGGTCTTTTATTTTTTTAATGTCTGAGGTGCCAGGAGAGCAGCTATTTGGTAACTTAACTTGAAGGGGAGGCGAGAGCATTTGCTGCTTCGCCTCATGCCTGGGGCCTGCTCTGAGGCGACTCCCAGCCTCTTTGTCTGTCAAGCGCCCGGCTTCTTTTGACCTTTGCCCTCCTGCAAGGCGGACTACCGGCGCCTTCTTGGGCCTCCCGCTGCCTGCCTCCTGCGCCTCAGCCGGACTCCCCAAAGGGGGCGGCGGGCAAAGGCGAGGACGGGGGAGAGAAATGAGGGCCGAGAGCTGAGCGTCGAGGTCTGCCGCCTTGTACGCATGCACCGCGGCGGCAGCACGCGCGAGCCTGGCATCCTCTTAGCGCCGCCAAGCCGGGACGCGGCCTCACCTTCTCCAAGAGGAGCCGGTGCAAAGAAGGGCGGCGGGCGCGCGGCTAAAAATAACCTCCTCTGCTGCTGCTGCTACTGCTGCGGGCGGGCGGGCTTGCGCCTGGGAGCAGCGAGAGCCAGCCAGTCCCCGTCGCCGCTGCCTCTACTGCTGCTGCTCCCTCAGTCACTGCAGTGAGTTTGCTGCAGTCCCCCCCTCAAGCTGCGCTCTCGCTTCAGGCCGCCCATGCTGCAGCCGGCTCCAGCAGGCATGCTCACCTTCTTCCTAGTGTCTGGTGGCTCCATCTGGCTCTTCGTGGGTAAGTCAGCCTCGGCGCTCGCTCGCTCGCTCCCCTCCCCGCCACCCCGCTCCTTCGCCTTCCTACGGTTTCTCTCTCTCCCCCCTCCCCACCTATCACGGGCGCCGCTTCCCAGGCCCCTCGCCGCCAGGGAAAACGGAACAAAAGCGGAAAGAGACGGAGGGTGTGCGCGGGGAGGCTCCTTTTTGGAAATGACCTCAATCCAACCCTGCACACCTCTCCCGGCCTCCATGGAAGCCGCTCGCCTGCGCGTCCCGCTGCTGCTTTGAGCTGCTTCTCTCGGATCTCCTGGACATGAGCGCCGTCGTTGGGATGTGTTTTCCCCCAGACCCTCCGGAAGGACCAGGGCAGGAGAAGAGGAAGGCTGCGAGGGATGCTGCTGCCTTTGATGTCATCCTTCTGCGGTATTGGGCCCTATTGTGTGGAGGAATTTGGAAAGCTCAGCAATGCTGGGCGAGCCTGAAAAAAAGGGAAGAGATTACATAAGTTATCTGCTGTGATTTCGCTGCCTGCACCGGGGTCAAGATGCTCTCTTTTGAGTGTATAGGATGATGCATATGGGTGTGTGTATGGGTGCAAAAAGGAATCTGCCGTTGTGTGTGGCTGCTGCATGCAGTATTAATGATGGGTCAATGTTTTAAAGATGATGGGATCAGACAAAGAGGATTAGCGGGACCCCGGAATAGCTGCGATCCTCTTCAGCGCCTGACAGATTCAGTTTTAAATGGTGTAATCTGCTGCAATGATTTGAAATAGAACACTCTGGAGGTGAGGGAGAAGGGCAGCATTTAGGAATCTGTAACTCCTTGTCGTTTGTAGGTGATGGGTTGAGATCAACTTCTTTTTGGTGCAGAGATCTTTGCTGTGTTGAGTGGGTGTTGCTGCTGTGAAGGGAGAACCGTAGTTCACATGGGCTGAATTTTCTGGTGCTAAAATAAATGCATGGGAATTAATGCTAGGCTCCTGCCTCCCCTCCATCCGTGTAGGAGGCAACTCCCCTTTACAGCACTGAGGACACTCTGTTTCTCTCCAGGGCATGCAAAGCCACAGAAAGGCACTTAGATGTGCCAATATTTCCTCTTGTTGGCCTAAGTTGGGGTGTGGGAGGCATCATCCAAATGGCTAGCAAATTCTTTTCAGCATAGTGGAAATCTAGTGGCGCTATAATATTGTGGGATGGGGGAAGTAGGAAAAAAAGATTTTGTTGCCACTTCTCATGTCTTAAAAAATATAAATTTAGGAACTCATGCCAGCAATTGTTTGAAGACTTGCTTTTTTATTCTCAATATTTATGAAACACTTTGCATGTGCTCAGAGGCTTATTTCTTTGCTGTTACTCTACACATTGCCATGTCCCCCCCCAGCCTTGCTGGTGAAATCTATGGCTTGAAGCCATGACAACAGAGTCCTCTTGCAGAGGCGGGGGGAAAGGACCAATATGTATGAACTGTTGAGGTTGAGGGAACAGAAAGCAAAATTAGCTCATTTAGCAGCTCCAGCCAAGAGAGACCCTGCCCCAGCCTATGCACCGCCTGGACCAGAGCTCTTTCACTTTGTCTGCTTGTATTGGTCATGTCAGCTGGCTGCAGAAGCAAAGGCTTGAGCGTGGGGCCTAACGCCAATGGGGTAAGGCAGGATAGCTTTAAGAAGGAGAAGAATATTTCAAATGAATGTTGTTGCTGTTTTATGTAGCATTTCTCAGGGAATAAAGCATTTGTTCCCTCTTTAACTCTCATAACATCTCATAATGCTCTGGGAAGTCTTATTCTGTAATCTTACATGGGTGGGGCTAACAGTGATACCCTTAGCGGTTGAAGCACTTTGCATGTGCTCAGAGGCATATTTCCTTGCTGTAGCTTTACTGCTTACATTACATCTGATCCCGCACAATGGGTGACACTTGAGATATATGGCTGGGAATGTGATCTCTGCTTCGTGCCCATGTGATGAGGCGACAGCACAGCAAGGAGATAAATTACAACCTCCAGATCAACTAATTATTGCAAGGCCTGGGGGCTGTTTCTGTGATAAGTTAATGCTGGTACCCCAAAGAATTCTGCTTCTATTCATTGCAAGCAAACACTCAAAGATCTAAAACTGGTACTTGGAAGCTAAATGTTTGCCCAGTCATACTATGCCATATTCTCTTTTGGGAAAGCCTAGCCAGGCCTCTGAGTCATGCAGGCATGGAATCAATAATTGATCATTTGTAGTTAAGTATAGAGCTGCCCTTAGGGCCCCACCCCTTTTACATAAACTTTTTCTTTTAGTGTACATGCTGAGGCCCTGAAATGTAATGGAATTGTTGTTTTTAAAAATGTGTGCTGCATCTGCCAATGACCTATCCTTTAACATTATCTCTTCTAGTTTTAGGTGCTTAGTCCTAGGTGGTTAGAATTTATTGTGTCTTGTTTTGAGGGGATGGGTTTGGGGACTCCCCTGAATAATTTTTTTTTGGGGGGAGAGCTCATGGGGGCAGAAGAGGAAACAGAAGTGCAACTGTGCCAACAGAACTCTGCTTTGAATACAAGCCTAAGTGTTTTAATAATTTCTGTATTTATTAAACTTCTATACTGCCCTCTGTCCTGAAGATCTAGGGAGGTTTACAGACACCCCAACACACAATTAAAATGATGATATTATCAAACCCACCAACTTAAAATGACATACAGCATCAGATATATTACTCCCATAGCTGTGCTGTTTGTTTTAAAATGGAAAGGCAGGGCAAAATTGCTTTTTATTGGAGCAACTCTGATGAAAAGTTACACGGCTCAGGTACGTCCAACAAGGCTGCATGTTGAAACATTCAAAAGGAATGTTGAAAGGCTTAGTTAAACTGTGAAATTTTCTGGCCACTGGTTTGGATGGCTTTAAAAGAAGATTAGACAAATTAATGTAAAAGCTACTAGCTGTGATGGCTATGATCTGCCTCTACATTGCTGGGAATTGCAAGTGGTGACATCCTCAGTCACAAAGAGCTGTAGCCAAGGAGAGAGAGTGTAACAATGAGCCATAGATGATGCACTAAGCCAAGCCTTGCTTTAGCTCAGGGTAGCACAGGAGTAAAAAGTGTGGGGAAGAGCAAAGCAGCTGTGAGCCTCTCTCCAGAAGCCCACAAATGGTGCTGGTAAGCCAAAGTTTGAGGTTGTATAAACCATGTCATAACCATGTTTTCAACACCCACCCCAGGAACAGCCCAAGTTTTGGAAAACAGCTAATACCAATGTACCAAAATAGCCAGTGTAGTGTCCTCTATATGTTGTTGGACTACAGCTCCCACCAACCCTAACCATTAGCCATGCTGGCTGGGGCTGATGGGAGATGAAGTCCAACCAGTAGCAGTAGGTGGGGCTGCATTGCTGCTGTTGGTCACCAAGAGGGGGAAGAGGCAAGTGAGCAGGGAGTTCAGGTTCTGTGTTGGGAGCATTGGATTGGCTCCGGTGCTGCACCAACACTGTACTGCACTCCTCACTGTCCGCCCTCTTGACAACCGGCAGTCTTACGCAGCGTTGGGAAGCCAGGCCAGCAGTACAGCCCCATCTGCATCCTCATGCTGGCTGTTTCTGAGTCCAAAGGTTAGGAAACTACTAGATGTTTTGAATGAGCAGCTCGTTGTTTATTGTAAACCATCATTCTGCTCACAAATATGGCAAAGCTGCTTATAATTCTTCAGTGGTGAAGGGAAAGCACTGCAGATGGTGAGCGTTTCTCTCATCTTTCCTATTATTTTATAAATTCCAGCCCCAGAAAACAGATTGTTTGAAAGAACCTGGTTTAAATGAAGCCCAAGAGTTTAGCCAGTACTACTAACTTGGTTGGACTTTTATAGTATGTGAAACCAGGGGTGGAGATGCTGCAGGATTAATTGATGCAATCCTTTATCACAGGGGCAGGGAACCTTTGGATTTACTGATGTTATTAGACTACAGTTGCCATCAGCCCAGACCAGCACAGACAGTGCTCAGGGGTGATGAGAACTGTAGTCCAACAACATCTGATGGGACACAAATTCCCCAACCCTGCTCTAAGACTTGGAGCATGTTCACATTCCCACCTTATAGCACAGTGAAGCTGTTTTCTATGCATTTCACAGCTCCCCCCATCTGTTCACATAAGCATGGTTTCAATTCAGTTGTTTGTGTATGCACCAGGGAATGCTGAGGACACAGATGTTGTTACCCTAAGCAGAGGTGTTCACACCTTGGCTGGAGTCTAAGGACTCCAGGCAGTATGATGCTTGTTTGACATAGAACAGTAGTAGCTCACAAGAAAGTACAGGATACTTAAGCATTTTGGACAAGGTCATGTAAATCCAGCACTGGAAGCAAAGCCAGTGCATAGTAAATGGGAATGTGAACACAGCCTAAGTTTTATTGGTTTCTTCTCCCTCCCTTCTCCTTTTATCATACAGCTTTAGTTCTGTTAAATGCTCCAAGGTTGAAGAACTAAATGCCCTTGAAAAGGATGATACAGTTTCAGTGTTCCTCTACAGCTGCTATAATGAAAGGGAAGCTTAAACTGGAGATTTGTAGTATTCATGTCACACATATTTGTTAACATGGGTGAACTAATTAAAAACATTGGCAAAGGTTAAGCACTGATCCATGCTTATACTGCAGTCCTATAGCTTACCAGAGAACACTGCCTTCACCCATGGCACTCCTGCTGTTTTTTTGTTATTTAATAAATTTTTGTTCACTGAATAATCAAGATACAGGCGATATAGAGCTTTATAGCTCAATTCTTGAATTAGCTGTGAAAGAGATGTGAAGCAGTTCAGATGTTTCAACTGGTGTAATATGACCATGCTAACCCATCTCTGTTAACAGTTGGGCAGCAGCCGTCTGCACTAGCTGACGTTTCTACGTGGACATCTCTGCATAAAACACATCACAGTAATCTGATCTAGAAGTAACTGAAGCATGAATGACAGAAGCCAGTCTCTGTCTTCCAGCAGTGTCCGCAGTGGGTGTCTCAACCGAAACTAATCAAAGGCATTATAGGTCACAGGGGTTCTGGGTGTAATGTCAAGTACAGAAGTTTGCCTAAGCTTCAAAGTGAATCTTTAGGAACAGTACGATTCTAACCAAAGCAATTTAACCTGCCCACAGGTGTCTCACTCCCCAAATGTTGCCAACTCTGTCTAATCTGGATTGACTGTGTTCACTTTCATCCAGTCCATCACTGATCCTAGATGCTAATTCAGGGCACCACGGTCTTTGTGGGAGTTGCTAGAAGGGTGAGATAAAGGTGTGGGGCAGGTAAGGACCTGTAAGGTAAGGACAATTGGGAGCTTGCTGATTAGACAGTGATCCCCACAGGGATTGGCAACACTAAGAGGTTCCCCACTGGTAACTCCCTAGTAGAGTTGAGAAGGCTCATTGTCCACAAGCCCCTTTGAAGATGAGCTTTCATTGGCAATCTGCCTTCATATAGCCATGCTCTCTCTGCTTGCAGCAGGTATGGTTTGGATGCAAACCATGGGTGCAAATGGACTTCAAATGTCCTCACTGTGACCACAATTATAGTAAGACCCTTTTGAAGTCTGACAGGTGGCCAGGTCTGCGTACCTGTCAGTCATGTGATATCCTTATGACATGTGATTGACAGCCACCCACCAAAGTGGATTTGAGGCTGTTTCTCTCTTGTGCCACAAACCCACTTCTGAACGAAAAGGAGATATTTAAATGTTTGCAGTAAGGAAAGTGATGGGGAAATGCACTGGTAAGTGTGGGATAACAATTGACTTGATGCAACATCATTTAACCCTCTGCAAACAAATGAAAATGAATGCTTCTGAAGGCAACCCTGTTTAAGGAAGTTTTAAATGTTTGATGTTTTATTGTGTTTTTAATATTCTGTTGGGAGCTGCCCAGAGTGGCTGGGGAAATCCAGCCAGATGGGCGGGGTATAAATAATATATTTTATTATTTTTATTATTATTACTATTACTTGCCAGAAGGAAGAGGAACAAGGTGGTGGTGCAAACACACCAGAAGGAGCTCTGCTGATGCCTTTGCACTGCACCAACCTCCCTGCTGCCTCCTCCGCTCCCTCCCAGTAAGCAACTGTGATCCATTTGCTGGGAAGCTGGTGTAGCTGCTCCACCCCACCCAGCAAGCCACTTCTAATTGGGTCGCTTATTAGTTTAATGCTGTATATGTTTTAACTGATTACATCAGATATGGTAAGCTGCCTTGGGGAAAATATAGCATTTTGAAAGGTGGCTCAGAAATTTCTTAAATAAATAAGAAACTCCAGGGGACCTTTCTCACTGCAATTCTAAAAGCTACAACCATTTCAAAATTTGAAATCAGCCTTTCTGTCTCTTTATTCAAATAAATATTTATATGCTAATATATGGATAGAATAAAAAGTAATAATGTCCACTGTGTGGTAATCATTGATGATCCCAATAGTTTCTCATTCACATATGAATAACAGGAATCTTCTGTATTTCTGATAATAGCTTAAAGTTGGACTTTGATTATCCTTTCTTTCCACTAGGGGGAAGTGCGTTCTGCAACTTGGATTGGTGCAAGCTCTCTTGAGTTTTCCACAGTAATCTTTTGCAGACTTTACCCAACTGCCCCATCAGTTTCCCTAGACACTGGTTTACGGACCCGGCCCAGCTGAGCAGGTTCCTAATACTGAGTTTTAATTAAAAAGCAGCTACAGGGATTAATCGCCAAAAAAGTTTTCGTAGCACCACAGTCCCTTAGTTGGAGTCTTAAGCTATTGCCATAATTATTATTTGCCCCCTGTTTCTTATTGTTCTCATTATTAACTTGTGATGTACATTGAGATTCTCAAGGAAGATTGGGATTAAAGTATAACAACAACAACAGTATTAGTAATAATCATAGTAACGCCTTCAAATCCTTGTTATGGGCAGGACAACTTTTATTATTGTCTCTCTCCTCTCTCCAAACATATATGAACAGGGACGCACACAAAAAGTATTTGCATAAGTTGAGCTGCTAAAGCCTAAAACTGTTTTTGTTGAATTAGTAAACATTCATGTTTTTAGATGCCCTTTATAAGAAATTACAATTGGAACAGTGTTTTTGTGTGTTTTGGTAAAAGGTTTACAGAGAATATTACATGACTCAGTGTCCTCTTTATAAGGATCTTTGTGAAAAGTATTTGTTTGAATTTAGTTCTACAACATTCTTTCTTAAAGCTATTGCATTTATATTGTTTTTGATGTTGAGAATGAAAACTATGTTACTTAGCGTGTTTCCTTTTGGGCTGGCCAGGAAATTAAGAGCCAGATTTGTTGCTTCAAGTCTGAATGCTGCTTTTGTTTTTGTTATGGCTTACAGCTAAACAATAAGCTTGTTACTACTTCTTACTTGAGAGTAAGTCTCAGTGAATTCTGTGGGACTTACGGTACTTCTTCTGAAGGATGTATAGGACAGCACTGTTAATGGCTTACTATTTGGTCTACAATGACAGGATGTTACTGGAACCTCCACACCTGGTACTGCTGTGGATTTTATTTATTTAATAGTTTTTATATCATCTTTCAAAATACATTTCTGAAGCAGCATATATGATATAAAACTACTACCATTAAAATATATAATAAAAGAAATAAAAATGATAAATGCAAAGTAAAAAAAAAAATCAACAGTAGAGGAGTGGAAAAAAGGAGTGTTAGCAGATTCAGGTTTTGAAAGCACAACAGAAAAAAAATTCTGATGGTTGTGCAAAGGGAGCAAAACATTGTTAGCCCCTGCTACACACCCACACCCACCTAGAAAACATCAGAAAGAGAACCCGTTGAAAATTCATTTTAAGCCAGTGTCGGCGGGGGTGGGTGGATGACTGCTCCGAAAATACATGGGCATCAATTAGTGGTTCTGGCAACATGAGGCCTGAGGATTGTGTCAAAACGGCACATTATATTTTCTATTAGTGGTGTTACTGCCAGAAACAATGAGATGTCAAGGGATGGCTGGTTTGGGAGCTGTAGATAGAGGGCAGGATTTAATAGGATTTTGTGCTCATTGTGGTGGTGCTTAGTAGTGCTAACATCCTGAGGAGATAATCTTGAAGTTGTGAAGGAAATATCTCCCAAGGTTTCCAGCTAGCAGACAAGCAACAAGCCCAAATTCATATTTTTCCAGATACCAAAATTTCCCTATTAAGAAGGTTATTTGGAAGACCAAATGCAAAGTGTGTTTCTGCTTAACACACACACACACACACACACACACACACACACACACACCATCCCTAACATGAATTTATATTCATAATGCCAGGGATTCCTTATAAAGGGTATTTTAATATAGTCTCAGTGATGCAGTCATCAGAATTAAGTGTGGGTAAAGTCCCACCTCAGTTCTGTGGGATTTGGGGAGCATGTGTCTTTGGCTCTACAGCAAAAGAAGGCAGGTGGTTTAGTAGTTTGGATTGTGGCCACTTCCCTCCTCATCTGAAATAAAACATTCCTTTAAAACCAGATCTGTGCATGTTCAGGGGTACTGTATACCTTGATATGATTGGAGGCGACACCATTTGGTGTTCTGTTTTGGGCAACAGGAACATAGGACACTCCCTTTAATTCATCCGGTTCAGTATTGCCTGCACTGACTGGAAGCAGCTATCCAAGGTTTCAGACTCCTTCTCCAGGGGTCTTTCCTAGCCCTACCTGGGATGCTGGAGATTGAACATGGGACGTTCTCCATACAAAGCAGATACTCCATCACTGAGCTATGGCGGTTCCCTAGATAAGTTTTGGGCAGCGCTGCTCCACTGCAGCAGCACATTGCAGAAGAAGATTAGTAGCAGTGGGGTGGGCAGGCTGCTTTTCAACTAATTTGTCATTACTGATTTTTATCACTGGGAACCCTTGAAAAGCTTCTAGAAAACCCCAAGGTTTCCTAGAACACAGATATAAGCTGGCTAATTTGCATCATTACTCTCCTATCTTTTGTATCTTCCTCTTTTTTTCTTTTCTTAAACCTTGCAAGAGGCATTTACTCTCCTGTTGGCTTGGTTTTCATAGACAGCTTCATGTGTGTGGGACTCATGGAAATACATTTTCTAAACCACATGCTTGCCCTTCTCTCTCTGCGCCCTCCCCCCCACCCCAAGCTAGGCTTGAATAATGAAAATAGAGGCCCAGCTTAGGAGACAGATGGCAAAACTGAATTAAATGAATATCCACGGAAAGAGTAACTGATTTGAACTCATGCCAAAGGCAAGGAATTCAACTATGTTGCAGTGGAATGGGAACAACATACATTATATCACTGTGTTGTTGCTTCAGCCACAAAACAGGTGGAATTTGCTGCTGCAAGTTCCCTTGTATGCACATTCCTGAGTGGCTATGCAAAGTTTGTGATTAAATTTAATTGAATTTCAACAGTAATATAATGCAGAACAGAAGTGAAAGTTGCTGACTTTCAATGCATTCACATTTTTACTGTTTGAGTTGGTTTAAATTAATTTGAGTCCAGAATGAGGTAGGTTAGGCTGAGACACAGTGAATGGGCCAGGAGTCACCCAGTGAGCTTCACGGCCAAGTGAGGATTTGAACCCTGGTCTCCCAGGTGCTAGTCTGACTTGCTCTTGTTACGTAAAGCATGATGTTGGAGAGTGGTTTTATGTAGTGACAAAGTTTGCATCTTTTAAGATGAAATGTAGGGTGGTACATATTAGCATTCTCTATCTTGTATGCAAACACATACACCCACAAAAAAGCAAGTAGTAAGCCAGCCATTAATCTATTTCTACAGCAGAAGTTTAGAATAAAGCTGATTACTTTTAAGTTCCTGGCTGGCGTCTGGTTCCATGATGACGGCATCTCCACCAGCACCTTGAGAGATCTAACAATAATAGTTGTTGCTGTTGCGAGACTGAGGCTACAAGAGCCAACCATCGCTTGCAATCTGCACCTGCTCTTGTTTCAACAGCACTGCTGAATTTGTGCTGATCATGCCAAAACCCAGGAAAAATTTAAAAAGCATCTTCTATTACTGTCAGTATAAGGGATGGCAGGGTCGCTTGAGGTTAGGGGCTCACACTTCTCTTCGTAGCATTTGGGATGTTTTGTTCCTCCACTTATTTAAAAGAGGAGGCTTTGTGGAAATTTCTTGTTACACAGGTCTCCAGTTCACTGGTCTGTTGACCTCCAGATATGCACACTGCTATGGTTTTCCTCATTGTAGATGTCTTTTACACATGCAGGACTGTACAGTGGTACCTCAGGTTACATACGCTTCAGGTTACAGACTCTGCTAACCCAGAAATATTACCTTGGGTTAAGAACTTTGCTTCAGGATGAGAACAGAAATCGTGCCCCGGCGGCACAGCAGCAGCAGCAGGAGGCCCCATTAGCTAAAGTGGTGCTTCAGTTTAAGAACAGTTTCAGGTTAAGAACAGACCTCCAGAACGAATTAAATTCTTAACCCACAGTACCACTGTACACACTAACTTTGATGATTTGGGGGACAGTATGAAAATGTGTAATATTGTTTTTCCTACGCTCAGTAGGCAACATATTTCCTTAGTGTGAGGCTACCACTGGGTTGTCTAGCCCTATGTAATAAGAGACAAAACTTCCACAAAATGCACCCTTACCACAAAGCACCTTGAAAACAAATATGCTTGCTAAAGAGGCATGTTCAGATGATCAAGTATTTTTGCCACACTGGATTTAGGCCCAAGTATTTAAAAGACCTTTTTTAGCCTCCTGTATGGATTTGCAACATTTTTGAGTAATTCCTTCCATTGCTGAAACCCAATAAGTCATGTTCGTTCCCTCCCTCCTTTCTCTTCTCTTGTGTGGGCCAGTAGGTTCTGCTTGACACTGCTTGATGCACTATGTTCCTTCACAAAGAACACAGAGTAAGGCAGGCAAATACGGTCCAACTCAGTTTGCTTTTCTGAGAGCTGATCTTTATTATATATTCTCTAGACCAGGGCCTCCCAAGCTTTCCATGGTATATGGAATATATAGATTTTTTTAGATTTGCCTTGAGACAGACTTTAAACCTCTTTTGTTGACCACCAGCATTACGCTTTCCATTTTTAAGTTTGGAATAGAGTAGTTGCTTTGGAAGATGATAATCAAAGTCCATGTCATGGACTTTGAAGACACTCAAACTCAGAATGCAAGGGAGAAATGTGCTAAGAGGAAGGCACACTTGGCAAATCCATACTGTGATCAACTCCCGCCCAGGAACCAATGTCCCCACAGTGGAATGACATGTGGGTCCAGAATTGGCCACTTGTTAAAACCATGTTTATGGAAGACAATCTTACTCAGCTACAAGTTATCACCAAAGAAGAAGAAGAAGATAGCACCCTGAACACAAATCTGGTTTCAGGGCAGTTTACAAAACTAGTTTACTAGATTAGTAGTAAACTAGTAAAACAGATTTTTTTAGTAGACTCTGTCTTTCCAAAATTATTTTGCAGATTTCAGGTTATCTAGGTGTTTGTTTTAATGTATGTCTAGGTAGGAAACATAAATTATTTGCTGCATTTGTGAAGGCATTTAGTTTCATAATTGGCCTTCCTAGTATACTTGTTGACAAAACAGAGGCGAAAGAAGATCTTGTTACAACCTTGAAACAAACACACACACATTCTCTCTCTCTCTCTCTCTCTCTCTCTCTCTCACACACACACACACACACACACACAGAGACTTAAAACTATGAACCTCCGGATTGAGTGAACGAAAATAACCTCTTCGCTGCACTTGAGTGTAATGCTTAAGCCCTAATTTTATTTTCTTCTGAAAGGATTTTTTGTTGTCCATTGACAGCAGCTTTATTCTGGCAGGATTTTTTCAGCCAACTATCTGAATAATAATAATGTTTAAAAAAATCCTTTCAGTTCACAGGCTGCTGAGGGTGGTGTGATACTGTGATCTGCCAACACCAATTCAGGCTTGTGTTTCATTCAGAGAAGCTATTTGCATATCCTCTGTTCCCCCTGTTTGCTCAAACACGTCTGAAAAAGCAAAGTTCTCAGCCATTGAGGTTGAAGAATGAGCCGTCTCGTAACTTTGCTGAGCTTTAATACTTCCCATACTTGTTACTTGTTTTACCATAGAGGAGAGTTCTGAGGTATCAGTTAAATTCATAACAACTCTCAAGAAATTATTTTCCAAAAGGAGAAAGAAAAGCAGCATTCAACAGATGGGAAAAGAGAGGGATGTACCTCTGTCAAGTCTAAAGGCCAGCTAATTGGCAATCCATTTGCACAAACTAAAAATTTGTAAAAAAAATAATACTGTTTGTACCATATTAGAATTAGTCTGCAAAGTGAAAATGATTGTTGGTTCTAGGGTCAGGATGGATCAACAAAAGGAAATGCTTTTTCACACAATGCAGAATAAACGTATGGAATTCCCTACCATAGCATGTGGTGGTTTTAGACAAATTTGTGGATAAAGCTATGACCATGAACAGTTAAGTAGAATCTCCATGCTTAGCGTAATATTCCACTGACATAGAGGTGCACCCAATGTTTTCCTGTGAACATTTTAGGCACAAAAAGGTGGTAGGGAGGAGTCCAATTCATTTCCTGAAATACCCTCCAAAGTTTTCATGCAACCAATCAGATTTGACTGTGTGATGACATCACTGAGGGCAAACAAAGCCAATTCAGAGTGAGAGCAGTACTTCCTGAATGTGTCTTGTTTCTTATTCAAGAAATTGAATGCAAAATTGGAAATGTTTCTGAATCTTGAGCAGATTTCAGGTGAATCTTGTGAATATTCATTTCATTGATGGACTGCCCCGTCCAGGTGTTTTCTTGGTCAGTTGCAGTATGAATATAACTACTTGTTATTAACATAGAGGGGCGGATAGGTTTTACTGGCTCTGTGTATAGTGTTGGGGGCTTTTTTTAGGTGAGCCCCGCCTCCATCAAGATTCTCCTCCACCTCTTTTTGTGCCGTGTAGCATTCTTTTGTGTGGTTTTTGTATGCCTGATCAGACAAATCATAGAATTTTATTGCTGGAAGGGAACCAAAGGATCATCTAGTCCAGGTCAACCTAATAATACTGGCCCACATGACTGCTCTATCTCAACATCTTGCAGCACCCAGCAGAGCCACAGAAAGAAGCCCCTGAATCTGGTGTTGCGTGGTTATATGCCGGGGCAGCTGATGATAGAACTGAGCTGTTCGAAGACTCATGGAATAAGCTTCTTCCCCTTCAAAACATTTAATTTGCATATGAGGCTGCTATTATCTGATTCCAAGCCTGTTTGTGCTGTCTGTAGGGTCAATGTAGTTCTTTAGGGACCCTGACATATTTCATGGTGGGTTGGAATACTGTTGTGATTGTTCACCTTTAGCCATGCCTTTTTGATACTATTTCTCCCTTGATTTGCTTCCATTTGAGCTCTGTTTCCCCTCCCCCTTGTTTCATTCAAAGGATTATGCACATCTTTTCTCCTTCATTGAGTGATCTCAGCTGCACACGTACAGAAATACTGGTGTGCATGCCCCAAATGGCAAAAGAGTCATGGGTGGGACAAAAACACATGGCCCAGGTACATTCTGGAAAGCAGCAGAATAGCAATGGATGGCTCACTTGCTATGTAAGGCCCTGAATCTGGAAGCACCCTGTGTGTCTGTCAAGTGGTGCAAGTAAACAGTAAGGGGTCAGAATATAAACAGCGGTGCACAATACTTGTTACCTTGCAAGCCAAGTATGGTAAAGGTAAAGGACCCCTGACAATTAAGTCCAGTCATGAACAACTCGGGGGATGCGGCTCTCATCTCGCTTTACTGGCTGAGGGAGCTGACGTTTGTCCGCAGACAGTTTTTCTGGGTCATGTGGCCAGCATGACTAAGCCGCTTCTGGCGAACCAGAGCAGCGAACGGAAACACTATTTACCTTCCCGCTGGAGCGGTAACTATTTATCTACTTGCACTTTGATGTGCTTTTGAACTGCTAGGTTGGCAGGAGCTGGGACCGAGCAACAGGAACTCACCCCGTCGCGGGGATCCGATCGGCAAGCCCTAGGTTCAGTGATTTAGACCAAAGGACCACCTGCGTCCTTTTGCAAGCCAAGTATATGATGTCAATTCAGGTGTACCAATTCAGATGGACCAGGCTTCCGGTAAACAGATTCCTTTTGTAATATAATTTTACAACATGAAAAATGAAGTATTGTTCAGAGATGTATACTCAGCAATTGCAATTGCTTTGCCAACAGATTTTACAGTACTTAACAGTACTACAAGGGGCTATCAGCAGAGGCAGTTGTAATACTATGTGCTAATTTATGTGTTTTTTACACTGGGAAGACATATTAGAGTATGAGCACTAAACTCCAATTCACATTCAGCCAGTAATATATTTTTAAAACACTGTTTTTGATAGAAGTTGTTACCCTCTTGATATCACATTTTCATATTGTTCCTAACACTAGTGTTATCATATCCAAGCACCTCTGCTGTTAGTGTTGCCGCCTTTTTCCTGTGACTTTTACATTGCCTTTCTTTATTATTTATGTCCCATACCATGAGTGGGAATGCTTTCAGTGCAGCTGACAGCTGGTACCCCCCCCCCAAAAAAAAATCAATGGAAAAGAATAACAACCAATTCTATATATAAAAAATTAGTTTAAAATAGTTCCAGTACTTACTTTTGCAGACTGGGATAAGGATATCCATTTAAAAAATGTGATAGAGAAAGTCTTCAGCAGGTGCTGACAAGACAATAGAGGGAGGCATAAAGGGTGGGTGCCACCACACTAAAGGCTCCATTCAGACATGGTGCAGAACAGATCTCCTGATAAGATGGTGTCTGCAAGAGGGCCCTATCCTGCAGAACACAGTGAGCTCAATGCAAAACTAAACTAAATGCATAAAGGTAAATTGACCCAAACCTTTTGTAATAAGGAGGTAAGAAAAATGGTTGTAATGACTACTTTGTTTATAGATTACAAATATTTACTAAGTATATTTTTTAAAAGAGAAGAAAAATTTCTCACCTTTTCTACTCCATGCAAAGAAAAGCTTCACCGCCTTTGCCTGTGAAGTTACTGTTAAAGGTCCAGAAGCAGGTCTTATTGGCTACCCTAGAGAGCCATTTTGGTGTAGTGGCTACAATGTCAGACTAGGAATGGAGAGACCAAGTGTTCAAATCCCCCCCCCCCACCGGTAGCCATAAAGCTCACTGGGTGACCTTGGGCTACTGACCTTCCAGGGTTTGTCCAGCTAAACAACCAGCAATTTTCATTTGGCCCCTGATGTGGAGGGCTGGGAACACCTGATCTGAATGATGGCTTACTTACTGTGACAGTGACAGACAGTGACTTACTGTGGATGAGCACCCTGGTAGGGCATGCTGCTCAAGTAGCCCTTGCCGTGCTCCTACCTTTGTCAAACAGTTTCTAAAAGCAGCTACTGAAAGCTAGGACTAAATTTAAAGTGCTGAAGCTAACCCATCAAATAAAATATAAATTCTTCCTTCCTTATTCAGCTCCACTGGTTACCATTAATAGCCTAATGAATGCATTTTATTTCTCTCACGTCCTAGCTGCTTTGCATCTGTGTTCTCTTCCTGCTGCAATTACCTTCTATTTGCATTTTTTTTTGTTTTGTTTTGCTGGTAATAGCTGTCCTGTTATCTCATCCGGTTATTTCATGCAGTGAGTAAGGAAGTATGAGAAATGCTTAAATCAGAACAAGCCTTTCAAGCCTCACCAACCTTTAGAATTCTTTGAGTGCTACATACATATGTAGATAGGGGTGATCTGCTAGCCATTACAGTATATAGTTGGACTTCCAAATGGCTTTCAGCAAAGTTCCTTCCCAGCTGCTGAGTAAACTTAGCAGCCAGGTGCTTTTATGGATTTGGAACTGGTTAAATAACTGGTAGCAAATGGTTTCCATAATGGAGTAAAGAAGGCAGTGGAGTCCCCCAAAGAGCTGGACTAGGACTGGTGGTCTTTTAATGTTCACGAATAACCTGGAGTCAGGGATGAGAACCAAATTAGCTAAGTTTAAGGTTACATCAATATGAAGAGCTCCAGAAGGATCTCACAATACTGGCCTTGCTTACATGTCACAGTAAGTCGTGAACATGCAGATGATTCCCTCTTTGCTTCTCCCCAGCAGTCAAAACAAGCCACAATCCTTAGTGCTTGGTGTTAAGTGGGAACTGGGGATTGTTGAGAACCCAAGGTTTGGCTTTGGCTTTCCAGTTGTGGTTTGTTTGAGCAGTTTGTTGACCAGGTGCTGCTGACTGTTGATGGGCGACTTCAAGACTTCTCTGTACAGTTCCTAGTCTTGGACTGGACAGCCCTCTAACAGGGGACACCTTCGAAGAGACAATAGTTTTCTGAGAGCCCCTCCAAACAGAGGATTGTAAAGTGTGATGCATGGCCACTCTGAGCAGGAGCATAGGAGCCAAAGAAGAACCTGGCTGGATCAGGCCAAACAGGTCCAACATCCTGTTCTCACAGTGGTCAACCAGATGCTCATGGGAAGTTGGCAAGCAAGACCTGAGTGCAATGGCAGTCTGCTGTTGTATGGCATTAACTGGCCCAATGTGTGAATGAGCAAGACAAAATATGTGCAATTCAACATAAGGAATTGCAAAACTATGGCAAAAGGAAGAGAAAAGACTATTCTATTATATTTACACTAGTGGAGTTTAAACTGGTTGTATGCAGAAAGAGAGCTATTTCTTACATCGGGGATGGGGATCTAGCTGTTGTACCAGATCCTTATAACCCCAGCCTCATGTAGGCCAAGTTTGAAAGGCAGGAGGCTGCCTACCTGTCAATCACCTGACATCACAATGGGATTGGTTGACCACACTTTGAAATCGAACCACATAAGGAAAATCACAGCACTCTGTAAGCTCTGACAATCAGCTGATCATTGGTAGCCGAAAGTCCCTTTTTAGTCCAGCTGCATCTTTACCTGCCCCATACCTGGCATAGAGAACAGGTCAGGTAGGGAGAGCTAGTGGGCATAACTAGGCCCATGGACTGGAAGTCCCCCCATCTGTTCCATCTGAAAATGTTATTGTATGTTTGTATCACAGTCAGTGTGAATCTATGGGTTGCTTTCTTTGTACAGTGGTATCTCGGGTTAAGTACTTAATTTGTTCTGGAGGTCTGTACTTAACCTGAAACTGTTCTTAACTGAAGAACCACTTTAGCTAATGGGGCCTCCTGCTTCAGCGTATGTAACCTGAAGCGTATGTAACCCGAGGTACCACTGTCTTTCCTGTCTTTAACAACAGTCTGTTACTCAGAAGAAAACCCTAAATTTCTGGCTGGATAGTTTATATATATACAGTGGTACCTCGGGTTACATACGCTTCAGGTCACATACGCTTCAGGTTACAGACTCCGCTAACCCAGAAATAGTACCTCGGGTTAAGAACTTTGCTTCAGGATGAGAACAGAAATCGTGCTCCAGCGGCGCGGCGGCCCCATTAACTAAAGTGATGCTTCAGGTTAAGAACAGTTTCAGGTTAAGAATAGACCTCCGGAATGAATTAAGTACTTAACCCGGGTACCACTGTATAAAGTAGCAAACCCAGCAGCAATTGCCAACTTTGCAAGCAGCCACTTTAGGCCTGCTTTATGATGTGTAGACATTAAGAGGTGGTAATATTTCTTTCCATTCTGTGAAAATGTTTCAGATGTGTTCTCCTTTACAAAATAGAGATAACAGGAAACTACTGCATTAGTTCAGCACCCACCCTCCTGCTCTTTGTTTTTTAATACATATGGAGCAGCCATTACCCTCTCTCTAGCGTTAGGCTTGCAGACTTGTAGTGTGTGGCTTCTTTCAAAATGCAATGGAGGTAATTTAACATCTTTGAGGGTTATTTGAAGCTAATTCTATTTTAACTGTCTGGAGGTGAAGTTATTAGTTTATTTGGAGTAAAATGCACTCTAGATAAAGTAGCAGTGGTCCTGGAGTCCCAGAAGTATTGGAGATCCATGTAGATAGTTGAGGTGGCTGTTCCAATTGGAAACACTACCCTTTGGGGGGTTTTGGGGAGTGGGATGTGGGTGGGGAAGAGAGCTGCCTTTTTTCATGTGAGAGGTGTTTATAAACTGACTAGTGTAAAACTAAGACATAAGATGCCATTTCTTCATTAACTGAAACACTAGGAATGTGGGCCAATTCTGTTATTAAAGAATGTTGCAGTCTTTTTAATTAACTGGGACTTGTCAGGTAGGCAGAAAAGTATGTTTAAAAAAAGCACAGTCATTCTCCTTTCTTGTTTGTTCAGATAGATAGTAATGGCACTGTAAACCTTTTTAGTATGTTTAAAAACTATAGGGCATAACTGTTGCTGCTTTTATGCTGAAGTTGATGGAGACTTTTGTGTAATGTGGAAGTTTGTATATTCCTTTACCAGTAGAATGTATGCATAAAAGAATCCCCACCTTAAGGCTTCTGATTCTTAAAAAGTAATGTACTGTAATCAGAAGACATTCACCAGGTACAACTTCTCTAAGCATGTAGATTATGACTTACTATGTGTTCAGATGAAGCAATTGTTAAAGTCATGCAAGCAGGAACCAATTAAAAAAAAAAGAGTAACTGTACATATGTGACAACAGCATTTCCTAAATACAAACTACTAAACTGTCCTTGAAACACTTGCTCTTTAAATTTATGTAAAGTAAACCAAATGGGATAGCAAGGGCTACCTACCAAATGCTAGTGTTAAAATATTCCCTAATCACGTTAGCAATGAGTAAGCATTCTTAGTAAATACCTGGCCATATTCTTGGAACATAGGTTCTCAGCTCCAAACTGATTAGGCCAGCTGCAAAAGACCCATAAAAAAAGAAGAGAGGCAGAAAACTTGTTCATTTCAGAAGTGTAAGCCAGTTGCACCCATTTATCTTCGACATGCATTTGGTGTGGGGAGGAGGACTTATCTGCTGGCTCCTGTTCCCATTTGTGCTCCTGTGTTGAGAATATTCCAAGGATGTTTGAAGAAGGGACTTTAGTTATTTTGCAAAGAGAATAATATTTCAGCACATGGCTGACAATGCAGTCTCAGAAGCAGCAGGGTTCCTAAGCCCCTGCACAAAGGTAAGGACATGAATTTAACCATTTTTTTAGGTTAGACACAGTAAATAAGAAGCTGGAACTCGAACAGAGCCACAGAAGCACTGCAATATCATTTAAAAGTATTTCCTACGGAGAACAATAACAGAGAAGCTGCTATATATATTTTCTCTTATCATATGAATAATTCCACGCTTTGTTTGAGCTAGGGTTCAGCAGCCTCTTCTCCAGAACCTATTTACACTGCTAGGGTTTAGCCCTGAAATGTGCAGTAGAAAGTGCCTTTGAGAATATGCAGAGTCCTTTTCTTTTGTCACCTAATGCTCACCAGCAGTCCTTCTCTGTGTTTATGGATACAGGCATAAGTCAGGCAGCTTAACTCCAGGAACTCTTGTGTTGGAAATTAGCACCAAAGAAGCCTTATCATATGAACTCAGTAGACTTAAAAGCAACAATACCTCACCACCTGTTGCTATAGAAAGGTTGAATTTCTTTAGGTAGTAATTCCCCAGGTGGCTAGTTGTGTGTGAATAGATGAGCACAAAAGGCAATGTGTTCACCTGCAGAAACAATGAATACTTCATCAAACCCAAAGCATTTGCTCTTCAGCGGTGACTTTGGCTAGTTGTAATTTTAATATCCTGCTGCATTAAACAACACTTGACAGTCGGGATTGCATGCACTCACAACAGTCTTTTTTTCTCAGTGGGGGATCTGAATAACACAACAGGAAGCTAGTTAGCCCTTGAATGTTTGATTTCTCCTAAAGAAGCCTGCGAATTCACACACACCCCATCTAGCAAAACATCGTAATAAAAAACAACAACCATTGAATTTCATGGAGGCAGAAAGTCCAACAGGGCTTACAACCAAGCAAATCTACATAGGATTGCAGCCAGAAGTAGTATTAAAAGCATCCTGCATGTGGTTTTCCCCAGGACAATTGATTATTAATAATTCTCATTGCATACCCTCTAACATTTCTCTGATAAAAATAGGGACATCCTATTCAATAATAATGTTTATTATTTATATCCCACCCATCTGACTGGTTTGCCCCAGCCACTCTAGGCAGCTTCCAACATATATAAAAACACAACAAAACATTAAACATTAAAAAAAACCTTCCTTATGCAGGTGTCTCTATCAGATGTCTTCTAAAGGTTGTATAGTTACTTATCTTCTTGTCTCAGGGGTCGCATAACTCTATACCCTCTGATGACAATAGGGATCTCCTACCATGTCCTGCAACATTTCTCCAATTAAAATAGGGACGTCCTAAGGAAAAGCGGGGCATTCTGGGATCAAATCAGAAATTGGGACGTCTTCTGTAAATCTGGGACTGTCGCTAGAAAATAGGGACACTTCAAGCATCTGTTTTACAGTGCCAATTAATAAACTTGGAAGTATGAGGCACTTTCCAGTGATGGAACAGTGTCGTGTGCATATCTCAGATTTAGCAAGTTTTCAGCAATTGACCCAAAATACATTTGCCTCCTCAAGCGCATCTTCCAGTTCTCTTCCCCACCTATATCCTTAGCAATAAATTTAAACCTTTGGATTGAATAGGGTATGAATAGAAGAATAATTGCTCTCGGGCCTATTAAGGTAGCGTAGCATTGGCCTTATTCAATGTAAACAAAACCAGAAAAATGGGTACAAATAATTCAACAAGCTCTACCTCATAATGCCAGCTTTTGAGACCTGAAATGTATCTACAGCTTGTGGTACCCTATCTACAGTGGAACTGTGGAATGCTTTGGATGGTGGGATCTCTCAGCCAGTGGTTTCCCTGTCCTCTTTCTAGCTAGGGCTGGTGGGGGTTGTAGTTCAACAAAATCTGACAATCCAAAGGTGCCCCATACATATCGGCTATAGATGCTTACCTGGGAGCAAGTCCCACTGAATTCAGCAGGACTTCCTTGTTCATACATAGAATGAATTACACTGTGAAAGAACTATAACTTAAGTCAACTGATTGTGATGTAATAATGGAACAGTTGAGCTGATCAGTGTCAGTAAAACTTGCCAATGAGAGCATATTTCTGCCACCCTAAAATTGCCCACTTTTACAGCCTGTTGCTCAAGTAGTGAGGGCTACTACAGAACTGTTCTTTGCTGCTAGGGGCGTGCAACTCAACACCTGCGTGGGATTCCTTGTTGCCTTCTGTGGCAGGGTGAATTGTTAAATGCAAGGTTGTATGAGACTCTTCTTAAGTTGTGTTATGACCCATAAGGGACAAACTATGCCCAGTTGTTTGCATGCAGAAGCTCACAGGCCCAATCTCTGACATCTTCAGTTAAAAGGATCAGGTAGTAGGTAATGGGGGAAAATTCTGCTTGAGACTCTAGATAGCTGCTGCCAGTCCGAGTAGTCAGTATTGGCTTAGAATGAAGGAAGATCACTATTTTTGTAGCAAAGCATGTTTCAAAGCCTGTACTATATCTTGATAGCAACATAGTCAGTAGGAAAGGCACCTGAAATGTACTGTGACAAATAGGTCACTTGTTTGCTAATTATACTTGCTGTCACACTGGCTGCAATTAAGAAGATACAATTAGTCGTACTGGATCATTATGCATGTATTATTACTGAATCCTCCATTTGTTCTGTTGGATTATGGATACAGAGTTACTTACCACTTATAGTAAGGCAGTTGCTGTTTTTTCAGATTTTTTGGCATGCTGCCACACAACTGTCGTTATTCAGCTAGTATTCCAGAATAATGTACTCAAAAAAGTCCACTTTTTCTTCTACCACAAAAATTTGACTTATGTGAAGGTTGCAGAATGGATCCTCAAGTTTTTCATTTGTGTGGCGTGTGTACAGTCATCATCCTGGTTTCTGTGTGGAAGGGGATGGGAGCTCTTTTGTGTCTCCCTGCTTACTGTACGTCTGGTTTCCCACAGGCATCTGGCTGGCCACTGTGAGAACAGAGTATTGGTCTTGAAGGGCCATTGACCTGTTGCAGCAGGCTCCTCTTATGTTCTTATCTGATAGTGGAGGGGCACACAGCAGAGTTTTCCCCAGGGATCTGAATGATAGGAATATGCTCATCTGAAGGGCAACCTTCACTAGCCTTAAGGTCGACTGATGAGAGTGATTCCAGGGACTGGGTGGCTCCCCTCTTATGGAATACCCTCTCCAGGGGTTTGCATGAAGCCCCCTCCTGAGAGTTTTTAGAAGAGCCCTAAGAACGTTTGTATTCTAATCTGATTTAGGTTAATTGATTTTATGGCACTGTGGATTGATGATGAGGGCTTAAATAACTCCCTGTTATTTTAATGAGACTTAATGTTGTTATTGGTTGTTTGGTTGTTGTTGTTGTTTAGTCCTTTAGTCGTGTCCGACTCTTCGTGACCCCATGGACCAGAGCACGCCAGGCACTTCTGTCTTCCACTGTCTCCCGCAGTTTGGTCAGACTCATGTTTGTAGCTTCGAGAACACTGTCCAACCATCTTGTCCTCTGTCGTCCCCTTCTCCTTGTGCCCTCAATCTTTTCCAACATCAGGGTCTTTTCCAGGGAGTCTTCTCTTCTCATGAGGTGGCCAAAGTATTGGAGCCTCAGCTTCACAATCTGTCCTTCCAGTGAGCACTCAGGGCTAATTTCCTTAAGAATGGATGCGTTTGATCTTCTTGCAGTCCATGGGACTCTCAAGAGTCTCCTCCAGCACCATAATTCAAAAGCATCAATTATTCGGCGATCAGCCTTCTTTATGGTCCAGCTCTCACTTCCATACATCACTACTGGGAAAACCATGGCTTTAACTATACGGACCTTTGTTGGCAGGGTGATGTCTCTGCTTTTGAAGATGCTGTCTATGTTTGCCATCGCCTTTCTCCCAAGGAGCAGGCGTCTTTTAATTTCGTGACTGCTGTCACCATCTGCAGTGATCATGGAGCCCAAGAAAGTAAAATCTCTCACTGCCTCCATTTCTTCCCCTTCTATTTGCCAGGAGGTGATGGGCCCAGTGGCCATGATCTTCTTTTTTTTGATGTTGAGCTTCAGACCATATTTTGCGCTCTCCTCTTTCACCCTCATTAAAAGGTTCTTTAATTCCTCCTCACTTTCTTCCATCAAGGTTGTGTCATCTACATATCTGAGGTTGTTGATATTTCTTCCGGCGATCTTAATTACGGCTTGGGATTCATCCAGCCCAGCCTTTCGCATGATGAATTCTGCATATAAGTTAAATAAGCAGGGAGACAATATACAGCCTTGCCATACACCTTTCCCAATTTTGAACCAATCAGTTGTTCCATATCCAGTTCTAACTGTAGCTTCTTGTCCCACATAGAGATTTCTCAGGAGACAGATGAGATGATCAGGCACTCCCATTTCTTTAAGAACTTGCCATAGTTTGCTGTGGTCAACACAGTCAAAGGCTTTTGCATAGTCAATGAAGCAAAAGTAGATGTCTTTCTGGAACTCTCTAGCTTTCTCCATAATCCAGCGCATGTTTGCAATTTGGTCTCTGGTTCCTCTGCCTCTTCTAAATCCAGCTTGCACTTCTGGGAGTTCTCGGTCCACATACTGCTTGAGCCTTCCTTGTAGAATTTTAAGCATAACCTTGCTAGCGTGTGAAATGAGTGCAATTGTGCGGTAGTTGGAGCATTCTTTGGCACTGCCCTTCTTTGGGATTGGGATGTAGACTGATCTACTCCAATCCTCTGGCCACTGCTGAGTTTTCCAAACTTGCTGGCATATTGAGTGTAGCACCTTAACAGCATCATTTTAAAATTTTAAATAGTTCAGCTGGAATACCATCACTTCCACTGGCCTTGTTATTTGCAGTGCTTTCTAAGGCCCATTTGACTTCACTCTCCAGGATGTCTGGCTCAGGGTCAGCAACCACACTACCTGGGGTGTACGAGCCATCCATCTCTTTCTGGTATAATTCCTCTGTGTGTTTTTGCCACCTCTTCTTGATGTCTTCTGCTTCTGTTAGGTCCTTACCACTTTTGTCCTTTATTATGGTAATCTTTGTACAAAATGTCCCTTTCCTATCTCCAATTTTCTTGAACAGATCTCTGGTTCTTCCCATTCTGTTGTTTTCCTCTATTTCTTTGCATTGCTCGTTTAAGAAGGCCTTCTTGTCTCTCCTTGCTATTTTTTGGAAATCTGCATTCAATTTCCTGTATCTTTCACTATCTCCCTCACATTTTGCTTGCCTTCTCTCCTCCGCTATTTGTAAGGCCTCGTTGGACAGCCACTTTGCTTTCTTGCATTTCCTTTTCGTTGGGATGGTTTTCGATGCTGCCTCCTGAATAATGTTACGAGCCTCCATCCTTAGTTCTTCAGGCACTCTGTCCACCAAATCTAAATCCTTAAACCTGTTCCTCACTTCCACTGTGTATTCATAGGGGATTGTTGGTTGTTTTAGTGTTTTGTAATTTTGCTGTGCTATTTTGTTGTAAACCAGGGGGCAAGCCTTGGTTACAGTTCTTGGTTTGTCTGGAGAGAGGGCCAAGTTCAACAGCAGAGGAGGAGCAAAGCAGCCACCACCTCTTCTCTGGGAGCTCACATATTTGCTTGTTTGTGCCAAACCATCGTTTCCTAGTTTGTGCTAAACCATAGTTTTACATGTCAATCAGGCTTCTTGGGAAGTTAAGGATTCTCATTGGAGATGAGAGGAGAGGAGGGGAGAGCATGGCACCCAATATTACATCTCATGATTATTGAGAGCCTCTGGCACATAATATTATGTTTGCACCAGGCATGTGAAGGGTAAAGATAAACAAGTTTCCTTTCTCCTCAAGAGGCTTATCATAGAATTTTAGAGTTATAAGGGAGCCCAAGGACCATTTAGTCCAGCCCCCTGCAATGCAGGAATTATCTGGATTGCAGTCAGTGATGAGGACAGAATAGTTTAAAATTCCCAAAGATCTCATATGTAACAAAGTTGTTTTCTGTTTTAATCTCCTTTTTCAAATTACAGCAGCTCTTGTTTAGTCATTTTGACCTGTTGATAACTAGTTTCCATAGTTACTTTTTAATAAAGTTATACAATATGAGTGATGCTGCAAGATGTAGAAGAGGTTTTTCTGTGGTTACACTGAACATTAATTTACACCACATCTCCCCACCTGCTTTAACTAAGTGTATCTAAAGAAAAGAAAAGAAAAGAAAAAAGAGTAAGTGCTTGCTTACAATGCAATAAAGGGAGATTCCAGACAACGATTGGAGGGTGAAACTTTTGGATGTTTTACAAGAGTTTTACTTCCTGAGTTCCAAACATTCAGTTGAAGATTTGTTCAACTGGCAGCAAGTACAGCAGATACAAAAGAAAATCAGGCTTGCATCATACTGTTGAAACCTCTTTCTGACCTAATCTCTAGGCCTGTGGCCTGTGTAATACACAGGGCACTTTGGGTTTTCTAAATTGTGTATGTTTGCATTTGTATTTGTCAAGTGCCTGACATTCCTACTCCCTGTTTTTGCATGCCCCCACAAACAGACATTGAATTGAATGGTTTGCTCAGTTACTATATGTAGGTTTCCGATTCAACTCTGGCTTGAAAGAGCTTCCAACTAGGAAGGACTTATACTTTGCACGCTGAAGCTCCCAGTTTCAATTCCTAGCATATTCGGTTAAAAGGATTGGGAGCAGGACTAGGAAAGACCTCTAGTGTGGATCCTGTGGCTTTTCGACTCCAACTCCCGTTAGTCCCAGCCACCAAGGCCAATGATCAGGGATGATGGGAGTTGTAGTCCAGGAATTCCTGAAGGTCCACGAGTCTCCTCTGTGCTGCCTTAAGGCTTTGCAGGATCACAGCCAGAGGAGACAGTCATATGGGGCAACTGTTTGATTTGGTGGCAGCTTCTTAAGTTCATTCAGCTTGTTGTATCAGGCTTGCCCTAACACAGTGCCTTCTCATGGAAGAAAACCTTGTCTGAAATCTTGGAGAGCTGTTGCCAGTCATTGTAGACAATGTGTGAGGTGGCCAATGGCCTGACTCTGTATAAGGCGTATTTGTTGGTTCCTATGATATTCTGACAGGGCTTTTGCTTACATTGCTTTGCAGCCTGAGGCAGGGATAGGGGAGCTTGGCATGCAAGCAATTATTATTGTTGTTGTTTCCACAACTTTATCATTTCCCCTCTTATTAGTTGAAGAGGTGTTTTCCTATTGGCATCCTAGTTCTAAACAAATTCATTTTAGTGGAATTTGTCTCCAAGCAAGCAATTTTAGGGCCACACCCCACTTTCCTTAGGTAGGCAGATAATTCATGTTCCAATCCTATGGAGCCAAAAGGGCAGCCTTTTTAGTTCTGTGTTGCAGGCTTTGCCCTTGGTTGGTGTGCAGGGATTCACAGTATGGTGGATTTTCCAGACGGGAGCAGTGATTTCAGGACATCTGTCCCAAGGGAGAACTGGGCGTAGGAAAGAGGCACTCATGCCCAGCCTTTCAGGGACTTGGAGAGGGTGGAGCTTCCATTGTTCTTTTGAATCTTAGTAAGAGTGGAGTGATGTTGGCTGGCTCCTCAGAACTGCATCTCCCATGCTGTTGCTATTGGTGCTTTGTTAGGGAATGAGGAAGAGGTAGCTCTGAGTCAAAGGATATGTTGGTGTGTGGGAACCTTGAAAGCCCTGTTTGGACCAAGTAAGTAGCTTCATTTTATTTCGTTCATGGTGTTGCGGAGATGTGCGGGTTGTGAAGAGGAACTTGCTGCACATGAATGCCAAACCCTCTGCACTGCAAGAATTTTTTAAAAAATCTAATCTCAGTTGCAAAAGAAGGAGGGGAATAACATAAAAAAGGGGAAGAGGGCAAAGTCCTTTTAGTTTTCCCCTTGGAGGATAAAACTTTTGATCTCTGAAACATTGTTAATCCCTTCTTGGAGTTGCTGGTACAAAAATCTTACCTCAAAAAGCGCTCTGTGTTAGTATTTAGCACTGTGTGCCAAGGACGCACTTTGAAACAAACACTTGGGAGGATGGGAATCTTTCTATTGGGCGATATTTAGTGCAGAAAACCCTGAAAGCCTGTTGAAGTGCTATGATATGTCACACATTGGCTGCTCAGTGTTTCTTTGTAAGGAAGAGGATGTAGTCTATACATGAAGATCCTAAGATCTGCAAGTATGAAAAGTAAGTGGTGTGTATATACGTTTTACTAATTTAACAGGATGCAAATAGATTGCCTGGTGCATTTGACCCTGTTTTGGAAATTTTGGGGTTGATCGAGTGAAAAATAACTCTGAATGTCATGTTAACGACATCTCTGTTTCCCGGCAACATGCCAGGAGAGCTGTACGTATATAAAGGAGAGACGCTGAGAGCAAACCCAAATTATAACAATAGAGTGGAGCAAATAACTGAATGAGCAATCCTAGCAGCAGCAGAGTACTTTTACTATAATAGCTTTTCGGATTTAAAAAAATCAAATTAGCATAACTGTCTACATGTGTTTTGTGTATCTATGTTTGTGCTCCTATGTATTTGTCATCTTTCCAACGATGAAGAGATTATGTTAAGATAGTGGCATTGGTGTTACCAGTAACGTAAGATTTTGCTAATTGGATATCTACTCTTTACTCAGCAAAGTGGCATCAGACTGCAGCTTCTAAGTATTTGAAAAGCTTATGTTGCAGATGAACATTTCAGCAAACAGAGGGCTTTTGGCCCTGACCCCTTAGCCTTAGATATTTTGGAGGCAATAAACACTTTGTTTCCTAAGCTCTAATCAACTGAAACATGAATGAACAAACGACACTGCAGACTGAGACAGCTTTTTCATGCTTCTGCAGCTATGTGGACTTTGACTTATTGTGCACCACAAAAAAGCACTGAAGCTTGAGTTGGAAATATGTGGCAGTATTTTTAAAAAATGCTAGTTAAATTTGCCAGTTCCACATTGCCCTGAAAAGCACCAGTTTGCAATGGTAAATGTTGGGGTCAGTGCATTTTTTTCTTCAGATGGCTGCAAAGGGAAATTGAGACTGAGATGCAAAGTTGGAAGTTCATGTGGTGTAAAAATTCAACTTCAGTTTCATTACCCCTTTAGAGTGGCACTGGATACTGCCAGTCAGAGGAAGACATTTTTTGAAAGGATACCTTCCTACTGATGGTTTTTATTTCATCATAATTTAGCAGCATGTAAAGGAAAGATCATGAGACTTGCTGATTCTTTTTGCAGTTGTTTCCCATCTCTTTTGGCTTCTGCTCAATGCAGTGAGAAGATGGGTGCATTTATATGTCAAACTGCTGTTCCCAGGGTTCCCAAGAGCATATTATGAGACAGGATGGCAGGCTGCACTGTTAGATAAACTGCTTCCCAATCATTGCCTCCTTCACTTGACTTTGAATTATAGGCTGCTTTGGGAGCCAACGATATAGTGAACCCCCCCCCATTCCCCCCCAAAGTAGATTTTATTTAACTTCATATATCCTGCCTGCTTTTAATAGGTGTGGGAACCATCTGGTGGTGTTAGTAGGTTGTTGCATATCACAATTATATGAGCAGTCTTATATTAGGTCCCATTTATTTTAGTGGTAGAGGCCTGAACACATGCTTACTTCTCCCATTAAAATAAATGAGATTTAAGAGTGTGCTTGAGGTTGGAAGTAACATTTACTTGGATGGAATGTCCACCAAGTCAATGAAACACTTGGAATATGTTTAGAATTGTGATGCAAGTTAATAGTGACATTCCATGTGAGGTTTTCAATATCTGCAATGTTCTCTTGTGCAGCCCAGTGCAACATTTGCTTGAAGGTAACGTGCATGGATTTCAGTTGGAAATTGCTTTGGATATATACGTTTAGGCTTGCATTCTTCATTATAACCATAAATGTATTTTGGATTGGAGTAGGAAATATAGGATTGCAGAGGAGCCATAGGAAGACCCACATGGCAATATGCTACATAGCATCATCAGCATATAGGCCACAGGTGATGAACCTTCTTCAGCCAGAGGACCACATTGCCTTGTGGGAAGCCTTCTGAAGGTTGGATGCCAGGGGTGGCTGGAGTCAGAGGCAAAAATGAGTGGAGCAATGGGTGTGGCTCTTACAGTAGGCTGCACTCCAGTCGCACATGAGTTGGAAGGTGGCCGCTGTGATAACTGGGTACTAGGTTAGATGGACCATTGGCCTGGACCATTGGTTCACACATTCTTTCTCTCTCTCTCATGCACACCCACCTCTCTATTATTACATTTCAGCCAGGCAAAAGCACTCAAGGAAGAGATGAAGCCGGGCCAATGAGAAGTTTTTTAGACTAGGAGAGTCCTGACAACTGGATAGAGAGCCCTGGAGGGTTGCATTCAGCCTCCAGGGCTGAGGTTCCCCACCCTGATACAGGGAATTTAATTATGCATTAATGTTTACAGGAACACAAATTCCACAAGTTAATGGAGCCATCTTTTGAACTTGTATGCACTATAACAAGCCCATAGATGGCACTGTGAAGAATTGTAATGGCCTGATCTCACTTGGTATTCAGTCCGAGTGCGGGAAGTCCTCAGATGTACTGCTGCACACTCTGCGTTTGTGGTGTTGTGTGGGAAAGTGTGATTCCCATTTCTAGAAGAAAAATGTAAAAAAACAACACATGGGCAGTTGTCCAATGCAATATATTTTTATTTGGATGAGAATATAGAGGGGAAGTTTATCAGATTTGCAGGTGACACAAAGCTGGGAGGGATGTCTAACACTATAGAAGACAAAAATCAAGATTCAGAATTACACAGCTGGGCTGGAGCTGGGGGCTAAAGCAAAAATGTTTACATTCAGGATAAAAAAAATTAGGCCCTGCATTTGGGTAAAAATTAAACAAAAAAAGCAATGTCACAAATGTAGAATGGGGAGACTTGGCTTGAAAACAGAATTGTGAAAGAGATCTGGACATCTTAGGGCCCATCCACACTTGTGTTCTCATGATTTCAAGTTACCGGTTGGCTCAGAGGGTGCCCTCCCTACTTTCCCAAGGAAAACCTGCTGTTTTCTGCTGAATTGGAAGAAACGTCAGTTGGGTTTTCTGCAGATTGATGTTTGTTCTGATTCAGCAGCAAACAGTGGGTTTTCCCAAGGAAAGTGGTGAGACAAAACAACAACCCCACCTTTCAGACCCTTGGCTTGAAATCACAGGACAAAGAATGTGTGGATGGACCCTTAGTGGATGTAGCTGAGCAAGAGCTGGCAGTGAGATATAGCTGCTAAGAAGCATACAGCTGCTGCTGCTGCTACCACCACCCAGGAGGACTCCCCTGCTCAGCGCCTGAGGGCCCTAGTCCTGCCACTCACCACCTGGCCTAGGGCAGGGCCTGATGGGCTCTATAAAGGACTACTGCTGCCACTGCTGCTTGCTGCTGGGCAGAGAGGGCTCCGTTTTGTTTTGTTTTTTGTTTAAATTGCTGATATTTTTTACCTATGCCATTTTAAACTGTGATATTAATGTTGTATTCTTAGTTTTAGATTTTGATTTATGTGGAAATTGTTTTCCATTTGGTTGTGTATTTTTTTGATGTGGTTTATTTATTGTTTATGACATTTGTAATTATGTAAATCTTGTCATGTTGTAAGCCGCCTTGAGCATTGTTTTTAACTGTGGAAAGCCGGCATACAAATAAAAAACGATGATGATGATGATACTGCAATCTTAGGCCACTTTGGCAGGAGCACAGTGTTCACATCATGAGAAGTAATAACTTTGCAGTATTCTGCCTTGGTTAATCCATACCTTCAGAACTGTGTTCAGGGGTGCCGCATTTTAAGAATGGTCATAGACCATTTGGAGCATGTCCAGAGGAGAGAAACAAGGGTGCTAATGGGCTAAAAATCTGTGAAGAACAGTTGAAAGGTCTGGGTGCATTCAGCCTGGAGTAGAGTGGAGACATTACATTGGCCTTCAAATATCTGAAGGTCTGTCATGCAGAAGACAGAGCAGACTTTTTCTCTGTTGTTCTGGAGGACTGGATTAGAACCAATGGGTGGAAACAGCAGGGAAGCAAATTTGCCTATGTGTTAAGAGAAACATCATAACAGTATTTGACAGTGGAACAGACTGCTTTGAAAAGTGATGAGCTCTTCTTAGCTGGAGCTTGCTGCTGTGCTGCTGTCCAGCTTGAAGGCTTCCCACAGGCATCTGGTTGCAAGAACACAATGCTGGACTAGGAGGGCCATTGGCCTGGTCCATCTTGCTCACCATTTGTTCTTATGTTCAGAGGCCAGACAGCCATCTGTCAGTTGCATCTGCATTAAAGTAGGGAAGGGATGGGGGAACTCCGTTCCAGGAATTGTTGTCACCTGGTGTCATTACGATTATGACTAGGTGATTGACAGGTAGGCTGCCTCATCCACCTGCTCAATTTGGGCCTTAGGGAGATAGGATCTTGGCCCAGCAGTCTGAAAATATTTCCCAACCCCGTTGTATGCAGTAGCATATAGAATACACACCAGATTCTGACTGAGTGTGCTGTTTGTGTTTGTATGTGGAAAATGGGACCTGCGAGTCTTGCAAAGTTGCCTTACCTCTACTAAGAGTAGAAGATTACATCCAGGGTAGGCAACCTAAGGCCCATGGGCCAGATGTGGGCCAATCACCTACTCAATCCGGCCCATGGATCAGCGTGTTTTTACATGAGTAGAATGTGTCCTTTTATTTAAAATGCATCTCTGGGTTATATGTGGGGCATAGGAATTTGTTCATTTTTTTTTCTTTTCAAAATATAGTGCGGCCCCCCACATGGTCTGAGGGATGGTGGACTGGCCCATGAAAAAGGTTGCAGACCCCTGGATTATATAATGGCAGCATATCATCTAATTTTTGAGGGTGGAAAAGAGGCTGAAATTTTCCAATGGCAATTCTGTTCCAGTTCTATCTGTCAGAATTGGCTGCACCTACCCCATTCACTAAAGCAAACCTGTAATGAAATCCCCGCCCCCACTTTCTTGCCTATTTTAAAAGGGCATTTTACTCAGTGTCCTGGGTACAGTATTCACTGAGGAAAAAAGTTCCATTAATTAGTTTCACCTTGCCAGCTATGGGTGTCTGGTGCAAGACAGTATCACGGTCGCTACGACTGTGCAGAAAGTGAGTAGCTGCATGGTCAGCAGGCATGCACAGTCTCTTGTGCTGTGAAGTAAGCCTCTGGGCCCTAAGAGGCCAAACAATACCTGTGTTCCTTTATCCAAGTGTCTGGTGGCCCCCATTTTGATGAAGATTGTGGACTACAATACCTATGTGTGCCTGGATGCAGCTTGCTAGTTTGGTGGGGGTGTCTGACTCTTAAAGGTTAGCGTTAGGGTGAGGGATGTTAGCTTTGTTATTTTCTGTTCTGTACTTGAATTCCCAAAAGTATCCTTCCTTACACTGTTAGTCCTTTAATTATCTTTTTACTGGTAATCGGTTCTTATGCTTATGCTTCTAACCTCCTTAATAAAGTATTGCATTTATCCTGGTGTGGTTTCTTGAAGTAAGCCTGGCTCTAAATCTGGTACCTGGCTGCTTGGGGCTCCTGAACAATTTGTTTGTTTGGGGCTCAAGAGATAGAGAGTGAGTAGACGGTTTGGCGCTTGTCTCTGTGAATCTCAAGGATGTCCAGAAACAGCCTGAGGGCACTAACAGGGATGATGGCTGTACTATCTGGCAGGGTTGGTTTTCACCCTGGTTATTCAGTATCCCATTACAACTCAGGAGATTGGCATCCAGGGTTTGGGTAGAACATTCCTTGGGGGTGGGAGCATTAGCAGATTTGAGTATTCATTCTCCCCATTTCTACAAAACCTAATTTCTCCTATCTCACCTGTTGGATGCTGCTGCTCTCTGCTAGCTTGACTCAGATGGAGTTATTTTTGTGTTGTAAGTATTGGGCCATGTCCCAACATGGGGCTGCAGACTCCAGGCCGACTCAGGACAGGGTCATTGTCAAGCTGCTCTTAGACAGAAAAAATCAAGATTAACCTTTCAATGTGTTGTCCTAGTCAGAATATCTGTGAGCCACAGAAATGAAGAAATCAGATTTGAATTAAAGAGAATAGCAGTATAAGTAGTTTAGAAGTATTGATTTTAAAAATATATTCCAAAGGTGGGAAGAGAGAATTCCAGGTTTGTTTGCTTTTAATATAAACATTTGTTTTTATTCTATACCTAATCTCCTCGGTTTATTGACAGCATTCCACTACAGGGTTTTCTCCTTTTACTTGATTGTGTGCACAGCTCCCTTTATTTATTAAATTCTGGTCAAAATATGTCTTTATATGGCTCCATGTATGAATCTATTAGCCCATGCAATTGATCAACCTTGGCTTCATTTGCCAAGTTCATTACTGACTCATCAGAATGAAAAAGATGGGAGATAGTCATAGGTGCTGAACTATTCAAAGCTTCAAATGGGGAAAAAAGAATCTGAATTCTTATTTAATTCAGTGGCAGATACACCTAGGATGTTTGCTTTTCTCCCCTCCCAACTGGCACTACACTAGAATATTTCCTCCCTCCCCAACAATTTTAAGGAGTATGTGGTAAACTAACAGTTCTCGAGGTTAAGCACGTAAGGAGAGCCCTGCTGAATTGGACCAAAGGCTAATCTAGTTCAGCATCCTGTTTCCCACAGAGGCCAACAGGATGCCTATGGGAAGCCAGGACAGCAACATAATAGCCCTCTCCTCTTGTATCCTAGCAACTGTTATTCAGAGGCACATTGCCTCTGCCCCTGGAGGTAGTGGCTTAGTAGCCACCCTTTTCTACCAGGGACATGCCAGCAAGCGATAGTTACCAAGAAGGTACCACCTCAGGGGGGTGTTGGATACAAAACTGTAAAATGTAAGCTTTGCTGAATTAATTAAGCAGAGTCTACAGTAAAAAACTAGCACAGCAAAATAGAAATTTAATATTGAGCAGCGTAATAGTCACTTTTGTTGCAAAAGAAAGGAAGAGTTAAACTTGCTGCTGCTTGGGAGAGGAAGTGCTTAGCATTACACGCATAATAATACTGCAATAATATCAGTCATGAAGAGATGATGGTTTGTGTGCCTGCCCATCAGTTCTATTTTTGAAGCTAATCTCTTTAAGGTACCTACTAACAGTAGCACCTGTGTGTCTCCTGGCACCAAATTGAATAGGAAACAGAAAGCAATTGCTTAAACTGTAATTTAGGCAGTGTGATGATGTTCTTGGCTAAGTAATTGTTGATCACTGAACATACTGATATAGTGCTATTGATTGTACACATGGCAATTTACAAAGAACAGGTCCCTTACCCAACAATCTGCAAAAGAGAAAGCCACAACAAGAAGAAAAAACTGTGGAAGTGGGGACAGATAGAGGCAGAGGTAAACAGAATAAGAATAATGGGCTTACATACTTATAGTAGATAATTGGGGCAAGGATGTTGTTCTAAATGCTTCATGAAACAGAGGAGGATCTGAGGAGTGATTTGATGGAAGTGAGGAGGAAGGTATCTCAGAAGTCATTCTGAGAGGCATAACAATCAGCAAGTGAGAAAGGGCAGAGTCATTTTAGGAAACAGGAGGGTGGTGGAATACAGTATTAATGTTTTGATATACTCTTCCTTATTATTTCAGGTGTGAAAGGGATGGTTGGTAACCTACTCCTTACTATACATTGTGAACTTGGTTTCTGATCTCAAGGTACTAAATAGGATGCCTATGTGTTTCCCCTTCAAAACACTTGGAAGTAGCAACTGGAAAAGGATTGCTGCATCTTCATGTATTTGGGAAGAAGCTGGTGTGCGTGTGTGTGTGTGTGTGTGTGTGTGTGTGTAACCTTGTAGCCAACATGTATCATCCTTTTGAATTCTTTTATACTCAGAGATTTCTCATTCTTCCTCGTCTAAATGTGGCTTTAAACCCTTTAGTTCATCACCATACTCATCCATACTCCATACTCAAGGAAATACTCATCCACAGACTGTGCTTGGCAATCCTGAACAAGTTGATTCAGATTTCGGCCATTAGTTCCTAGTTTAGGATTCCACCAGCACCGGATTTAGTGACCTCCTCATTATTCTGCTGCATATTCGGCATGAAATAAATATCGCAGTTGTGCATTTGAAACAGATTTCAAAGCCACAAAATGAGGGGGAAAGAAGATGGATGCACAGCCCAATTGCCACTGGATTTGGGGTGCATTTTCCCCACTATCAAACTGCATGTTTGAACTATCAAAACCCATGTTATCTGAGGAACCTGGCCAATTCACATTTCAGAATGCTTTGCTGTTGTTTGCAAGCAAACTTCTTATTGTCACAGTTGTAACAGATATCTTCAAGTGTGGTTACAGGATGTATCCTAAACAGTTCATCTCAAAAGCATCGCTGCGGGTGTCTCTGAATACAAGGCGATGCTGTCATGGCAACAGGGTGTTACTTAGCAAGCATTCCACTTCGTTCAGGCAACAGGGGAAGGGTTTTGAATTTAGAAGAGAGTTACACACACTCACACAGTTGAAGCTGCCAGAGAGTACATGGCTGCAAATGGGGAGGCATCGAAAGGGATCTGATTTTGGAATCTGTTAGAGAAGGGGATATGAAAGGAACCTTGCATTAGGCAGCAGTGATGAGAGGGAGCTATGAGGGGAAAACCTCGCAGGGGGACAGAAAGTAAGAGACAAAGAGGCTGAGGACAGCACAGACACATGAAAAGCAATGAAGTGGATGCAAAGATCGTTGTGTGAAGTTGATACAAAGGGAAGCAGTAGAAGTCGAAGAATGTAAGACGATATGGTGGGAAGCAGGGTTGGGGGAGAAATTTGATTCAGTATGCATTGAAAGCTGAATCTATCAAGTTCACACATTATAAAATAATACGTGAACTGAAACACAGGGCTCCTTTGAAATGTGCATTTATCTGAATTTTGCAATACAGTTCTCCAATCCAACAATGTTTGTATGTCTTAGGGGGGAAGTGAATAAAAATGAATGCAAAACATGCATTATATCAGGGGAAATTGCTTGAAAAGAATATGTACATTGGTCAAAACTGCATATAAAAATGTGTTTATCGTGAGAAATTTGCAGTAAAATCCTGGTGAATTTTCAATTGCTAATTGCTTCAAAATGTGGAGAACTGAATTTGAATGTGGAAAAATAAGAACCAAAATTGGCAGATCCTTCCATCCTTGGCTGGAAGACTAGAGGGCTTATTTGGGCTCATTAAGGTGTTGACATTTGTATGACACACTAGGTTAAAGGCCATGCTGAATCTCTAAAATGTGCAACTTCACCAAACCTTTCCTCACACACTAGGTTCCTCAAATATGCCAGGCTTATTAGAGCAAACAGCTAGGAAAGACCTTTAATAGTGCAAAACAAAATTATATTTTAAAGCTGCCATGTCTAGGGGATTCTTTAAAAACACTGCCACTATCACCACCAACATCAACAGGTCACAGAATTTGTCAGTATCCAAGATAAGGTCATATTCATGCTGTGCAACCTTTTGGTTTTCATTGTAGAGTGTTTCCAGCGCGAGAAACATCTCCTTTCAGTAAAAGAGCAAACAGACTTTCCATCAACACTCTTCTGCCCTGTGTAGTCATTCTCTTCCCACTGGATGCAGTTTCCACACCTACTAAAGCAGAATTGGGGAAAGAGAGCCATCACAGTAGGTGGGAGGGAAATTGTTACTCACACTGGATAAATCTTGTACGTGCAGAGTAGCTAGAAATATTTAGAGAAGTGCCTCACCCTCCCTTGTTCTGATCCTTCTCTGTAACGGTCAAAACAAAATGCTTGTTTCTCCTACCCATGATCATATATCCAGAGCTGCATGTAGTAGTGGGAGACTGAAAGTTCTGTTTTGGATGCTGCAGAAAAGCATGAGGGACTGACAGTATAAGCCATTCAGATTCACTATTCTTGTAAAACAAAGGCCTTACAAAATGTAGTGACCTCTCTGGAGTAATTTGGGGCAGCTTTATCTTGTGACCCACTGCCTCTGGCCAATGCCATTCCTCTGCAAGCCATGGCCCTGATTCTAATTGCCTCCCTGACACATCTGCTTTTTGGGGAAACAGAGCATCCAAAATGACAGTCATGGCACGCCATTTATCAGGTAGTTTGGTCTGATCATCAGTAGGCTATTTCCTCTCTTTGTCCAAGGACTGCTCCCAATCTACCAGAAGTTACCAGTGCAACCAAAGAAGACTGTTTTCTGACTTCAGGTCTAGGTCTAGGAGTTGCTGGGTCCATGGTAGGGAGGGACTTGAATAAGGTTGTGTCCTTATTCTTTTAAAGAACTCTGTGAAGTAAATGGTACTGGATATCTTGTTTCACACCCTAATGTGCATCCTAGAAGACTTCCACATTCTCCTTAAAATTCAGGGAAGTTTTTAGTGTTTGATGTCTTATTGTGTTTTAATTTGTTGGAAACCACTCATAGCGGCTGGGGTAACCCAGACAGATTATTATTAAGGGCTTGAGAAATTTGTGGCACTTCTTGAACAGATATCACACTCGTTGATTGTTGAGTGGACTCCTTAGATAGTGAAATAGCTTCTCCTGCTCCTCACCTGAGATCTTGCATCTCCACGCTTCACTCAGCGGTCCTGTTGAAGTATGAAAATGAATGCATTGTGGGGAGGAGCCAGTAGCTGGTCTCACCCTTGGTTGTTTGTGCAGAGGCCTGCACCCGAACAATATTGGCAGGGTAAGTTGTGCATAGGGAGCCTACAGGCATTTGGTTTCATCCACATGAGTTGTATGCGAAGGAGTGCCTTCGAATCAGGAGTAGCCATAGTTTAATAGTAGAACGCGTGCTGTGTGTACAGAATGCCCCAGGTTCAATTCAGGACATATACAGTTTAAAAAGGATGAAGTAGCCTTTTGATGGGAAAAGGCCCTTGAGAGCTGCTGCATCACATTATATTGGGTTAGATTACCAAGGATCTGACTCTGTGTCAGGCCGGTTCATATATACCACGTTCACACACTGTTTTCCATGTCGAGTAAACACCTGCACAGGGCTAAAGCATAGGAGCTTTAAGGTCAGACCACACTTGAGCCATCATTACATCAATGTAGGAGGGTTTATAGCACCCTCTCTTGCTTGCTGAATGTAATATTTTCTGTTTTGTATAGATGTTGCAGTGCTTATTCAGTGGGAGCTGTTGGCTCTAGAGATCCAGTAGTGATGTTAATGAAAGGCCTGGATGTAGAACAAAATAAGCTGATAGGTGACAAGTAAAGTTCAGGAAAGGATTAATTATCACACACTCTTAGGGCTTTATTTTATTTTATTTATTTATTGAATTTATATACCGCCCTATACCCACAGGTCTCAGGGTCGGTCACAGAATAAATGCACATCCCTGAAGCAACCAATAACTAATTGTGTGGTTTACAGTGTGATAGCTCAGTCAATAGAGCATGAGACTGTTAATCTCAAGGTTGTGCGTTCGAGTCCTCTGGTGGGCGAGAGATTCCTGCATTTCACGGGGTTGGACCTTGTGGTCCATTCCAACTCTACAATTCTATGATTCTGTATGGTGATAAATCTGTGGCAATGAAAATTAAATGCTTTACCAGAGCGATAATAACAATGCATAGAATTTACTTTAACCCAAATCTACTTAGAGAAAATAGGAATCATAATTGTCTGAATCTGTGCTGCCAAATGGTACTGAGTCACTGCTTCAAAGGAGGCAAATTGCACAAATATTGGCCTGGATCCTAAAATATGTGGACATAATGAAATTTAAGGAAGGAAAGTTTCCAGTTTCTTCCTACCCCTTGCAGTGGTTACACCCACAACTCATGTTGACTGTCTATTCTCCTTTCCTTGTTCCATTCAGCTTCTGGGTCTTTCATGTCAGCTGTAAGCTAGGTGAGCTGCATGGTGTTTTATCACTGTTATATGCTCTGCCAATCTGATCCTTCCATTTCTACTATTTTTGCAAATCCCGTAAATTCCAGCCCTGCCACTATTGCCAGCCCAAACCTATGGAGAAATTATTATCACTTATAATATTAACAACCTGGATTATGAAGGTTATTGTTTACAAAGCCCTCTCACCTTTTAATAAACGTGGTATGACTATTGTGTCTCAGCACAGTCTGCCATCATGCCAGGGTGCTCTGCTCTGGGTCCAATGGCTGGCAGGGATCATCATAGCTGCCTCTGCAAGCCATTGAGTTTTAATTGAGCCTGCCCAGAAACTTTTTACATCAGCAGTGGACTTACTGGGCCTGGGTATGCAAGTTTAAATTGCAACCACCATCTTCTTCTTCTTCTTCTTCTTCTTCTTCTTCTTCTTCTTCTATTAAATTTGTATACTGCCCTATACTCGCAGGTCTCAGAGCAGTTCACAGGATAAAATCACAATATAAAAACAAAAAAATACATAATCAAAATAAAAACAAGTTCCTTAAAGGAACCTGAGCCTAGTTTTACAAAAAGCAGGTCTGATACAACCCTGCTTCTGGCTTGTACCACTTTAGATACAAGCTATTTTGCTGTTTGTCATTTTGTTTGGTTTTTGTAAAGATGCCTTGAATTGCCTTTAGTGAGAGAAGGCATCTAATAAATTTAATTAGTTATTATTAATAATAATAGCTAGCTAGTGAGTGTGCACATGCCTGAATATTTCCTGAATAGAAAAAGATAACACATTAACATGGAAAACTAGTACATCAGAAAAAAGACAATGGTAGGTTTTTCCGTGTGCAGATATTCCTGCCCCCTCCCATGAAATAGCATTCAGGCATGAGAGTTCCCACAGGCAGCCTGAAAGTATGCAACCCAGAAACTGGGTTGCTACCACACATGTTGTGAGAACATAATCTGCAGTTCCCATACTTCCCCAACTCCTCTAATAGCTTCCTATCTTGTACTTCAGAATGCTATGCTCAAAGCTAGAATGAATTCCTGACTTCTACGCTTGATTATTTACAAACCATTACACAGAGGGATAAAGCCAAAGAGCTTGGAAAATTTCCAAACAAACAAAACGGAACATTGTGAGCTTAATGAGAGAGAGAGAGAGTGAGAGAGAGCAACAGACAGACAGACAGACAGACAGACAGACATAGCTACACCCTCTCTTCAAAGATATTCAGAACTCTCCTTGTGGCTGGCAATGCCGTTGGATAATTATCTCTGTTCCATCACTGAACATGAAACCAATGACCCACTGGAGCGATTTGTCATTTCTGAAACTGTCTTTCTGGGAGTTGGCCTTGCCTTCGCTGAAGGGACAAGCGTAGGTGAGCTTGTGGTTGCTGCAGGATGAACTAGTGGGTTTATGTTGGGTGCATTTTAATTGTGTGTCCTCTCAGCAAAGTAGTACTGTGGCAAAGTACTACTGTGAAATAGATTTGCTGCGGCAGTAGCAGCCCTGTGTCCTGTAGCTCTCTGGAAAGCTATTGTAGTCTATTGTACCTGAAGGGATGGCTGTAGTTTGCCTAATGCCACCTGAGTTTTGCTATATACCAGCATATCACTCACTGCACCAAACAAAACAATAAGCACCCTATGTTATGATGTCTGTTGGCAGGAAATTAAGCTACAGCTTTATGTTAAAAAAATGGTTTCTTGTAAATTCTTCAAGGGTGCTCAAAGTGGAGGCAAGTAAACAAGCAGGCTTTAAGCATTCTCAAAGATGTACACTGAAAGTGTTATGGCTTTAGTTCTGGTCTAAATTTTCTGTTAAGGGTTTTCATAACTGAGGGATTTGCTGCTTCTCGCAGAAGCAACACTTGCTTTTGTTTTCAACATGCTGTGATGCTATGTCATCATGAGGTTGTTACTGAGGCTTAATGATATTTGAAATGAAATCTGTAAGTAAGCACGAGCCCTTCTCTTGCTGGAAGCAGCTTTTGTGGGGGCATTTTCAGTTGTTTTCTTAATAAGACTATAGTTATAGGAGAGGCGTAGCAACCACGAGTTGGTTGATATTTTACTTTGGCCACAGAAAGTGGCACACTAGTTGCAAGTGTCCCATTTCATCCCCCCCACCCCGGAAATAGTATGAAGCAAAATGCACTGTGGGTGGGTGTCAAGGCCCAATCTGAGTCAGTGCTGGCTGGGGCTGGCACAAGACCCTTGGCTGCTGAGGTAAAGGAGAAGATGGTCCTTGACATCTGAAGGGAAGGCGTTCCACATGGAGGGCATCACTACCAAGAAGGCCTTCTGCCTGGTTCCCTGTAACTTCATTTCTTGCTGTAAGGGAATCAGCAGAAGACCCTTGGCACTGGACCTCCATGTCTGGGCTAAACGATAGAGGTGGAGATGCTCCTTCAGGTTTACTGGGCCGAGGCCGTTTAGGGCTTCAAAGGTCAGCACCAACACTTTGAATTGTTCTTGGAAATGTACTGGGAGCCTGGGAAGATCCTTTAAGATTGGTGTTGTATGGTCCTAAAAACCCCCACCTTTGGGGTCCTCTGTCTTTTGACCCTGCTGTGAACTAATTCATTGTTTCTCCATTGGGTTCTGCAGAAGTTGCCATTTCAATCTTTGAAAAGATGCAAGCTCAAGAGATCCTCAGGAACCTGCGGCTTCCAGAGTTTGAAGACTTCAGTCAGTTTTTCCGAAGTTTGCCGGCTGCTACCTTGGTTGGCATTGGTGCCTTTGCAGCTGTTGTTGCTTACTGGTTGGCCAGCCGGCCAAAAGCAGTGAAACCACCATGTGACCTCCTGATGCAATCAGAAGAAGTTGAGGTGAGTCTTTATGCTCTTTACAAAAAACAAGAGTTAGACTTTATGAAAAGTTGTTGCTGTGTTTTTGCTGCGCTTTTTTCATTAGTAGGCAGCATGGCTCTTACTTCATTGATTTTTTACAATATTCATAGGCAGCAATCTTAAACATTGTGACAGTACAATTGATTTTAACAGAATGGCTTGTCCAAAGTGGTTTTCGAGTTTTCCTCTGGATACTAATATATCAGAACAAACTTAGTATGGCCTGCTTGTCTGCAGATTACTGCCATGTGCGCCTCTCAACCACATATTTGTTTTTGCAGCAAAAATGCCTTAATCCAAATAATTACTGAATATTTCATTAGCTTGGTATTACTTTGATATCTTATTTTTTAAAATATGTTTGTTTGTGATGAACAAGCGCTTTCAAGAAAGCACTTGCTGGACTGAATTCCAGTTCTGTGGAGCAAAGTGTTTTTTTGTGCTGACCACTGAAAATGATAAAACATGGGATATCTAGCTGCCTAAATATTAATGAAATATTTACATGTTTGTTTTCTGAAAAATGAATGATGCAATACAGTTCCCTTGCCATTGTTCTTGTTTGTAACATGCTTTTAATCCTTGGAGACATATTTGTAAAAGCCTAGACAAAGCAAGGTAATTATACTATTGAGATTCCTATTATGGTACTCAAAAACCCCTCATTATTATTTTATTTTTAAAGTCCATACAAAAACTTACCTATGGTGATTGTGAACTCTAATCCTTTATGCTTTTGGGGTTACTTAGTGTTATCCAAATATATAATTTTGAGACAGCTGAAAACAAACTACTTGGGCACAGTGGGTGTTGAAGTGGTTTTATCACATGGGCTTATGAGGGATTGCTGAGGCAAATGGACTGCTCAACCAGTGATACATGAAGCTTTTCCCCCTACTCTGAGAAATCACCAAGCAACCATGCAGTAAGCCTAGAAAGACCAATCGGAGAAAGGAATTCAGAATGAACATACTGACGGGGCAGAAGTTAACACAGAGGAATAATTAAGAATACATTGTCTCTGAACTGTAATGATGAGATCTAGTTTTTTTCAAGTCCACTAATCACAAGGATCAGCCATACCTAAACCTGGTATTTTCTTCAACCGATCTGGAGAAGGACGATCATATAATAATAATAATAATAATAATAATAATAATAATATCCAGGCTGATCAGTGGATTTGTTCATTTTATTTGAAATAGGAAAGTTCAGGAAAATTTTGATTGAAACTTTAGGCTACTCTTTGATGTATAAAATAACAAGACCATTAAAATGTTCCCACTACATTAGAAATGAGATAGTAGGCCACAAAATTCACATCGTGCCAATGTTCAACTTCATGAAGAGACACTGTCAAAGGTGAGTAGGGGAAAAGCAACTGTTTTGAAGGTTGAGGCACACAGCTGTGTATAGAACAGTATCCCCCCCCCTCCAACTGACTTCTTTGTGAGTAACATGAATGATGCAGCAAGACTCATGAAATATACATTTAATTCCATGCAAGTGTCCACAGGGAGCATTTCTGCAGCCAGCGGTAAGAGTATTTTGAAAGCACATTGTACAAAACAAGAATTCAGAAAAATCAATACAGCAAAATTGCAGGTTTGGAATGTTCTGTAATGTTATGCATAAACGAAGCATAAATAGAAACTTTTAGCAAGCAATTATGTTTTCACTGCACCGTAACATGTAGCTTTGAAGGTAACGCAGATTGATATATCCATCCACATGCTCTCCTACAGCTGAGGCTCCTGAAAGCGCATGCTTGTATGCTATTTGGCCTTTGAGCGATCGTGCTGACACTATTTATTCTGTAGCACAATCCAAGCATCCGCATGTGTAAGCAGTTGCACAATCTGGGTTTTAAATCAAGCAGGCGGCCTCCGTGAGAGGAGGAAGCTCTGTGCTACAGACTTTTGCAACTCTTGGAAGAGTTGTTCGTAGAGCAGAGATGACATGCTGGAGAGGAGGGGCTTAGCAGTGTCCTCCCCACTCCACATTGTGTGATTGCTTACACATGAGCACAGCTAAATGCCCAAATAGTGCTACTGTAAATTGACGAAAGGGATGTCATGTCAACCCTCACATTTTTTAGGATCTTGACAGTCTTGCCGGAAAGACGTGAAAAGGTGGAGAAGGCAGGGACAAGAAGGGATCAATGTGAGCAAATGAAGCTATGTGTAGGTGTAGGCTGCATGTCTGTTTGCATTGGGGATTAAGGAGTGTTTAGCATAGTTTTCTTTATACTGTCTCAGAGTCTGTACTGGCTTTAAGAACTTTGTCTGAGTTACTGGAATGTGACTAAGGGCCAAACTCCTGATCTCCCATTGTCTGTGTTGTTTCACTGTAGGGCTGGGATGGTGCACGGAGATCTGTAATAGGTGACAGCTCCCAACTGCTAACCCACTACTATGATGATGCAAGGACCATGTATGAGGTTTTTAGAAGGGGTTTTAATATATCTGGTAAGTATTTGGAAGTGTTAATGTGGACTTGTAGATCATAATGTTCATCTTCTTCTTTTTTTTTTAAATAATTTTTATTAAAGTTTCGAACAACAAAGAAAGAGAAAAAAAAACATACACAATACATATAACAACAACACACACAAAAAACAAAACAAAATTCAACAATAAAAAAACAAACAAAAAGCATAACAATTAAAAACAATATCTCTTTTCCATTTCCATTTTTAAATTACTTATTTTCTGGACTTCCTCATACCTCCCTCTTTTGTATTCCAATCCAAATTGTTTGTCCCGCAGTTTCTTTTCCACTTTTTTAATCCCAATCTTTAGCTTTAATAAGATATTAAAATATATAACTTCAACTTCTTTAAACCTGATCTTTGGTCTTAGTATCGTATAACGTTAAAATTTTCCCTCTTAATATCAAATTTCCATTTCTTTAAAACATCTTTAATCTTAATCTTTAATCTTAGTCTATCATTAGCTTTAACCTGTATAGCTGGAAACCGCTTATTTTCAGTCCAACACCACTCTAACATTCCTTAATTTTGCAGTGTTTCTGAAGATAGTCTTTAAATTTCTTCCAGTCTTCCTCCATCGACTCTTCTCCCTGGTCGCGGATTCTACCAGTCATTTCCGCCAGTTCCATATAGTCCATAAGTTTCATCTGCCATTCCTCCAGCGTGGGAAGTTCTTGTGTCTTCCAATACTTTGCGATGAGTATTCTTGCTGCTGTTGTTGCATACATAAAGAAAGTTCTATCCTTTTTAACACTATTTGGCCGACTATGACCACGAGCAAGGCCTCTGGTTTCTTAGGGAAGGTATACTTAAATACCTTTTTTAATTCATTATATATCATTTCCCAGAAGGCCTTAATCCTTGGGCACGTCCACCAAAGGTGAAAAAATGTACCTTCAGTTTCTTTACATTTCCAACGTTTGTTATCGGGCAAGTGATAGATTTTTGCAAGCTTGACTGGGGTTATGTACCACCTGTATATCATTTTCATAATATTCTCTCTTAAGGCATTACATGCCGTAAATTTCATACCTGTGGTCCATAACTGTTCCCAGTCAGCAAACATAATATTATGTCCAACGTCCTGTGCCCATTTAATCATAGCTGATTTTACCGTTTCATCCTGAGTATTCCATTTCAGCAGCAAGTTGTACATTCTTGACAAATTCTTAGTTTTGGGTTCTAACAATTCTGTTTCTAATTTGGATCTTTCCACCTGGAAACCAATTTTCCTGTCCAATTTAAATGCCTCCATTATCTGATAATAATGAAGCCAGTCTCGCACTTTGTTTTTTAGTTTTTCAAAACTCTGCAATTTCAGTCTATCTCCGTCTTGTTCCAAAATGTTCATCTTCTCGCCTAAACTTCCTACTAGACCCGCAGGGGGGCTGTTGGCTCACTTTCTGTAAGAGGCCACTTGTGAACTGAACTTTGATGTTGTCCAAGATTGGAAACTGCAATGGGCTGGAAGCAGTTTGGGATCTAGAAAACGAGGTGGTGGTCCAAATTGTTCACTGCAATTGATATTGCAACCCTTGCACATTGGTTCAAACAGCTTCAGCATCTAGCAGTATTAACTGTGTGTGCGCTCTTTCTGGCAGCCCCTCTTCGGGTGAACAGTAATCAGAGTATACATTACTCTGTTCTGAAGCAAAAGAGATAATATCGCTCATTCCAGGAGGAGCTAAAATCATGCTATAACAATTCTACCAACCTTTAGGATAAATCTGATGTTATAATCACACCTCACATAGCCCTCCCTTCCATCCCTCCTGAAAAATATGCAGTATTTTGTTCTTGTTAGATGGAGGTTTTTCTTATTTTCCCTTCTGCCAAAGCAAACTGAACCAATGGGAGGTGACATTTAGAATGGAAGTATCAATCAGATAATGATGATGCAGCCCTCTAGAGTCTAGATATATTAATAAGGCAGTGGAGGTGCTTAATGTCACAGTCACCTTCTCATTTCTAAATGAGAACACTGAATGGTCCTTGAGGGAACTTACAGAATGCTATTCCATTAGGCAAGATAGCTTCCGTTTGCATTTGATGGTTCTCTGTATGAACTCCTGGATTGCTGACATACACCCTGACCTTGATAATAACAATGGTTTATTTTTAGGCATGCTGTCCTGCTGAGGAGCACTCAGGCAGCCAGGAAGTGCATTATTAACCATCTTTTTGGGAAAGAATTATGGTTCTTATAGCTCATTTCATCTGTTTTTCTTTAGAAAATGGCCCCTGCTTAGGATTCAGGAAACCAAAACAGCCTTACCAGTGGTTGACCTATAAAGAGGTGAGGTTCATGTTATATTTTTCTTAATAGAGCAACAACATTAGAAGAGGGTTTTTGAATTATTGCTCTTGTGGAATATGTGTTCCTTCCACACAGCAGTTTGTTGTGAACTTAGTAATGCTCACATACGGAAGGTTTCTATAGTGTCCATATGATGTTGTCTTCATTAAGATGAAATCCCATATCTCCTTTCCAATTTTATCTGGTGTTACGCGTGTCTGCCGGTGTGGTTGCTCGAGAGCGAAAGGCAAGATTCCCAATGGTGTTTTCAAGGCTTTATTATCTGTACAAAACATTTACAGTGCAGAGCATCTCAAGTCCATGTCTGCTCACTCGCTAGCAGAATCTGGGAATGGGCGGTCCTTAAACTTTCCCCAGCATAGGAGTCTTTTAACCCCCATCCTACGCCTCCCCTCTCTGCGCGTAAACCGACTGTGCAGAGAGGGCGTGGGCAAAGGGGACCTGCCTCCCCCCCACTTTGCTCAGGCCCGGTGTTGCAGCTCTCTTTAGCATCTTCCGAGCCCTACATCCCTTCCCCACTGGAGGCGGGGCTTCCCTCCTCGCCAGAGGAAGAGCTGCTTCACACGATCTTCGGAGGCTCCCTGTAACCCAATTGCCCTTCCACCTCTCGCCTCTGAGCTGATGGCAGTTCCCTGACATCTGGATTTACTATTTCTGAAGGGAGGGAGGTTAAAATCAAATTATTTAATGGGAAAACAATATGGGACAGCATTTTGATGAATATGATGTTGTGTGGATGCTGCTCAAAACTTCCATGCATGAGAACCACCAAATTCACAGTAAACAACTCATATGTTCATTTTAATATCATAAATCCCTGAATATTTTACAAAAACTATACCAATCAGTATTCCATTATTGCATCCATCAAAAGTTATTTACACTGCTTAATTTATCTTAATGCTGCCAGTGTTTTCAGCTGTACACAATTATTTCCCATATATTCAATAAATGTTTTCCAATCTTCTTTAAATGTATGTTCTTCTTGTTCTCGGATTCTATATGTTAAGTCTGCAAGTTGTGCATATTCTGTCAACTTAAGTTGCCATTCTTCTTTGGTATGCCGGCTCCCTCGGCCCGTAAAGCAAGATGAGCGCCGCAACCCCAGAGTCATCTGCGACTGGACCTAATGGTCAGGGGTCCCTTTACCTTTACCTAAACAACTCTTTGGAAGTGCCCATACACTATAAGAGCTGTTTGTGAACAAGCACAAAATCCCTGTTAAGAATATCATTGGATTTGCCTAATGCAATGTGCAAGATGATCCTCTGTTAATTCTCCTTGTTTTCTTTTACTTTCAGGTTGCCGAAAGAGCAGAAGCATTGGGATCAGGTTTACTCCAAAAGGGGTGCAAACCATCAGCAAGTCAGTTTATTGGGGTTTTTGCACAAAACCGGCCAGAGGTGAGCTTCAAGAAAACCAGAGCCTTATCTCCAACTTCACATTTTATTCATATTTATTGCAAACTGTAACTTATACCTTTCATAATCTCCTTCCAGTGGATCATTTCTGAGCTGGCTTGCTATACCTATTCCATGGTTGTGGTTCCCCTGTATGATACGTTAGGCCCTGGAGCCATTCGTTATATTATCAACACAGGTAAAAAGAAATGTAGATTCATTGTGAGTAAATAGCTTCATAGAAAGCTATTTTTGCTATGTAAAACAGCAACAGCTTTGGCTTTGGGAGCATTATTTCACCAATAAGAATCGCTTCACTTCTGAATCCTCACTTTCTAGTGAAATGTTAGAAGAGGAAAACAGAAGGTCTTGCACACACACAAAAAACTGACTGGGTGGTTACAGGTGGTTGTTTTATCACACGACTGATATATAATGTTGCTCCTTGGCAGGATGATATAGCCAACCAAGCTACCCTAGGGCAGATTGGTTGACTGTGTGTTTTATTGTGTAGGTTGTCAAGCCAATATCAACATCGTGATATTTAATAGGTACTTTTAGTGTTAATATTCAAATACTGTATCTTTTTAAGATCCTTTACCAAGTCCTCATTCCCTACAAAAAAAAAGCTATTAAAATTTCAGCAGGGCAATCAGACCTAACCTGTCAAATTCATACCTTTGAGTGCACTTCAGAAGATACCCAAGGTGGAATTTGAACATTAAGCACTAGTATCAACAGAGTCTAGTTGTGGCTCTGTAATGGTTTCCTTTTTGGAGTTCCAGGGTAACACTAGTTCATTTCAGCAGTCATCCACTGGCAATATGGTACCAGAACACCTGCACTTTCATTTTGCGTTTTGGCTTTTTTTCTGGCAGCAATCATTTCCCATCAGAAAAGATTGATCTCTCTGCTCCCTTTCTTTATAAATACTAAAGCAATTGAAGGTGTATACCAGTATTTCCAAAGGAAAACTGTCATAAAGTGTGTGTGAGAGTGTGTTATTTTGTATCCTGCTTTTTGCCCAAAGACCCCAAAGTGGCTCATGACATTTATAAAGTAGGGCACGATCAGCCATGGGGAGAGTCAGGCCAGAAGATGAAGAACAAGTTGAAAACTAGGAGAACAAGTTGAAAACTAAAATTTTAAAATACTGAAATCAAGATACACAGAAGAAAGCAAGTGTGGTTGATGAGCCTGGAAAAGCAAGAGCTGTTAAATTAAGGAATTGGTGTATTTGCTTATTTGAGCTATTCCGCGCTATTGACCCGGGTGAAGTACAAAACATAGGCTGATATATGGTGCTGGTCTTACTCCAAAAAAATCCATCCACTTAAGACTATTGATTTCAGTGCTCTATTCTGAATATGACTCAGTTGGACATCACCAATTAAATAAAAGCCAGCCAACCAAATAATAAAATAAGCAACATACTAAAATGCACCAATGAACAAAAAAGTCAGTTAAACACCAGAGTAGGTGAATCAACATAAAGCACTTAAAATGCATTGGCAAATGAATAAACCTTAAGCTGTGCATTGAAATGATAACAATGTTGGTCCTGCTTCTTCCTGTAAAGGGTGGGAGGGTTTTTCACAGATGGGAGGCCACCACAGAAAAGGCTCCTCTGCATTCCTATATCTCTTTGTATAACGGTCAGTGACAAATTTCAGTGGAGGGCGGATTATGATTTTTTAAAAAGAGAAATGTTTTGACACTGCACTACAATTTTCTGTTTGTTTCTTTTTGTGTTTAGCTGATATTTCTATAGTAGTTTGTGATAAGCCCGAAAAAGCCAGAGTCCTCTTAGAAAATGTAGAGAAAAAACAAACTCCGGGCTTGAAATTCATTATTTTGATGGACCCTTTTGAGAAGGATCTTAAAGAAAGAGGCCAAAAGTGTGGAGTTCAAATCCAGGCTATGCAGGAAGTAGAGGTAAGGTTCTTATGCACTGTTTAACTGATCTCACGTTACACTGTTTATGCAGTTAAGCAGCAGTTGCACAGAATTATAACAAATTAAAGTTATGTGATATGCCATCATATTGTGTGTGTGTGTGTGTGTGTGTGTGTGTGTGCGTGTGTGTGCGTGTGTGTGTGTGTGTGTGTGTGAAGACTTGTCAAGACTAGCCCAAGTATAAAATGCACTGATGGACAATCAAAGATGGGCAAAGTAATAATAATAAGAGGTGATTATTTTTTATGTCTATGCTTTTCATTGTGCAAACAGTTTTTCCTCTTATTTGTCGCCATCTGATATTACAACATGACACAAGCAAATGAGAGGCATACTGCAGAAAGGCATCTGCAGAAAGCGTAGCCCTGGTGACTCAAGAAAGTGGGCCAATCCACAGGCTATAGCATGGGTGGTTAACCTCTGGCCTTCCAGATGTTGTTGGGACTCAAACTTCCATCACCCCCAGCCAGCAAGGCCAATGGTCAAGGATGATATTCCAGCAACATCTAAAGGGCACCAGGTTAGACACCTTCTTGCTGCAGGGAAAGGCCTTTGGCCAATCCACATATATTAAATTGCTCTCCTTTTTATTAAATCCTTTCAGGACTGTGGTCGAGAAAGTTGGCGTGCCCCTGTAGTGAGTATAATCCCTTTTATTCCACACTGAACATTTCCTCATAAACAATGAGCACAATTTACCATAAACGTCTCCGCTGCAAGCATAACTGAAATGAATGAAAGCTGCAGAACAGCCTGTCTCCGTCCTTGTGCATGGCCCATTTGTTTTAATGAAAGCTGGTGCAGGGGTCTTTGTAGATGATTCTCATATTTAAGTACCATGTGGTTTTAAATGGAATCCAAGTTACTTGTGAAAAGCACAATTGGCCACGTTTCTTGCTGTGTATTAGAAGTTGTGCCCCTGGGACCCTTTTTTCTTTTTTCGGAATATTTCAGCTTAATGGACAAGGCATGAGATAAGTAAAATGGGAGTAAGATGGGGAAGGGAAATTTGCTTTGGAGGAGGAGGTAAGACACTTGGTAAATATAGTCTAGTACAGATAAGTGCCTAGCCAAATGACATGCTAGAGGTGGCCACCGAAACAGTTATTACAAAGGCCCCTTCTTCATTACAAAGCACCCTGGGTAAACAAATGGATTGCTTCAACATTCAATATGATCAGAGACTACAAAGTGATCCACTGTGGGGCAGAAATTAAAAATTCTGATTTTTTTCTCACATGAAGTATCAGCTGAGAAAAAATAAAGCAGTGAACTCTGAGGAAATGACTGTGCTGGGCACCTACTACCCAACTACCTAAGTTCAGACAGCATCACCAGAGCTGCTAGAAGGCTGGGAATCACTTTAACTAACAGTACAAACAGGATCGGCTTGTTAATTATCGGCCTCTCGCTGAGGCCGTAGGCTGGCAGCAGATCCTTCGCATACCTTTGCTGCTCCTCCTCCGGCTGCAGATAGGAGTTACTGCCATCCCAGTTGCCCCTGAGGGCAAAGGTCCCTCTGCCACTGCCTGCTCCTCTCCAGACTCTATTTTTCCCTCCCTTGACACCTTCAATGTGCTGGGGCTTCCCTGCACCACTTCCAGTCGCCTCAGGTGACAGAGGAGGAGGGAGCCGAGGGCACCAATTTACGATTTCCTCAAGTGGCTAAATATCATGGGCCAGCCCTGAGTACAATCTCTTACTCAGAGGTAAGTCCCATTGCATCCAGTGGGACTTAGTCCCAGCTAAGTGTGCATATGATTGCCGCCCAGCACTCCTGCATGGCAAGTTATTCAAAGAAAGTCATCTGCTTCGTATGCTTGGAACAAAATACTTTGGCCGGAGGGACAAAGAATTCACACAGTGGGAAAGCATAATAATTTGTCTCAAACCTGCACTGTAAGGTTAAAAATGGATAAGCAATGTACAAGGAGTTCCCTGCTCTCCTTGGGACGGAAGGCTGGGGTGTAAATCATATAAATAAGTAAAATAAATGAACTAAGACATTTCTTTTTCTTCCATGACTTTTCTAGCCTCCTCGACCAGAAGATCTATCAATAGTCTGTTTTACTAGTGGCACTACAGGTAAACTTTACCAGTTTTGCAACAGTTTTCCTTGGGCCTTAATAATGGTGACATTGTACAGAAAAGCATTTTGATTCCATTAAAATAATATGTAAATAGATATCAGATGTATGTAAATTTAAGTTATGTGTATATTTTAAAACATATTTCATATATACCAGAAAGGATATGAAAATATACTACTATACAAATTGTAGAACACTGGCAGATGATAAACAGACAGACTGCTGCTTTGTAAGTTACTTAAATTCATTCATTGCATTTTGAAAAATAATAGAAACATGTATGCAGAATTCTCTGAGGATATCACTAGTTTTAGTTTAACATTGCTTATTAAGTTTACTATTAAAAAATAAATAAAAGTCAACCTAGCTGAACCATTACAGCTAATGAGCCAAAGTTTCTTATCACTTGAAATGTTCACTAATGTAAAAATATATATAACAACTCCTGTTTGCGGCTTCTGATTATTTTAACCATGCAGCCAATCCCACCTCATTTTCGAGCAGGGCAGAATGAGAACTACAAACAGATCACTGCCAATATCCATGGGCTTTATCCTGAGTAACTTAGTCAGGATCCAATGTTACCCAGCAGCAAAGTAAAAAAAAAAAGGCACTAGAAAACTAAAGATAACAGAAACAATGAAATGCTGCCGCCCTGGAAAAAAAAATCTCTGCTTGTATCTTTCTCCTTAAGCCTTTCCAGCCAGAGGATGCAGGCATATTGTCCACCACCATTACCTTAGGAACTAGCCCCTCATAGGAATTGACTTTGATAGAAAACAAAGAGGGCAAAGAGCATTGTATGATGATTGTGACAGTTCTTTCAAAACTGTGCCAAATGTCCCTTCTGAAAACCTGCCATAACTAAATGGTTGCATCCAAGTGATCCAAGAAGCTATCTACTAATTTTTATGACATTAATTCTGACTGGGTCGGAATAACTGATTCCAGTAAGATGACAAATGATAAATTGATACTGTATTCTATAGTGGCAAGACATACCGGTACTTAAGAGTTGAGGTTGGACACAGCCACCCCCAAAGAAAAAAAGTTATGAATTGCCATGACTGAAGAAGCTGAGTTTTTCTTGTTTGAGGCAAGGCATAAAATATAACACAAATAATCTTTACATTTATTCTCCTTTCTCAGAAATTCACTTTTACTATTATTATTATTATTATTATTATTATTATTATTATTTATACCCCGCCCATCTGGCTGGGTTTCCCCAGCCACTCTGGGTGGCTTCCAACAAAACACTAAAATACAATAACCTATTAAACATTAAAAGCTTCCCTAAACAGGGCTGCTTTCAGATGTCTTCTAAAAGTTTGGTAGTTATTTTTCTCTTTGACATCTGGTGGGAGGGCATTCCACAGGGCGGGTGCCACTATCGAGAAGACCCTCTGCCTGGTTCCCTGTAACTTGGCTTCTCGCAGCGAGGGAACCACCAGAAGGCCCTCGGTGCTGGACCTCAGTGTCCGGGCAAAACGATGGAGGTGGAGATGCTCCTTCAGGTATACTGGACCAAGGCCATTTAGGGCTTTAAAGGTCAGCACCAACACTTTGAATTGTGCTCGGAAACGTACTGGGATATTAATCTGTGAGCCTAACAGTTATTTTTTTTAAAAAAAACAACAAAACCTTCTTGATTGAGTCTTAGCTACTTCCAAAGATGCTGAAACAGTCACTAGTGGTAATGAAGATAAATTATTTTATTAGTTATTAACTGTAGGACAAAATCTCTTTTAACAAGAACTCTGTTTGTTTTGCATATTAAGTTTTTGGAATTTAAAATGCTCCTAGTGTGTGTTAGGCTAAGGGTGTACAGACTCTGGCGCCATTTCCTGACCCAATGGAATGGCCACTGAGCAATGGAATTTTTCCCTAGGCATTTGGATTGTGTGCTGGTTTTGATCTGGATCTGATGCAATGGCTCCAGGTGTCTGGGTGCTGCTGCTTGCATTGCACATTTACATTTAACAATATCAGTGTGATGTTTTCCGTAGCATGCTCTTGCTCTTGTATGAGTTGTGCAATACACCGGTCTAGTTCAGACATAATGCTACACCATAGCAATTAAGCACAGCTTTCCAGATTGTCCAAACACAGACATTCTGTGGTTAATCTTAAATGTAGTTAGCAAAAGTAAGCCAGCTTCAGGGCATAGTTTAGCTTCCTGGTCTGAGGGCAAATCATGTACCACCTTGCTGAAGCTAAGCAAGTCCAGCTCTGGTCAGTGCCTGGCTGGGTGATCACTTCAGAGCCACATGTACACTGGCTTGGGTTCCATGATGAAAGAAAGGTAGGCTGTAAATGTAGAAAAATAAACAAACATAATGAATAGTTTATGAAGCTGGTTTGTTTTTACCTGCCATGGTGAAGACAGAGCACAGTTTTAGGGTTCAGTATTAAATGCTAAACCACAATTAATCTAAAGGGAAAGTGGAATCTGCTGATCTAGTTGTGGCTGTGTGAGAGGAGAGAGAATGAATGAGTGAACAAGCCTGTGGCAGCGGGAGGGCTAGGTTCCTTCTCCTAACAGGAAACCATTTTTGCCTTCAACATGACTTCTTTTCCTGCTTCCTTCCATGTTGAGGTGGCAACACTAGAAATTGCAGCCTAAATATGCTTGGGACCTTCCAGGACAGCAGGAGGGAGGGTGCAATGGCTGTAGGAGAAAAGGGAAATTTGTGAACATCGCTCCTGTTCATTGAAGCCTTCAGTGGATCAAAGAGCCTTCTGTGAATGGAAGTACGCCATACAAAATAACCCTAAATGTTTTAAATATAATGATCATTGCTAGTCTAAACATCAGTCGGGGACTATCTAGGGTGTGAGACACAGTCCAAATCAGAGACTCGGAACCAAACCCTGTTCTTTACCTTGGGGTACATTCTTCCCGTATACACACATACACTTCTGACTTGCCCTATAGGTATTGGGCCAAGCTACGCAGTTTTAGTTCACACGGTTATTGTATTCACACAATTAATGATAGATCCATTGCTGCTAATTTAGATGTCACTTATGGACAAAATTCTGGCCAAAAACATACTGCTGTCTGAGGCAAGGGGCAAGATGGTGCTGCCTCCCATATTCCTCACACAAAAACCAAATGGATTGCTTTGGAGAAATCCCGGTGGGCGTCTTAAGCAATACTGAAGTAATGGTTTGAGATATATAAAGCTATAACACACAAACCTTTGAAAGCATTAAAAAGCTGCTTGCTTTTCAAGGTAGTCCAGGAGCAAGCATGTTCATTTTAATGATACTTTAAATACTTCAAAATGAGATCACTTGGAGGAAAAGCTTATTGTGCCCTCTTTCAATACCAGATAGAAAAGTATTCCTCAGGGAATGGAAAAGGTCCACTGCTGGTGGTCCCTGGAGGTTCGTTTTGTGGTTACACGTGGGGCTTTTTACACCTCCCTTCCATGAGTGTGCTTTCTTTAAAACTAGTGCAATTAAAGCATCTTAAATTGTTAAAGTGCTCAACAAATCAGATGAGAATGTGCATCCTATTATGGCTCACTGTATACTAAATAATCCAGAGGCAGTTTCCTGAGAGAGTCCAGTGGTTCTGGTTGTCTCTTCCCTTCAGTCTTTCCATGACAGACTTGTTTATGACAATAGTGTTCACAGAAGTCTAATTTCATCTGCATGATAGGCATAACGGAAGGGAATCCTGATTTAACTACAGCTTTGCTGGGATTTCAAATGTAGGCACAGAGCTCAGTTTGGGTCACTGAGGTGATTCTGCTTTATCAGTGGTGGAGAACCTGTGGTGCTTCAGGTTTTGCTGGACTCCTCCCATCATCCCTGACCATCGGTCCTGCTGGCTGGGGCTGATGGAAGGCGAGAGTCCAGAAACATCTGCCATGCTGCAGGTTCCTCATCTCCGTATTATGCTTTGGTCCAGAAAAAGGAACGGGAATTCCCTTTAATTCAACTTTGGAAACTCTTAAGTGTTCCTTTGATGTATTTTTCTTCTTCCATTCTCCAGGTAACCCAAAAGGTGCTATGCTGACTCATGGGAATGTGGTTGCTGATTTTTCAGGTTTTTTGAAAGTGACAGAGGTGAATATTCTATCTATTTATGTTGCAAAAAAATTTCAGCAGAATGTATAACATGCGGTGAATCGGTTACTTTGATGTGGAAACAGCTACCGGATGTGAAACTGTCTTTTTGAGAGGTCCTCCTTGCCTTGGTGCATCTGGTGATACTTTTTCAAACAGAGCTGGGTTGAGTGTTTTTTTTGCAGGATGCTGAAATCTCCAGATCCATCAAAATAATTCAAGTATCAGTTAAGATACTAGCCTACAATGATCAGTGAGTCTTTTTCTGCCTAGAAAAGGTTTCAGAATTTTGTTCAAGTCTTTAAAACACTTTTGTATGAGGATAACATCCCAACTTGAGGATAAAGTTAGAAATATTTTGGAAAGAGGGAAGCAAATCAGGGCTGGAGCAGTGTGTCCTCAGCTTCAAAATGAGATAGCAGTCCGTGTTACCTAAAATGGGTCACAGAACTTTGAACGCTTCTTCTCCTTGTGCTCTGGAAGAATTGCCAATAGGAATGTCCTTTCCCATCATTCTCTGTCTGTCTCTCTCTCTCTGTACTCCAGATTGGAGTATATACCATAAATGTGTTTCCTACAGTAAAGCTTCATCTGCATTGCTGAAAAACCTCAGTCTCGTGCAGTGCCTTATTAGATACACTGATAGTCCTTCCCATTGTATTTACCAACTCTTCTAACTGGTTGACTTTTGCTTTCTTAAAGCATGGGTCCTACAATTAATGCAGTAGCAGGAAGCATGGTGGGGCTGTGCCACTCATCTGACCTCCCTCCAACTGAACCACTACTGCATACCATGATGATGAGGGACAGTGGCAAGGCAGTACAGTGCAAATGCACCAGCAGGAGCACTGTATTAGTTCTGCAGGCACGTTAGCACTGTGCTGACCTTAGTGGCATCTTGCTCGTTCCCCTCTCCATCCTGGTATGCAGCAGAGACTCAGTCAGAGGAACTTCAGCTGAGTGGCAGAGGCCTACCTCGCTGTCAGCTTCTGTATTTATGTAAGTCATAATTCATAGGGGCTTACATGGATATAATCTCCTGTAAGACTGTGAGAAGTTGTCACTGTAATATGAGAAGGAAATATAATTGTAAAATGTAGCCACAGGTGATTCCTTCTGTGCATTGCTCTTCTTAGTTTGAATGTGAAATAATGTAATGTCTTTGTAGGTTAAATGAGAACCTAGAATCAATGATGGGTTGTAAAAATAGGATCAATTTATCCTACATCAAAGCATTGTTACATCAAAGGATTTGTCCAGCCTTAGCAAGAATGTGTTGGACTGTTCATGAAAGTTTAGTACAATCGAGGAACATGTGCCATCAGTCTCTCTGTTCCTGGATGAATGCATCCAGAAGAAAGTTACTTTATATAGTCCTGTTCTTAGAATCACTAAACAGGATTAGAAACACCACTCCACATTTTAGATGTGTGATTTATGATCACTGTCATTTCAGTTAGTTTGCCATGATTTCCATAGCCAAAATAAATAAATAGTAGCTTAAAGGTTGGTAGCTTAATTCTTTTTGCCATTCGTGAGCATGTTTAGTGTTATGGGCTGGGCTTACAATTCTGTAGCAGTTTAATTCCACGTTAATTACGCTTCAAGTGTCCTTATGGATAATGTGGATCAAACTCACTTTCCTTTTAAAAAAAATTGAACAAAAGAGAGGAAGATAAAAAGATAGCCTCTTCCACTGAGAAAACATTGTGATCATGGTAGCAAAAACCTGCTGGGTATTAACTAATGTTACATTATCATTTAAAGTTGATATCCAAGTGCCGATTTAAGCCATAGCAGGCGTCTAATACTTTAAGTCTGCAAGATTAGTTCATAAGGTTGCCTTCTTTTTCTCTCCCTAGTAGGATTTCTGTGCCAAGCTGCCTGGTAGGAAAAATCTAATCTATTAAATTTTGGTTAGCAAATTGCCTTTGTATCCCCGCAAAGTGTCACCTGCTACATTTCTATTGAAGAACATAGGAAGCTGTCTTATAAAATGAGTCTGACCATTGGTCTGTCTGTCTCAGTATCTAACACTGACTGGCAGCAGCTCTCCAGAATTTCAAACAGGAATCTTTTCCAGCCCTACCTGGAAATACCAGGGATTGGAACTGGAACTTTTTGCAAGCAAAGCACATAGGTTCTAGCACCGAGCCACAGTCCTGCTTACCAGGTAGCTTATTAGTGGCAAAAGAATCCTGCCAGGGAGAGGTGAGGATCCTGTCAACCTTATGATCCAATCTTCTGGTCTTGAGCTGTACTAATGCTCAAATGGGTATTTGGAAATAAAGTTTAAATCATTTGCCATACAAGGTGTGCAAAAAAGATCTGCTGTAGCCGAGTGGTGCAGGACACACTTTGCATGCAAAAGGTCCTCGGTTCAGTCCCCAGCATCTGCCCTCAGGGCTGTGGAGGACTTCTGCCTGACAGTCTGGAAATCTGCATCCAGTCAGTGCAGAGCAATAGACTGTGGCTTCCCATGCTCCCAATTCAGGTGAATGTTGGCACTCGGCTTTGTTGTTTAGCAACCGGACACCTTTGCAGGAAACCTCTTAGGAGAAAAGAGCTATGCCTTACCTTGGAATATCACAGGGCAACAGAAGTGTCAAGGACAGAGGACATTGGTCGAAGGGCATGCTCGCCACCCAGCTCTCCGCACATGCTCTGCGCAGCGGAGAGCGCTCTCTGCATACGTCCCTGTGTTCTTCATCACTCCTGCTAACATAGTTCCATTGGTGTTGTGGCCTAACGCATTACTTCAAACACTGTTCTCTTTTTTCTCGCTTAATAATCTTTACCCCTTTTGCTCCTCTTGGTGCCATTTTTCTTTTTTATTGTTTTATGACTTTCTTGTTGTGTCTTCCTGTCAGTGTTTCTTTCCTTTCTGTCTCCCATGCCCTTCATCTGCAGAAAGTGATCTTTCCGAGACAGGACGATGTGCTCATCTCCTTCCTGCCTTTGGCTCACATGTTTGAAAGAGTGATCCAGGTAAGAAACCTGTCTAGACTGACCCGGGCCTTGCGGGGCTCCTTGTTTTTGTTTTTTTTCCAGAGTCAGTGGTCTCCTACATTTGAGGATGCACACATTTCCTATTTGCCTTTAGCACACATGTTTGAGAGAATGGTACAGGTAAGGTCTTAGTGTCAGTGGAAGTCCACTAATTCCCCTTGATCAATGAGTCTGCTAATGGTCACATTTGTATGCCACACTAAACTGTAGTTTAGCATGATGCGCATAAGCTGCACAGAGCTGCAGTGTCAGGCTTACACACTCCTCCTCCTCTGCATGTCTGAGAAAAGGAGTGATTTCAACATGGTCAGTTTCCACAAGCCCAGTTCAAAGCATAGTTTCTGAAGCTGTATTGTTTAAACTAACCGCGGTTAACATTAAGAACAGCTCTAGGTTTAGGCAACATGGGAAACAGCGCGTAACCAAAAGTGAAGGCTTTTGAACTCCTTCTCATGGCTGCATGGAAGTAAGAGAGTGGAGGAGAGGGAAGAGCCTGAGGAAGGCATAGGCAAACTCGGCCCTCCAGATGTTCTGGGACTACAACTCCCATCATTCCTAGCTAAAAGGACCAATGGTCAGGGATGATGGGAGTTGTAGTCCCAAAACATCTGGAGGGCTGAGTTTGCCTGTGTCTGGCCTGAGGCTTAATGCTGCCTGTGCACATCCATGGTTTAGTCATGGTTTGGGTTTTACCGTGGATTCAGTGGCTGCAATGTGGTTTGCAACTACGGCCTGTCTACTGTAAAAGTAAAAACACTTACACTCCAGAAATGCCATGGGCTATTTGACAGGGGGAATTTTCAAGCCCCAGTTCTTTGCCACCTCCCCACCCCAGACTATGTCTCCCAACTTCCAGCTGCTGCAGAGCCTGTCTGCTGCAGCATAACGGGATTCTGACTGCTCCAAAACTAGTGTTGAAATTTCTAGTGGACTTATACATGACTGAATGAGCATTCTTTTATTCCACTGACTTAAAGCTGGGTCTGAAGAAAACTGTTCCCAACAGAGCCTGAATCACAGCACCAAGTGTGGTTTTCCTTTAGCAAGGAAACAAATCTCAACAAATAAAGGTCTCTTTTGAAGAAACTTTTATATAAATTTGAGATTAATCCAGTTACCATGCAAAAGAACGGAAAGGCCCAGAGGTTAAATAATAACATACTATTTTCTGAGAGAGGCTAGACATTGCACAACTCTTGATAACAGATTTGGGGGTGGGGAGGAGAAAAATGCCTCCCTATCCCGTTCTGCTGAGATATTCCTTCTGTCAATGGACAGGCAGCATTGAGTACTCCCCTACAGAAATTAACAACCGGAGAGGCAGTTTTCACAAGCACCATAATGATAGTAGCTGCTGCCAGTTCATAAATCATCTGGTTCACATATTACTTTGTCTATGCTAACATATACTGGGAAAAGTACAAGACCCTTTGCATGTAGGTGTCCTGGCTCCCACCCAACACACAGAAACCCTAATGTGTGAGTAAGAAGAGATGCTTATTCAGGCAAGTAATGGTACAAGGTCAGCAGAAGACAAAGAGTTCAGGAATCAGGGAATACTTTCAGAACTGGATGGAAGCAACAAAGATGTCCCGACAGGTTTCATGCCCCATCCACTAACCTTTTAAAGGCATGGCATGCTCACTCACAAGAGTCACTCACTTTGTAGGAATGTCAGAATTGCAACCACGTGCTCCTTCAGGGTGGGTGGGTCTGCTCCCTTCTGCGAAGGTGGCAGCTGCTTCTAGGCAACAATACTGCACCCTAGGCTCCAGATTCCCTGTCTAGCAATGCCTGATCTCACCATTCAGGTCTCCTTTCAGTTTCCTCCTCCGATGTTGGGGCCTGCCAATCCAAACCCGATCCCAATCACACAGCTGAGATCTTAACATTATGACCAAATGACCCATACTAAATGACCCAGATCAAGGAGAGCTATTCATAAACATCCATATAATGCTTAAGAAAGCATTGTTTAAATGAGCAGGAAGAATAGTCACTATTTATGTGATTAAACTAAAATTTATTTTTTTCTGCCTTTCCCATCACAGTCTGTAGTGTATTGCCATGGGGGGCGAATTGGGTTCTTCCAAGGGGACATTCGCCTGCTGTCTGATGATATGAAAGCACTGCGTCCCACCATATTTCCTGTTGTGCCAAGACTGCTGAACAGGATGTATGACAAGGTAAGCCTAACATATGTTTTAGAGATTAAAGCAATCAGTGATGGTCTACAGTCTACAGTGATGGTCTACCCAATGAAGTGGACCTACTGAATACTTCTTTTTTGCATCTTGAATTCTTTGGCTGCTTTGTTTTCCACTTTTCTGTAAACCAGCAGTAACAAACTTTCTCAGAGTTATCACATTTGAAAAGTGAAAAGTTTTAAACATGTTAAAACAAGATAAAAGAAAAATGGGCTTTGAGGACAAGAAATCAAAATTCAATATAGAAATAATAGAAGGCAAAAACAAAACATTGTCTAAATTATATGACATATTACTGGAATGGCATACAAAAGACGAGGAAGTCAAAGAGGCAATGATTAAATGGGCAATTGACTTCGGTTATAACATCGAGTTTGAAAAGTGGTTGAAATTGTGGAATAGAGACATCAAATTTACGGCCTGTACTGAGTTTGAGAGAAAATGTTTGGAAAATGCTCTATAGATGGTATCTTACGCCGGCAAAATTGGCTAAAATCTATAGATCAGAAAATAAGACATGCTGGAAATGTGGTGAAGGGGAGGAGACCTCTACCATATGTGGTGGCAATGCAGCAAGGTGAAGGTTTTTGGGAAGCAATTTATAATGAACTTAAAAAGTTTTTAAATACACTTTTCCCAAGAGACCTGAGGCCTTTTTGCTGGGAATAATGGGTAAGGAAATAAAAATGAAGATAAAAAATATTTCTCTATGCCACCACAGCCGCAAGAATTATGCTGGCACAAAACTGGAAAATAGAAACTATTCCTAACATAAGTGACTGGCAGGTCAAAATGATCAACTATGCCGAGCTAGATAGATTAACAGGCAGAATACGAGACCAAGACGACCAGAAATTTCAAAAAAATTGGAGTAAGTTTTGGAAATATATTGGAACGGATATATAGGAGGAACTGGCGGTATTAGAAAAACTTTATCAGCTAATAACTATAAACTTTAATAAACTAAGTACGCAACCCGGGACTTATTTGATACTTACCAAAAGGGTGAAGGGAAGTCAAAGGCTAAGGAGAGCCTAATGGTTATATTATTATTTTTTGTATGAACATATGCTTTCTTTTTGTATAGTATGAAAATAGGATGAATAATTTATGTTAAAATGTTTATTTTTGTATTTGTTAGTTCTTTTTTCTTTTCTTTATACAAATTCTGAATAAAAACTTACTTGCAAAAAAAAAAAAGAAAAGTGAAATGAACTCCCAAGTTATACCTAGTTTTGTGCATTGCTGTTTATTACATGTACAGTGGTGCCTCGCAAGACGAAATTAATCCGTTCCGCGAGAGTCTTCGTCTAGCGGTTTTTTCGTCTTGCGAAGCAAGCCCATTGACGGATTAGCGCTATTAGCGGTTTAGCGGCTATTAAAGGCTTAAAGGCTTAGGGGATTAGCTGCTAAAAGGCTATTAAAGGCTATTAAAGGCTTAGCAGATTAGATAAAGGGGGGGGAAAGCGAAAAAAAAATCTCAAGACTCGCAAGATATTTTCGTCTTGTGAAGCAAGCCCATAGGGGAATTCGTCCTGCGAAGCAACTTCAAAACGGAAAACCCTTTCGTCTAGCGGTTTTTCCGTCTTGCGAGGCATTCGTCTTGCGGGGCACCACTGTAGTCAGTATAACTTGCACATCCTCAGTATGAGTCTCCCTTCTGTCTGATGTTGTAGCTTAGCAGATAGGATACTGACCAGAAGAAACTTGTGCCTCTAGTTCCACCACCTATGCTTTTCTATGCCTAAAGATTATTATTGCTAGCAGGATGCCCAGAAGGTGAGCTTTGACTTGTGAAGGCATGGTCTGTTAATCAAAGCTGTTTCGCTTACTAAATTAATGTATTGGTTCACACAACGGAAAGTCTTAAAGTGATTTCAAGAAAAGCAAAGCACAAAATTACATTATAAAAATATTCATACAAACGATGCAGCACCCAGTCTGCTTTATCAGAGAAGCTCCCTTTCCACCGACTTGCAAAAAGCAAGTGTTAAGGTGTCATGTGCAATGTTATCAGGGCTGTTTGTGAGCGGGGAATTAGCATCCCAGTCATACTTAAAAACCTTTCTCCTGAGCAGCCTCAAGTTTCTAAATGCAAGCCTCCTCACTACTGGGCCATGGGAAGTTTCTCACAGGGAGCCACTGTAGACTCTTTCCAGCACTCTGTTTGTGCCTTGTTTGTAGGCAGGGAATGTGTACTAGGGCAAGGTGATGTCATCAATACGTTCCCAGCTGTCACCATGGACTGATTGGTGCTTTACATGCATGGGGTGCTGCTAAGCTGTGAAAGATACACAACAGCAAATTTTCCAGAGATGCTTCAGGAGTGTCTGTTAAGAGTTGACCTACTTTCTTTTTTCTAATGATGTTATGACTGCACAATGCTTGATTTACCCATCATACCCGGGAAACTATGAATGTGATACACATTTATTATTGGTACCCAGTTCTTGTCTAGGTTTTCTGTATCCACCCCCCTAGATACAAAACAGACGTCTAGATACAATTTATATATTTTTTGTTTGGAAATTGATTCAACGTTCTTTCTTTTTCTTTAATGAAATCTGATGTGGAAGGCAAGCATGTGTACATCATATTGCAACATTTGCCAGTAAAATACTTCGGGGTGGTGGTGGTGGGGCTGACTTCTGGTGAAATCTTGTCTATCTGGATAGACAATAGAGAAGGGTATCTTTGTGTAGAAACCAGCCAATGATAACATTTATATTTATTGCTCTGCCCACTTCCACCTGTGGCCCCACCCAATCCTGGAATGTGGCCCTCAGCAAGGACTGTGTCCCGTGGGCTGCCGAAGCCTGTACATTTCTTTGCTTTTTCACATCTTTGCTGTGTACCAGCATTGTATACCTGAGAATGGATTTGCAAGCAGGAAAAGGAGCTTGTGAATCAACATACTTGAAGTTGTAACGGCAACGTGAAAGAAGTCTGACTTCCACTCCCTAACATTTTTGCATGTGAGGCTGTTTATAAAATGATTTCTGATGAATCTTAGGTTGGTTTGACATGGAGATATGCCATAATTGCCACTTCATAAAACATTAATAAAAATAACAGCCAGCCACAATTAGCTCATTAACAGACTGGGAACTGCTCTGCAGCAGCCAGATGTTTCTATTCTGTTGTTACAATATCCCCAATAATTCTATATAGCTGTGCCAAGCTAATTACACAATGGAAGCCCTTGGGATACCTTAATCTCTATACATACTTTTCAGTGATTTTGTTTTCCCTTAGAAGAGAACAGAAAGCATAATTCAGAGTGAATTGCAGCAGAAGAGCTTTATTGTTAACTTTTAGCAGTGGTATAGTTATGATTAATTCAAACAATTAATTATACTGCTGGCATCTGTGGAGCCCTGTCTGCTTATGCCAGTGATAAATTTGGTCCCGCTTCCCTTTTAAGCTGTGCAATCTTTTCTCTCTCCCCACGCCCTGCCATTCTGCATTCTCTTAGATCTTCAGTCAAGCAGACACCCCACTGAAACGCTGGCTTCTGGAATTTGCTGCCAAGCGTAAAAAGGCAGAAGTTCAAAGTGGAATAATCAGAAATGACAGCCTGTGGGATAGACTATTCTTTAATAAAATACAGGTAAGGATCTGGAAAAAATGGGCACTTGTGCAAGGAACCCTTTACGAAAATGAAATTGTACATGAAACTAGAAAAATTACTAATGGGGGGGGGGGGGACAACCTTTCCCAGGGAGCCTTCTTGCCCTGTAAAGGATTGGGTTTTGGCCCCAGCAGCAATTTTTATGGGTTAGGCCTTTGAATGGCATTGTTATTCAAATGAATGGAGACAAACCTTGGCCTGAGTGGGTCCCAGTCACTGAATGGGTGTTTGCCCCCTAGCAACAGTTTTACTGTCCTTCAAAGGAGCAGTAAACCAGGAAGTCTCTTTCAGTCTGGATTTTAATCAAAACTGGAGAATCTGGATGCTCCCTGACTTAATTTTCAGGCATGAGCCACGGCACTGCCCTGTCTTTGCAACAGACAGAAGCAACTTGTTTAAGAGTCAACTAATCTTTCACTCTCTTATAGGCTGTTTAGTTTTATGCAAGTTCACAAGTACCTAAACTGTGAAAAACACAGGAAATGTTGCTATCAAAGCGACTAATTCAGGATTGCTGGAGTAAACAAAGAGACCCCAAATAGGCGCCGTTCTTCTTATAGAATCCCGATCCTCTTACTGTGAAAATTCGCAGACCAAAAGTGAAATTTAATGTAGCTTTAAGGAGATTGTTCATCAGTGCAAAGATTTCTGCTTACCTGATAGAACAATCTCATTCCTGCTCCCCTGTGTGCTGTTCTGGGGTTACTTTCAACCCCCCAGAGCACATCTGGGAGCAGGGCATGAGGCAAGAAATGAAGCCATTACTAGAAACACAAAAGGAAAGCTTGGACCAGTAAGAAGCAAGATCATATTCAGAGTCTATCAGAAGGTCTCAACTACATTAGAGTTTTACTCAACAGTACTTGCTTCAACCAATTGTGTGCTCCTCCAAAAAAATGGTAATGATAAAAAATTAAAAGCGAGACACTAAAATACAAGGTTGTAGCTAGCTATGGCTTTGCAGTAGTAGAAAATGCTTATGATTGTGTATGGCGGGGCATCCAATTTTCACCCATTGTTCCTCCCTGCTGCACCTCTGTACCTTATCCCATGCTATTTGGAACAGCTTTGTAGGGACTGCAGTGGGTAGGGAAGGAATCCATGAAAATTGGATGTCATGGTTTGCATGAGGATACACTTTCTGCTAGTGCAAAACCATCACTGGATACAGACAATCCAGTTTTATTTGACATGAAAACAGAATACTCTACAGCCCATATTATGCATTCAGAACTACGCTCCCTCCCCACCCCATTTAACATATAACATCATTCACCTAGGTTGAGGTGTGTGTGTGTGTGTGTGTGTGTGTGTTATGTGTGGCGAGGTCAGGAATGTAGCTGTTTGCGTGGCGAGGCCCTGGGCCCCGCAGTTCCATTAGACAATAAACACACGGACACAAATGTTTAGGTTAATGGGATAAAACAGGCCACAACTTTATTGGTTACAGATGTGAGCAGCTTGGCTTAGGCATTGGGTGAAACCAGACTATATCCTGACTCCTGCACATCTGCAGGGAGTCTCATAAGGGTAAACCACTGGTAGGGGGAGCCCTATGATATACATTGATTAAGAGCACCCCCAGGGTCCCCAATGGGGTCGTGGCATGGCTTTGGACAGGATCCACACGCCCAGGTCCCTTTAACAGGATACCCTTAACGTGGAGGGGCAGGCGGAGGCAACAACCTCCCCTCCCATAAACAAGGCTTACCCAATGCCTAACCGCCACTCGAGCCCCAAAGGCTCGCCGCCAACTTAAATGTCTAGTGGCCATGCCCCCGGCCAACCTGATTGGCCAGCCGGGGGGCGTGATGCGGCCGGGAGTCCCTATGACTTGGGCGGCATCCCTCTACCCACAGCTGGGTTACTTGGAGGTCCTGGATGCACTCCTGCAACACTGTCCCCCCTGGGAAGGGGAGCGGACTTCCAGCATGCAGTGTGATCTTCATAAATGTGGGAGATGAAAGAGGTTTGGAAATATAGGCATAAACTATTCGACTAGATCTAACGGGTAGACTGATCTTTGTTGTCCCTGAAAGCCCAAAGTATACTGTGCAAATATGTACAATAACTTCTTTATGCTACATGCTGTTTTTTCAAAGTTCTCTTTGCCCAACAGGCAAGCCTGGGTGGCTGTGTTAGGATGATTGTAACAGGAGCTGCTCCTGCTTCTCCCACTGTTCTGGGCTTCCTTCGAGCAGCCCTGGGATGTCAGGTATGTTGCACCTGTACATTTATCCAGTTGCACTTTTTATTTCCTAGCTAGAAGTTCTGCTACCATTAGGGGAAAGCTAGATTGTTAAAAATGAGCTGTGGTATTAACTAATAACACTGTGGGAACTAAACACATCCATAATGGAAATAGGGAGAGTTAAGTATTAGGACCATATAAAGAGCCATGTTTACGTACAGCAAGTCCCTTGCAAAAGTAATAAGCTAATGGTAAAGATCTGGTCAGAACTTGTGTCTAGATTTTAATTTACAGCTCAGATCAGGTGGGGGAGGTACTATAGACGGATTGGGGCCAGATTTGTCTGCCTTCCAGTTCTGTCTAAGGGGAATCCCCCTCCTTGGATGCCCCTGTGTTTCCTAGATACCACTGAAGATCTCCCGTTTTAAGAAACAAGTTTGATGCACCCACCCTTCTTAAATGGGTGTTCAAGGTGGCAGGGATGCTGAGTAAGACAAACCCAGCTTGCAGTGTCTTTCCTTTTTCTTTAGCAGCAACCACCGACAGGCCTTTTCAGGTGTGGGCAGAGGCCTGTAGCACTAAACTTGACCAATAATTGGCTCATGCCATTCTCAGCCAGGTACTAGCTTGGAACTAGCTTGCAGTACAAGTTCCAAAGTGCATCCTCTTCAGGTGCTCCCAGAGTTCCTACAAAGGAGAGATTTCTCCTCCATCTTTAATGTCTTTCTCCATCTCTAAATTCAGCAATCAGAAGTTATTATTGTACACAATTGTAATTTAGATTGTGTTCTTCCGGAGTCCCAACACTGGAGAGAAAAGTACCATATTTTTTGCCCCATAGGACGCACTTTTTCCCCTTTTTCAAAAATGAAGGGGAAATGTGTGTGCGTCCTATGGGGCGAATGCAGGCATTCACTGAAGCCTGGAGAGCGAGAGGGGTCGGTGCAAACCGACCCTTCTCGCTCTCCAGGCTTCGCACCGGGCTCCCGCAGCTTGCGGAGAGTTGCCTGCATGCCGAAGGCTGGGCGCGCTACGCTCAGCGCGCCCAGACTTTGCGCGGCTCTCCGCAAGGCGTGGGAGCCCTACACTGGGCTCCCACGGCTTGCGGAGAGTTGCCTGTTCTGGGGGCTGGGGTCGGGGGAAGCTCGGGCTTCCCCCGCCCCAGCCCCGCGCCTGGGGGGAAATACATTTTTTCCCCTTTATTTCCCCCCAAAAAACTAGGTGCGCCTTATGGGATGGTGCATCCTATAGGGCGAAAAATACGGTATATATTACTTATTTATTTATTTTTGGCCTTCAAATAAAATGGTGAAATTAGCATCATCTTGTTTAAATGATGCAGGCCTCTGAATACCTGTTCTGCCTCTGAATACCAGTTGCTGAGGAGAATTCGGCAGGTGGGAGAATTCGGCTGTCCATTTGTCCTGCTTGAAGGCTTCCAATAGGCATCTGATTAGATGGACCTTTGACTAGATGGACCTTTGGTCTGACCCAGTAAAGTTGTTCTTATTTTCCTACATACTTTTGACAGGTCTATGAAGGCTATGGTCAAACAGAATGCACAGCTGGCTGTACCTTCACTACTCCAGGGGACTGGACATCAGGTAATAAACCAGGCAGGGTACTGAATCATCAATTAATCAATTGCCTTTTTATGCATTGTGAAATAATTCACAGATAAATAATAAAAACAGATAAGAATAATTGTAAAAACAATACATAAACCAAATAAAGTTAGCTGTGAAAACAATACAAAATGAACATCAAAGGCAGGGACCTTTTCATCCAGCTGGAAAAGCTTGTTGAAACAAATATGTCTACCATTACCCCACCAGAAACTACAGATAGTGGGCACCTTTCATATCCCAACAGAGATAAATGTTCCACAAAACAGGAGCAGCCGCACTGAAAACTCTGCTTTGAAATACTGTGGCTTCTGATATTTCAGAGATTTTAAGGATAAACTCCTGTAGAATGAAGTGACCTGCTAGGTATATGAGGAATAAGGCAGTCCCTCAAGAAATTCTGTTTTAGAATGCAAGTTTAATTAGCTTATTTAAGCTTGAAAACAATTAGGTCAGAATCCTAAAATGTCATGTATGTGCGTGCAGGAGGATGACGTGTAATCATGATATACTTTGCAGCTTTGGGCTCAGCATTTTTCACTGCCAAAAAGGCAAGCAGCTTTAAAAACCAATCAGTGGTTTGTCCCTTTTCTCACTGAAACAACAGCTGTGCTCAGCCTAAACAAATGCTACTTATCAGTATGCGTATATCATTTCTTTAGATCCCAGCTTCTGTGACTTACGATAATCTGTGGCCCTGTTTGGATTTTGTTTCCTCCTTTGGATTGTCCTTAGAAAGAGATGAGCTCTGGGTTATATGTGCTCTTTCCCCTCACTCCTAATTACAATTATTATTTTTCACTAGACTAGCGATAAAACTGCATCTTCAGCAATGTTCAGATACTTTTATGATAATAATCTGCTGTAGTCATTTTACTTTTGTTTCACTTTAATTTTTTAAAAAAGACGAATGTCTCCTTGGCAAGAAGCCAGTGACTCAATTGCAGAGCAGTCTCCTTCACCAGAGAGCACTGTGAACTGCACTGTCACTTTCATAAATCTATGTCGAGGGATTAGATCCTGCACTGGGCAGATTGTTGGCCTAGATGACCTCTATGGTGCCTTGCAACTTAAAAACTATCATTTCTCTGTGATTTGCAGGTCATGTTGGAGCACCTTTGCCCTGTAATTTAATCAAGCTGGTGGATGTTGAAGAACTAAATTACTTTTCTTCTAAAGGAGAAGGAGAGGTAACATGCACTCTTCCTGAACTCTTCGCTGTCTCACTTGTAGTTTAAAAAAGCCAATGAACCATTTTCCAGAGGCAAGATCTGTCACTCCTTTACAGGAGATAGGAGGGTGCAAAGATACATATATTTCTCAAGGACATGACCAACAAGCTCAGGTGCAGGAGGAGTTTGCTCTGGTGCTCAGAAAGGCAAGCGAGCAAGTCGGGCATTGGCTCTCATTCTTTCATTTCAGTACTGATGATCCAAACTTCATGCAGGGTAGTGGCAAGAATTCCTGGAACTGACAGGAGCTGGGAAGGGATAAGGTTCATGACATAACTCCTTAGAAGCCTAGTTTAGGATGAGCAGCTAAAGGAAAACAGGCACAATGAAACATACACAGCATCCTTGGAGTGAGATGGTGGCAGTGGAGTAGACATTCATCTTGTCCTGCTGGCCAGGATTAGTATTGTGGTGAGGCTGCTTTCTGATTACTGTGAACAGGACTATTATTGTGGATTTGCCTTGAAGGAATGCAGGAGCACAATTTGGTTTTGAACAAAAAAACGGTTCATCATTAAAAGATGGTTTCTTGGTTCTCTCTGGAATAATTTGAAAAGGGGGGGGGCAAAGAAGAGTGGCACCTGAAAGTCCAACAAATAAGTTATAGCATAAACTTTCATAGTCTTAGGGCATAAGTTATTGTGGACTATGAAAGCTTATGCCATGAGGCATTTCTTAAGTCTTCTACAAGACTCTTTCTGCTGCAACAGTCTGATATGGCAACACACATTTCACACCCAGCTGAGGATGGTGTAAGCAAAATATGTGCATTTGAGAAAGAAACAGAAGAGCAACTGGAGTTTTGGAGACAGAGAAAGCTTGGAGCTGTAAGCTAACAGCAGCTGAGGAGGAAGAAAGGTGTCTTTCTCTGGCAATCTGGTGTGGGAACAATGGACTGGCTTTGTTGAATGTTAAGCTGTCTGCCTCCACCTATGCTTGACTTGCATATATTTATTTAATACATAATTTTATTTTGCAAACTGCAGTACAATAAACAACAACAACAAAGCAAAAAGTTGCAGATTTCTCATGCATCATTGTTACAGGATATAATTGAGGGGGATAAGAATTAAAAAATAATAATTAAAATAACTATCTGATATAGCCTCTCCAAAATACAGCCCAGGTAGTTGGATAAATTTGTAAATCAACCCAAATATTACAAAACATCCTAAGTTGCGAACAATGCTTCTATCCTGCCTGTTGTGCATCTAACAGTATGTTGTGTTGGCTCAGGCTGGTCTTTGCTCAGATAGAACAGAAAACCTTCACTCAGGAAGCATTACACATGTTCCAATCTACTCATTGTTGGCACAGAGTCCTCATAGGCAAACAGCTGTGCTTCTAGAACTCACAGGTCCAGCTTCCTGAAAGTCTCCCACCTTGTATCAGTGGTGCCAACCGTATATTTGTGTGGTTGGCCCTCCCCTCCCCAGAAAAGGGTTGTGTCAGTATTCAGTGGCATGTGATTATAAAATAAGAGTTCCTTGTGTGGCTCAGTCTAACCCATAGGCTGAGGTTCTTGAAGACTTTTTGCCTATATATTCATCATTTGTGTGAAGTTATAACAATTGGCCTAAGTCTCTCTTTTCAAAAAAGATGTCTACCTTGCAGTGTACCAGCAGATCTATCTCTTGCAGATTTGTGTGAAAGGTCCAAACGTTTTCAAGGGCTACCTGAAAGATAGAGAGAAAACCACGGAAGCTTTAGACAAGGATGGATGGCTTCATACTGGGGATGTCGGGAAGTGGTTGCACGTATGTACTGAAATGCTAACTTTGCACACTAAGATTGCAGGTTTACAAGCTCCTCTGACCAAAGGAATAAGTGAATTAGACATTGATGTGTATGTCAGATCATGAGTATAGTGGTGGATAAAAATTACTACAGTGTACATCAGGGTTCAGCTCCAACATTGGTTCCCTTCAGATTCCAACCCTCCCCCGGCCTTATTTTATGGGTTTATGGGCTACCTCATAGCAATTGTCACATCTTACTGGTGGATAAGGCATTGGGTTGGATCCTCAGTCTATGTGGGTGGGGGTGGAGGCCCCTCCCCTGCTCCATGGTCACAGGGTATCCCCTTAATGGGAGCCTGGGGGAGGTACTTCTTGTTCTGATACCTAGCTTGGGAGCTAATGGGCTATAGCACCCCAAATGGTGATTTGGGGGTTTGCCCAGATATGATACATATTGTGATATGTATCTGTCCCTGTGGGGTGACCCATAACCTTGATCAACCCTGCCAATCATCCACCTGCAGTTGGGCTGGTTGAGTTCAGGATACCTACCCAATGCCTACCCCAAAACCTGCTGACACCAATAGTTGTAGCCTGTTTAAATCCCAACACTGCTGTTCTTTGTGTTGTTGTGATTAATGTTATACCTAACCCCCTCCCCGCCCATGGCTCTACTATGCCTGGGCCTGCCACTTTCTGTTAGGTTTCATAGATATTTGACCTTAGCTTCTTTGGCCAGTCTGAGAAATTTGAAATCTGTTTGAATTCTGCTGCTCAGAAGGGACCCAGTAGACTGGAGCTGAGTTGCAGGCAAGGCGATCTCACTTTTCCCTAGCTTTACGTGATTACTTGCTGCTGTATAAGCGTGTCCCCACTTGCAGGCTTCCCTTCGGCATCTGATTGGCCCCTGTGGGAGATAGGATGCTGGACTGAATTGGCCTAAGGCCTGAACCAGCAGACAGACTCTTCTTACATTCTTATGTTATTTTTTACTCACAGAATGGTACACTTAAAATAATTGATCGAAAAAAGCATATATTTAAACTGGCTCAGGGAGAATACATTGCACCAGAGAAAATTGAGAATATCTACATTCGCAGCGAGCCTGTTGCCCAGATATATGTGCATGGAGATAGTTTACAGGTAATGCTATCCATTTTCTAAACATTCCTTGAAATTTGGTCATGCCTTTTATACCATTTTGTATTGTTTCCTGGGTTGGGGCGGTTGCATTTAGGAACAGGCAAGGTGTCATATTTATTCCATTTAATAATGTTCAAAATGGATACAAGATGTTGGTTCTGTTACCTGCTGAGCAGGTAAGTTCAGCAGCTAGATACATAGTTTAATGAGAGGAGCACAGCATTCGCTCACTGATGTCCCAGGCACAAGGCATTCTGGGACATGTAGCAAACTTTCTGGCGCAGTGGTCATTGATTGACCTGCATACTCTATAAAGTCTGTATAGATCAATAGGGAAACAACTGCATAAGCAGAGTTAAGCAACACACCCACATGCAGATTTTGTAACATTTGGGGCCAACCTCCTAATGGAACTGGAAGAGTGAAGGACTGTGGAGGAGAAGTGGGAGTAACCTTACTGCAGAACTACTTACTGTATATGGAAGCCATTTTCAAAAGTTAAGAGAACAGAGCTCTGCTCTGAACCTCCTCTGCTGAGAACACACACACACACACACACACACACACACACACACACACACGAGTGCTCTGACTCTTGTGATAAGCAGAAGCTGCTGTATCATTGTTTGAGGAATGGGGGCAAAGGGCAAAGAACTTGACAAGCACTCTTATTTAGGAAGCACAGATAAGAGAGCACAGCAAAATTCAAGGGATCAAGATGGGTTTGCTGTGTCACAAATACAGTCCCCAATTTTATCTGTATCGTTGCAGGCTTTCCTGGTGGGGGTTGTTGTACCTGATGCTGAAATCATGCCAGCCTGGGCCAAGAAAAGAGGTTTTGATGGAACTTTTGAAGAGCTCTGTAAAAATGCGGTAAATTGCTTATGTACATGTTCCTGTGCATTATTAACATGCAATTCAGTGCCAATTTGGGCTGTGTGTGTGTCTGTGTGTGTGTGTGTGTGTGTGTGTGTGTGTGTGTGTGAACACAGACAAACATAGATTATAATTCTAATTGGTAGATCAGAATTTGCCAGTGCACTGAAAGAGCCTTATGGCGAATGATGCAATATGATAAGCTGAAAGGCCAACTTCAATGTTACATTAAAAGCAGCCTTCCATATCCTGTTGTCCCCAAGATGTTTTGGACTCCCAACCCCCAGCAGCTCTAGCCAGCATGGCCAATGGTCAGGGATGATGGGAACTGTAATCCAGAATATCAGGAGAGCACCAAGATGGGAATGGCTGAATTAAAACAGTTCAGCTAATGTGTTTGGATCTGACTGACTTTTTCTTTAGAAAAAAAGCAGCTATAGGGGGCTCTGATCTGGATCAGATCCAAAGCACAGAAGGAAGGAGCTTAACTATGCCCTGTTTTCCTGCTAATAATAATGCCCCCAAATAACATATTTACTGCTTTGGATAGTTTTCAGGCAAAAAGGGAAAAGGAGTTTTAATCCTGGTCAGGATCCCCCACAGCTTCTTTTCATAAAGAAAGGCACCGCCAAGTCCAAAGCACAGTAGTTAAAACTGCTTTTAACATAATGTGTAATTCTGGCTCTAAGTAGCTAGGTGATTACTGTGTTAAGAGACTGGGACATCTGTTAGAAAGATTCCATTAGATAAGCAAAGCTCTGTCCTATAACAGGAGCTAGTATAACATCTTGGGTTTTTTCCACTTTCTTTATCAGTACTGTTCCATTGCTACAAGATGACATCTATTTTTTTGCACAGTGAGATATGCTTTTGTTTCATTTTGTTTTTTGGAGGCTTGGAATGTCTGAGCCAGCGCCAAATCATGTGATTTCTCTGCTGTTGCCTAGACTAGATAAAGATTGCAGTAATGTTCCAGAAAGAAGACAGCAAAGCTACTAAAGAGCAGGTTTTATTTCTTCTATGGGTGTTCCAGCACATTTGCCTTTGGTGGAAGCCATAAGCAAAGGACCATAGCTCAGTGGTGGACATATGTACTACCTGCAAAAAGGGGTCAAGATTCTCAACGCTGCCTAGATGTTCCAGGAATTGAAAGACCCCATGTCTGAAACCCTACAGAAATGCTATGAGTCAGTGTAGGCTATCCTGAACTAGATAGACAAATAGCCCAACTCATTATAAAGCAGTTCCTACGCTCCTATGTATCTGAATAATTAATTAATTCCCCACTCCTGTGTGACAAAGCCAGGTGGGCTACTACCACTTGAGTAAGGGGGTGGAAATATGTAGAGCAGCTAGGAGTCAGCAGTAGCAAAAGTAAATCCTGGCAACATTCTTGGGATGTTCTAGAAATAAGGTTGTACTCCTATCCCTCCTTACCTGGGAGTAAGTTCCATTGAACTCAGTAGGACTTACTTCTGAGTAGATGCCTACACTATAATCCAGGGACTTGGCGTTATTAGAACACTAAGGAAGTAGACTGTAAGCACTTTCTCTTTAGATTGCCAGCTGATCAAGGCTGGGACCTGGCCTCTGTGCAAAATGCAATTCATATTGATGGCATTAGATAAATAACATTGAAAAGGGCATCAGTGTAAGGTGTAGGGATGTTGCAGCTACTGTTTACCATGGAATGGAATCTACTATTTTGGAACCGGCGTTATAAGATACAGTTTCAGTCACTGAACTCCTTCGTACTTTAATTTTAAATGCAAAGAGGAAAGTGAGAGCTCTGAGCTCTAAGAACAAGTTCCAAGACAACATGCCAGAATAAGAATTTAAGTCTTTGCCCTGCAAACATATGTTCATGCTTGGGAAATTTAAATCAAAGAGGTATTTCAGACACTTCTGCATGAAGACTACAGGACCAGAATTCCTTAAGGATGGGTAATGTTTTTCAAGCTGAGAGCCACATAACCTTCTGATCAATCTTGCAAGGGCCAAAATGGGTGGAGTAACAAATGTAATTTTTACCTTTTGTACAATAGGCTATTTTGTACTAGCACTCAAGCACCCTGCCTCTATCCTCCCCATAACAGAGTTCAAAGACACGATCCAGATGGGCATATTTGGGGTGCAAAGCTTGGCATGTGAAGGGTATGACCTGAGGAGAATTCCAAGGGCCAGACAAAGAGGTCTGGGGGGCGGGGGGACACAATTCATCCCTCTGCCTGATATTTCCCATCCTTGTCCTACATAGTATAATCACATTTCATCCTCTGCTTCTTTGAAAAGTTAATTGTCAATAGAGAGCCAAATAAATAATTATTTAAATATTGGAACATGTATTTGAACAGGACTACCTGGCTGTAAATGTTCTCATATGTTCTTACTTAGGAGCTCAAAAAAGCAATAATGGAAGATATGGTGCAGTTAGGGAAAGAGAGTGGACTTCATTCATTTGAACAGGTAAATACTAAATACTGATGATAGCTTTTGATTACTAGATGCAGATGAGCTGCTTCTTTGTGATTGAATAGCAGGGATTTTAGCATGCATTATGTAAAAGCCCCAATGCCTCGCTTATGCTTTGTGGTTTAGTACTCAAATGTGTATTTTTCTATGAAATAAAACTATCCTTGTCTGTTTATGAATGCATGAAAGGTAATGTTAAAGAAGGTCTCTCTATGATAGATAACATGATAAAATATTTGAAACACCATTCCATTCAAGCCAAGAGCAGTATTGGAAAGTCAGCTTAATTACCATTCTTGTAGCTGACCTGGAAAATACAGCTGTTCTGTTTGTCCCCCATCCATGGACTAATCTCCTCCTGACGTAGGTATTTTTGCGGCAGACCTACAAACCTCCAATAAGGGAAGTTCAAAAATGGACATTATGTACTCCTCTCTCTCCCCCCCCCCTCTCTCACACATCTTTTAAGAAGTGTGATCTAAAACAAGGTCATGTTGTGATTCTATTATTTTTAAAAACACAAATGTAACAGCTGTAACATTCGTATAATGACATAAATTCCTAAGCGTGCCTGCATTTGTGCACTAGATTTGGCAACAGCACAATAAATGCACTTGCAGTGTCATAATGCATGCACTAAACAAGAATAGAGACTATAGAAACTAATTCCACATAAAGCTTTCCTGCTTTTTCAAAAACTGGTCTATAAAAAAATGTTGAGAACTGACTGTCTCTTAAAATTGCTTTTTCTCCCATGCTGTAAACCTCCCTGTGATGAAATATACTAATCTATCAATTCATCTAATATAATCTTTGGGGGTATGGGGGGCACATATGCCTGTGTTCTCTGCAGCATTTCAGCACTGTGTAGTGAGGTGGGCGGGGGGAGCCCTCCTAAATGAATTCTTAAAATCACAAGCAGGAAACATGGGTACAAAGAAGATATTAAGGGCAAAGCCTTTTCCTCTACAGTCACTGCCAGCTGCCTGGGTAATGATTTTGGGTGTTCTTAGCTCAGGGAGGCAACAAAGAATCAAAAATATGCAAGTTGCATTGCACCCAGTACCTCTTATAATGAGCTCCTGACACTTAAATGAACAAATGCACATTTAAACATCATAGTTTCCTATGAGGTCTATATTCAGGATTAACACATGATTTAACACTGCTTTCTGCAACACAGAAGATGGATGGCTAATGTGTTATTCTTTAATTGTAAAAATGCAAATAAAACATAAATGATCCTTAAGTTGCTTCCAGAATTAATGCTTAGCACCAACACATTTTTAACAGCAGCAGCAAAGATTTTGCCAACATGAAACTTTGAAGTGTGCACTGCAGTTCATTTTCAGTGCTAAAGGTAGTCAAGTGTTTTAAAAGTTAAAATTTAATTTTCCCTAGTGCCAGTTATTTCTGCAGAAGGTGGAGAGAACTCAGCATGTCCTCATTATGTCTCAATCCTAGAATCGAGCCTTTTAAGATTGTTTTTGATGCAGAAATGTATTTTTAAAAGTCTGTTGATAAAATATACCTTGTGTCTGCCATTAAATGCCAAGTGATAACAACAACAGCCAAATTTAGAATTTCTGTTCCAATGTCTCTGGGAGATATATACTAAAGCAACAGGGACAGAACCTCATCCATGCAGCAAGCTACCTCATTCTCAAATAAGCATGCACAGGATTGCACACTAAATTTGTTCACCTTTCAATAACAAGCCACGCAAATAAAAAGCGACAAAACTTCTAAATATCTAAATAGTCTGGGTTGTATTAAGGAGCCAGATAAACAAAAATACAGAGTGACTGCTTACTATAATTTATGCTGTAAAAGTCACATGCTTTGCCCTATGGGGGGGACACCTTTTGTTCAAAAAGCCAGTGTATTGGGCAAAGCTAGGGACATTATTGATGAATTGCTGCAACTAAAAGGCCAAATTTAAAAGTAGGCAGGTGTTAGCACTGAGCTATTACATCCTACATAGGAGTGGGTGTGCAGAATAATACTTGGCAGTGACCAATGTGATATGTCTGGAACACAGCTATCAAATCAGCCGTTTCCTTTTATTCAACGTTACAGTATATTTTTATAAACATGTTGACTTGTTTCCCCCCCCCCATAGGTTAAAGCTGTTTACATCTACCCCGAAATGTTCTCTGTACAAAATGGTTTGTTGACACCTACGTTAAAAGCTAGGAGACCGGAGCTGAGAGAATTTTTCAAGAAACAGATAGAAGAGCTTTATTCAAGCATCTCCATCTGACACCAGGGGAAAGTTCTTCAGAATAATGGACTCTGTAGCAACATTAGGATAATACTGAAACGTGAAAAGGGCGCAGTTGAAACGAATAAGCATCTGACCTTCCACGCAAGCCTTCTGTTGTCGGAAGACACCATCACTGAGTAATTCTTTTACCATCTAGTTCTAGTTCCTCTTGTTGTAATGGATGCTCTTGAAGATTGCTTAAAAACATACTGGACAACCGTTAAGCTACTTTCAATCCCACTCCTTCTGAAAGCCTTTTACAGACACCTTTGTTATTAATACCTGCAAAAACATAAACAAAGATCCCTTAGCAAACAGGAAAGAAAAGCAGACTGGACCTGCCCATTTTGTATGGCACTCCTCTAAGCTCCTGGATGATTCAATAATGTGATAGGGTTTCCAGATGTCTCTCTGTATGGGTACCATTAAGAACTCTTTAGAAGCAAGCAGTTCCCAGGTTGCACATCATGCACACACCTTCCTTAGCATGGTACGGCACCTTCCTTCGTGTGGTGTAGCTTCACCCTTGGCTGCTACTGCGTGCATATGTGGCCAAGAACTCCTCACTGCAACTGAGCTCTTAAAAGTACCAGGGTCCCACTCAGCGAGATATCTGACAAAGACTAGTGGTCTACCTCAATGTTCTTGGATGCTCAAAGCCAGAAATAAATCTGTTACCCTGATGTAGAACTTAAAACTGGAATTGTTTAATCGTTCTTTAAGTGGTAGCACTTATGCTTTCCCTGCAAGACATAAATTGAATTCACCTTGTGCGAGCCATTCACGAAAAGAACAGAAGGGAGGAAGAGTTTGGATTTCATATGTATGGAAGTAGGAAGAGCTTTGGATTTCATGCCTACTTAATACAGTGTAGTGGCACATGCTGGGTAAATACTAACCTGTAATTGCCAGAAATGTCAGAAATGTTACAGGCCCTGGATTTTTTTGTATTTCTTGTGTCTTGGATGTTTCTGAAATTAGCAAGGGATCTCTGTGGGCTGCCCCTTTTAAAGAACTGACTGCCTTGTGTTGTGGCAGCTACCTGACAGCAACTTGCAAAACAGAAGGGTAGTTGGTATAAACATGCTGCATAATTTTGCAGCTTCCACTCCCCACCACCCCAGTGGATTCCAAATAGAATAGGATTTTGAGTCAGAGCTTTCCCTTTGCAGCACTTTATAGCAGTGCACTTCAGGAGAACTGAGCTGGCTTTAAATAATTTAAAGAGGATGCAGAGTCTTAACAAACAGCTGTTTGGCCACATCATCTGACTTTAAAGCAGCTTCTTCCAGCTTCTTCTTCCACCAGGCTAGCTTCTACTCCAAGTCCCCACCTCTTATTCTCATGCATTCCGATAGCAAGCACTTCTAAGCAAATAGCAGTAAAGGCTTCACTCCCTTGACAATGGCCTTGAGAGGGATTCACTTGACTGAATAATAAAAATAAATGTAGAAAAAGAGCCTGTTCCCATATTTTTTTAGGCCAACACCTTAGAAATTTGCCTAAACAAATAAATGTTTCAGTGGAGAAACTCACGCTTGCTCTGGAGAACCTGCACAAGCCTTCTTATGATGCCCAGGAATTGCAAGTAGATCAGGGATGAGAACAAGCCAGGTGGTGCTGGACGCCCAATGCCCCATCCACCAGCACATCCAGTAGTCAGAGCTGATAGGACTTGCTGAAGTTCCCTCTCTCTTATGCAACTACTCAAGGTGCCGGGGCCATGTCCCCTTCTGCATCTGACTACCTTAAATATAGTTTTCTGCTCTGAAGTAGTCATTTGATTCAAGGGTTGGGGAACCTGCAGCTGGGCTAAAACTCCATTCACACCTGACAGCTGACCATGCTGGGTGAGGCTGATGGGACTCAGGAGTTCAACACCATCTGGAGGGCAACAGGTTCCCTACCCTGGCATAGTTAGTACTAGTACCTGCATACAGGAGGACACAAGAAGATCTCTGCTGGATCAAACCTAAACCCAGTCTACTCCACCATTCTGTTTCTACAGTGGCCTGCCAGGTGTTCATGGGAATCCTGCAACATGAGTGTAGCAGCACCATTCCTACTTGTATTCCTAACACTGGCAGTAGATCATAGCTATCAATATAAGTAGCCATTGAAAGCTTTACCCTCCATGAATTTGTCTCTCTTTTAAAGCCATCCAAGCTGGTGGCCATCAATATCTTGCGGTAGTGAATTCCACAATTTAACTATGCACAAAAATAGTATTTCCTGAAACTTCCAACATTCAACTTCATCGAAGTTCTATATATACTTTCTGCACATCATGCATAATTTCATACACCTCTGTTATGGATGCATGTTTGCCTTTTCCCCAAACTAGAAAGCCCTAAATATTGGGATCTTTCCTTATAAGGGAGTGTATTGTTTTGGTTGGCCCTTCCTGCACAACTATTCCTCAGTGGTGGCTGTGGCAGGGTTAGGTGAATGTCTGAGTTCAAATGCCATAGCTATATGAACACAGCCATAGAACCAAATCCAGTGCTAACAGATTACATGGCTTTCTTGAAACTGTCTCCCCAGACGTAGTTCAGATTTTCTAAAGTTCTCAACACACAGCACCTAGCATGGAGAAAGAAGCTTGTGACCATATTAATACAGGAGCTGCTTCTGATGTAGATCAGCATGAGTGGAAAAGCTGAAAGGTGGTGAATAGGATGGCAAGGTTCAAAAGAAGGCTTTCTGTATAGAAGAGGGAATTTTAGCATCTGCAGTCTGCATGACACCTGCTGAATTTCCCCATATATTTCACTATTCAAGGAGCGGTAACTTGTCTTTTTTGCACCTGGAGCTCCCTAATGTTACTTTTTCCATGAGGAAACCTGGGAGGTTTTAGGACATCTGAACTATCCATGAGACATCAAGAAGTCTTGGGCTTGTTTGAGTTGAAGTAGACCTACTATCTCCATATCATCTTACCAATAACTATGGTGTTAAATGATTTACCCACATGGAGCTGCTAAATCAGTCAAGTTGAAGGGTGACCAAAGTGAACTTAAGATTGCAAGATTTTTTTTACAAATTAGAGAGACGGCGAATTAATGAGCAAGTGTTTATGCTGAGCCTGGTTAATTAATGTCTGTTCTGAACAAACTGTTAAGATTTCAAAAGTGACTACACTTTTGAAGTAGTACTTCCAGTACAAAAAGTACTTCTTTTGTAGTTTTCAAATGCCTGTTCTGATTTCTTGATAGCCCAGCTACAAAGGTTTCACTTTATGCTTAAACTTACCTGATTATCCAGGTTCTATCAGTGCAAAAGCAGAATTAAAGCCAGTAATTTAGGCTTCACTGTCTGGGCATAAGTCTCACTGAACTCAATGGGACTAACTTCTAGTAGCTATGTATAGACTGCACTGTTAGATCCACACTTGAATACTAGGCTGCAATTTTACAGCAGATAATGACACCACGTACTTTTCATATTCATTGGAGGAGGAAGGTACACAAGTTTGTTGTGTGTGTTCTTTTCATTTAGGTTAAGGCATTGCTTGGGAATGATTTTCTAAATGCTTACTTCCCTGAGCTGTAAACACTGGAGAAAACTGGCCCACAGATTAAAAGCAGGTCTATATGAAATTGAGGATTTGTAGTTGGCACTGGCTCTAAAATTCTCTCATGGCCCCAATTTACAATCTACAAAGGTTACTTAGATATTTATTGAACTTTTACTTGAAGCAGTACATAGGAACATATTGGGCAGGATCCAGCCAAAGCCCCTTGGGTATGATCCAGCCACCATTCTCTTTGATTTCAGTTAGACAAGCATTTTCTTAAATCTTAGATATTTTCTAGTGAAACCAAGAGTTCTTAAAATGATTAACACTGGTTGGCTCTAGCATATTTTTCTTAAAGAAAAAAATTCAATTGTGCATTTCCCTTCATTGAGGAATTGCAATTTCTTAAACCATCATAAGGAAAATCCCAGTAATCACAATTGCCCACTCTAGTGGCTAAGTTGTGAATGTTGTTCAATATACACAAACCCACACAAGTTTGCTGCAGAAAAAGGAGCCAAGCTACGGCTTGGCCCTATATGCTTGCTAAACATTGCAAGATGTATTACACTGCAGTTAGGCAAATAGGACAAACACTATGACCTAGGGACAGATTGCTATCTGCCTGTCGTTTGCAATGGATATCTGTCTCTGGATTCAAAGACTACTAGGGAGTATGCATCCTTGAACTTTAGGTGCCCTTTATATGATATGACGGTAGCATGAGAGCCACTTACTCCTGGCTTTATGCCACATTCATGTTGCAACATTTAAGAGCCTGGCAGCACTTGAGTTAAGCATCATACAGGTCCTTCCCACCCAATCATCACCCTTTTACCTCACCTATGAAACAAGTACATTAGAAGAACCCATTGCTGCTGTGCTGGTTGCCCACATGGCCATGTGCTTTTAAAAGTTATAAAGGCAAAATATAGTGCCATAATTGTAATGAATGAATGTGGTTCCTACATTGTACCCAGAATACAAGAAGGACACCTTACCAAGTAAACATGCATACCCTGAGCTGTCAGTACTTAAAGAAAAACATATAAAAGCATAAATCAGAAAACGAACTAGGTTTAAATAAATTGTAAGTTTTCCTATATCAGCAAATGTGCATATGCCAGTTTAGGATATGCACTATTACACCAGTACTATTACACTATTACACTGTTCCTGCACCAAAGGCTATTGCTTGTGGTGTGGGAATATTATTTCCTATCAGAGTTTTTTGTACTAGCACTAGTACCTGATCCTAAAAAGATAATGTAATATATGGGAGGTAGACAAAGTGCTGCCCTACAGGTATTGATGTATTATGAGCTCCATCATCTCTGATCACTGGTTGTGCTTGCTGGTACTCAAGTGGAGGTGCATCAATGTCTGGAGGGCAACAGATTGGCACAATGACACCTGCATGATGTTACGCCAGCAGGAAAGATCAACACCCCAGCCAGTTAAAATCAGAGTTCATGGCCATCATGACATGCTAGTCAAAACAGAGTCAACAACCTTTGGCCAGCCAATCCAGGATTTTGTATATACTCTGAATCGGATTGCAAACTACAGTGAAATTAATAGGTCAATTTATCATCAAAAGCACTAGAATTAAACCAAGACAAGTTCAGAATACATAATAATGGGATTTATCTATTTGTTACACACCCATTCTATGAGCCCATTCTGCTGCTGACAGTCTTGGGTGATACTGATGATATAGATCTTGCTTCAGTCAAACACCAAGACGGCCTTGGCTGCTGATTTATGCTGAGAAAAGGGACAGGGGATTGTGACCCAGGATCTCTTGTGGATTTTGCAACCATCTGGAATCCAGTATCCAACTGGACAGGCTCTCTCCATTGGAGGTTGGATGCACTGTACTATACTTCACTCCTACTTTGATGATCAGTTCCAGAAGGTGGCATTTGCATTATGGGGCCCTGTGGTATTTACACAATGGGGTCCCCATGTTTCCATCTTGTCCTCTATTTTCCTAAATACATACATGAACATAGCAACACCATTCAGGGATTTAAGAGTGAGGTGCTGCCAGCAAACTGATGTCATAGAGCTCCACTTCCAGACGAAGCAATGGAGGTGCTGAATTGGTATGGATCATTCACTGGCTCCAGACAAGAAAGAGGTGAATGGTTTGTCTGAGCACAGAAGTGCTGTTGAACCAGTTCTGGGTGGAGTTTCATTCCCTCTAAGGAATCACGTTCATAGTTTGGAAGCAATCATCCAACACTATCTCTGGAAGCCTCAGTGTCACCTGTGGCATACAGTGTTCCCAGCTAAGGATGATGTGCTAGTTGCAACTCCTCAACAGAGGTAGCACGGCCACATTTATGCCCTAGTAACCTCCAGTTTATACTACTACAGTGCATTACAAAGGCTTCTGAAGATTTCTCAAAAATTTCAGCTAGTTCAAAATTCAGTTGCTTCAGTACTTACTGGGATTGGCCTTATGGAACATATCACTTCTCTTAACTGCCTCTGCTTTGGACACAATTCAAACTGCTGATGGCCACCTTTAAACCCTTAGATGGCCAATGATCCTGGGTCCATAAAGGGTCACCTTTTCCCACAAAAGTCTGCCCAAAGTTTTTTACCACTAGAGATCATTTTAAGAGATCCTCCCTGTGTCACTTAAGTTAGGTGTGAGCAGAGAGAGGGCTTTCTTTCTTGTGGCACTACATATGTCGAATGTCCTCCCCAGACTGATGTATTCTGCTACCTGTTGAATACCATTTTTATTATTTTAATACATGTCCAGTGTAGATTGCTTTAAGTGACATATTATTGGTTCTACTGGTTATTAATATGCACTATTATACTTCTGTTGATTTGATTTTCTGATTTTTTAAAACTGAGTTTTATTGTATTAGGTATTTTCTTCCGGCTCTTTTTACCTGAAGGCTAGTTTATAAATATTTTTAATTAAAATAAAGAAATTTGAGGGCAAGGAAACAAAAATGGTGATCCTCTCCAGTTATCACTCTGCAAGGCAAGACCATCCAAAGATCAGGTGTTTAGGTGGACAAAGGAAGACTTCCTCAAGCTAGTGCCCTACAGATGTTTTGGATTACAATTTCCATCAACCCCAGCCAGCATAGTCAGTGGTCAGGGATGAGGGGAGCTCTAGTCTAAAATGTCTGGAGGGCACCAGGTTGGGGAAGAGCTCAGGTTCTGGTAGGAGGGATGGGAATACTGGTCATGCCCCATGACCCTGAGCAGATAAGATGAAGCAAGCTGGTTCTACATTCCTAGAACTTAATTAAGGAATGCACAGTATTTAAAGATGAGTTGTGTTCTTAGTTATTAGAGGGAATCTCTGTGTTAGCTGGTTCATACATGCATGTTCATCACTTGATGACTTGTGGTTATTGTGTGAACTGTGTCCACCAGAAAAGCATGGCATTTGATACGAGGTGAAGTAAGACAATATGGAGGTTTTGTTCCTGGTCAGTGACATCTATTTTCCACACACGTCATCTCTTCATTTTGGAACCTCATCAAAGTGATAAACTTGCATGTGTAAATCTGCGATGGGCTGAACCAGGGCCTAAGTAAGTTATACAAGAAAATTCGGTCATTACTGCAGGTTTAAAATAATATTACATAGTTTTGTATTATGAATACCTGTTGTTAAAGTCTTCCCCATAAAATATCAAAGAGCCAAAAAGCATATACAAGTGAAATAAAAAGCACTATTAGGACCTATTTATTTGACAAATCACCCTGCAGTCAAATGAGGATTTTCAGCGTATCCTGCATGAAAAGAAGCTGCAATTCCTTTACAAACATTTTTGCAGCACATGACTGGTAATGACAGTAAAATCTTGTATCTTGTCAATATCTTGGATTTGATTATTATCGCATATATCAAAAAAGCAGCTTCTATCTTTTAACACATTTCTTTTTTTTAATGAAACAGATTAACTTGAACATTATAAACTATTGTTTTCCATCTGTGAAAAGCACAAACTGGTGATCTATATGTAAATAAACTATGACATGAATGTAAACTTTAAAAGTAATAATACTATTTTTGCATGAAATCTGACAAAGAGATGTACTGGTTCTCACAGAAAACTATGGAAATATTTCATCTAGGGATTATTAGTACAATAGACGGAACATTGTTTTCTTTTAAAGTAAACAAGCTTTTGCTAAAACAGAATTTTTCTTGCTTTGTAGAATTTACCAAAATGAAAGCTGGAAGCTTGGATGCTTTAGAACTAATGCTACCCACACACTAGTGAGATTCAATCTGCAATCTTATATACATTTGCCTGGGAGTAAGCCCTGCTGAAAATAAGTGGAGCAGTTTTATGTAGAATTACAAATTTGGCCTGATAATGGCCCAAATGAGGTCTGCACGCAATGAATCAGGGTTAGATATGTTAGGAAAAATCCCCCCTTCCACCACTGAACTAGAATGCCTACTCTTTCTGCTGCTACTGGGGAGTTTTTCTTGACTACTGTTTTCCCCATAAGAGTTTCTATGCCACAGAAGTATTTATGTGAAATCTGTCTCTTTGTCCTTAAGAGTACACTGATTAACAGGGACAAAGAAATGAATGTCTTATGAATTTAATTTTTTTGCCCATCAAAGCCTCCCCACGCCCTTAATACCACTATGGCAGGAGGTGTTTTAAGTTATATGATTGAGCTCTATTTTCAAACCAAAATGAGGTCAAATTGCCAACTGCCTTGTTCATTTCATCTCCTTTGGCTTGAATGTGTAGCAGAATGGGCTGGTGTTTTAACTCCAAAAATGCCAGAGGAAAGAGGCATTATAGAGGCATATGTAGTAGGCATGGTGGTAGGGTGGCCAGGTAATGGTGACTGGTGGGGTTACACACTACTACAACACTCATTCCACTTTAGGCAAGGCACTACATCCATGAACTTTGATCTTAAAAGGACTGCACTAACTGCAATGAAAGCTCCCAAAATAGCTACAACCACTTTTTAAAAAAGCAAAAGAAAAGCGGGACAGCAGTTAGAAAAAGATGGAAGTAAATGGCTGGGGAGATTTACCTGAAATCTTGCAAATACTGTAAAGTGAGTAAGCAAATGGCTTTTACTATAGAGAAAATGACTAGTGTGGAAGCATGTACTTATTATTATCACTGCAGGTTAATGAGAACCACCACCTCCATACCACCAAAGTACTAGTATTGATAGCTTGATGAACTGAAATGGAGAGGCAGCATTGCTGAGTGGGGCGCTGAGCATATTCATTCTGCTTTCCTATTTATAGCAGCATCCCTAAGTTCTGCAGAAGTAGTCAATGCTTTTTTTATTTTAAAAAAATGATGTTCTGATACTTACATTGATAAAAAGTGCTGTGGGTGGCAGCACAAAATGGCTGCCATGGACAACCAAAAAAGAGGTGATGGTACTCTGTACCAGAGAGTACAGAGAGAGAGTACAAAATTATTGCAAGTAGTGAAACTAAGTAGACCAATAGCAGCTCCTGCCGAAATCCTATCTTAAGTTCCAAAAGTTATCCTGGTGTGGGGGGAAGCAGATAATCACTGAAGGTTGATCCCATATGCAATAACACTAAATTAGCCAGAAAGCGCTGTACTAAATGCAAATTCACTAAGATGGCAGTCTCTGTAAGCAAAAGGTGGCTGTATGTTTAGGCATCAGCAGTCACTAGGAAAGTCAAGACTAAGTACCTGAACTCAAGTATGCAATTCTTCTGCTTTGTGTGTGTGAGCGCGTGTATGTGTTTTAAGGCCAACAGCTTCAATAACTTGCAAAAAGCCAATTTGGACCTCTGTAGTAAGATGTACATATTTATTTCAATGGGATTTGCTTACAAGTAGGTTTTGGGCTTCTTAAAAAGTAGGGGCAGGGGGAGGTTAATTAGCATTACTTAGGTTGCAATCCTGTGCACTTACCTGGAAGTATTCCATAGGATTGCACAGTTAAGACTGTGAACCTGATAGATGATGAAGTTAAGCAATAAATAGTCTGTTTTCAGGGTGTCCAGTTGTAAGGGATAACAAAATTCTTGTAACTTTAGCACTTTTGGGGGAAAAAAGAGAGAAAGACAGTAATTTAAGCAAGTGCAGCTTTCCTTGATGCTGCATGATGAGTTGCATCTGCCAAAAATGTAAATCCCAGCAGCCATGGGGAATCGGTAGCTGTCCAGATGTTAGCTTATGCCATCCCTGACCATTGGTTGCGCTTGTTGGGTCTTATGGGAGTTGGGAGACAAACAAACTATGGAGGGCCTACATTTTCCTCATCCCTGTATTAAAATGTGCAGGAGCTCAGCACTCTTTCACATTTGGTCACACTAAAGGACTTGCAGCAAAAGCAGTTCATGATCAGGGAAGAAAACAAAGAAACAAAAAAGACCCCAACAAACACCAGCCACAATTGTTCCCAATTAGGATTTTTCTGTGAGACAACAGCACTTCTATAAAAAACCTTACCCTATCTATCATACCGCAATAGAACAACATGCCTGCATTCAAATAAGAGTAAAACATTGCAAGTCAAACAGCCATTTCCCCTAAATATACTGCTTATTCTATTTTCAACTAAAGAAAAATGAAGAGATTAAAATGCAAGGACTTATTTGTTTAAGAACAACTGTAATTAAATATTCTATCCTCCCTAGTTTTGGTATATCCGCATGTATACTTAAAAAACAAAGAAGCAAATGTGGGATTTTTGTTTTGTAAAGAACTGAAAGACTGTCAGGTTTCTCAAATTTGTTAATATTCCTCTTGGCTGACAAATAAAATATTTTATACAAAAATTGTTTTATTCTAGTATTTTGTCTGTGTGGTCAGTAACTAGTCATTCAGAAATGAGTGCCCATACCTATACTATATTATGCTTGTTTTCTTTTCTTTTTTTTAACAACCAAAGAAATACTGCATTCTGAGGTCCATTTCAGAAATCTATGCTTTCTGACTTCAATGTCTTTGCAGATAAAGAGGAACCTGTCTGCAATCGCTTGAATTTATTCTCGTTATAAAACTGGCAGTAACAACAGAAGAAAATGTATGAGCTTGTTTAACATGAATGGATGGGAATGTATAGTATTTTTTCAGACCATGTGTTTAAAAGAATAAAGTCAATAGAATTATTCAGCTTATTTTCCCACTCTGTGTATTAATGTAGTCTTCAACTGATCCCCTTTTTATATATTTCCCCCCTCATGGTTTAACACAAATGGACAAGAGGCTCACAATTTTCAGTTGTTCAAAGTCAAAGCAGCCTCGTATGCTGTAACTTTAGCAGAGCAAGAGAAACAGATGCCCAAACAGGTGTGGGGGCACTCAAGGACTCAGAGAGGAAAATTCACGCAAAATCTATCACCGCTATATATAATTCAATTTTATTAGGTGTGCTTTATGCTGGTGGATCCTGTTCCATAAATTGAGAGTTAAGTTTGGAACTCTCACATTGCACTGCTCTTCTAGGGCTTCCCCATCTTAGAAAACGGGTAGCAAATTGCATGTTTGAACACTTCCTCTGTAACAACAAACAACAACAACTGTCTGTGGGATGCCCTGATTTGCACAAGAACCGGGGGTGGGGGGCAGGAGATGGGGGAGAATTCCAACATGCAATAGCTCACATGGATTCTGAAGTAGTACCATTCCAACAGCTTGGGACCTCATGACTCATAATCATACAGACAAGGAAATACCGTACATCTAATAATACCATTGGTCTGTTTAGCTGAGAATTGTCTATAACTGGCAATGGGTCTCCATGGTTTCAGATAAGGGTCTTTCTAAGCCCCACCTGAAGTGGCTAAAGATGGAGTCTGTGACCTTCTGTATGCACCATAAATGCTCCATCTATTAGCTACAGCATCTTCCCCTGAAGGAATTCAGTTAAGAACAATTGTATGCCAGCCCTAGTATCTTTAGAGTCACTAGCTTAAATACTGGAAAGATGTCATTTCCTCATCATGTCAGGATTACCAAATTTGAAACACAGAGAAATTATTGTCAACACCAGTTCACAGTGCCACCTACTGAACAACAACATTGCTGTGCATATACATATGTGTGTGTGCACGCGTGCACACACACACACACACGTACACCCCCAGCTTAATTCAACATACAATTCACATTTCACATTTTAATTATTGTTCACGTTTTCCCCTTAAAATTCAGCTTAGTATTTCATGCCAGTTTGGTGTTTGCAAATAGCAAACATACTGCTTTCATCAACACCTATTCACATAGCATTTGATAGACTGTATGTACTCAAAAACACTATGCCTCTATTAAAAACCTCATTACAATTTCCACTTCAATTAATCCGTCAGCAAAATCACAATAAAAAGTAAAGGTTTGCCCATGTTTTTCCAAATTGATCAGCACTACTAATCAAGACTATGCTATTATATTACTCCCTTAATCACACTCCCTTAATCATGAGAATTTCTGCGCAGACTAGCTTGATATTGGGGGTGTACTGCTGCCAGTCTGAGGTTCTTTTGCCAGTGCAATACCATATTTACTCAAGTCTAATGTGGCATCAAATCTAATGTGCACCTCAATTTTCAGAACCTTGAAACCAAAAAATGTATTTGCTGGCGAATGTAAAGGTGCCATCAAATCTAACTTTAATTTTCGCAGCGTAATTTAGCCAAAAAAGGTGAGCATTACATTTGAGTAAATACGGTATTTGATATTTGGTGGGCTGGGCATGTATGTTGCCATGGGCAACCTCCAAGGACTCTGACCCTTCCTGGTTCTTTTATTTGCATGGGACTAATTCTTATTTCTTGGTCCCAACAAATGCCCTTGTGAAGAAACTACTCCTAGGCAAACAGCACCCCCTCTTCCCAAAACAAGCAAAACAAACTCAGACAAAACCATACACATCAAACCACACACAGTAGGCCAAGCACAATGCCTGTCCAATAATCTAAAACATAAAGGAAAGGACACACAACCTTACCATGCAGTGACAGTTTTCTTTCTTACCAGACAGTGACAGTTCTCTCTCTTTTAAAAATTATATTTTTCTTCTTTTCAGTGTTTTTCTCTTTTCCATCCCAAATCTAAGACGGTTTGGCTGGGAGGCAAAGCTAACTCTTGGCCTCCACCTGCCCCACCCTCTTCCTTTCCTAATAAATTTGGGAATCCTCCTAGAGGTATTCTGGGAAGAAAGGAAAATGGCCAAACGGTTGAAAATTCCTCCTACAGGTAAAAATAGAAGGGGCTCGAGGCCTGCAGGGGACCCCTGACTTAAAGTATTTATCAACACAGGTGCAGGTATGGATCAGGTCCTGTAACCTGCGTTTTGGTTTGACTCCTTTATTTCTGCCACGCCAGAAGCCTCAGGATCTTCTGGCTCTTTGTTGCTGCCATTTGTGTTCTCTCAGAATGGGGCTGAATTTGAAACCTGAGGCAGTTCTCAGTAGGGGAAGGGGAATAAACTGAGGCGATACAGCCGCCTCCTCTCAGTTGCTCAGGCAGTATTTGTATTCTTTAATCCTAATGTTTCATTTTCTTTTCGCTTGGTTGCATGATCTTTTGCCCATAGCACTGCAGGCAGTTCCAGTTAAAGGCATATCCACGCTGAAACAAAAAGTGGGTTTGGACGTGGCTTGCAGCCTGAGGAACCTTGGGAAGTGTAGTTCTGTGAGGGAAGCAGGGCTGCCTGCCTGACAGAAAATAGTCGGCACCTTCAAAAAGTTATAATTCATAGAGTGGGCAAAGAACAGTAGCAACAGTTGACAGTGATTTTTAGGTATGTATTGCAGAAAGGTTATACATGTGGCGCGAAGGAGGTGGTAACATTCAGCAACAAAATCCTATCATAACTAGATTTAAACCAGCTTAATAGTCATCCCATATCCCCATAGAACTTTGGGAAGCACAAACAATAGTTTGAGGGATGGAAATGCTTGGGATCTTTAACCAATAACTCAGTCTTGTTTACTAATCTACAGCTCCCAGGATTGTTTGTGGATTCATGTGAGAGAAAACTGCCAAAGGTTTATATAGTAATTTGAGTGTAGGGCATTTGGCTGTTGAAATTATATTCAAGCTAATGTTTGTTTTTTGAAGTGTGTATGTGTGGTGTATGCATGTTTAATTTGGTGAGGGGATCTTTGTGATATTTGGGTTTAGAATTGAACGTACTCTCTGGCACACCTAGCTCCAGTGAAAGCATTTCTGTTCTGTGGGGCTGACGGCCCCTTTATACAGTGAGTTAATATAGAGTAATATGGGGGTAAATATGGATTTGTTTAATCCTTCAGGGAGTAAACCACAGGAGCTTAAACAAGTTTCAAGAAAGCCAGCAATCCACCAATAAGACTCTTCCCTAAAGATCATGGTTTTGGTTTTTCCTGGCATCTGTGCTTGGATTATATTTTACTTTTCAGAACCTCTTTTCTTAGTATTGCCTCTTACCGCTTTGTAGGCAGCATTGCTGTGAGGAAAAGCAAATAAAGAGGATGGACTGGGTGAAATTGCGTTCCTATTCCCGGAAGAGGCGGGCTCAACAGAATGTCCATTGTGCTTCTCCTATCCCAGCTGCGGCAGCATCTGCTGCTGTAGGTAAAAGGAATGCTAAAGCCAAAGGGAGTCGGCTGCGCCTAGATCTGCTTTCTGGACCTCGGCAGGAATCTCATGTCAGAAGTAATTGTTCATGCAACTACCTTGTCCTTCCCCATCACATCCCTGTTTGTCTGGATTAATTACAATATTTATTGTGTCTTTGCGTAGTGGCACAAAGGCCCTAACTACTCTACTGTGTACTGTCTAAAAATGTGTAGGGGTGAGAATGTACTCTTAATGTAGTCACTTTATGTACTCTTAATGTAGTCACTCTTAATGGAAACACTTTATTGGTGAAATTGGTAGTGGGGAAGAGGGTGAGGTGTTTGTGAATGTGTTGGGGGCTTATCTCACCTGCTATGTCTTGATGAGTATTGTAGAAAGCCGCTTGGCCTCCTAAATGCATTACATGGGACACAGAGATGGGGCTCATTGCTTTCCTTAGTTTGGTTTGTATTCATAGTTTTTGTCACAGTTGCTCAGACCCTGACAACACTGAGCTCATTACTCCAGTATGTGCTCCTTCTGCAACACTGAATGTCAACAGTGAACTCGGTCCTGATGTCAGTCTTTACCATCCCAGCTAAAAATCACCAGCTGCAAATACAAATCAACTGTCCCCAGGGCACACAAGGATGAATCCTACCCTTTGAGCCACCTCACAGTGGAATCCTGTCTTAGGATGCAAGCACCATTGAACCTAGTGAAACTTACTTCTCGGTAAACAGGCATAAGATGGGTCTTGAGCCAGTTGCTGTTTTGCTTTTTCCAAGGTTCTCACTGTTTTTGAAAGCAACACTCCTATCACCTGATGTTTTTCCAAGCTGTTGAATCCCCACCCTCTCAGGCCACTTTCTAAATTTATGGTGCTTTCTGGGGCTCCTCTGCTCAGCACCATTCTCTTACAGTGGGCAAAGACTCCTGTACGCAATTGTGTGTTCACATATGGTCTGCTGCTGCATGCTAGGATTTGTGGGGTGATGTAGTGTGCCCCAAACTGACATTAGAAGTCTAGTGGAGCAGTCCTATGTCTTCTCAGGAGTAGGTTTGTAGTATTCTGCTGAAACACCTGCATTGGCTGCCCATATGCTCCCAGACCAGGTCCAGCGTTCTCTTATACAAAGCCCTGATCAACGTGAGTCCAGGATACCATAATGCTTCCCTTAACCCTTATATACCAGCTCACTCACTGAGATAATTTGGAGAAGTACTGCTGGTTGTCCCCCATATTTCAGAAGCCTGATTGACTTCAACGAGAATTTAGGCATTTAGGATACCTGGTTCCATTCTGTGAACTCTTCCAGCCTAGATTATTCAGGCATTCTCACAGTTAATTTTCAGGCATCTCTTGAAGATCTTTTTATGCCAGAAGGCCTATGCAGCTGCTTAAACTTTTGAAGATGAGCCACCCATTTTGTGATTATTTTATATTTTTATGGTATATGTTTTATTGTACATGCATATTTTGTTGATACTTTATGTGAGGGAGTTTTCTATAAATATTATACATAGCATGCATGCATAAATACATACCGTACATATGTATGAGAGCCTGCAGGGCAGCAGTTGAAGAAGGAGCAAAAAGGGTGTTCTTGTGTGTGTGTGTGTGTGTTTCTTTGTGGCTGATTGGCTGCTCTCCCTGTGCAAAGGTCAGAGGGGGCAGGGTTTCTGTTGAGGCAGGTGATTAGCTGTGGGAGGAGCTTATCAGAGCTTGCAGGGCAGCGGCGCACGCAGTTTGATCCATCTTTTAGATTTAGGGAGCTAGTCTCAAACGTTTGTTGGGGAGACCTAGGTTTTTTTGTGGGGAGTTATTTTCCTGTCTTCACGCTTTTTATGATGGAGGACCGCTGTAGCCACCCCCAACGACACGTTCTCAAGATGGAGGAGGGAACAGCTGCAGTCGCCTGCGGTTCCTGCGCAATGTTTGCCATCTTGCCAAAGGTTGCAGGCAGCTTTACCTGCAGCAATTGCATGTTGATTGCCCTCTTAAAAGACAAAGTCCAGCAACTTGAGGAACGTGTAGCTACGCTCCAAAGAATTAGAGAGCTGGAGCTCTTCTTGGAAGCAACAGAGCACACCGTCTCCACCAAGGAGGAGACAGGGGACTCCCCTGAGAAGGACGCTAGTTCACCAACACAGGAGCCAGATATATGGAGAAACGTGACTCAAAGAAGTAGGAGGCCCAGGGTTCGCTCTGATTGTTTAGAAATACACAATCGCTTTGAGGTCCTCTCCCTAGCATGGAAGACGAAGAGCAGACTCCATTTGAGGATCTCTCCCTCATTACAGTCGATCAGGTATATGAAGACGAGCAGCAAAGTCAGTCCTCAGGGAATGTGCAGGCGACCTTGGAGCGGACAGCTCACAGAAGAACCCCGACCAAACCTAAGAGGAGGCGTGTAGTGGTGATAGGGGATTCCCTACTGAGGGGAACAGAAGCAGTGATCTGTGGGCCTGACAAGATGTCTCGGGAAGTGTGCTGTCTCCCGGGGCTAAGATCCAAGATGTAACTGAACGACTGCAAGGAATCATAAAACCCACTGACAAATACCCCTTCCTCTTGGTTCATGTGGGAACCAATGACACTGCAAGCAATAGCCTCCAGAAGATCAAAAGAGACTACGAGGCTCTGGGCAGGAAATTGAAGCAATTAAATGCACAAATTGTCATCTCATCTGTCCTCCCAGTTGAACGACATGGCCCAGGGAGAGAGGGGAAAATACTGGAAGTGAACAGCTGGCTTCGCAATTGGTGTAAACAGGAACGGTTTGGATTCTTAGATCACGGACTGCAGTTTCTTGAAGATGGACTTCTGGCAAGCGATGGGCTGCACCTCACAACGGTTGGGAGAAATGTTTTTGCCAAAAATCTCAGAAACCTCATCAGGAGGGCTTTAAACTGACTAATGTGGGGAGGGAGACAGTGCTCCTGAAGGTAGGAGTCTATCAATTGATGAAGATGATCATCCAAATGTCATAGACCAAATGGAGCAAACAGCACACAGACCTAGTGGTGGGAGGAAAAAATCCTTAAATAAGAGTCACGGGGGGATGATTAATGGACTTCAGTGTCTGTACACTAATGCGCAAAGCATGGGAAATAAACAAGATGAGCTGGAGCTCTTGGTACAGCAAACTAAATATGACATAATAGGCATCACTGAAACCTGGTGGGATAAGTCCCACGATTGGAATGTAATAATGGGTGGATACAATCTATTTCAGAGAAACAGACCAGACAAGAAAGGAGGAGGAGTGGCGTTATATGTCAGGGATGTGTATACCTGTGAAGAGATCCAAGATTTAGAACCTCAAAGCCAAAGTGAGAGCATTTGGGTCAAAATTAAGGGAGAGAAGAATAACAGTGACCTCATTGTGGGAGTTTACTATAGATCCCCAAGCCAAACGGAGGACATAGATGATGCCTTCCTGGAACAGATGGCCAAGCATGCAAAAGGAAGGGAGATAGTAGTAATGGGGACTTCAATTACCCGGATATTTGTTGGATGTCAAACTCAGCCAAGAGCATAAGGTCAAACAGATTCCTCACTGGCCTTGCAGACAACTTCATTGTCCAGAAAGTGGGAGAAGCAACAAGAGGAACAGCCATTTTAGATCTGGTCCTAACCAATGTTGATGACCTGGTTAGTGGGGTAGAAGTGGAAGGATCATTAGGCGCGAGTGATCATGCTCTTCTGAAGTTTACTATACAGCGGAAAGGAGCAGCCAAGCATACCAGGACTCAATTTCTTGACTTTAAGAAAGCCGACTTCATAAAACTTAGGGAAGTGCTGGGTGAGATCCCATGGACAGTAATACTAAAAGGAAAGGGAGTTCATGATGGCTGGGAGTTTGTTAAGAGGAGATAGTAAAAGCACAACGTCAGGCAATACCAATGAGACGGAAACATGGAAAGTGCCTAAAGAAGCCAGGGTGGCTATCTAAAGAACTTTTAACTGAGTTAAGATTAAAAAGGATGTGTACAAAAAATGGAAAAGGGGAAACCACCAAAGAGGAATTCAAACAAATAGCCAGCACGTGTAGACACAAAGTCAGAAAAGCTAAAGCACAGAATGAACTCAGGCTTGCTAGAGAGGTTAAAAGCAACAAAAAGGCTTTTATGAGTATGTTAGTAGCAAAAGGAAGAACAAAGAAACAGTGGGGTCACTCAGAGGAGAAGATGGTGAAATGCAAACAGGGGACACAGAAAGGGCTGAACTCCTCAATGCCTTCTTTGCCTCAATCTTCTCCGATAAAGAAAACAATGCCCGACCTGAAGAATTTGGAGCAAATGATTCAGCAAAGGAAACACAGCCCAGAATAACTAAGGAGATAGTACAAGAATACTTGGCTAGTTTAGATGTATTCAAGTCTCCAGGGCCAGATGAACTGCATCCAAGAGTATTAAAAGAACTGGCAGATGTGATCTCAGAACCACTGGCAGTCATCTTTGAGAATTCCTGGAGAACAGGCGAAGTCCCGGCAGACTGGAGGAGGGCAAATGTTGTCCCTATTTTCAAAAAGGGGAAAGAGAGGACCCAAATAATTACCGCCCAGTCAGTCTGACATCAATACCAGGGAAGATTCTGGAACAGATCATTAAGCAAACAGTCTGTGAGCACCTAGAAAAGAATGCTGTGATCACCAATAGTCAGCATGGATTTCTGAAAAATAAGTCATGTCAGACTAACCTGATCTCGTTTTTGACAGAATTACAAGCCTGGTAGATGAAGGAACGCAGTGGATGTAGCCTACCTTGATTTCAGCAAGGCATTTGACAAGGTGCCCCATGATATTCTTGTAAAGAAGCTGGTAAAATGTGGTCTTGACTATGCTACCACTCAGTGGATTTGTAACTGGCTGACTGACCGAACCCAAAGGGTGCTCATCAATGGTTCCTCTTCATCCTGGAGAAGAGTGACTAGTGGGGTGCCACAGGGTTCTGTCTTGGGCCCGGTCTTATTCAACATCTTTATCAACGACTTGGATGATGGACTCAAGGGCATCCTGATCAAATTTGCAGATGACACCAAACTGGGAGGGTGGCTAACACCCCAGAGGACAGGATCACACTTCAAAACGACCTTGACAGATTAGATAACTGGGCCAAAACAAACAAGATGAATTTTAACAGGGAGAAATGTAAAGTATTGCACTTGGGCAAAAAAATGAGAGGCACAAATACAAGATGGGGACACCTGGCTTGAGAGCAGTACATGTGAAAAGGATCTAGGAGTCTTGGTTGACCACAAACTTGACATGAGCCAACAGTGTGACGCGGCAGCTAAAAAGCCAATGCAATTCTGGGCTGCATCAATAGGAGTATAGCATCTAGATCAAGGGAAGTAATAGTGCCACTGTATTCTGCTCTGGTCAGACCTCACCTGGAGTACTGTGTCCAGTTCTGGGCACCACAGTTCAAGAAGGACATTGACAAACTGGAATGTGTCCAGAGGAGGGCAACCAAAATGGTCAAAGGCCTGGAAACGATGCCTTATGAGGAACGGCTAAGGGAGCTGGGCATGTTTAGCCTGGAGAAGAGGAGGTTAAGGGGTGATATGATAGCCATGTTCAAATATATAAAAGGATGTCACATAGAGGAGGGAGAAAGGTTGTTTTCTGCTGCTCCAGAGAAGCGGACACGGAGCAATGGATCCAAACTACAAGAAAGAAGATTCCACCTAAACATTAGGAAGAACTTCCTGACAGTAAGAGCTGTTCGACAGTGGAATTTGCTGCCAAGGAGTGTGGTGGAGTCTCCTTCTTTGGAGGTCTTTAAGCAGAGTCTTGACAACCATATGTCAGGAGTGCTCTGATGGTGTTTCCTGCTTGGCAGGGGGTTGGACTCGATGGCCCTTGTGGTCTCTTCCAACTCTATGATTCTATGATTCTATATGGACTTTATGCAAACAGAACACTGATGTTGCCATTCAAGAGTGGTGGTTCATCCAAGTCTCCTCTTTAGGAAATTTTTGATGGTGTTCACAATTATTTCCCCCACACCTGCAGTGGTTAGAAACAGCCATTTTTATAAATTGTGTGTGGGTGCCACTGACAACAACACCTGTTCTCATCTGTCGCCAAAATAATCTGCCCCTCTTGAAATGCAAAGAGCAGGTGGTAAATCTGAATATAGTTATGCACACTTAAGTCAGTGGTGGACTTTGGTCTTTCAGATTTCAGTGTCGCCTTGTGGGCAGCCAAAATTCAGCACCCCCCTTCCTCTCACCACCTGTTTGGCTCAATTCAGTACATCATAGTTGTGGTTCCCCCTACTGCGGTAGAACCAGTCATGCTGCCCTAAATCCACCTCTGCTTAAATCCTGTTGTTCCCAGAGGGATTTGCAGATTATTCTCAAATATTTTTGAAGTAAAGTGTTGCTTCATTGTGACATATCCCTCAGTCACATGACAAAAAGATCCTTGTCAGGGGGAGGAAGATAAAGACTAAGTATGGCTGCAGTCTTACCATATGGAGTATTTACCTGTGTGAAGAATAGGTGGAAATGTAACCTGTTGATGATTATTCTACCCAGTGCTTTTTTCTTGGGGGACGCAGGGGTACGCATACTCCTAAACATTTTGTGAATCTAGGTTTAGCCTCATTGAGGGGCAGTATTTCAATATGAGTAGGAAAATGAGAGGACCCCTAAACTTTTTTTTAAAGAAAAAAAGCACTGATTCTACCTAAACAGCTCTCAAAACTGCGCAGCAAAAGCCTTTGATCCAGATAGGCTTGGTTTACCAAGTGCATTAAATTGGACTGTCAGTAGGGGGAGCTTTTTGTCTTCTGATATTGTACTAAGTCTTGGGAGTATCAAGACTTGCCTTAATTTATTTTTTAAAGAAACTGATAGCAAAACCTGATGAAAATTAAAAGGTGCAAAGGAGTTGTTCTTGCAAATCTCTGGAGATTGAGAGCTTAACAGGTGTCTTGATTTCACAGTTGTACTAGGACCTTCCTTTTGAGAGCAGAAATTCCATTATAGTGCAACTCTGAGGTTTTCTTTTGCTCATTCTTTGTTGACTTGCTAGAGTTGTGTTGTCCGTAGCCGATACACAAACGAAACAAATGTGGAGTAATCTACTGACCTTGAAGAGAATCTGTTCAGGGTGGGTTAACATGCTTTTTAATGCACCCAACTGTATGTGCACATGTCTTTGCTTTGTTTGCATGCCAAACTATGGTGTATCAGGGCTATGCAGACTCCTGAAGAGGATCTCACAGCTGCTTTACTTCCCCCAAGTCATTTTACTCCTGTACTGCGATGAGTTTGGGTTGGCTTAGTTTGTTGTACAAACCTAGGCTCATGGTTAAGCTCTTTCCTTGTTTACCATGAGTTGCAACCAAGAACAAACCATGTAGTTACTATGACATATGAACTAGTCCTGCATATATTCCCATACATACCTAGGCAGCCACATCAATTGCAGAGTGAGGAATGGCAGGCCAGCCTAGGCAAACTGTTTAATGGAGCATTCCAATAAATGATCCCGCAGTGAGGTTTAACAGAAGGGTAAGTAGGCCATTCACCCAGTGTTTAGCAATCTGCTGGGTGAAGTGTTTGCCACCCTCCATTAAATGCAACTGCAGCAGGGAAGGGTGTTTCACCAAGCAGTTTAGCAAGCTGCACTTTGAAGGCCCTCTCCATTAAACCTCTCTTCAGCCATGTTTGGTAATCTGATGGGTAGATGGGAGCTTGCATCCAACACACCATATCCTTCAACCCTTGCCCCCGAGGTTTGAAAGCCCCATGGGTCACTTGAAGTCCCAACAATCAGGGCTTCAAAGGGAAATATTGCCTGGTGTCACTATGATGTCAGGTGGGCAGCATGGAGGGCGGGGACGGACTATGGGGTTTATGGGTGAAGTTTAAAGAATGGGGAGTTAGCCCAGGGGATTGGTGAGCAGGGGCAGAACCCCTTGTGTGTGTAAGTGTGTGTGTATGCGTCTATGGAAATGTAAGTTGAGTGGCTAATATACACTCAAAGAAAATGTGCACATAATCCATGAAGAAGAAACTGTGTACATTCCCTGTTCAATATAAATAATCTCAAACAGTCATGGAGGAATGTGCATATCTCGGTTTGAATTTTGCACATACTCGGGGCACCAGAAATAATTACATTGAAGCCCTTCACTCAGCACCTGTATACAAGTTGGGTGAATGCCAAACAACTGTGACGTCTTAACACAAAGAGATGATTCTTACTCTCTCTTTACAACAGAGCAAATCCTTTGGGTAAATGTAGGACTTTAGGTTACTATCAATTTATACAGTTTATACAATATTTGTTCTGTTGGATCATAATCCTGTGTTTGGCTAAACATTCACTTTTTTCTCCCTGTAGGACAAATTGGAAATGCCTTTAAAAAAGCATTGCCCAAAATTCAAGAAGCCTCTGGGGTGACCCAGATGGACTGTCTTTCAGTGGAACAAAGGTATAGATTCCAGTTATTCTATTATTGGATCTGGGGGAAGGTCTTGAGCACTTGAGGCCCCATAGATGTTGTTGGACTACAAATCCCATCAACTCTGACAATTGGCTATGCTGATGGCTTGGAGTCCAACAACTTTTGGAAAGCACCAAGTTCCACACCACCAGTCTAGAAACTGTCAATATGATGATGCAATTCAGCTTTAATTGTATTTATAGGCGTTATGGCCAGGACAGGAAGGACTTGCCTTGTTTTGAGCAACATCCCCAGAGCAATAATAACGCCAATTTCTGTTGTCAGTGTGTTGGTTTAAATTCAAATTAAAAGAAATCATTCTTCTCAGAAATTCCAGATATCAGAGTTGGTTTGAAATTGCCTATGAAAAATACAGACCCATATTTGTGCTGTATTCCCCCCCCCGACCCATAGCACTGAATTAAATGAAAATGAAAACAGAAGCATGGAGGTGAATAAAAGTATCAATAAAATGGGCACTGCTGTATTAAAGGTATGTATTTAATTGTTAAACCTCTTAAATCCCAACAAATCTATGTACTACTAGTAGGGTAAAAACGAAAGACTGCTGCACCTTCAGAGTCCAGCCAATCAAAATACATATACAGTATTTTGTATGCAGCCAGTGGTGTGTCATGGAGCTGGTTTGCATATCACACTAAGGCAAAATCACAATTAAGCCATGCTAGCTCCTAGGCAGCATGGTAAGTGGTCAGGGATGATGGGAGTTATAATTCAAAATATATGGAAAGCACCAGGTTGTTTCTGTATGTATTCTGTGGTTCTGACTTTAAAGTGGGGGCAAATCCATCTCTCTGAGGTACGTGGAAATATCAGGGTTTGCAGTAGTCACCAGCATAATTAGTGTACCAGCCTCTCTGATTGCTGGGAGAATTTTAGTGTGGAGGAATATTAGAAGTCATACTGTTTCAAGTGGTTGGTGTGGAACAGATGAACTGTCATAAAGACCTATGAATATTGTCCAGGCAAGTTCATGGTTATGCTCTATTCACATTGACTTGGATAGTGGCTGGAAATGTGCATCAATCACAATGAAATTTATAAAAGTTGACAATACCACTATAGAGGTTCAGTGCCCAGGAAATAACCACCATATGTGTTCAGCTTTAAATTATTCTCTCTGTCATGTTAGTCTCCACACAGAACCTCTGATCTTAACAGAGACTGTGCTTAGAAGAAATTCTGGGGCTTTGTGGTCAATGAGAAATTCCCCCATTCTGCTTGATGACCTTCTGCAGATGAACAATTTACATAATTTAAAATTGCTTCCATGTGGCCATTGATAATACATTTCAAATCCAAGAGTTGCTCTGATCAATGTTAAGGAATATTTTGTTAATGACAAAACTGTGCAGAACTGTTTCTTTCTGAGAAATTATTTTCATGAATTTTGTATGGTCATAAGGGAAATCACAGTTTTATCTACGTCATACCTTGTCATCTGCATCTTTCACTGTTGTTCTTAGGATTCTTTGCATTTAAGCTCTGCAAGTAAAGAGAGTGTGAGATATAGTGAAACTACATCAGGTGAGTATGCTTAAGCATACTGGATCAGGAACTGTATTCTTCTAAATATTATTCCAAGTTCCCTAATGTGACTAGTCCTCATGTTAATATTTTAGTTCCCCCAACCCAATTTTAATTCCCCCAACCCAACTCTGTGGCCAGTGCTGAAGCTTTCCTCAGGAGCAATTCATATCACTAGTGTTTCTTGTTCAGCCTTCTACATAAGAAGAAGAAGGGCAGGAAAAAAAATGAATTATTGGGTGAACAGGAGTGAATAACCTTTGGCCCTTCAGATGTTGCTGAATTACAACTCCCATAATCCCATAATCCCTGAGCACTTGGACTGCTGGAAGTTGTAGTTCAGCAACCTCTGGAGGGCCACAGTTTCTTCACCTCTGATCTAGAAATTCCAGTGGGTGTTCTAGATAGCTTTGCTGAATGCTTGGGCTTCAAGTTGGTGCTAGCAGCATTGGTTTAGGTCATGTACTTGGTTATGTATTATAACTAGAGATTTGCAGACCTTTAAAAAAACCGCAGAAAAACGTTTTTCCAGTTTTTTCCTATTTCCGAAAAATTGGAGGAAAGGTTCTTCCCCCCACTATTTTTTCTTGGGGGGGGGGAGGAATTCCAGGCCTTCACATCAGTAATTATAACAGACTTCTAAAAATTCAAGTAGATTTTGAGCACCAGTCTGTAGACCAGGATATAACTTTTAATGCCTTGCGGATCTGTATAGCCCAAATATGTGGATAATAACTTAATATTCATTCCCATCAACAATCCTTTTAATTGACTGCTCACAGTGTCTAATGGCACCTAAGTCCTAGTCTTATTTCCACCCTAATCATATTGTGCACTTTGGGTCATTTGGTCCACTGCCCATCTGATGAAGAAAAGGGATCGCCAGTTACTTTGTTGAAATCCTCAATATTCTTATGAAAAATTGTTAATATATTATAAACCTGTTCTGTTCAGTTTAATTAACCATTTTAAACCATGGCACTACATAGAAGTGGTGCTGTTTATCATTTCCAGGATACCTACAGTATTTCTTTTATATAGAATAAATATATTACTGTTATGATGGAAGCTGAACATTGCATGTATACTGAAACAAGTGCAGAGGTTTGAGTATTGGACTAGGAGACTATGGTTCAAATGCGCTTTCAGCCATGAAACTCACTGGGTTACTTTGGCCCAGTTGCCATCTTTCAATCAAACCTCCCTCACAGGGTTATTGTGAGGATAAAAGAGGGATGGAAAGAACCATGTGGATGTATGTCACCTGGAGCTCCTTGGAGGAAATTTAGGACATGTAACGTAATAATAAATGAAAACTAATCCAATTGAACCTATTACTGTTGCTGTTCTCCATCCTTCTCTCATGTGGCCTGCCTTCTGTTCACAGGACTATATTGTATAACCTATTGCAACATACAGTCTTTTTATTTCAAACTGAAACCCAGATCTTAACATTTGTATGCATTTATAGGTGCCCAGCATATCAGGGTACCTGAATGAGCACTTTAAGACAGAGCAGTGTCCTGATCTCATTTTCCCTTTATTTCCAGGAATGACTTTACCCACAGGTGTTTCACATTTTCTGCTGCAGTGTTTGGATGAAGAGTCTTCTCTGTGCTCTAATACAGAATCTAGTGATGGAGCAAGTACTTATTCATCACCTGAGATATTCAGAGATGAAAACACATTAGGTATGCATGCTTATGCTCTACATGTGGGAGTGACCGTTTGAGAAAAGCATGTGTGCTCTCATCTATATTTTTTAGTTGCAGAATGTATGGCAGAAATTGGGAACCTGTGGCCCTCCAGATGTTGCTTTCTTTTCAGCCCCAGCAAGCATGGCCAATAGTCAGGGATCATAGTATCTTAGAATTTGTAGAGTTTGAAGGGATCACGAGGGTCATCTAGTCCAACCCCCTGTAATGCAGGAATATTTTGCCCAACATGGGGCTCAAACCCATGACCCTGAAATCAGGGTCTAGTAGACTCATGGTCTACTGACTCAGCTGTCCCAGAGAGGAAAAACATTTGGAGAGCAGTTGACTCCACATCCCTGCTGTAAGGCCTGACTACATTGCATTTTTATTTGCTTAATCAAGCCCATCACATAGTCAAGTGGGGAAAGCTTTGCTAATTGATTGTTGCCAAATGCCTCTTAATTTGGTCAGAGAATGACCATTTAATCCAAGGCTAGAGTTCAGAGTGTCCTTGGCAATTCTTGACCTATACTACATTTTTTTGATTGGCTTAACCCCAGCACTGGGCAATCAACCATGCATCAATTGCTGAACAAGTGCTTCAAATTACATTCTCAATTATTGTTTGTAGGGAGGGGATCTAAAGTCTTTACACTTTATGCCATAATAAGCCAACTGAAATCTGTGGAGGTTCTTCAAGAGTGATCAGCTTACAAATGCAATGTTAGCAAACTTAGCATTGTAGAATTTCAAGCATTTTAGAAAGACGGTAGCAACCATATTGTGTTATGTGTTTTAGAAAAAAGCACTGGTCCAGAAGAATGCCTTGGGCACAGGAATTCAACCCTCTTGGATACCAGCAAAGCCATCAACATAGACAAGATGCCACATGTGCCAAATCTTTCACAGATATTGGGTAACCTTGAAAATGTTACATAAGTGTTTGGTTGCCAGCTTGAGTTTAAACCTTTCTTTGATGCAGAGGGCAGCAAATGTGGGTGTCGGGAACTTGAGTTGGTGCTTCCACACTCCAAGTGGCAGAGTTGGATGTCTGGAAATAAAGCAGCTTGATGATGAGACCATGGGAAGACTAAAATGGTTTGAAAAGGAAAGATTAAGCATCCTAGACACAATTGGTCAAGCTACAGGGTGGGGCAAATTCGTATATCCTTTTCTTCAGTCCGTCTCCTGTGTCAAACCAGCATCTATTCAGGGCTCCCCCAGCTGCCCAGCGACTTACTATGACAACTTCATGGTTAGCTCCAGCACCTATTTTTCTTGGGGAAGAAGCACTCGGAACAAATGTCAATTTGTTTTTCTGTGAATTGACGTTTGTTCCAGTTCAGGGCTAAACAGCTGATTTTCCTGGGGAAAGCAAGGGGCAAGCAAAAATCCTCTTGGACCCATACCTTGAAAGCACAGGACAAGCAGAAAAGCTCAGACCTGTGCTTTCTGGGCATGGGGCAAGCAGAGGTGTGGATGAGCCCTATGTTGTGCTGTATTGCTCTAGCTTACCTTGATCACACTCTTCACATTTGATCTCTTCTAGAAACCACTTTAGGAAAAAAAGACCAGAGCATTACAAGGTAATACCTAAGCAAAATATTGTTACATGCCACCCCAGTCTCCGAGCGGTGTGAGATTCCAGGGGTTCCAGGTGCTTGCCCAGGGATTGTGTTTCTAAAGAAATGAGCCACAGCGGAGACTGTGATGTCTTTAGGGTATACGGTTTATTTACACATACTGTATATACAACCTGAGTCTACGATGGAGGGGTTCAAAGCATTAACACTCCAAAAGGTTCTTGCCCCTCCCATGGCCATAGTCTTGGATGCCTGCAGAAATCAGCCATCACCCTCTGGTCAGCTTGCTATGTTTAACAGACTGCCACTTTTCTCGCGGGCTTGCTGACACAGCCAACAACTATTTTTTCTCCAACCGACGTCATCCCCAACTGCAATCCTAAAAACAACTGCTCTCCTTCCAGTTCTAAAACTCTACTTCAGAGGCTTTTGTCTTTCTAGCCAATTATGAGTTGAGAGAGGGGGTCGAGTATCTGACACCCAGGAATTATAAGCAGGGTCCAGGAACTAGAAAGGGAATTCAGGCACCCCACAAACGCATAACAATATTTTTTTGTGACTGCTCTCTTTTTTAGAGACAGTATATATGCAACTGCTTGGAGTAATGACTCTGATTGTGGCAGCTACATAAAGCACTGCCTTCGCCATGGCCATTAAGAAGCAACAGCTGTAGCCAGGGAAATCCCCTCTCACAAAGAGAACACATTGGTGGAGCATCCCATTATGGCAGAATTGAAGATATTAATTGGTCTGTTGACTCATTAGTCAGTGTATTTTCACTAGATTTGAAGTGATATTAGCCAGTTAGGAAAGAAATCACTTGGATCTTAATGGAAATTTTGTGAGCAGCTAAGCATATAACTACTTTCTTACTTTCGCCTTTTTATTTTCTTACTGTGGCAGGCTATCAAAGCAGAAATCACGTTCTGAATTGACAGATGTTTCAGCTGTAGTTGCAGGTAAATAATGTTATTTAAAACAAACAAGTTGCAAGTTATGTGACACGACTAGCAGATTTGTTTTTGCTGTGTGCTTTTAAAATAACAAGTTCAGGCCACAGGGCCTGTGTATAATGATGATCCTGAAAGGTTGCCCCTCTTTGCCTGGCTTGGTGGCCCTCCTGGCATTGAAATTCCTTTAACTCAAACAGCTGCAGAGCCGAAGAAGAGGTGAACATGGAAGCCAGCACTAAAGCAGAATGAGGGAAGTAAACATGCCATTGCCTCTTCCTCAGTCAGGCAATTAGAACACTGCAAGGCATGGCAGGAACACTGACTGCAAACAGGGAAAATGCCGGCGGTTATTGAAAACAAAACGGCAAAATACAGTGGCTCCTCCTGGCTGCAGACTGCACCCCAGTCCTTCCTGGTTACCATGGCAACTGTGTTTGTGGACTCTTGAAAAGTGATTCATCCAGAGTAGCTCACCCCCACCCCATTTTCATACTTGCAGACACACATACTGTACCATTTAAGAATCTCATTCCACTAAAAAAAAGGGAAAGAAAGAGAAAATTGAGTGAAAAGGACAAGCCACATAGTGTTAAGGGGTGGTTAAAAGCTCAGAAATTGAGGCCAAATGAATGGCTCTGCAGATCAGCCAGTAAATGACTGCAGATCAGCCCATGACCCCCAAACTGCAGCACAAAATTGAGACAGAGAAGTAGCTGGGCCAATTTGCACAGTCAAATTGAAGAATTATTTTTCTTCCTGTTTTCTCAGGGAAACAAGTGTGCAAAATTTTGCCTGCAAAGGAAAAGACACCTGAATTGCAATCTTTTGGAGCCTCCTTATTGCCTCAAAAACAAACAAAAAAGGTGACAAGTTTAATGTTCATAGGTTGCTATGTGTGAATTGGGATAGTGGTGTGGTGGACAACTAACTGTAGTGACACAACCATGGAAAGATAGCTCGGTAGAGTATGAGACACTTAATCTCAGAGCCGTAGGCCATGTTGGGGAGAAGATGCCTGCATTGTAGGGGGTTGGACTACATGACCCACATGGTCCCATCCAACTCTACAATTCTATAATTTTATCCATCCTACCTATAGATGAATCTGGATAATAAATCTCCAGTTGACTGTAGTCCTTTCATTCATTTTTTAAAAAATCCAGTAAGGGGTCATCATGGGTTTACTGGGGATGGGGCTGTAGTCCTGGCACACTTCCTGGCCCCATCTTTAGATGAGCATTCTGTTACCCTGGATCAGTCACCCTGCCCAAGGGGCAGGGGCAAGAGCTCAAGCAGTAATCACATGACGGCAGCTTAGTGCCAGTGATGAGTGAAGGGGGCTACACTTGATGTTACAACTTCAGAATAGGTCATGCTATGGTGGCGCAGTGGGATTGTTAACCCTTCCCCTGCTTGCTGACTCTGCTCTCACAATTCTTCCTTGGTCCTCCCCATGCACTTTATGGGTCAGCTTTCTGTGTTCCATTGTAAATGGAATTATTTGGGTGCGTAATGATTAAGCACCTCTTGTTTTCTTTCTTTTGAAGTTGGATTTCAAGTTGACCTTGTGGAAATCATGGAACATCCAATTATAAAATAGCAGAATTAAGGTTGTCCCTTCAACCTGTCTTAAATAGCCACCCAAATAAAAATGTTCTGGTAACTTAGGCTCTAAATTTGGTAAACCTTTGGAGAAGGAAGCTGCTATACCTGAGGCATCCGCAAAAGAAACTCACTGGGCCCTAGTGGTACAAATTCAGTTTTTTCATATATTATAGAAAGGTGCTCCCAGCTTATCTTTCAACTAAGCTTTTTACATAATATGAAACCACTTCCCATCTAGAATCACTAGTCAATGGCTATTACTTGTTCTTCTAAGTGGGTGTGGCTATCTTTTCTTCTGTGTAACTCCTTAAATAGTTGACAGTGTGAGTTCAGTGAAAAGGCCAAAGTAGAGGGGAAACCACTCCCTTGCAGAATTTTCCTTTTACAAATATGTTTGTGTGTGTGTGGTCTTGATAAAAATAAAGGGTGGCTTCTGTTCATGATGAAAAGAAAGCTATTTGTTAAAAGAAAAAACTGTGCAAAGACAAGCTTCATAACAGATATCTAGATTGCTCCTCACATTGCCCTTTTGGCCTCACACTGAGATTTTGGAATTGGGAATTGTTAGTGTTCTGTGCTGAGATCATTTGGAACGAATCTCATGTTTTTAGTGAACATAAAATGAGTCAAGCACTCTATTGGCTGGCCGTCTTCCAGGGACTGTCATGTGATCCTAGTCCTAATGAAGTATAGTGCAGCGACTAAAACCTTGATTTAAATCTCATCTCTCCTCTGCCATGAGATTACAAGTTGGCCTTCAGCAAGCTGCTATCTCTTTCTCCCTTCCCTGCAACATGAGGATAATAAGTGAGAATTTCATCATGCTATTGTTCATAAGAATTACTGAGATGTATACAAAGCGCTTCAATTGCTCAAAATGCTGTCTAAAACACTTTTAAGTACATCCCTTACAAGTGTTGATGATACTACTATACAATTCTTCATGTTTCTGTAGACTAAAGATCAGCAACCCAGGAAAATGAAGTGCACAAAAAGAGTACTGTTTTCCTCATCCTCATCCTCTCCTTATGTATTGGGTCCAGCCAAGTTTTGCGGAATCGCAGCTGAAACCTTAGGCTCTGCACAGCCAGGTACTGGCATGGTAAGTTGTTTTCAACTGCTAAGCTTTAAGGGAATGGGGAGTGCTGCACTTGGGGGTTAGAGAGCTGCTGTAAGGCTAAGAGATGCAGAAACGAATGGTGCTATGGGAAATTACAACACAAAAGCTGGCAAAAGACAAAAGTGGCACTAGTTAAACTAGGTGTCTGGAGACCTGGGGTCTTTGGGATGTTGTTAGACCCCAGCTCCCATCGTCTCTAACTATTGGACACACTGGCTAGGGCTGATGGGAGGTTGGGTCATGTTAAATAATATGGATGAGCCTTTTGTGGTCTATGGGTTGAATTGGACCCATAAACCCTCTTCAAAATTGGGAGTCTCTCTTCCCTTTGGCATGGTTCCACTGATAGGTGTACTTAGTGTTCAGGAAACAGGAAGTAGTGCTTCAGGTGGCTTTTGCCCCCTGCTTTCTAGGTGCAGGTCTGGGCTTTAAAGCTCAGTGTCTGAGCACTCCCCCACCCACCCACCCACCCGCCTACGCTTTCCCCAGGAAAACTCTCTCTTTAATGCAGAATCAAAACAAATGGCAATTCAGGTTTGGGGCAAATTGCCATTCGCTCTGATTCAGTGATAAAGAGTAGGGCTTTGCAGGAAAAGAACTGGCGCAAAAATAAAAGTGCTTGGATGGGGAGCATTAAAGCACAGACCTATGTCTAGAAACACAGTACAAAAGGAAGTCTGGATGAGCCCAGAGTCTTCTCAGACATGTTCACTTGACATTTGCTTTCAGAATGAATTCAGAGTATCCTGCGATACAACCAAAGCAGTCTGTTTACAGGAAAATCTGGTTATCTGTTTAAAATGGATTTCTCTCTTATAAAGGAATTCAATTTGGAAACTGGATGGGCTGCAGGTGGATGTTTTATATGAAGGAAATTAAATATTTTAAAATTAACAGCAGAACAGATTGCTCTTGCTATTTGCTTCTGATAAACTTTTATGTCTGTATCGGAGAGCAGTTCCAGAGTAGTGAACATAAGAAACAATAAAGCGCTGTTAACAAGTGCAGCACTTCTACAGACAGAAGATTTAGAGTTTAGCAAAATAAGCTCAAAACAAATGTAACCATTTGCATTTATTTCCAATTGAATGATACAATGCAATGAAATGTGTTTATATTTAAAACATCAGGGTCTTGGTGTTGTTGTTTGTATCAGTTTCAGACGGCCATTTTCAAACCAGTTTTGTGGGCCAAAAGCTATATCTCATTTATCTGCAAAATTTCCTGGCTTTTGAAATGTTTCTCAGTACTGTATGTGCTAGTAGCTGTTTTGAAATCTGGGGGACACTTTAGGCAATACCTTTCCTGTGTAGAAAATAATCATCATGCAGGAAGAAAAGTACTTGCATTCATATAAAAATTGCACATATATAACCGTTGCGGCTTCCAAATATGTGGCAAAATAGATGTCGGTACTGGTGGCCAGAGTGTAGGGAAAAAGCTGTACATCTCCACTTACCTGTTGTTCAAATCACAAACTAATTTCTTTTCTTGCTTTTTACTATTTCATTATTATTATTATTATTATTATTATTATTTATTAAACATGCATCTCTTAAGATACACAAAAGGCTTAAAAGAGATAGGGATTGGCTTTGTGGTAGTGTGTGGATTTCACTCTCGGTCTACTCTGTTCAATGTGCCACACTAGCTTTTTTTAAAAGGAAAGAAAAGAAGCACAAACAAACTGTAAGATTGCCTTCCTTTGCCTTATCAGTAGTTTAGGTCATCCTGAAGACAGGTAAGTATATATTCAGAGATTCTCAAGTATTACACTAAATGTTCCGCTCAGTTCAGAAAAGCAGTATGCATGTGTCCTTTTGTCTTCCTTCTGACAAACAACTGCAGTTACCCCCTAGGGCTATAGTAGTGTGCTGGGAGAAAGAAGCTGAGTGACCTGTGACAGTCTGACAGTCACGTGCTGAAAAAGAGAAGGCTAATTGTCATTCTTCCTCATGACTCAGACAGGCTGTATATGCAAAGTATAGGATGCCAGGAGGGGACTCATTTGAAAACTTGCTTGAACTTTTATTTGAAGGATCTTAGATCCGTATTAATGAGAGTGCTGTACATTTTTGTTTTGTTTTGATATAGTTGGACTCTTCATCAATGCATAAAGTCTCACTCGGTGAAGCTTCCTTGCCAAGCACAGGTCGTTCAAATGTAAATTCAAAAGAAGTCATTCCTGCTTCCCTGTCTCCAGAAAGTGTTATTCATCAGGTTATATCTCTATTATATTTTTCCCTTTGCGGCAGTGCTAACCAAACATACTTAGGAGTGTGTGTGTGTGTGTGTGTGTGTGTGTGTACATACTTTTAAATAGACAGGGCAGGAGAACATGTCAAATGATTCCAAAACTCAAAATTGCCTATCTATGGTAGGTGAGGACAGGATATTTAAATAGAAGTCATGTTGTGAGGCCTGTCCCAAACCTGTTTGATTATACAAGCAGCTGCCACGAAGAAAGTCCAATGTGGAGCTGCATTTAAAAAATAAAAAAGCACAAGCAAGAATACGCAGTACTTGGCCACATCTTACTTATTTTAAACTTTAAGACAATGCACTTTTGCTGAAAAAATAGCAGAACCAGGGTTTTTTTCCACCCAGAGCCTGTAGGGGGTGAAAAGAGTATGTTTGTAGTGAACACATTTAGGGCACCTTCCTGTTGGCGGAATGTCCTACATAACATGGCTTTTTCCAGATATTAAAATTAGAACCATAGTTTGGTGTTATCGTTAATGAGCAGCACCAAGCCTTGAGCTTGTGAACTCCCTTCTCCTTTTCCTTTGGTACAGCCTAAAGGGGACTGGATGCGGGGATGTGGGTGGCACTTTGCTTTTAAACCAACCATAATTCCTCATTATGTTCAAACTCAAGAGTTCTCTGACTAGCATAAATGATGCTTTGTCAGGATCATAGAATCATAGAATCATAGAATCACAGAGTTGGAAGAGACCACAAGGGCCATCGAGTCCAACCCCCTGCCAAGCAGGAAACACCATCAGAGCACTCCTGACATATGGTTGTCAAGCCTCTGCTTAAAGACCTCCAAAGAAGGAGACTCCACCACACTCCTTGGCAGCAAATTCCACTGTCGAACAGCTCTTACTGTCAGGAAGTTCTTCCTAATGTTTAGGTGGAATCTTCTTTCTTGTAATAGAAAGAAGGATCAAATATGATTTACAATCCTGACTTTCTGTCTAACTGTTTTTGAGCTCTTGAGTTTCCTGAGTTAAGATGCAAACAAAGGAACTCTGCTTTGCTTAAGTGGAAGCAAATGCTTCCAGGTTCTTCCTCATGGCCACTCTGGAGGAGAAAAGGGGAGAGGGAGCATGGGAGCCCAAAGCTATTGGTTCATAATTCAGTGCTGCATCAAAGCCCAGTCTATGCCTCGTAGGATGGCCTAAGTTTTGTTCCATTTCTTTCAGTGTCTACGTAACCCTCCAGAAATCTGCTGTATCATTAAAGCTTCACCAGGATCTAGACCACTGAAAGTTCTCCAACGCCCACTGAAAAGAAAAAGAGTGTTTCCCCCACCAGGAGCAACTGAAGGTAAAGCAGGACAGGGGATACAGAATATGTATTTATTGTGAGAACCCCTTACACAAGGAAGAGATTTGGGGTGGTTGTTGTTTGTTGTTGTAAACTGTTGAAGCTCCTGTTTTTGACTGAAGGAATCCTTACTTGTAAGTATAGGTTGTGCCACAAAACTTCCCTTCTGTTTGAATCTACAAAACAAATTGCTGGGGATATGAAGGACATTGGGCTTGGACTTGGGTTCAAAGCCCAGCTCAGCCCAGAACCTGCCAGGTCACTGGGCAAATCTGATTACTCAAACATTGTGAGAGATGTAGCTGAATGGTAGAGCATCTGCTTTGTATGCAAAAGGTTCCAGGGTTCAACCCCTGGCTTGCCCAGTTAGAGCTGGAAATGTCTCTAGTCTGAAACTCTAGAGAACCACTGCCAGTGTAGATGAGATGCTTTCATGCAGAAAGAAGATCCCAGGTTCTGTCTGGCACCTCCAGGCCAGGTTGTAGATATGATGGTGGGTCTCCTGGGTGGCAGAATCAGGGAGATTAGATAGCTCTGTAAGTCAATTAAAGTGATATGTTTTCTTCAAAAAGTGAAATTGAAGTTAATTCCCAATGCAAATTGATTTCTTTTTCAGATATTATTACCAGTTCAAAATACTAGATCTACAGGAACAATAGGTAAGTACTGCTGCATGTAATGTGGGGTAGGGGAGAGAAAGAGAGGGTAGCACCTTCTAGAAACCTCAGCAGCATCCTTCTTAACCTGGGGCCCTCCAGATGTTGTTGGACTCCCTCCCAGTTCCTATCATCCCAGGTAGCATGGACAGTGATCAGGGATGATGGGACTTAGAGTCCAACGACATCTGGAGGAAACTAGGTTGGGGAAGAAGCCTGCCCTGCAGCTGTATTATATGGGCAGTGAGTTCAGTAAAAAAGAAAAAAGAAATGGACACCTAAGTCCTATCTGAACGAATGGGACTGATGTTCTTTATATTATGTTGATGCCCCAGTGATTTCAGTAGTTATTTTCTTTCTAACTTTTCAAAACATTTTGTTTGTCAATGGTACATGATCTTCTAAACTGCAGCTTTATTGTCACAGAGTATTTAAAACACCTGAAAATATAGTGTGGGGGCCTTTATTGTTACCTTGAGGGAAAGTATTTTGTTTCTTTATGGGCTGTTCTCTAAGGGTACAACATTTCCTTTACTTGTTAAAGGAGAAAAAAACAGGAAATTGAGAACATGGAATGGTAGGAAGAAGCTGAGCTGCACGTTTGGATTTCGTTAAGTTTGAAAGTTAATGACACCAAAAAAGATCCTGAAAATACTTACAGTTCTGGAAATCTATATTCTGGTAGGTAAAAATAAGATCAGGAATTATAAAAGTTAGTACAAGTGTTTACCTCATGTTTTGTATATACCGCTATCCTGTATTGCAAAGCACTTCTTTATTGTAAAATGTGTGCTGAATATACTTCTGGTAGCTCTCAGCCTGATTTCTAAAACTTAACTTTAAGTGCTTCGGTTTAAGCCAGTTTAGGATAACAGCATCTACTTGTAAATCTTAATATTTCACATCAACTGGTCTTGTGAAACTGACTTGTGTGTGAATATGGATATGGATTTGAAACATTAAGCTAAGATGTGTATATGTAGAAAAATGAGGTGCATTTTGTTAGAGTCAAAGTACTTGCATCTGAATTCAGAATGAAGTTCTAACCTTTAACATTTGGCATAAGAAATGCTCTGTTCCTACCTACTTATTTCATTTTGTGCAAGTAGACTCTGGTCTGCCCACTTAGGACAAAAAGTGTACCCTATGAAGTTTTGTCGGTAGCGTGATACTGACTGTACATTTCTATGTGTAACTGCTTAACCTATTTTTTAAAAAAAATGTAGAGTGGTGTGCAGAAACCTGCCCAACTTCTGTACTGAATACAAAATCTGCACCACTGCATAAGCATACATAAAAGGAAAGTTCAAAGGAAACATTTTGAGTCTTCATTTGTTTAAAGTGGAAAACCATTTCCACCTGCATGCACCCTCCCTACCATGAGTCACAGAGTGTAGGAGGAAGACTGGATTGTCTAACGCTAATTACTAACTTTCGCTTATAATGTAAAGGGAAAGAGTAGTCAGGAGACCCAAATCATGCAAACTGCCTGAATTTCAGTCTTGATTCCAGCCTGAACTGCTGGTATCTGCCTCTGCTTCCTGTCACTTATTTTCAGCTGCCATTCTGGAAGCCTAAGCCAGCCCCTGTAGCTGTGTTTTTACAGTGCATCTTGACGCATAAATATTAGCAGATCATATGTTGTCTCTATGCTGCAAAACTTTTTACCTGTTCATTTCTTTACATCTAGTTGCAGTTAAAGACAGAAGAGTAAGTGGAGCCATTGGGTTGTATCCAAGAAAGTTGTCCTGCCTACACAACAGGGCTTCCACTTCCTCTCTTCTCCCCCCACACCACCTCCCTGTTTCCTCTGGAGGGTTGGGAAAACCTCAGAACTGATTGGGAGAGGGGTGTGCAGGGAGAGCAGATGCTGTTGCATAGAGGGGTGGTAACCACTTTTTAGGTCCTCCCAGAAAGGCACTGAGGCTGGGAATCTTTTTCCGATAGCTCAAGCTAGCAGCATTCTCTCTTTCATCCAACATTCTACTCTTCAAGATGGGGATAATACAGAGCTGATGTAAGGTTTACAGTGTGTGAATTTGCCATTGTTCAGCTCTTTCCATCCTTGGAATATGAGGTCTCCTCAGTGGAGAAACAGGGACATCAGAATTCCCCAGCAGATCTCTACACCACCAGTGATCCTGAAGAGATTTTTGTATCCCTATTCCAGGTCACCATACCAGCTGACTGGGTTCCAGGCCATCTCTTCGTGTCCCACCCCTTGTCTCCCAACACCACAGGAGCCAAGATGGGGAGCCTAGCAGAAGCTTCAGAGCTACCACCAAAGTGCTCAGCTACCTGCACAGGAGGCTACTTGGGAGAAGGGTGAAGTATATGGAAGCACCTATGAAGATCAGCACAGGATGGAACCTCTGTCTCTTATTGCTCATCCACACTTCCACTAGTCTCATGCCTAGAAAGCACCATGATGCCTGTCAAAACTGCTGATCACATAAGGTTCTGTGGACATCCTTATGAATGTAAGGAGAAAGATTTCAGCTAGCTTTATTTTGAAGACCTAAGATACATGCAAAAATAAATACATTTAGAATGACAATGAACGTTGGTGTCTCAAGCGGGTAAAAATGTAAACAAAATCTGGAGAACGATTCTTCTAGAATGGTGTATGTGTTATAGTGAAATGGTTGTCTACAGGTAACTGTTCAACCTCACAGTTTCTGTCTTCAGAATATCATACCGTGTCACACTTGTTATTGATAGTGTACTAGAACTTGGATTTGGAGACAGCAGCATTAACCAAATTAGTCTGAAAGAATAATTTATTGCATTTGCTCCACGTCCTCGTGAAGACAAAGCTGACCTAGAAGTTATCTGTGCATTTGAAGAAAATATCCACTATGCTACATGTTCCTGTGCAAATAACACCAGTGGCGGAGGCGTTTTAAGATTGTTTCAAAAGGTGCATTTGATGAAAATACCAGATTTGATTAATATTTTAGCATGAAGATGTGGTCATGCTAATTTAGGCCAAAGTACTTTTATGGACTTCAATCAGCCTTACGTACGTTAAGAGTGTCTCCTTGATTATATTTGTATGCATGGGGCTTCCATGTTACAATATGCAGCTGCTGGCCTGCAGTGTGTGCTACCTGTCACTAAACTATAGGGTACTCCACATACATTTACTTAGTGGTACTTTGTTGCAGTTGTGCCACTAGTGTATATATAATTGTTGAAAACCACTTTTTGGAATCAGATTCTTAAAGCTCAGTAAGTACTGGGGGGATGAGTTTCTCTTGTCTGACTAAGGATGAATTTGGTAAGATATTATTTCTGGAAGAGTAATCAAGAAGGTGAAGATAATCCTCACTGATTGACGGTTTGCTACTTTTTAAACAACTTTATTTAGACTGTGGAGCTTAGTCTCTGCACGGTTTCCTTGATGCTATTTTCCAAAACATCAAACAGGACAAGGTCACCACACTAGGAAGATTCACCTCTGATGGAGGCCTTCAATGCTGTTGACACAAACACAGCAACGTACTTTGAATGACAACAAGTTTCTGATTCCAGCCGGGAACCATCTGCATGAGGTAGCTGTGCAGGGTGTCAGTTTAAACTTCATCTTGCATAATATAAGCCTGGTGGAGGTGAAGAGAGACAGAATCTGTTCCTAACAAAAGCCCTTGCTTATACAGAAGGGGACCCTCCAACCATACTCTAGTCCAAGACTGGCTGAAAATAATAATACTTACTCCTTGATAAACATGTCAACAAGCATCAAATTGATTTATGCAAGTCCTATCAGTTGATGACTGCACTTCAAGTAGTAACTTGCGTATGTGAATGACGTCTTGAATTAAAGACCACCAACAGAAATTCTATCTTGCAAGAAACATGAGACTTTTCAATGGAGTAGCCAGACTAGATATCTCACCCTTCCTGCATTGTGCCACCAGTGGGTGGAAGCCAGCTGGGTTCCTGGAGAGACAGAGTGACATCTTTTGGTTGGCTGGTAGGAGCCAATCACAGGCTCCATCTAGCATGAGATGGGTATGTGTGGAGATAACCAGAATGAGGAGTCTCCTCCAGTCTGCCTCACATGTATACTAAAGGTGAAAGCCAATGTCGATGTAACTTGTGTGAGATTTGGGTTGCTACTGAATTCCTGTAAAGCAAACATGAATTCCTTGTATTGACAAAGAGGTTTTTTAGCCAGGTAGGCAAGATTGCAATCCTCACCCTCATGGGCCATCTTAGGTGCAAGGAACAACTCACCTGTCGACCACCTGACAAATGCCAGAGGATTATCCCACCCACCTATCAAAGTACCTTGCATGGCATGTGGGAACCACAGCACAAGGTGATCTGCCAGTTCTCTGCTTGGCAAAGTGCCAAATATAGGGTTGGCGATACTGGCTTTCTGCAGGATTGGGCTGTGTGATCAGGATTCCCAGCTGATCTGCTTTAAATCGTCCATGCTTTAAACCATTCTTCCCTATTAAGTTATGAATGAAGCTACTGACTACACAGTCCTGTAATTTATTAAAATGTCATGAACAAGGCATCTTTGCTATGCTGTGTTTTTCTACTCTGCCCGTCCCCTGCCCAGTTAAATTGGACTGGAAACAGAACATGATTTTGTAGTATCCTATTGGACACTTAAAGGTTGCGAGACACAATCATAGTACTCATAGAAGTAGCTGCTATTCCCTAAAGTCATTGGAACTGCTCCTTGAGAAACAAGGGCTGAAAATAATCCTTTGAGGGATTTTAATGACATCATCTCAGATGAGTCACATTCCTAACTTGTGGGAAATGTGCAGTGCAGATTTGACGCCTGATCATTTTATGGCATATAATGGGATTTATATGCTGTGCCTGCTGCTCATGGGTAAGTATTTGCAGAATTGGAGCCCCTCTAGACATGGCATTTTAAAGTGCAGCAGCAGAAATAATTGAGAGTGGAATTAGCAAATGTGTGATGTCTGCTGCTGCTTTCACCACCAGGAAAAAGGAAAGTGAGGGAATGCTTTCCTTCTTTCTATTCAGAGCACTGTAGGTTTGTGTAATAACACTTCTAGAGCATGCCAATGGACTTCTTTCACTTCATGGTTACAGTTTGCTGAGCCCTGGGAAGAGGAAGCGGGGAGAGGAACCTGAATCTCACAGAAACCTATGAAAGGTAATGAATGGAGCTCTGCTTAGGAAGAGATACCTAAGCTTGCTTTTACATTTCTCTGTCACAGCCCACATGCATCACTATATACATTTGCACTGTCTGATCAGCAAAGTAGTCTGTGGCAAAGAGTCGTAGCTCAGTGGCAGGGCATCTGCCTTGCAAGTGAAAGATCCTAGGTTCAATCCCTGACATTTCCAGAAAAGACTGTGGATGAAATCCTGGAAAACCGCTGCTAGTTGGGTGGACAGTACTGGGCTAGATGGACCAAAGGTCTGACTCTGTATAAGGCAGCTTCCTAGGTTGATTGTTCTGGTAATGCAACTGTACTTTAAGGGTAGCTGATGGGTCTCAGGCCCTTGATGAGTTAGGGACTTCCCTGCATGCAAAGACAGGATCTGGAGGATTGAGTGGATGAGACCAATAGTCAAGAAGGTGGTTTCTGCACATGCAAGTGAGGGCAGATAGAGCTCCTCAACCTGGAAATGGAGCCCATCTAGGAAAAAGAAAACTGATACTAAACTTCTGCCTTGTGGTATATCTTTGGGAGAAGAAAGGCTAAGAAGTAACTCTATACAAATCCGGAGTGGAGTCCCTAAGACAGTCAGATGGTGCCTTGTATGCCTTTCTGGCAATTTCTGCAGCCAAGCTGGTGCCAGATGTATTACTCTGCTTTCTTTTGGACCACATCAGCGAGGCTGAGAGGCGGTTCTGTCATCTGGGCAGCCCAGGACCCCCATGCACACTGCCCATGCTTGCGCCCACGGAGGTCACTTCGGTGCTGCTAATGCAGCGGTTTGACTACACCCCTGGAGGCATACTCCATTGTCTTTTGATGGATCTCAGCAACAAAATTAAGTGAGCAGTGTTCAAAAAGGTTTCAGCCTGATCTGGGCCTTTGCAGGTGTGTTTCAGAATCATTTTGTATAATACTTCCAGGGTATTACATACAGAACAAGTTACACTAATGCCAATTCTTTGGGCTCAATGGGCACTTACAGCTAGTGATAAAAGTGAGTAGAAGCTCTCAGTAGTGTTTTCTATGTGTTAGTTGGACATACCAAGGAGGATCAGGATGGTAATACAATATACACACCTGTTATTAGTCTGAAAGGGCCTGCCACATGACTGGGAACCCTGATTGCCCCAGAGTTCCTAAACATGGGGAGCAGCCCTTCCAAATAAACACTGGATATTGGTGGGGGCAGGCCCCATTAGACAGGCATGGACTATTGTCCTTTCACATGCTCAGGGATTGCATGGGGGAGAACAACTAACACCTGTCAAGAACCCCTTTCCCTGCTTCCTTCAGCACTGTGGCTGCTGCCTAGTCACTCATCTTCCCTATGTCAGTGACCTGTCTTGGACTTGGAGCAACATAAAAGTCTGCATGTTCTGCTGCTTCAAGATTCAATGAAGCACTACCTGAGGGGTGTGTGTGAGAGAGAGCAAGTAGGAATACTTAAGCAGATCCACACATTTCAATCATAATCTGCATTTAGAGCACATAAAATAATATTGGGGACTGTAGCTTGGGGTGCAGGGAAAGGTAGCTTTGTCAGGGGGGACTACAGTTTGCAAGATCCTTGTGCCGGGATCATGTGCTTTAAATGTGTGTTGAATGAAATTTAATTGTACAGCTCGGGATTGCAGAGAAAAGGGGAAATTGTGGCTGCTGCAGTTGGAAGACTTCGTGGCCGTCCCAAGGTGAGCCTCGTTCATGGAAATTCGTTTAGTTTTAAACTGGGCCTTACTAAATTACTCCGAGAACCACACATGTACTTAATTAAAAGTTCAGAATTTTTGGTGCTGATAAATCCAGGGTTGCAGGTTCTGCTGTTTCTGCATTGCTGGGGGTTGGACCAGAGCAGAGCTTTCCTGTTAGTGTGTGGGCTGCAGTGTGTACTGTGTGTCACGTGACTGTTCCTGCGCTGTTCCTGGGGCTGTTAAGGGGTTAGTTTTGATTGTAAAACTGAATTACTGTGTCACGAAATGTTGCATGTCTAAAAAGTGTGTCACCAACATGAAAAGTTTGGAAAGCTCTGGACCAGGTGATCCTCATGGTCCCTTCCAATTCTACAATTTTATTCTAATTCTGGGGAAGCAGAACCAAAGCAAAAACACGGGGGGGGCGCTAATAAGTCAAGAGTTTAACTGCGATCGTGACAAAATACAAATGGGGCAAGCTTTTATTTTTTTGCCTTCTTGCATCCCTGTTATTGACCCTTGTTGGGTTTGGGAGCGGGTGCAGATTCAAACATCTCCAGAGCGGCTCGGGAGTTCCACATCCTCCAGGGTCGTGGAATTCCAGTCGGGGTGTGGGGAGGAAAACCAGACAAAACTCCACAAAGCCATCCCATCCAAAGCGCAAGGAGCACTCGGGCGTCCCCATTCCCGTCTCCGTCTTAGAATGCGGCCTGTTTCGTGCTCAGTAAGCTAAAACTCAGCGGATCGGAGGCGAAGTTGGCGGGAGAGCCCAGGCCGAGCGCCTCCCGCTTTCCTCCCTTTCCCTTCCCTCTCCTTTCTTGCACCAAAACATCCCCAAGCGCCGCCGCTCCACCAAAGCCAAGCAGGGATCGCCGTGTTCCCCACGTGGGCTGGGCCGGGCCGGGCCGCGCGGCCAATCGGCTGCCGGGAAGCCCGCGCGAAACCCCGCCCGCCCGCCTCCCCCTCCCGCCGCGGCTGCTCCAAGTGATTAATTTTTGTCATATGACTGTCACACCGAATGGAGTCGGGTTCGCGGAACTAGCCGGCCGTCGCAGCTCGCGCGCGGGGAGGGGGGAGATCGCTGGCTGGCTGGCTCGCTGGCTGCTCCGGGCTTGGCCCCGCCGGGGCGAGAGCGGCGCGCTCCCAAAATGCCGCCCACACCCACCTTGTTGCAGAAGCTCTTCAACAAAAAGAGCGGCTTGGTCTCCCCCTGCAAGGAGCCCCGGGAAGAGTGCGTCTTCAGGTAAGGGGGCAGGCAGGGGGCGGGTGGAGCAGGGGCTGGGGCTGGCCCTGGCTTGGTTCCGGGGTCGGATCGCGGCGGGGCTGATCCCCATCCCCTCTCTGGCTTGGGGGCACTGCTTGGCTTGCTTGCTGCTCTTTACCATCCGAGCCACGCCGCCGATTCTTCTCTTCCCCATCCCTAACTTGACAGATCAGACTCTCCTTCTCTCCCAGCCTCCCCCCTTTCCCCCCCAGGAGGAGGCGGAGGGGCGGGCGGGGAGTTTTCCTGGCACCGTCTTGCCTTGGCGGCCACACAGCCGATCTGCCTCCCAGGCGGAAATCACACGGATGTGTGTCTTCGCCATGCGCCAAAACTTCGCGCAACGTTGTTTCTACTTTTTGAGGAGCTCCCTCTCCCTCCTCTTCCTCCTACTCGTGCCTCTTTCGGCCTCGGAGGATCGTGGCCGTCACGTGCGTGCAAAGCCGAGTACCCTCCCCCCCCAAAAAAAATCACTTTCTTGAGTTGCAAAAAGAGAAACGACTCCCCTCAAAAAGGGAGCCACTTCCCCCTGCTGCTTCTCAAGCTCTTCATTTGGGTTCTGTTGGGGAAAGAAAAGAAGAAGACCGGCTCTCTCTTCCTCCTCCTCCTTTCCCGGTGGTCAGTTTCCTCCTCCTTTCTTCAACTTCGAAGCACTAAATAGACAATTAAATTAAATATATATAATATGCCATCTGCACACGCTCGGCTGTCTTGAAAGTGGAAGCGACGACGCTTGACTGCCTGGCAAGAGCCACCTTAAATCTTAAGGAGGGACAGAAAACGCGAACTGTCTGGCTGCCAGTGTAGTGTTACCAGAGAAATCTGCTTGATCTTGCCATAACAGAACCCTGCCTGGCTGGGCGAAGGTACCGAATAAGCAGGCTGCAAGCCAAGGATGGTTCTGTGAAAGCCCTTTGTGCCTCTCGGAAAGTTCCCTTTGCGTCTCGTTTCCCTTAGTAATAATAATAGATACAAAACGTACATATCAGCTCTGTGACTGTGCAAGAGACTTGCCACTGAACTCTTTGAGCTTATGATATTCTTTCTTATCCTTGTGCCTGTTGATGGACCAGTACAATCCTAGATATATGCTGCTTATATTTGGGTCACAGCAATAGTCAGAAATTGAATTACTGTTGGCACCAATATTTAAGCTCTGAGATCAGAATATTACTTAGAAGAAGCCTTTCCATTGTGTACTCGGCCAAAATTGTTTCTGAATGTCATCTGCATATTTCTTGGACCTGGGTTCTACTGAGTTCAGCAGGAGTGACTTCCAGGCCTTAGGATGCAAACCTATGCACCCTTACGTGGGAAAACCTCACTGAATTCAGTGGGACTTATTTGTGAGTAATGAAATAGGGAACTGGGCTGCACATGACTTTCACAGATGAGGAATAGTATGCTGTTGGTGTTGAGTCTTCTATCAGCCCAATTCCACTGCTGCTGGAAAATAAAGTTAGTTACCAACTTTGAATTTAGTATTAGAAGGCTGATGTGAGTGGAAATCATTTGCTTAAATTACATAACAGACAATACTACAGTCTTGTAGAGGCTGCTAGATGTTGCCACTGACTTCATTTTGACGAAGATTTCACTATTCCCACAAAATTTCTATTTGATATTCGCCACTTGAATTATTTTCATTGTCTAACCATTTCGTTCAGTTAAACTATATTTCAAAACAGAAAATAGATTGCCCAAAGGCTTCTTTGTGGAACCACTTACCAGCTTTGTTTAATTTTATACACAACCGTGTTACTGTTTGTTGGCACTGGGTGTTGATATCACCTGGTAATACTCTACTGTGCCACCTAGTCTTCAAGAACACCTAAATTAGCCCAAACAGTCAATCCTAGCTGCATCTACTCAAAGGTGTTTTATAAGCAAACCTAATACTGTATCTATCTGGCTACTTCTAGTGCGCCTTTTTATTAAAATATCAGTATGCAAATGGGAATTCCTTAATGATGTGTGAATAAACATGCAGAAGTCAATGAAAATTGTTTTGGAGGTTGACATATTAAAGTCAGTGTTTAAGAAGATACATTTTTAAGAACATATACTTTGAAATAAATATTTCCACACATAAGAAGCAAGCGCAGCTTTTAACATGTTATGTATTCCTTTCATGGCTTGGTCATGTATTCTGTGGTTTCTGCTCTCCCATTTGGTTCTCACCTTTTCTACTATATTTATAAAGTATTTTCAGGAAAGTACTTTGCAAAGCATGCAAAGCCGTTTAGCTATGGTGAAATACTAGCTAAGCATCAAAAGATTTTCATGTACTTTATAGGCTATATACTTTTCACAGTTGTAGATATTTCAGAGGTGGCCCTATTAAAAGGGCGAGGTGGTCTTTTGGATGACAATATTGTCACTTATTTAGAGGCATGTGTCTATCACCATCGGAGGATGTTTGGATCTTCTGTATTAGGAATCGCATGCAGGTCGTTGGAAATATACATTGGGTTGAATCCAGACTTCATCTTCTGCAAATGGAAAGACTCCTGTCCATGGAAGGCTCTTGGTCCAGTAGAAGGATCTTGCAGGTGTAAAGTGGGGGAGGTGACTTTTGCTGATTTTCTCTTCCCTCATGCCATTTCCCATCCTGTTCTGGAGGGCCCTCATGTCTCCACATTTTTTCTGAGCATGCAAGGATCTGTAAAGGGAAGGGGGAATCGACAAAAGCCACCTTCCCCACTTATGCTGGAAGGAGCAAAGCTTGGATCCAAGCCATCGGTTACATCTGCTGAAGACATATCCTGCCATAAACATTGTGCACTTTATTTTAGTCTCCTCATTAAATAAGGGGTTGACATTTTTATTTGGTTACAACCGATACCAAAACATACATAAGTAAGGATGGACTTGAGGGCCTACATAAGACTTTCTATCTGCATTAAGTTATTAAAAGTTTGTTTTCTACCCACAGATACAGCACAGTTATATTAGTTAGGTAGCACGTCATGGAGAATAGGTCAGTCGGCAGTTATTTAGCTGTGGCAGCCAACATTTCAGAGGCAGCATAGTCCTTGGTACCAGTTGCTGAAGAAAGGCAACAGACGATGAATTTCTTGTCCTCGCCATTGAAATCAGAATATGGGACTAGTTCCTGTATTCTTTTCTAGCTATTTGGTGGTTATTGGTGTGGTCGCATATCCTCAGCAGTGTATTTATTTCACCCTAAGAAAGCACTGGACCTGGCACAATTCTGCGTGGGGATGTCATCTGTGGTGGGCCAAAGTATTCTGTCAGTGCGGGACATGCTTTTGACAGCATCTTGCACCCAAAGAAAGTGTTGAGACAGACATCCATGTTGTAGAAGAAGACTCCAGGAGGTGTGTGTGTATCATTTGGGGTGTCTCAAATCCATTTTGGAGGTGCACACCTCCAGTTCCTTTTTTCTTGCTGAAGTCTGTGTTGTGCATTTTGAGTGTTGAGCCCATTGGGGGAAATTATTGTGAAAGGGACAGTTCTCCATTCACGGAGATATATGATACTGTGTAGATACTTACAAACATTTTTAAAAAGATGTTTTGCTTGAATTGTGATTTAAAATGTGATACAAATAAACAACTGGGAACTAGGAGTAATCAACTTCAGCACTGTAAAGCATTGTAGGGAAAGCAGCAGTGTGGTGTGGGGCTTAGTGCGTTGGATCTCAGGGGCGGATCTACATTCAGAATCTCGCTTAGCCATGAAACTCATCGGATGACCTTGTGCCACTCACCATTTTTTAACTTAGTGGGTTTGTTGTGAGGATAAAATGGAGGATGGGTGAAGGAAACTATGTATGCTGCTTTAAGCTTCTTGGAGGAAAGGCAGGATAGAAATGGAGTGAGTAAATGTTGTAAGTGGATGAGCCAACAAGGCATTTCTTACGTTTTTGCGTTTGGTGCAATGCTTAGCATCCTGTAAATCCCTCATCAATATTAGCTTGTTGTTGTATAACATATTTAAGATCAAGGATATTAAATCATTCACAAAGTAGAAGTGAGTATTCCAGCCAAGTCCTTGCTTGCTTTTCTCATTCTTCCAGAGGAAGAAGGAACAGCAAGACATAAATTGCAGTAAATATCCAGATGTTAAGGTGGCTCCTTTATTTGGAAAGATCATTTTTCTTAAGAAAAATAGCCATGCATTGCATAAACTCAGGTGGCTTGGAGTGGCTGTTGGCATTTGGATTGGGTAGGTTATTGACAAAAGAGTACAATCAAAATTATTATTGGAGGCCTTTTCTTTTACCTAAAGGATACTGGGTATCCTGTTATTCTCTCCAGTACAGATTTTTACTTCCCTTCCCCTGTCATCAGAACTGTTGCTTATGAAATTTATAGAGCAGTCCTATGCAAGTTTACTCAGAAGCAAAGCCAACTTTGTGTAGTGGAGGCTACTCCAAAAAATTATTGTTAAAGCCTCAAGGATATGTTTTAGTTTTGTAGCTAAACTTACAAACCCACGAGCCCAGGTTCAGAGCTAACACTAAACCAAACCATGACTTAGCCCCAGGTAGGAACATAAGTAATTTGCACTTCTTGAAACAATGGACAAAAACTTCCTTCAAAATCTGCACTTCTTCAAATTTTGCAGTGCAATTCCCCAACCAAATAATGTGTTCAAGAATGCATATGCTAGTGTGTGCTTCAGAATGTATGTATTAGTGACAGCAATGTTTAAACACGTAGTATTGTAGGGGAAACTTTGCATTAAAATGTATTTTTAGGCAAAATTGCGGCTGAAATCTTTGCCCTGAGAATCTGCAAATTAGCTGCTTTGTGCTAAGCCACAGTTTGGCCTAGTGTTGCATGTGGATTGGGGTCGTTCATGCATGGCTAGTAAGCGGGAACTCAGCTGACTTCATTGACTCGCATGTGGGTTCATTACTTGATTAAGAGTTTTTTGGTCGCTGCATAGTGTTCCCTTGAAGCAACTACCTGAGATGTTATGTTCAATGCATTTTTCTGAAAGTGTTTAGATTGCTTCCTGGGTATGCTCACGAGCCAGTTTTATAGTTGTTCTAAGCATGTCCTTCATCAATGCTCCCTTCCCCCATTTTTCTTTACTTGACAGCGTAATTTGTTTTATTATTTGAATCCCCTCAGCTGTTTCAAGTCAGGATTCACCCTTGAGGGCACAAAAACTCATAGTATGCTAAGTCCAAATTTGTGTTATTGAAGGTAGGCGAAAAATGTTCTTACACTTCCTTTTAAAATGGCAGACACTGAAATACTTTTGTAAACACCAGGTTTATAATAGAACAGAATTTTCAGACGGTCTGGTAGTATGTTCTGGCTTTTTTAACAAATGACAAAACTTGCGATCAGTTGAAGAACATGTGCCCAAAGTGATGAAAATGCTTACTTTGGGCTGGGTTTTCCCTTCTTTATTTAAACATCTAGAGTTGCATCCAGTGCTGCAGTTCTGCTTGTGAAATAGACTCCATGCAAACAACATAACTTCCTTTTCTTCTCCTTCCAGTGCTCTGCCTTCCCTGCTTTCAAGGGCTGGAGAGAGGCACTAGGAGCAGATTCAGGGAGTGCTTAGGTGGAGGAGAGGAAACTGAAGTCCTGTGATGTCAACAAACCATAGTCTACTCTAGACTGGAGGCTGGAGAAGGGCAAATCTCAAAATCTTTCTGGAGTGATTTTGACAGTGAGCCTACCTATGGGCTCAGAAAGAGAGAGAAGATGGGGGTGGATCCTCTGAACATACGTATGTTTTCCTCCTTGCTCAATAGAGCCTTCTCAGATGCAGCAGAAATCACCAGTGCCCCAGGCTATGGATTCTTGGCTGGAACTCCAATAGAGGAAAACAAAAGAAAGCATAAAATAGGGATAGGAAAACAGCAAGGAGTCTCTTAAGCTTTTTATTCCACCATCACCACCCAGCTTTCATATGTTCAACCCCACTGTAATCCTACTTCCACCCAGAATATGGGCATTAAGGCTTCCGTTCTTTACTTACTTACCTGGGAATAAGCACCACTGAAGTCAGTAGACCTCTCATCTGAGTAGACAAGAAAGGGACTGCACTGTAGGCCTGGTAGCCTCTGAAATGGCTTCTGTTCCTTCTTGCCCCTTTCCTATACTTTTACCTCAGTTGTGGGTGAGCTGGCTCCAGGAATATTGTGGACCTTTGTCCAGGGATGTACCTAGGGATTGGCTTGGTTGGCCCCTGCCAAAAGCGCAGGCCCAAGGGCGCGAAAAAATTGCTTCTCTTCACTCTGGCTCGGAGGGTTTAGGAGCCTGACTGTCTGCACGCTTCCTGGGCCGCTCCACCACTGCACGGCCTGGCAAGGTGTGCAGGCTTCTCTGGGCGCCTTGGTGGAGGAATCTGGTCTCTGGCATGGGCTGTTGCAGTAGCCCTGCCAGTAGGGATGGGGTGGGTGGTCTCAGTTGGCCAACAGCACTATTAGAAGTGTGAGCAGAGTGCCCAGTAGGGTTCAGAGGGAAGAAAGAAAGACAGTGGGCAAGAGTTACAGGAGGAGGGAAAAGGGAGGAAAGAAGGAAGGAGGCAGAAGGGTAAGCAGCGAGTGGAAGGAGGGAGACAGCAAGGCAGACTGACAGACCAACAGAGGAGGAGGAGAGGCTGAGCAGAGCACAGCAGACCCTGATGGCCTTGGAGGAAGTCACTGGCAGAGCGTAAAAGCAAACTTTCTGAGTTTCTGGTCCATGGGCTCTCCTGGCTTCAGAGCTCCTTGCCAAGGATGCAAGGGCACCTAGGTAGACCTCTGTCCCTGTCCCCAGAGAGTGGTGCAGAAGTCGTTCATGAGGCAGTAAGGTAACTCAGGAATACTTTGATTAACTGCGCTTCAGCGGCATTAAGCTTTAAAGGCTGATCCATTAATTAATAAAGCAGCTGAAGCATCACAATTAACTAAGGCACACACTTACTTGGGGAAAAGCTTGCTTATAAATGGGTTGTGCAACGGCTCACAAACCAGTTTGCCCAGGGGCTCACCTTATCTCTCAAAGTCGCCAAAGGCTCTTTCTTCCTCTCTAGGGAATAGGCTGCGCTCCTTTCCCTGACTTCTGCTTCCCCTCCCCCTCCTTTTCACAGACGTACAGGAGGAGAGAAGTGACTCAGTGCAGCCTCCTCATTAAGAGCTGTACCCGTCTCCCCTTTTGGGGAATTCATAGAAGTGCATTTCCTTCAAGCGTCTCACCGCTTTGAGCAATAGCAAAATGCCTGACCTCTAATAAATGCTACAGTGATGGAAGCCAACACAGCAGAACCACTTCCAGCATTTCGCAAAAGGAATTAGAAGTTGTGTCCAAAGCATGGGGTTTAACGTTTTTCTTCTGCCTCAAGGGAGGGGAAAAAGTGAAACTGACTCATTTCATACTTCTGACTGTGGCTGGGTTCTCTGACTCTCACTATCATCACCATCCTGCTTTTTCAGTCAGGTCTCAGGGCCTGAGTTCATCACAGTGGTCATGAGTTGTTCTTTCGCCGACGTGTGACACTATGCCATGTTGTCTGTGTTATCACTTCCTTGTCTGCCTGTGTGGTTTACTAAGATTGGACTGTGACATCTGACACATTTGGGCTGCTTGCAGTGCATTCTGCCTGCATCGCACAGCTCTTTAGTTCAGTCTCCTTCCTCTTTGGGGTATAAGGCTCTTTCAGAAGAGCCTGAGCCAAAGCAGCAAATCATTTGGGTTCCCCTTTTACCCTCCTAGGACATTGCGAACAGTCATAGTGGCACTTGTAAGATAAGGCATAGATGCAACCGTTTGCCCAGCACAGACACTATTTCAGTATTTGCTTAATGGAATAAATCTACTTCATGCCTTTGCCTAGAAATTTGGTTGCTTTTTCTTCTTGCTGTGGCCAGACCTACTACAGTGGTACCTCAGGTTGCATACACTTCAGGTTACAGACTCCGCTAACCCAGAAATAGTACCTCGTGTTAAGAACTTCGCTTCAGGATGGGAACAGAAATTGTGCTCCGGCGGCGCGGTGGCAGCAGGAGGCCCCATTAGCTAAAGTGGTGCTTCAGGTTAAGAACAGTTTCAGGTTAAGAACGGACCTCCGAAACCAATTAAGTACTTAACCCAAGGTATCACTGTATTGGGCAGAGTGAGGTGGTTGCATCTGGTTACAGGTGCTGAAGGTGGGAACTTCAGTATGTGCCCTACCAGCCTGCCAGAAGCCCCCTAAGGTACCGTATTTTTCGCCCCATAGGACGCACCTTTTCCCCTCCAAAAATGAAGGGGAAATGTGTGTGCATCCTATGGGGCGAATGCAGGCTTTCGCTGAAGCCTGGAGAGCAAGAGGCATAGGTGCGCACCGACCCCTCTTGCTCTCCAGGCTTCAGGAAGCTATCCGCAAGCCTTGCAAGCCCGGCGGGAGTTCCCGCGGGCTCACAAGGCTTGCGGGCAGCAGCCTGCAGCCCCGGCAAGTGTCTGCAAGCCTTGCGCGCCCGGCAGGAGGTCCCGCCGAGCGCGCGAGGCTTGGGGCGGCAGCCTGTCGCCCGAAGCATGGGGAGCCCTCCGGAGAGTGCCCCGTGCTTCGGGCAGGTGTGCGCAAGGCTTGGGGCGGCAGCCGTGGGGTGGGGTGGGGAATAATTTTTTTTTATTCATTCCCCCCCCCCAAAAAAACGAGGTGCGTCCTATGGGCCGGTGCGCCCTATAGGACGAAAAATACGGTAGCCTGATGATCTCAGGTGTACTGAAGGAAGATGCTCCCCCATCAGTGTTGAAGTAACTGCCAGTCCAGTTAATCTTTGATGGGGGAGTGGAGAGATAGAGCATCAACTTATTTTCTTGTTTTCTTTGGCATTTTGTATTTAGCACTTTGCAGTAGTACAGGTATAGTACTACTTGTTAGCTTTGACCGGGGGCAGGGGCAGGGGGGGGAGCCAGGTGCTACATCAGTACATGGACACCTCCCCACACACACAAAAGGTGCACAATAGAAAAATGAACATGCTAACACAACTCATAGCAGGGCTATGTAACAACACTGAGGAACCTGTACATGCTGGAGTTTATTTTATGTTCTTTCTTGACTTTGGGGCAAATAATCTCAGTCTGCGGGGAGTTGAAACACTTTTGACTGCAGTCCTTTGTACACTTACTTGGGGGTTCTGAGTGGGTCTTACTTCTGAGTAAACATGCCACAGGTGAGGCTGTTAAGCTATCAGCAGTAGCTATTCACGCACCCCTTTCCATTGTCCGTCCAAACAAGCAAGAGGCATTATCAGATCTCGAGGACACATTCCATCCATGCAGAAGCACTCGGGTGCAAGGCTGGGCCAGTGAGGGATCTGGCTTGGGGAGAGTTCCCAGAACTAGATAATGCTCTGAGGAAAATTATTTCCTTATGCCTCCTTTGGTTTGGTGTTATGGGAATGATTCGGTTTTTATTGTCGGAAATTATTTAGCTCTTGTAAAGTCACTCTGTTAGTGGGAGCAGCAGCGTGTTCCTTCCTCCTGGAATAACTTGACCTGCATGACTTGGAAGCTGAACGTCCATTTCCTTACCCTTTTGTTTGGGTCCAGGTTTTGATTTTGTTTTTTTAATGCTGCTTCCGGGTAAGTTTTTAAGGGGGAGGGCGGCGGGAAAGAACTGGCAGGATGGTTTCATAATTACATAAGACCGTTCTCCTCTTGCTGCATTGTAGCTGAACGTGTGTGAGTAACTCAAGGAAGGAGCCACTAATTTGATCGGGATTACACTGGATTTACATGTATGATCAGTGCAAGTTAGGAAGGGTGTACAGAGTTTTGTCAGTCAAAAACAGGAAGCAACCTCAGCCGTTTTGGGTGTGTTCCCAAGATCTCTTGATATGGATTTGGTTGCTCTTAACACACACTATTCTCCCCCCCCCCCTTCAGGGCAACTAAAAGACTGCTGTTGTTGAGATGTGTATCTCAAGTGTATTTCTGAGCAGTGAGCACTCTTTATCTTCCAGACCAGCCTTTGAAATTAATTCACTTACCTTGATACTGAATCCATTTATGAATTAAATATTCATTTCTCTGGAAATGCTAAAAAGAGATCAGTCCAGCCACAGTTTTGCTGTTTTATGTCCTGTTACTCTTTTAACTTACACCTCTCCCACTGAGAGCAGTGTGATTGATGTTCAGTAGGCACATTGACTCATTGTTATGAGAGCAGTACCAGCACCACTCCTTCCTGCACTGATGAGGTAGCATGAGGAGCTCTGGACCACACATGAGGAGTCCACGTTGACTCCTTCCTTTGGAAACACCAACCTTCAGGAAATTTGATTACTTCTAGCCCGAACAGGAGTCCCCTGCTGGACTCTTCCTACATAGTTTTGGGCTTGTTGCATTACCCTACAGTGCTGGCAGTGTGAATAGTGGACCAGTTCTGAATATTGACTGGACCATGTCCTCAATTTGCATGGGCATATGTATGAAGCATAACTATTCCGTTTCCACTGACACAAAAGATTGCATTCAGAAGGGGCTTCCCCTTTGCAAGTAGATCCCTGGTTTTCAAAAAGCAAGACTAGTTCTTCTGTTTAGTGACTAGTTATTGCATGACTTTTATTTTATCAGACCCTATAAAATACCCTGCATTTCCATAGCTTAGCTCTCAGTGGGGATAGATGAATCAGTCCATTTAAGTTTCATTCAGTGTGTCATCTTTACAATCATAAATTCATTTCACACCACTGCTGCATGTGCTCACGTTTTGTTTTGTTTTTTTAAAAAAAGGACCCCAGGAAAATCCATCCACCAAAATCACATTTTGGTGATCATTTCTCCTAATATACATATTGCGTGTGTGCAATTATGCCTGGCACATGTGTTTTTGCTAAGCTACACCAATTTGTAGGTATTCTTTGCAAGGAAAACTGCAGTGCAAAGAAGTATGCATTTGAAGGAGACCTGATTTTCAGTTTGTGTATTGGTTTGGGAAGTGTGGATTTGTTTGCATGAAAGTGCAAGCAGAATGATTCCCTCCCCCCATCCCTAGCTTTCAGACTAAGCTCAGATCTAAAGAGCTGTTATGTTTCCATCCAAGATGATGGTACACATCCAGCATGATTCTCTCCCCTTCCCATCCTTTAAGAGTAGGCTTCTAATCTAACCCCCACAACATGGCTCTTGGGAAAGCTCTCCTGAGTTTCGCAAATGGTTTGCTGTTAGTTATGGAAGGCTGCTTTTCAACAGGCACAAATCCAAAAGCCAGTTTGATATCTGACAGTAGTTCCTGGGCATTCTTATCCTGGTCTACATCTTTGTATAGTTCTCAGAAGATATTCCATATATTTTAATGGTTATGTCTTTGGTCCTTGTAGAAAACAAATTAAAATGAAAAATCATTACTGTACAAAATTATTTTATTAATTGTGATTAGTATACTTTATATCATGATTATGAATTTTGCTTTACTACTTTAACTACCAGTAATTTCTGTATTTATTTATTTTTAAATGCTTTTCTATTGAGTTTGTTGGTGTCCTATCCCACTTCAATTTCTAGCCATTAACATTCTTGCTGCTGTTGTAGCATATAGGAACACCCCCTTTTATCATTTGACATATCAATTGTCATAATGCCCAGAAGAAAGGCTTCAGATTTCTTCTCAAATGTTTGTCTGAACATTTTTAAAAATTTGTCATAGACAGTATTCCATTCTTAAAAATTTTGTCACAACCCCACCACATGTGGTACATCATTCCTTCCCCTTTATTTATCCTCCCCTCACCTGCTGCATGACAGGGTTTTCCCTGACCGTCATTTAATGACAGCAACATGCTGGAGCTATACAGAACATAAATTATCAAAAAACATGAATTAATAGAGGAAGTAATAGTATTGCATGGAAGGGATCATTTTACATAAGGATATATGTACTTTCAGGGAACATGGGGGGCGCTGTGGGTTAAACCACAGAGCCTAGGACTTGCCGTTCAGAAGGTCGGCGGTTCGAATCCCCGCGACAGGGTAAGCTCCCTTTGCTCTGTCCCTGCTCCTGCCAACCTAGCAGTTCGGAAGCACATCAGAGTGCAGGTAGATAAATAGGTACCACTCTGGCAGGAAGGTAAACAGCATTTCCGTGCACTGCTCTGGTTCACCAGAAGCGGCTTAGTCATGCTGGCCACATGACCCGGAAGCTGTACGCCGGCTCCCTCGGCCAATAAAGCGAAATGAGCACCGCAACCCCAGAGTCGGCCACGACTGGGCCTATTGGTCAGGGGTCCCTTTACCTATATGTACTTTCAAGCTCCAAATAATTTTACCTGCAGGTAGTGAATATCTTAAGCCACCCATCTCAAATTCATTGGGTGGAATACAGCATAATACTAAGTGGGGTATGCATACACGGAACAAGGTCTGCACATGATCAATGAGATTTCCCCCCCCCCCCATCCTCACCCCGTGTGCCTCCTAAACCTGTTCTGGGGTTTTCTTCAGCCCTCCAAAGCAGATTTAGGGGGCATGGTGGGGGGGGGGGAAACCCTGTGGTATGTGCAGACCTTACCATAAATTCAAATGCTGTTGCCTGTGACATTTTATTGTTAAATACTGATGATAATGCATTTCCTAAGCATCATCAGTAAGTAGTCTTGGCTCACAAGAGATCCATTTCTCAAATGAAGCTGTTATTTCTTGGGCACTGATTCCTAACAAAGAAAACAGACTAATTCAGAATTCAGTAAGTGGGCATTCCAAGGCAGACAAATTGTCCATTGGAAGAATGCAGTGAGCCCTAGGGGGTTGGCATCTTTTCATTTTTATGCTATGGTTTCCTTATCAGTTTTCATGCAGCTTTCTGTGGTTCTGCTGCAACATGTCTTGAATCAGGATATGGTGGTGCCTAGTAAGCTGTTTGCAGAGCAGGACTGCCTCCTCCCTTTCCTGAAGCCAAGGAGGCAGCTGGAGAGTTCTTACTTACAGTGATCAGGGAGGGTGGAGCCCTGACAATTGAGAGCTATTGTGTCAATGCAATGTGCAGTGCTGATCTGATCTGATCTGCCTCAAGGAGTAGTTGAAACAGCTTAAAAATGGTAGTTTTCAACTTGGATAGCTAAGGAGGCCCATAGCTGCCTCTACCCTCAAAGTTAGTCCACTGCATCATTCTGTTTTCAGGCTGTGGGTTCTCCCTCCACTCCGCAAAAAGGTATTGCAATCCCATGGATGCCAGGCTTCTGTTTATATATATAGAGAGAGAGAGAATATGTAATCTGCGTTCCTCTTTCTCTAAATGTTTTAATATAAAATTTCAGCCCTTTAAAAATCTAGCAATTGAAAAACTAAGGCCTGGTTCAGATGTAATAGGAAACCATGGTTTCTTGCCATGAGAGCAGACTGTGGTGGGCTTCTCTTTCTGATTTTGAACTAACTGCAGTCCCCTGTGACAGCCAAACTTGGGGAACTGAGGTTTGAGTAAGCGGTGATTGTAGAATAAGCCAGCATCTGAAAACAGAATTTGATTCTGGCTTGTTCAAACTAACCACAGTTTTCAAATCACAAATCCTAAGTTCCAATGTCACAGGGAACAATGTGTAGCTTAAAATGGAAAGCGGAAGCTTCTGGCATCCTCCTTGTGGATGTGAAAGAGTAGCAGAGACAGTGAGAGCCTGAGGCTCCTTATATGTTATTTTCTGATACAGCTGAACTTGACCAATGTATCTGAGTTTCTACTTACAGTGGAACCTCTGGTTACATACTTAATTCGTTCTGGAGGTCCGTTCTTAACCTGAAACTGTTCTTAACCCGAAGCACCACTTTAGCTAATGGGGCCTCCTGCTGCTGCTGCGCCACCAGAGCACGTTTTCTGTTCTCATCCTGAAGCAAAGTTCTTAACCCGAGGTAATATTTCCGGGTTAGCGGAGTATGTAACCTGAAGCGTATGTAACCCAAGGTACCACTGTACTTACCTTCAGTTTGTATTCTTTTAGAAGAGATACTGCCATTTTTAGTTGTGTATTTTTAGTTGCATGAAGGATACAGTGTTGGTAGTCTATAGATGACAACAGACCATACAAATATAGACCATACAAATTCAGCTTAACAGCCATGTATGGTAGTCCTTCTGGACTGTATGTAGCCTGCTTCTGCTTTAAGGTCATTTCTTTTCTGGAATGGGCCAGCAAGTAATTGAGCTTCTGTCAGCACTGTAGGCTTTTAATGATGCCTCCATGTATCTAGATGACACATTCAACTATTAACCTTCCTTTTAATGCTACCACAAACACCCATACCTTTCATTTTGCTCAATCTGCCATTGCATACATTTGATATATAGCGGACAAGGAAGGGAAGCCAAATCCCATTGAGCTGCCACCTGTTTTAGGTGATTAATGAACAAACCGAGGAAGTTCCAACAGAAGCTTAACATTGTGGCACATTGCCCACTTACGCTGGGGTTCCATTTGGCTGCCTCCCACCCCACCCCAATCCCCGCTGTGTCCTGTGATGAAGTGGACTTTCTTAAAGTCTTCATTCAAGACAATGGCCCAACAGTCATCTTCCGAAGCCTTCATTTTTAAACCATTGTGCTGCAATTCTTATGCCTCAGGGAGGTTTTTTTTTGTTTGAAAATGGGCTGCATGCACCAGGGAAGTGGGACATAAAAGATTTATTGGCCAGTGTGTGTATTGGCTTACCTGAATGCTTGTATTTTCAAACAGATCTTTTGGTCATGAATAGTTGTGATTGTTGAGGCCGGGATATTAGAAATCTGGATGAGACGTCACACAGGCTCACAATGAATTACAATAGGCTAGTGTACATTATTGAGAGAAAGGTTAATTTAAAAAGTACCTTGATCTAATGATCATGATTTTGTTTTTCATGTGTATGAGTAGACTTTTTTATTGTACAAAGTTGGCAGAGACAGCACTGGTTGAAAAGGGAAGGCTTGTGCACGTGGTGGAAACCCAGATGTCCTGCAAGCAGCTGTGTGACATTAGAGTTTTAAGGGATTTGAATGGGACTTCAATAAGAATGCATATATAGAGTGTAACATAGCTTTGCACACTTCCCATTTAAATCAGATGGGCTTACTACTGGAACAAGAATTGATAGCAGCTGTAGAATACATTCTGGTATCTATGCAATCATTAACCCCATTCAGAAGCTGTAATTGTTGATGTGATGAGGGATGGTGGAGACCAGCACTTTAACTCCATCCCCTCACTGCTGTCCGCATAGCTTCCATGAAGTGGTGGGATAACTTCTAAAGTGAAGAGTCTATCATCTTGGGATGGGCTCCTTGTGCAGTCAAGAACCCCGTGTCTTTGAGGGTTCTAAATGGTACAGGGCACCCACACAAGGAATTAATATCAGAGATTCCCCACCACAGGAATTTATATCAGGGTCCATGTAGGAACATGCACAAGGTCATGACTCTTCAAGTACCCTAGTCCTAAGCCCTTTAGGGTAAGGTTACCAGACGTCCCCATTTCCCAGGGACAGTCCCCGTATTTACAAATCAGTCCCCTGACAAAATCCATCTATTTAGTAGGAGGTTGAAAAGTGTCCCTGGATTCACTGAAAAAAATCTGGTAACCTTACTTTAGGGCTTTCCTTCTCATGCAGATGATAAAGTCCCATCACAAGTATAAGTTTCATGGGTCTCTTGCTGTCCCTCCCTTTCTGTTATTCTCTCCACATCTTCCCATTTGACTTTTTTGCTCCTTGAAAACAACATTGCATGAACTGAAGTATTCAGAAGACCCGCTTTTTTTGCCCCTGTTTCCTCACGTAGCCCATGCTTAGGAAACCTGCCTTGGCCTTTTCTCTTCTTTGTGTTGTGTCTGGCTCCCACATATTGTGGCTTACTAGCATCTTCATTGTGAAATGCTATTTAAGTGACACGCTGCTTCTGCCCAATAATAAGGGGGCACAGAGTAATTATGTCATCCAAATCCTTTTGAAAGAAGGAAAAGAAAACATCCAGAGTTTCGCGAGAGGCGTGACGGTCATAGGAAGCTGCCCCTATGCCAAGTCAGATCCATCGGCCTGTCAGGCCTCAGTATTGTTGACACTGACTGGCGATCACATTCCAGGATTTCAGACAGGAGTCACTCTCAGCCTGGAAATGCAAGGGATTGAATCTGGGATCTTTTACACGCTCTACCACTGACCTTCAAACTGTTCCTGCCTCTGTGCCGTCTTGCCTTGCCCCCATTAACACTACCATATGAACAGTTCCTTGTCGTGGCTTTGTTTTGCTTTCCACAGCATAGCAGTGCCAGCAGCTTTCTTGGGGTTTCCTGTCTGCCCTCAAATGGCCAGGAAAACCCTGCTCTGTTGGTGTTTCTAAGCTGTGGTGACAGGAAAGCTAAATATCCTGCTGCTTTCCCTAGGAATACAGTGAGTCGCTTTTTCATGTGAACCCCATCACATTTCCTGAGAACTGATGCCAGCAGCTCTCAAAATTGCCTGCCCTGGTGCTCAGGAGAGGGAGGAAGAAAAGACTGCTAGGAGCTGCCATAGCCATGAGTGTCTCGTGAAGTCAATAATAGCATGTTGGCCTGAGATGACATTGCTTTGAGCAGCCTCCTGCTGTGGTCACAAAAATGGGTGTGGTGTGGTTACATTTTACATATGGAAACAGTTTTTTATTCTGCAAATGGTAATTGTTACATAGAGGGAAGTGCAGTTCTTAAAGTGCCTTGGTGAATGTCACCCATAATGATAAAACTAGGTTGAAACTGGTTATTTGCTGAAGCATATTTTTGTAAACATTGACATGCATGAGATGTAGTGAAATTTGATGATTTTGATATATAGGTTGCATCTGCACCATACATTTAAACCATGTGAAACCCCTCAAAGAATTCTGGGCCCTGAGGTCTGTTAAAGGTGCTGAGAATTGTTAGGATTGTTCGGAGACCACTATTCCCCTCATAGAGCTACAATTCTCAGAGTGGTTTAACAGTCAGTCCTTCTTCCCAAGGAACTCGGGGGGGGGGGGGGATAGCATATTTCAGGATCTCTGTGGGTCCAAACCACACACCAACACAGGCTTGGTGCTTTTGAATTTTCTAACTCGGGGCTTTCAAGAGGCTTGATCTTCAAGTGGATAACTAAACAGCCTTTGCTACCAGTGTGACCTTGTTTTTTTAAGGGTTCGTTAAACCAGAACTCAGGAAATGACAAAAATGCCACTAAGCGTATGTCCTACTTCTCAAGTCAACATCGTGATGGATAATCATAGCGTTATAGGAAAAAATATATAAATGGTCTGCTGGTTCTAGATTGTTGGGATTTTGTAGGATTGAATGTTTTGACTTTGTTCTTGGCTATGTGCTCCTCCGTATGATGTCACTTGTTCTTGGCTTGTTCTGATGTCCTTAAGGTTGCATAACACTAAACTAAGTACTTTCTTTCTGTGTCTGTGCTATATTAATCTTACCCAAAATAGTTTCAGGTCACTTACGATATCTTAATTTGGAAAAGAGTCAAAGTTTCCTCTTCTGGGGAAGCTGAGTGGTTAATAGTGGAAGTTTAAGCTATTCAGTAGTTGAGTTGAAAGTGTATATAGCAATGCTACCTTAATGTGGCATATGGCATTAAGTTACTGGACTCCAGGGAAGTTAGTTATTTAAATTTATTTTCCCACCTGCACATCTACCAGATAAGGGTAAGTCTAGACGATAACTTGTGTTTTGTTTGTTGCTTGCAAGATCAGTTACTGACATTTACACCAGTAGGGTCTCCGCATCACCCTGTCTGTACTACATGTCCCATGGGAGTTTTTGTTTTGTTTTGTTTTTTGTTTGCAACAAAAACAAAAACATTTTGCTCGTTTGTACATTTGGTAAGTGCAGAAGTCTTGTGGCCTTCTGCTTCCTGCCTGTATGGTCGTGCTTGATGGCGATTTGTTCTATTATATTTTTTATATAGACCAGCAGTGGACAACCAGAGCGCTGAATTTCCCCCAGCCAAGCTAACGTGGGAGCTGGGCTCCCTGGCAATGATGCCGTTATAGCTCAGCTCAGGAATGTCCAGTTCAGCCTCTCTCAGCCTTGGGTCCCCAGATGTTCTACAACTCCCACCATCCCTGACCACTGGCCATGCTGGCTAGGAATGATGGGAGTTGTAGTTCAACAACATATAGGGACCCAAGGTTGAGAATAGCTGGAGAGACTAGTTCCATGACCTGAAAAGTCTGTCAACCTGCTTCTTGGCTGCCATTGGCCGCTAGGGACATCATGTAGCCCCCTTTTTCTCTTTTTGCATCATGGGTGCAAAGAGGTACATGCCGCGATACTGTCACAGCACCCATTTTTGTTAGCATTTGTTACAGGGGAAGGGATTAGATGGCCGTTCTGTTTTTTTACTAACATCTAGGTTTGCTCTGACAGGACTACTACCGGAGGAACTGTTGTGTGTCTAAACTTCTGTGCTAAAATATTCCTAAGTCCTGCATCCAGAGCTTCCTAATCGCGCAATCAGAATAACTACACATGACCCAGTCAGAATGTTCAAATGCTGGGCAAATACTCCAGCCAAATGGAAATGCTTCTCTTAAGTCCTGAGAAGTTTAGTGGGAGGAGAGGCCAGCACATTCCTTAACTGCAGCGGGTCCTCTTCTTTTATCTTTCACACATCCTTTGCAATTTGTTTTGCTCCATAACTGGGAGCAGAAGGCTGCTTGGAGTTCCAAGAAAACTGAGGGACATTTTTTGTGTTGAGGTCAAGGAGGCTTGTGCAGTTACCTCTTATTTTCCCTATAATTAGCAAAACCGGTAGTCAAATAGTATAAAACATTTTGAGCCTTTAGGGAAGTGAAGGGCATAGTAAAGAAATAGTTTTAGCAGAGAAGTAAGTCTCCCGGTGTTCAGTGGGGCATACTCCCAGGAAAGTGTATGTAGGACTGCAGCCAAAGAGCCTGAAGCCCGACTTTACAGTTCAAGCAAATCAATTAATAAATGGTGAATCAAGAATAAAAGGAGAAGGAGTTTTTCCAGGCAAGAGAATAGGGCTGTTTCAGGGATTTGTTTGAAACAACAACTAAAGTTGCAATCCATTCACCGAATTTCCCTCTTCTGTATTCCCTAATACAATAAACTGGCAGAACAGGCATTGCCATTCCTTTGAGGTTAGACCTTGCATCCTTGTTTGCTCAAGTCTCATTTGTGTCTCATGACTGAATGAATCAACACCTAATGAGGCAGTCACATGAGGGACAGAGTCAACCAGGACTCATAGGCTGCATGTTGTAAACCTTGGAAGCACCCTGCTTGCAACTTGCTTCATCCTTGTGCCTGAAAGCTTGGGTGGCAACCAAATGCTGTCTTTTTAATTCCTCCCTCTCTTCAGTCACCACCTCTGCCCCAAATCCACTGATTAACTTTATCAGTGCAGAGAAAAACTAAGGTCAATCTAGCAATGCCAGAAAAGTCCACATAATTGAGCATCCTTGTATATAGTTTCAGGGACCCAGGAACCTTTCCCACTGTACTATTTTGCTGCCCTGTCTAGTACCAATGAGAATTGATTCCAGAAAAGTAAACATGATTCACCAGTTCCAGCAGAACTAGGGTCATTTCAAAAACCATGCTGCTTTATAAAAAATTTTTGTAAACCACCTCCAAGAGGACCTACAAAGAATAAACATGGAAAGGCAAACGATACAAGTGATAAAAATTCAAAACAAAGTCTTAGCATTTCATAAGTATTAAAACTAAATACATTTGTGTTGCTGCCCAAAAGGCAAAGAACATTCCTCACAAAAATGTTGAGAGAGCAAGAGCAAATACTAAAGTAGCAGATCCTCCTCCCAGGCAGGGTTGGGGCAAAGCAGGTGGAGAAGCTTGCCCTTGATTACTTATTTCTCCCCTTAGCCAAATGAGTTGCCCCCAAGCATCTCCTGCTGCAAACAAGAGCCTTCAAGTTCTTGAAGCAAATCCTCATTGGTTCATAGGAGGTTGCACCAGGACAGTGTCTTGAAGTACGGGCTCTTAAAGTAAGATAAACACATGCATGCACAGGTCAGACACATGACAATGCAACTATTTTCATGCTCACTCCAGCTCTGGTGTGCCTATGAATGCATAATGGTTGGGTCCAGTTACATATTGTATGCAATATGCCTACAGCCACTAGCTCAATGAACCAGTGGTCATCATGCCCCATATTTCCCTCGGTGTCCTATATAATCTCTTTCCTTGGCTGTTGTTCTGCGAGTGCCATCAGCTGGGAAAGAAATACTGTGGAGGTAATGTATATTGAAGACCTATGTAGCAGAGAATTGGTGGTGGGTTTTGCATTCCATTCAGAATTCCATTTGCCTGCCTTTCTCCGCAATGTGCAATACTGCGAGAGATTTGAAGTCGCTTCAAATATTACTATGTGACATCTGTAACCACATGAGTGGAGATGGGTGGTTGGCTCCAGCCTCTAACCATATAATTAAACCCAGGGTTGCTGTACTTTTGCAGCTGTTTCACAATCTGATGAGATGGGCAGGCTGGGTTTAGCCATGTGGTCCAAGGAGTCAGGCATCTCCTCCAGATGGTTACAGGTACCACACTTAAGTTTTTATGTGCCTTCTGGCAGTAACCATGGCAATGAAAGCAGAAACAAACAACAGAGTTTCTCCTTGCATTGGATCTCTTAAGTGTGGGCTTGTGGGAACTTATGCCGTGTCTCCAGTGTGGTTTAAAAGAGTCTGGAAGTCTCTAGCTTAACAGCAGAGCACAAAAGTTGCATGCCAAAGGTTCCAGCTTCAATTCATGACAACTGCAGCTAGGGTTGGAAAAGACTTATCTGAAACTCTAGAGCAGAAGTGAGGAAACTGTAACCCTCCAAATGCTTCTGGACTCTAGCTTCCACCATCCCTGATTATTGCCATCTTGTCTGGGCCTGATGAGAATTGGGAGTCCAACAACATCTGGTTCCCCATCCCTGCCCTAGAGAGCCACTGATCTAATGGAGCAGTGGGCTGACTTGATATAATGCATGTTTTATGCATTTCTGACAGTTGTGGTACACAGGGGCTGGATTGCTGCTTTGTTTTTGCTTTCCACCCAGCCCTGAAGACTGGGACTTGCAAAACTTAATTTGCGACTGTTAGTGTTCAAATAGTCTACAGTGGTAGCTTGGGTTATGAACCATCCTACTTATGAACACTTCAGGTTACGAACTCCGCAAACCCGGAAGCAGGTGCTCTGGGTTGCGAACTTTGCAATGTACATATCCGCTTCTGGGGCCGTGGAAAGCCTATGTAGGGAACGGGCACCTCGGGTTAAAAACGCTTTGGGTTAAGAACAGACTTCTGAAATGAATTAAGTTCGTAACCTGAGGTACCACTGTAGAAGAAAAACACCAGCTTTCTCAGTGGAGGCTTTCAATAACTTTTATCTCAGTCCTCAGTCAGTGAATTGTGGCCTGGTTTTCACCATGTATTTTCTTTGACCACACACAAAGATAAACAATTTGGGAGGCAACTGTTAAAAAAACAACCATGACCACAGCATCTGGAAAAAGAACTGGCCGTTTAATCATGGGAACAACTGCAACTATATAGGAGAGCACTTGGTTCATACACTTGGGTGCTCAGATCCTGGCTTACTAGGCCGTAGTTTAGCAACCATTTCAAGCAATGGGACCACACACTGCCTCTTCACCCCTCCCTTTCACTTGCCTTCTCCCTCCAATGGTGCTTACATCCTGATTGAATTAAACATCTGGTTTCATTGCACCTGAGAAAGGGAATTTTAGGTGGATGCCAGTTTTAGCAACCAAGATCTTAAACTAAGTTCAAGCTGTAGTTTAAGATCTTGGTTAGTAAATAGACATTAAACCACAGTTCTCCATCTCAGATGTAACAGCAAACAGCAGGAGGAAGGAGCCAAGATGAGGGGCAAGGAAGGGTCCAGCCCCATTGGTTGTTTGCAATTGTTAAAATGTGGTTTGATGGACCAAGAGTGGAGTATTCAAATCAGCTTGTTATGTTTATTTGCATAAATGTATGCCTAAGGAAAGTGAGAGCTGTACATGTGTAGAAGGAAAAGTTGTGAACTGATGAGGGAAAATATGATACTACATCATCATATATGTACCTTAAAACCAAAAGGACATTTTAACGAAACACATCCCATTAACATGGCTCAAGATTGACATACCCACCTTAGTCCTTGACTTGTGTCTGCTTCTGGTTATGAAGAGAATGTGGGGTGTGTTTACTTAAATGTAAGTCTGATTAACCTTAGTAGGATACCAATACACTTTTATTAGTTGGAGACTTTCAATAAACTACAGGGGTCATCAAACTTTTTCAGCAGGGGGGCCGGTCCACTGTGCCTCAGACCTTGTGGGGGGCCGGACTATATTTTGAAAAAATATATATGAATGAATTCCTATGCCCCACATATAACCCAGAGATGCATTTTAAATAAAAGGATACATTCCACTCATGTAAAAACACTATGATTCCCGGACCGTCCGCGGGCCGGATTTAGAAGGCGATTGGGCCAGATCCGGCCCCCGGGCCTTGGATTGCCTACCCATGAAGTATGTATATGGGTATGGTATATACCCATGTATATATCTTCAGCATATACTCAAATCCCACCTTCCATTAATTGTTGCTTTTAAATTTGAAGAGCACAGCATAGACTTGATTGCATGTTTATAATCTGTCTTGTGCCAAACTTGATGAGAAAAGACTTTAAGATGGTGTTTCTTTCCAATTTGTATTGAACAATACTTTGAACTTAAGGGAGAAACCACAACTTTAACAATAAAGCTGAAGTTGATGATGCTTTTTGAGAGACGAATGGCCTGGCCATAAAGCTAAGCTATGGAGATAGTTTGTTTAGCTAACCATAAGTTGGCCCACAGACGATCAGACAAACCATGACTTGCATCTCCAAAGCATGGCTTGTTTTCCAGCTGCTCTTTCCTCACGCCTTTGCAGCTTGGTAAGCATGTGGGGTGGTGTTGTTATTTAGACTTATGACACTTCTTACCTAAAATGTCTCCAGGCAACTTACATCCAAGCGACTTAACAGAGTAGGCAACTGATGTCCATAGTCATTTTTAAAATGGCAAGTTTTAGTTGAGAATTGTTGTTAATAGTAGTAGTAGCAGTAGCAGTAATAACATCAATATTGCTTCTTGTTTGGTGGTGCTGGTTGAAATGGAAGAGCTAGTATCATATTCTGTGCTTCTAATAGTGTCAACTTACCAACACTCTGTAACCGTCTCTTTCCAAATCTGACTGACAAATACTTGTCTGGAGGTTGATTTGCTTCTCAATTATCACCTAGTCACAAGTGCAGTCCCTTTAATCAATTATATGGGTAGAGATTACAGCCAAGGAGAGCTCACAGGCTTCCATTAAGCCAGATCACTTTCGGAGGAAAGGCAATTTTCTCTATAAGATTTGATTAGTGATCAAATCTTGTGCTGCAGGGTGTGTAAAATTATCCCTCTGCAAACAGGTTGGTTTTCCAGCTCTGACCACCTCTGCTGCATGGTTTGGGCTCCATGGGTCTACGTCTTTTGTGATGCTTTTACACTGAAGCAAAACTGTTAATGCACAGTGCTTTAAGGGAGAGTTCACACTCTGAGGATGAAGGAGAAAGTCCTCTGTGTGACCACAGAGTGGCACCCACAGGGAACTATCAGCTATTTGACTTTCCCAGTCCTACCTGCAGTGGTGGGGTGGTAAATTTTGTAGGGCAGGAGCTTACAGATGTGCCCCCAAGAAGAGTCCAAAAATGTAGTCAGCAATATTGATTCCTCTGCATACACATACACTCTGCAACCCATTGTAATACACAGTACCCAACTTATTAGGATCAGCATGACAGCCATCCTAAGCATAGTTTCCTGTAAGACTCCCGCCCTGTTGAAATCAGTGATGTTTACTTCTAACTGCATAGATTCAAGCTGTGAAACGCACAGAAGTGACTTACCTGGGGGGAGCTGCTGCAGCAATAACCACCTTCTAGGGGTATCACTACTGATTAGCAGGGAGAGGTGCAAGTCAGCAGTGAGGTTGGGGCCACGCAGGTACAATAGAGGGCACACCACATTGGCTGTGCCGCTACACCAGCTTAATCTTTCACCCACAGCCTCTGCCCTCTTCCTTTTGGCAAGTGGCAGCGTCAATGCTGCCTGGAGGCTATTGCTGCCACTCCAAAAACACACCTGACTTTAGCCTTTAGCTATGAATTAGATATATTGCAAATAAGTGTTACTATTTAAGCTGCTAGCCTAAAATAGGAACACCTTCAAATAAAAGGGAAGAAGAATCTAGCCTCTGATTATTTCCCACATATTCTGACTTCCCCCCATGCTAATCTATCACAGAAAAATGTGAAAGCCTTGTTATTACTTAAAGGCATTCAGGACTGTCAAGTTACCCTGGTTTTCCAGTGGATGGCTTTGTTGTTCCTGCTCTGTAAAAAAAAAGGTCCCAAAGTTGCATTCACCAACATTTCCCTCTCCACTATACCACTACCTAAAAATGAAGAAGTGTGTTTTTAAGCTGCTTCATAAAAGTAATCACTGTGACATGTTGGCAGATTTCCAGAACTGGGGCACCACCACCAAGAAGGTCCTGTTTCTCCAGTATTGCATGTTTCTCATGCATTTCTTCAGGCACAAACATGGGCACATTTTCACACTCGCGTATCCGTTTCATGTCCATTCCATATGCACCCTCAATTCCCAGGGAAATGCACAAGCGCAGATGCTTGTCCACAAAGAAGCACATCCTTACAATGATCTCAGCAGGCCGAGTTAATAAAACAAGAGGGAAGCCTCTGGATTCCCCCTCTCTGCCTCAGGTCATCAAATCAGTCTTGGAAAGAAAGTACAAGTACTCTCCTCTTTCCTTGTCATAGGGTCAATACAGTCATACCTCGAGTTGCGTTTGCTTCACATTGCGTTTTTTCAGGTTATGAACGCGGCAAACCCAGAAGTGTTTACTGCTGGGTTCGCCGCTTCGCGCATGCGCAGGAGCTATCTTCACGCATGCGCAGGAGCGATCTATCTCTCTCTCATACAGAGAATCAGAACTCTACTTACAGACTTTTCAGGGCACAAGTGGTACCCCGGAACAGATCACGTCTGTAAGTAGAGGTACCACTGTAGATGAAATCTTTTTCCTTGGAGCAGGATGGATTGAAAGCCACTATCAGATGTTTGCCCAATTCAGTTCTGCTGCTGAAAACAGATTCTTAGGTTCACAGTATACTCAAAGGCATACTCATGGTTTGTTTTTGTTTTTTAAAAAATCTAGTTGTACTGTATATCTTTTGCACCTGGCTGGAGTTGATAGATTTTGGGATTCTAGTAATAAAAGACATGTCCACTCAGTGCCAACCCTGGGTTAAATAAACCTCTGTTCTGATCAAGAGGTGGCATCGTTGTTGGCCTGCCCACTAACTCATTTATGGAAATTGTTGCTTATGAAAACAAGAATAGTAGTTTGTGCAAATGAGGGCCAGGTGAGCCATATCAGTGGCCTTTACTATAAGGACCTATGCCTGCATCTTCATTTGGTCCACTTTTGCCCTTGTTTCTCAACAAAATATTTATTTTATTTTTACCGGCAGCGTGACTGTTGTCTGGTAAAACGGGTTAGGAAATGAAAACAGAAGGGCAAGCAATGAGTTAAAACAGAGTCACCTGAATTGTACACAAAACCAACTTGCAAAGAAAAATGAGCGCACTCTTTTTAAAATGTAACAAGAAAGATCAGGATCTGATCTTGAGATAGGCAAGGTGTCCCTCTTCCCCGTCATTGTGAGATGCACAGATAGCAACCTCAGCAAGAATGACCCAAGAGGAATTTTGCACTAGTATTTTTCCTTCCCAAAAATCTTTCCGTTAAAGACACACAACACTGTACTATTCACACTTTCATTTTAATAGCTCTGGGGAAAGATTATTCAGCTCCCTGAATAGCTGGGGGGTGCACAATAAAATAACTGTTCGACTGGGGGGAAAATGCTCTGTTGTCTTGCAGTACCAGTTGGTATTATGTAGGCTTGTTTGGTGTCTATTTATAATAGATTGCAATTGGGAACTGGATACAAAACAAACACTGGCGCTCCAGTGTGGCTTAACTTTATATCAGATTCTTTCTTGGCTAGTTTATTTTTAGATTATCTATCTTTGACTTACAGATGCAGCATTAAGCGACACACCTTTAAAGAAAGCTGTATCTTCTCTAGCATCCACCAATGATAACTTGTGAGATAGGAAAATAACTCAGTTCCAACCTTTCCCAGTACTGCTTTTTGAACTTTTGGGGATTGCAGAATAGGGCAAGGCCATTGAACTGTCAAGTTCAGGTAGAACACATAGCTCATTTTAGGTATTTGGGAGACTCTTTGGGACAATTGTATGTCCTTTGCATCTTTTCTGCTGTTAGTTACTCTGTTTACATTTTTTTGAGGTTGGTCTTCATTCCCTAAGGCTTTAGCAGAAATCCATTCACATAGTTTCCTGGTCACTTACTAGACAGCAGTTGTGTTTTGGATTTTTAAAAAAAGCTCTTTTATGTCTATGCGTGTCAAAGTGAGGTAATATGGAAACTTACTCCTGTAAATAAATATTTACATAATGCACTGGGCTCAGTAACGTCTCACCATTACATTGCTCCCTGGAGAAAAGGTCACTTTTGACATCATTAATCTTTTGAGGGCAAGATACATGCTCACAGATAACATGGGTTTCGTTTTAGCAATTAGGGTGTCGCTGAATATAGGCTGTGCTTGTTTTCCTTCCTAACAGAATGCAGCCAAAGTTAAACACTTCTGTGTGCCACTGATTTCATTGGGAATTAAACATTTCTAACCTTTGGCAGCATTGTGCCTGTTAAGAATGAGCTTTGCTGAGTCAGGCCAGAGAACTCTGGGAGCTGTAGTTCTGTGAGGGGAACTGGGGCTCCTAACAGCTCTGAGCATCCTTTACAAACTAAAGCTCTCAGAAGTCGTTTGGAGGAGCCATAACTGTTCAAAGTGGTATCATTGATAGCACAGTCCATAGACCACTACACTCTTAATTTCAGGGTTGTGAGCTCAAGCCCCATGTCGGGCAAAAGATTCCTGCATTGCAGAGGGACGGGTTAGATGACCCTCACGGTCCCTTTCTATTCTACAATTCATAGTGCTTTAAATGTATGGTGGGAATGTGGCCTAGATTTACACGACAGGCGAAATTGTATTTGTCCAGGTGTCTTTTTTAAAAACCTGATTATGTTGATGCTGTCTGGAGCTTAGGCTTAGTGTTGCTTTTAAAATAATAATAATAATAATAATAATAATAATAATAATAATAATAGATGCACAATTTTATTCTGTTTCATTCTATATTGCTGTTTGTGGGTGCATTCAGCTGTGGAAATTATTGTGTTCGTTTTCCAGGTTATAGTGCTAGCACATCTATCCCAGATTCTGTAGTTTCTTTTGCATTGTATTATGGGACACGTGTGGCGCTGTGGGTTAAACCACAGAGCCTAGGACTTGCCAATCAGAAGGTCGGCAGTTCAAATCCCCGCGACGGGGTGAACTCCCGTTGCTCGGTCCCTGCTCCTGCCAACCTAGCAGTTCGAAAGCACGTCAAAGTGCAAGTAGATAAATAGGTACCGCTCCAGTGGGAAGGTAAACGGCGTTTCCGTGCGCTGCTCTGGTTCTCCAGAAGCGGCTTAGTCATGCTGGCCACATGAGCCAGAAGCTGTACGCCGGCTCCCTCAGCCAATAAAGCGAGATGAGCGCCGCAACCCCAAAGTCGGTCATGACTGGACCTAATGGTCAGGGTTCCCTTTACCTTCTTACCTGTTGTGTTGTGGCTTTGTGGTCAATATACTGCCATATTTTGCTAAATTTTAAATGGCAGGAAAGGACTGTATGCTGGAATACCACCCCAATTTTTGTCATGTGAAATTACACAGCAAATCCCCTCCATTTTCCTGGTTAACAGGGTTGAAGAAAGAGAGAGAGGAAGCAAATAACATGGAAATGAGCACTAAACTTCCACTAGTTTTCCAGAAGTGGTTTTTACGTTGTGTGAAAGATCACATAACACTTGGAAATTATCAAGGAAGGAAAAATTGGTGAAACCAAAGAAGGTTGATGGAACGCAACCTATATTGTATGTTGTGTTGTAATCTGCCCTGTGCTCATAGGCGCCATCGGGGGGTGGGGGAAACAGGGAGCCAAGGGCTTCCCCAAAAATTTTAAAGAGTGGGCCGGGTTTCCCCAAACTTCTGTGGCAGCTGTGTGCACACACTGCGGGACATGCTTATGTCACGTGCACAAGATGCGGAGTGTGCGCACAACATGTTAGCACGCCCTGTAGCATGTGTGCTTGATGTCGGCCAGCCCCACGGTGTGTGCGCACAGTGTGCTTACGTCACGCAACCCTGACCCCCTCAATCGTGGGAGCAAGGCGGCGTGCTTGCCTGTGCTCCAGTCTGGAGGAAGGGTAGAGTATAAAAACTCTGAAGCAAACAAATAGCGCTTTGGCATATGGCATGGTGGGGAGAGCTATTTGATATGCCCAAACCCCAGTTCTGTGTGAGAAACTAATCCCATGGTTCTTTGGAGCCTGGGCCATGTGGCTTCTCTGCAGGCACTTGCTGTTCTTCAGTGGAATTCACGAAAGGAGTTAGGAAATCCCTTGAAGTGGAATCTTAAGGCTTCAGGACTCCATCAGTGGCATAATGCAAATACACACAGAGTTCTCAGATGGAAAACTACTGGTGAAGTGAATTAAAAATGTGTTAGACTCCTGGGAAATTCCGTCCCATAATGTGTAAAAAGTTAAGGAGGGCTTCTCTCAGAAAATATTGACATTTTACAGAATACCTTTTTGAGGTGGAAATGGCCATTTAACATTTTTTTAAAAAATTTTCTCTGATTTATTGTATTTTAACCCTATTGGATAAATATAGTTCCGAAAATGGATGTCAGATTAATTATGTCTTTAATTACCCCCATTAGATGTTTACAAATATTTTTGGGGTGTTTTAAGGAGGCAATTTATATTAAAGCATATGGTTGATTTTTCTTCTGACAATGTAATTATATTTTTCTTTGAAAGATAAAGATTTGTTGACAATCTCTCGTTTCAAGCTTTAAAAAACCAGCAATCCTGAATTACTACTTTTACTCACGTTATCCTTTTCATGTTGTCTCTTGAAATTATACATAGTTAAAGAAATGTGAAGGGTTGGGAAAGATAGGCTATACCACCTTTGGGGCCGCAATCCCATATGCACCTACTTAATTGGGAGTGAACCCCGTTGAACTCAATAGGACTTACTTCTTTGTAGACAGGCGTGTGTTGGATTGTACTGCCAGGCACACAGGACCCCATGGCTTGCGCTTGTCCTTCCATCCAAGATTTTAAGTCAAAGCCTAAAAGATTTGCTTTTCATTCCTAGAACAGCCCTCCCTCTATCTTTGTGTTTTGCCCCAAGAGGAGTTATGAAACCTTGTTTACAGCAAGGAAGCTGGGCACAATTTCTAAATGGGTCTATAGCTGTACATTGCTATCCAATTGTGTGTGTGTGTGTGTGTGTGTGTGTGGCAGTTTCTGGGGTTTCACTTGTAATATTAATGAGCCGTTAGAGAGCAAACAGTGCCTCCTTTGTTCCTATAGAAGATCCAGTCTGGGGAGGGCCGGAGGGTGAAGATTTCATGGGAGAGAAAAATAATAAATCTTTAAATTGAAATTTTCTGGCATGCTGCACTGGTCTGTGCCAGAGCTTTGAAGAAGAAGGCATAATCAGAAGCAGAGTTTCCCCACTCGTGCTAAATAATAAATCAGACACCCAAACAAGAGCCCCACATGGGTTAATGGCCTTATTTTCATGGTGAAATCTGCATGCATGTATCTAAGGCAGAGCCGGGATTGGCTGGCAAGCTCATTGCAGATCCAGGTGGCATATACTGACAGCTCCAGGTCACATGATGGCTATTAGGGCTTGCTTTTCCACTCATCTGGCTGAGCTTGTCAGCGAGGGTTGAACACAGGCATCCTGCAGCTCCAAGGAATGTAGAAAATGAGAGGAGGGGAAAGGAGGGAGGTCGTGAGAGAGGAGGCTGCTTTGTTGTCTTTCTCCCTTCGATCAGTCTGAATTTCTGACAAGCGTGGACCACGGAGGTGCGGAATTGCAGCCGCAGCTGCCAAGAGACCCTGGTCATGAGGCTCAACCCATATCGGTTTCGCCAAAGGAGGAGGATAGATTAAACTGGCATGTACAGTCTGTATTGGCTGCCAAGGGGGCACTTAGCTCGCTGATGAATTAGATTGATCTTCTGTCCTCTGCAGTAATACCCCCGAGGAAACAAAGGAGCTGGAAAAAACAGGCAGTGTTTGCTGTAGTAAAATTCTGGACTGATCAACAGAATGGAAAGGCGGGGTCCCGGTTATGAAACTATAAGGCAGCGTTCATATGTGGATCCTTGGGCAAACGCACGGATTCTGCTTCGGGGACCTGTTTCTTTTCTTCAAGGGTTTTTCCCTTTTCCTCTCTTCTTGTAATCCTGCCTTTTAAGATTAAGGCTGCCCTCCTCGTCCTCGTGTCCCGTCCCCCCCCCCCCCCGCCGCCTCTCCTTTTCGTGCTACAGCATGGAACATCTTTTGTTTCAGTTAAATTCAGTCCTCTCGGTCTGTCACCTGACAGTCTTGTGGTTCTGGATGAATGTGGTTCATTTCTATTATTAACCTGGGTTGGCAGCTGGTCCTCCTAACAGGAGTTTATAGAGATTCCGAAAAGTGGAGCTTGCTTAAGGGAGAAAGATGCTTCCCAGGTATGAAATAAATACTATGATCTGGGCATTCTTTTCAGTGGCAGACTTGCTAAATAAATATGTGCATATATTTGAAGTTGTCCTATTTTATACTGTAGAAATAATTATGTTCTTTGGGGGGGGGATAGCTCTGTACTACACCACTATTTTAAAATGAATGTATATAATCATCTGTCGTTTTTCCTAAGGCATTTTGTGTTGTAGAGAAAGATTATGAAACGGTGCCTGGAACACTAGTGGTTGTAACCCTGGTGGATTAATCTTGTTTAGGTGGGACTTCCTCCGTAATAAGGATTATTTCCTAAAATAATCAACTGGTGAAAGTTTATCTGCGTAAAGCTCATAGAAATTGGGACGGGTGCTTTTTTGCTGGTATCTTTTTAAAAAAACAGCTCCGCAACACACACACACCTCACCATCTGAATTTCTAAGACCTGTTCTACTCCAAGTTAAACCTGTTTAAATCCTATTAATTTGACTATGAGGCATTGAAGCACATGGTTCACTTTCCCATTTGAAATTAATGAAACTTAAAAAGTACTTAACTTTGGCTGGATAATGCCCCCCCGGCAAGTTTTTACATTTAATATTAAAGCAGTAGAATCGTCAGAGCATCAATATATGATTTAATTATACCTATCAAGAGCTGTTATATTGCTTTCAAAAACAGGGAAGAGGAAGACCTGACTATTGAAAATTTAACCTCAGAGTGGGGGGGGGGGGGAGAGAGAGAGACTTGGATAGGTTCCTTAGTAGGGATGCAAAAAACCTGAACAGAGATCTGACTTTGAACCAAATTATCAAAAATAAAATAGGGACTAACAGGTGGGAGATACATATGAAAATAAACTGAAGTTAGTTTCATTTGCAGTCAGCCATGTAGAGAACAGCCAGAAGTTAAGGTAGAGGAGTGTCTAGAGGCAGCAAATAAGATCTGGGTTTTATTGCTGTTCTTATTGCAGAATGCATTATTTCTTTCCATGTGGCAGTGAAATAGTATATGCATAGTCCAGGCTTCTTTGACCATAACTTGTGCATCTGTCTTTACAAATTGTTGCTAAGCTAATGGGCAAGTCCAACAGATCAGATTTTACACTTGCATCCTAAAAGGCACAAGTGTAATAAGCTTGTGTAATATTAAACATTAGCTGGAAAAGATGGTACCACATTCGTAACTTTAGATTTATACATGTGGAATGCAAGAGTGGCCTGTCTCTGGGCAGAGACAGGAATTATGTCCTTCCCCATCATCACCTCTGCCCTACATAAAATAATCAAGCATTTTACAAGCCAATATGAACTTTGGAATAAAACAAATTCATTTCTAGCCTTTAGAAAAGTCTTCAAGAAGTGAAGCAGGATTCCTAGCAACCAGGTTATAGTTTTGCCACTGATTTTCATTTTCTTCCCCTAACTCAGTATTTCCCCCACAATTAACCAGACCTTTCTATGGGCGCTAAAGTTAGCCACTGGCTTTGCAACTTTGATCCAGGCCTAGTTCCACCTCAGGAGAAAGGGGACACATGCCCCCTGCGACAGCTATCTCAGGTTTGGAGTCTTTGTGGTGCTGGAGAGAGTCACATCCTCCTCCCTTGGAGGCGAGAGAAGACTGTTGAAAAGCAGTCAGGTCTCGCTAAATTTGGGAGGCTTCCCAGACATCGTGAGACTCCATATAGAAATTATTGTGCTGGCTAATGTTTCCTTCCTAGGTGATTGTTACAGAGTAATGACAATAAAGTGGGAGAGGTCTTAACCAGCAGGCACTGTGACTGTAAGAGTTTCAGATGAGGATCAAATGTCACCAGCTGACTTTGTTCCAAGTCTGCTTTGGATTCTAACACTGTATAACAGTCGCCACAACTTTGTGTTATCTTGGCAAACATGGAACATAAAGCCACATTTGACAAGATAATAGCAATGCAGAAGTAGATTGGAACTTGCAGGGGAAGATTAGTTAGAGGGACAACCGAAGGCTTAACCTTTCTTTGTCCACCGATTCTCCCAGGCAAACAGGAACTATTTTTCCCAGTTCAGAGCCCACAATATGGGCACACAGTAGCAAACCATATAGGGGCAGGGTACTTAACCTTGGTGAGCAGATTGTGGCCTGCAGGTCCTGATTCTTGCTGCCTCAGCATTTCAACGCAACCAACTACATAGGTCTTATTTATATCTCACCTTTCTATAAACCACATTTATATTCCGCTGTTCCTCAAATGCTATCAAGGTGGCTAGCATGCACTTCCCAATTTTATCCCCAGAAAAACCCTGTGAGGTGGGTTAGGCTGAGAGGCAGTGAGTGGCCTAATGTCACCCAGTGATGTACATGGTGAGTGAGGATTTGAGCCCTGACCTCCAAGGTCCTAGTCTGACAGCTCTAACCATTGCATCACACGCTGTGGTGGCGTTGTCAGTGCTGGGAGCTACAAATCCATTAGCAATGCTACAATCCTGTACACAATTTAACTCCTTTTGAGAGAAGTTGGATTTAAACAACATAAACATTTGTTAGTAACTACTGGCTTACTGTTATTGATGGTGAGTTTTGTCACTGTTTATTCCTCTCCCCTCCTTCATAGGAGGAAGTGTTCAATCCACAGGTCTCATAATCTACTGTTGGGTTCTAACCGATTATTTAGCAATCCCTGTGATATTCAACTCTTCCATGTGCTATAGTGTTGTATTATTCCAGGCACAGGCATACTTAGCCCTCCAGATGTTTTGGGACTATAACTCCCACCATCCCTGACCACTGGTCTCCTGTTAGCTAGGGATGATGGGAGTTGTAGTCCCAAAACATCTGGAGGGCCGAGTTTGCCTATGCCTGTATTATTCCCACCTCAGTTTGCCATACTTTCAGTCACAAATTCTACAAATGACCATTAACAAATGTGTAATTTCTAATCCTAACCCCCCTCCACATTATATTAACTTTATATTACATTATATTAACTTGTAAAAATCTACAATGTTCCTAATTCCAACCCAAAGATCATCCTAACAGTAGCCCAATGCTGGCTGGTTTCCTATGCAGTGTAAATCATTGCACCTACATCAATATAATCCAAATGATAAGTACTATAAGCTGAAGTGTAATTTGATCATTAGTTAGCAAGTGGATGGATGTTTCCCTTGTTAAACAGTACTAGGTGCTTAGATGCATTATGTCACTTATACTTTCCATTGAGGCGAACAGCTTTGGTGACTCTTGGAAAGAGTCAGAGGGGCAAGGGTACCAAACGAAATGGAGCAGGAACCTATTCCAGTGTGCTTTTGCCTATCAACATTCCAGAAAGGTGCTAACACGAAAGGCATGCAGAACAGATAAGATGGCATAAACTATAAATATCATTTGCGTAGATGTCCTTTAAAAATAGTTTAAAGTGATTCATCACCTGGCAGTTTTCATAACTTTAGTTAAGATATGCTGTTGGGAACAGTGGTTTGATAGCTTTAATTTTTTATTATTTTTATTTTTTGGAACAGCCTTCCCCAACCTCCAGATGTCATAGACTTCAGTTAGAATCATAGAGTCATAGAATTGTGGAGTTAGAAGGGACCCTGAGGGTCATCTAGTCCAACCCCCTGCAATGCAGGAATCTCAACCAAAGTATCCATGACAGATGGCAATCTAGCCTCTGCTTAAAAAACCTCCAAGGAAGGAGAGTACATAATCTCCCAAGGGAGTCTGGTCCAGCTTGGAACAGCTCTTACTGTCAGAAGGTTCTTCCTGAAGTTTAGTCAGAATCTCATTTCTTGTAACTCAGATCCACTGGTTCGGGTCCTACCCTTCAGAGCAGGAGAAAACAAGCTTGCACCATCTTCCATGGGGCAGCCCTTTAGATATTTGAAGACAGCTATCATATCTCTTCTCGGTCTCCTTTTATCCAGGCTAAACATAGCCAACTTCCTCAACTGTTCCTCATAAGGTTTGGTTTCCAGACCCTTGATCATCTTAGTTACCCTTCTCTGCGCACGTTCCAGCTTATCAACATCCTTCTTAAATTGTGCTTAATGTGAAAGTGATATTTATCTTGAAATAAGACTATTGTAAAAGATCATTAACAGTGTGATCTAATGCATGCCTGTTCAGAAGCATGGTTGTATCCAAAGGACACGTCTCTAAAATGTGTAATGGGACACTTACTAAGCCTAGACAGATTTAGTCATTTATTTTTATTGAATAAATTTCTATCCCACTCCTCCTCCTAAAGGAGTCCGTGGCAGCAAACAAGTGATAAAAAAAAGAAAATCTAAAACATCTTTTAAACAATTCCATTATAGATACAGACTCAGAAAGAGCTCAACTTAAAAGGCTTGTCGAAAGAGAAAGTATTTGGTAGGTGCAGAAAAGACAACAGAGACGTCTGCCTAATATTCAAGGGATGTTAAAGTCAATGTCACAAAGCTAAAGGCTTGATTCATAAATTGGGCAGGATGGAACTCCTGATAAGAGACCCTCACCTTCAGAGTGCAGTGATTGGATATGTCAGCTCCCTATTAGAGAGGGGCTGCTTTGCGGGCGGGAACTGGGTCTCCATAGCGACCCTGGAGTGGGTGGAGGTAAGCTGCCCACATCAGCAGGGTCCCCGGCCCAGGAGGCCCTGTTTCGTGATGATGGTGTTCACCTTTCTGACATGGGCAATGATTATGGCTGGCCGATATCAAGGAGGGCATTAAGTGTTGGTTGCAGGTGTGAGGGTGTTGGCGGCGAGCCTTTGGCTCGATTGGCGGTTAGGCATTGAGTAAGCCTTTTATGGGAGGGGAGGTTGTTGCCTCCGCCTGCCCCTCAATGGTAAGGGTATCCCATTAAAGGGATCTGGGGTGTGTGGTTCCTGTCCGAAGCCTGGGCATGGGCTAGGGCAAAGACACATCCCTAACGGTGACCAGGGAGGGGGGCTCATTTGATGTACATCAGAGGGCTCCCCCTTTCCGGTGGTTAACCCTTCAACGAGACTTCCTGCGGGCGTGCAGGAGTCAGGTTATAGTCTTACTTCGCCCAATTGCCTAAGCCAATACCGCTCACTTCTGTAACCAATAAAGTTGTGGCCTTATTTATCCCATTAACTCAATATCCTTGTTTTCATGTGTTTTATTCCGGGGAAGCTTGGGGTCCAGGTCCTTGCCACGCAAATAAGGGGTGAGATGATCTTTCAGCTATCCTGGCCTCAAGCTGCATAGGGCTTTATTTACCAAAACCAGCACCCTAAACTTAGCTCAGCAGCTAATTGGCAGCCATTCCTGATTTCTTTATGGAGCCTGTACGACCAATCAACCACATCATTTGTAATACTGAATAGTCAAAGATCAAGGTCACATCTGGTCCTCAGCTGATTGTGGAAGATGCTTAGGCATGAACAGGATGTTTCCCCACAGCTATTTAAAATGCATGGTGTACAGTGTCCTGAACACAACTTAAGTCATTCCAAAATGCCTTACTGCCTGCAACCAAGGGAGAGAAAATCTAGGGCCTTTTGTTTTTATTTACTTCTTCTAATGTAATCCTTTATACTCATTTTCTGGTTATTATCTTTCACCTAATTACATACATTCAGCCCCTCCTCTGTTTATTGTACCTCCCGATCACTGTTACGATCTCAGCCTATGGGCAACAACAGTGTGTTGAGGTAGGGCTGGCAAAACACCAACCTATTTGTTAAGCAATTTAAAACCTAGATATTACACATTTGCAAAGTAGACTAAGTACTTCCTACACTAAGTATTTCCTACAAAGCAAACCATCCTTAAGGTACCCAGAAGCATCAGATTCTGGGCAGCCGTAGAGTGTTTTGCCGTATCTCATATCTTGGGTGTTCAAAGTAATAATAAAGTATACCTGCCTCCAGATGTATAAATAATGTGACAATTTGTATAGGTACTGGATACAGTGATATATTTTCTTGGGTGGATCCATTGTTTTTAGATAAACAGTATAAACAGCTTATTAGGAGTCAAAATTCATTGAAGTTCACTCAGAATGTACAATTCATTTTGATTCCCCCCCCCCCTGAAAAAACAACAACACTGGTCTAGTCCAATGGCCCATTCAAGCCCTTTTCTTCATCTTACCCATAAAAGAAATACAAGCCACAGTAGTAGTAGTTAGCCATCATGCACAAAATGGTGCCTGATTCTCTAAAAGAGCCTTCCCCAACCTGCTGCCCTGCAGGTTTCTTGCACTAGAAGTCCTATGAACAACTTTGACAGTGGAACAGACTCCCATGAGAAGTTGTGGATTCTCCTTTCTTAGTTTTTAAGCAGAGGTTGGATGGCCATCTGTCATGTGTGATCTAGTTGAAATTCCTGCATTGCAGAGGGTTGGACTATATAGTTCAAAGTTTCCCAACTTGGGTCTCCAGCTGTTTTTGGACTACAGTTCCCATCATCCCTGACCACTGGTCCTGCTAGCTAGGGATGATGGGAGTTGTAGTCCAAAAACAGCTGAAGACCCACGTTTGGGGAACTCTGGACTAGATGACCCTTGTGATTGCTTCCAACTCCACAATTCTATGATTCATGCAAAATCTTTTTCACACATCTTATATCTGCAAAAATATATGGTTGGCTCTTGGAAGGATAAATGTGTGGATTCAATGTGCCTGTGTCTTACTGATTGTTGCTCTGAACCTGTTCCCTGAGCTCGTCTTCTCCACTTTCTCTCAATCCCAGTTGCCAAGGAATATTTTTTGGAAGACATGTTATGTAACACTGATAATAGTTAGCCGGGTCAATCATGAAATGTAATTTATGAGACACACCAAAGCCTTTCAAGGATAGTTAAAATAGCATGTGCTCAGATGGAGGAGTAAACAGGTTCATTTTACCTTGATCAAATGTTGATGAATGCGGCAGGGTTTTTAATATATATATATTTAGCTCACTCTCCTCTTAGCACGTAATCTGCTCTTGGAGCTTTTTATAAGCAGACTTCCCTAAAGATCTGGAACACTTTCTGCTCTTCCTTGCCAGGCAGCTGTCAAGAGTCAGATGTCAAAATACTACTAAATGGAAACCATGTCTTAAAGAAAGGGATGGTGGGCTTATTGCAAATTAGGTAAATGAAAGGATTTGTTTGGGGAGGGTTGGTGTAGAGTTGTTGGTTTAATAACAATTGCAAGATGAAAACAATATGGGTTTAAATGCAGAAATGCCACATCTATGCAGGTGACTTAAGCACTGCATGAAATACCAAGCTAACTTCAAGTACGGATATATAAGAGAGTTTGGGCCACTTTGTATATATCAGGGATTATAGTTCAGGCGAGAATCTAAACATACGTTTTATTTGTTAAAAAAGTTTTCCAAGATTATCTCAGCTTTGCTTTCATTTGTTCTCTCTGGCAATTTCAGTATTTGAGGCCAATGTTGAGGAGTTGCAGAGTTTGCACCCCCATTGTGTAGGCGGCATTGGGGCTGCACCTGTGGCCGACCCCTCTCTACCTCCCCTATAGAGGAAAACCTGGCTCAGCCAAAAGGGTGTCCACAAACACTACTGATCAACTGATGGGCAGTGCCTGCCAAGCCCCTTTCAAAGCACCGCACAAAGAAGGGGTTTCTGAAGACCCCTTCGGGCAAAAAAGGTCACTTGGTATCATTGTGACGTCAGGTAGTTGAAACTCAGCAACCTTGGCCTGTAAGGGGTACAGGAGAGAACCACCTGCTCCAGTGCACTAAAAGGGCTCCCCACCCCTAGTTTTGTGTTTGATCTGGACCAGGGGCCGGCAAAGCTTTTGTGGCTTGGGGCCAGTTCATGGTCCCGCAGACTCCGCGGTGGGCCGCAGTGCTCACGCACACACACATGCACAAACACTATTTCCGGCGCTCCTTCTGGTGCGGAGGAGGCATGTGCATCTTCCTATTGGCTGCAGGAGCTTCCTGCAGCCAATGGGAAGCTGGCCAGCGTCACGGAAGGCGGTCCCCGCTCTGCTCTGCACCGGTTTAGCACGGCGCACGGGAGCCGACCGAAGTTTTGGTTTTTTTAAGCATCTAATATTCCAGTCCCAGGAAGAGTATTTTCCCCCCTCCTTTTTATAGGTGCAGGAGATGATTTCAGTGGCCTTTGTGCTCTTATAAATGTGGTGATAAAATGATATCTCAGATGTCTATGAAACAGGAACTGATTAGCCATGGCAATCCCATGATCATGATGAATTCTTTGTGGGATGGTATAAACTATAAAAATCCAGAGACAAGCCAAAGCCTCCTGTAGCTTTCTTCCCCATAAACATTGCATTGTTCTGATCTGGTATCTCCCTTTCCACTAATAATAGTGGCGTTATACTAGGTGCTTTTTAATGCAAACATTGTAATCATACTCTGCATTGTGTATTGACTAGGATTAGAAGTACCTTTGATTTTTTAAAAAATAAAACGTTGTAGCAAAGATTAATGTTCCCAGTCGAGTTACACCCATTTATTTATACCACTGTGCAAGTTGGATGAAGAGGTTTCTCTGTTGATATATATTTACACAAATTAAATTTGCATTTTATGTATATTGTTGTTACCTGTTGTTACCCCTTAATAAAGTCAGTGAAACTTCTTTTAATAAACTCTATTGTAAAAGCCACAGAGATAAGAAACTCTCTCTCACTTTTCCTCCCTATTAAAGCTGGCCTTTGCCGGAGTTTGATCCAAGTCAGATCCGACTAATTGTGTACCAGGACTGTGAAAGAAGAGGGCGAAATGTTTTATTTGACTCCAGTGCTAAGAGGAGAACTGAAGATTCATCCGTCTCGGTAAGCAATATTCACACTAGTATGAATGCCCTTTCCCCTCACCCCCCCTGAAATGCAATGCAAAGTTAATTCATGCAGGCTTCAATAATAAATTATTTGCATCAGTAGCCATGCTTTGAAGAGAGATATTCAAAATGCTACATTTAAAAAGACGTTGTGTTTGCAGTGCGTTAGTGCTTCAGCTGTTCCTCCTAATTGCTTTACTGTTACAGCAGTCCCCTCTTTTTAACCTAGCCCTTTGTTATATCATATTTCCTCTCATAGGATCTCTCCTTTGCCTGTAGCTTTAGGAATAGCCTAGATGGTGAAAATGCCTACTCTATTTATTCCCTTACTCGTCTTCTGGCAAGCTAGAATTTAATAAACTTTGAAAATAATTCCAGTGAGGGTGAATCTGGTGTACTGTAGAACAACAGAGAAAAACCTGAGATCTTTCAGGTGCTGTTGGACTATGGCTCCCATGATCCATGACCATTGGCTGGGTGGGGCTGATGGGAGTCCTATAACATCTGGCAGGGCACAGGTACCCCAGCACTGCTGTATAGACGATTATTAGGACACTTGCATGCTTGAGGGTTATGCATCGACCCAGTTTTCCCATAATGCTTAGCAAAAGTTGCAGCTTAGCACTGGGCCGGGGGAACTTCCAGACTGTGGGCCCAATTTTCCTCACAATGCTGTTTTTCCCAAACCACACTTGCCTGCCTTACCCCTGACATCATATGTGACATCAGGCAGGAGGCAGGGAAAGGTGTGACCTGCACACTTGGTTCATGGAGCTTGTAGAGATAAAGATCTGGTCCACCAGGCTAAGAAAGGTTTTGCGCACCTGAGCCTTAACATGAACAAGCAAATATGCAGCCTCCTAAAGAGAAGATTGTGGCTGGCTTGGTCCTGCCACCGCCACACTGCTGCGAGCTAAGCCATGGTTTGGCTTAGCATGGCATCTGACCTTGACCCATTGTTTATCTTGCCCCCAGTTAAATCACAAGCTGTAGCTAAGGTTTGTTTTGTGGCCAGCACTCCTTGTTTTCCTGAGGAAGATGAACCATGAGCCTGGGTTTGGACATAATGCTAAGCCAAACTAGCTTAGCTCACACCAACTCAGCAGCAGCAGGACTGGAGGAAGAGTGGAGCAGGTATGGTCACATGGGAACTCATACATGTGTTCAAGCTCAGCCATGGTTTGGCTTAGTGTTAAGTGTGAACCAGATTCTGTCTCTCCTCCAATCTTCTCCCTTATACCGGCATTTCTCCCCACCCGTTATTTGATCACCCCACCTCCCCTGTCTCATCAGCTTGGGAAACATTGAATCTATTACTTGGATGTATAGATCGATCTTTTAAAGAAAGAAAAAACTTTTAAGGGAGGTACTGAAGAAGTGTGGAAATGTACTGTACTATCTCACAAGCATACCTGGAGGAGTGTCTCCACCCCCATCGTTCTGCCCGGACACTGAGGTCCAGTGCCGAGGGCCTTCTGGCAGTTCCCTCGCTGTGAGAAGCCAAGTTACTGGGAACCAGGCAGATGGCCTTCTCGGTAGTGGCGCCCGCCCTGTGGAACACCCTCCCACCAGATGTCAAAGAGAAAAATAACTACCAAACTTTTAGAAGACATCTGAAGGCAGCCCTGTTTAGGGAAGCTTTTAATGTTTAATAGGTTATTGTATTTTAGTGTTTTGTTGGAAGCCGCCCAGAGTGGCTGGGGAAACCCAGCCAGATGGGCGGGGTATAAATAATAAATTATTACTACTACTACTACTACTACTACTACTACTACTGGGAATTCCAATGATGGCATCTCTTCACATGCAAGGCCCCGGGCCTTAAAATAAGTGTTAGCCACATACTGAGCCCTTTTACCTGTAAGTAACTGCAGAGTACATTTCCGAAGCAGAGACATTATCTCTTTATAGACAGTGAAGTTGTTATATTTCATCTCTTAGCAAAGTGGCAAATGACTCCTTCACTTGACGGCATACACAAAGTGCTAGCTGCATCCCACGGCACTTTTGCCCTTTTGCAAGAAAACACTGTGTGGGACAGACGTTTTCTCACTGTGAAAAGAGCATCTGTTAGCTGGGTTTTAGAATTCAATGCCTTCTGCCTGTTGACCCCCACATGTCTCAGCATGATTTATAGCTCCTGGCCTTCTCCAGTAGAGTGTCGGCTTTGTTGGCTTAGGAACATGGAAGGTTTGGACTTGAACAAAGCTGTCCACCATAACGGGTGGAGAATCAACTGATTTTCAGAGCATGTATTTGTGTAGGGTTTGCCCGCCCACAGACACACACGAGAGGGCCATGTCCTCTTCCCCACTCCTGCTGGAGTGAAATTTCTTGCTTAGAGGGACACATGGCCTCAGGAGAAGGCCAGGCAAAAGAAAGTTAGACCCGCAATATATTGCCTGTCAACACTTCTTGATAACAAACAGTTCTGCTGAAAAGAACACTAGTGTGGCAGTCAAAGCATGCGCTGTACCTTTTAAATGTTGGCATGTTTCAAAAGGCAGTTCCATGTGCGCAGAATGAAAATATCTCTTAAGATCACAAACATTTACATAGACGTATGATCAAGAACGGCTTCTAATTTCATCTGGAGTTGCTACTCCTGACTTTCTGGGGCCTGCGCTGTGAATTGCTTTGACACAGAGTTACAGTATCTCTGCCATCCTGGTCAGCCTCCTCCCAAACTGGTGCCCTCAAGATTTTGCTGGACTACAACTCCAAGCATCCCTGAACATTGGCCAGTCTCCAGGTGACTACCTGCTGGTTCATAGAATCATATAATTGTAGAGTTGGAAGGGACCCTGAATATCATCTAGTCCAACCCCCTGCAATGCAGGAATATGCAACTGTCCCTTACAAGGATCAAACCTGCAGCCTTGGCAATATCAGCACCATACTCTAACCATCTGAGCTATCCAGTCTGGTTGCTGGAATTATTGTCAAGAATGCTGGCAACGTGAACCTTAGTCCATAGCTGTCAACCTTCCCTTTTTTTGCGGGAAATTCCTTTATTCCAGCACCATTTCCCGCTGCTATCCCAGATTGTTAGATATCCCGTAGACTGTCCCCAGGATAGGTGAGGCTGCTGATCCCTTATTTTCAAATCTGAAAGTTGACAGCTATGCCTTAGTCTGATCCATCTAGCAAGGCTCTTACAATCTTAAGCATGAATGTTGTTGTCAGTAGTAGCAGCAGCAAGAGCATCATTCATTTATTCAGTGACGTTAGTGAACAGAGTACAATAATCCCTGCCCCCCAAGTGCTTACAAACTAATTTTCAACACATGAGAGCAGCAGAAGAGAAGGAAAAGTGGAATCAGGCTTAAATAAGGAAGGAATGTGTGATACTTTCATATACATGTACAAAGCTTTCACGGAAAAGGTTGGTTTTGGGAAGGAATTTGAAGGAAGAGAGGTGGCACCATTAAGGTGTTTGGGAGGCTAGACAGGATAGCTAAACACTCATCAGTTGTGCTTTATTATCAAGAGACCCTGAACAGGTATTTTTGTTTTTTACATTTAAGATACAACATTAGACCACAGAGATTCATGGTTTGGGGGCTTTAACCTTGAAAGATTGAAGTCAGCCCATCCAACATCAAGGCAATGATTATGCATGTCAGAAACATTCTTAGGCAACCTATCAATCATTAATAAACCCTTTATTTATAAACTGCTACTGTTAAAATGAACATTATGAAATTAAAACTCCTGCCTTCTGTTAGATGCATGTATTTTTCAGGTCTGGGTAAATCTGGTTTGTATAAATATTTGTTTATCTTTGTCTCATGAAAGTGTTACTGGCTTTTGTTTTGTTTTGCCTTTTTGGCTGTAATTCATAAACAGTTACCAGAAGCAGACTCAAACCCACCTATGTTATCATCCTCCAGGCAAAAGAAAAAAAATATGAGTTTAGCAGTCCAGACATAAGTAAAAATGAGTTAAATTGCATTTATATTCCTCCTTTCTGTTTGCAAACTCTCAAGGCAGCTTACAAACACAACAGCAAAACAAAAAGCAGTTTTATGTTACTGAACATTTTGATTTCTTGTGTGTGTTTTATGCTTAATCACGAATCAGTGAAAGGTGGGGGGTAAATTGAATAAATGAATAAAATATGTCATTAATGACTGGCCCAAGTCCATATTCAGGGCACAAGTCAGAGGTCATGCCATGGTCTAGGGCAGGGGAGGTCCAGAGGGCAGCTATTTTATGTGGCCCTCCAGCCCCCATCTTCCTCTCTACCTCTTCAGTAGGTTGGAGGAGAGTTTCCCTTCACCCTGGCACTGTGATGCAGAGGAAAATTGCTGTCTCTGCTGTTCAAGGATTGGTTGCCAAAGCCCAGGTGTGGCTTTTGTCCTCCATATTGTCCTCTCTATAGCAAGCCTAACACTGTGATGGAGATGAATGTGGTACATGTCTGGTGTGTGTGAGAGTGAGTGAGTGAGTGAGTGAGTGAGAAAGAACCGTGTGGCTGTATTTGTGTGTAGTCCGCATTTGTGACAAGGGTGTGTGCTTCATGTGTGACAGAGGGAGGTTATATGTGTTATGTGTTTGACAATTGCGGTGTTTGTGTGCGAGAAGGAGTTATTTGCAGCAACTTGGGCCATGACTGTTGCTGGTATGCAGAGGGTTAATCAGCCTTCCGTGTGGCCCCTGTGCCAAGAACCTTAAGCTGGAGATGTTAATGGAAGAAAGATGGGCCTACAGCAAGGTGATAGGTTACAGCAAGCTTGTAGTAGAAAGTGCCAATGGGCTGACATTTGTTATTGGATAGCAACAGTGGGAATGCTTAGTGGATGCTTAGAGATATTCTAGAAGGGGGACTTGATCCAGATAGTAAGGTTAGGCATGGGAAGGAAGAAAAGGGAGGATCTAAAACAGAGGGGAAAACTACTGAGATGTAGTAGAGAAGGGCTGACTTCAAACTGTCTGTGACAGTACCCTTTGGATGAGGCAACACTTAACAGAGTTTGAACATATTGAACACTCTGTCAACCTAAGCACTGAGTCGCAGGCCATAATTTTAAGCAGATTAATCGGATGCTTTGCAGTTATGGTTGTGAACACTGTACACCAAACACTAAATTACTAATAGGATCAGAAATGGGATATGCTGGCTGAGTCCTTTACCTTTAGGCGACCTGCCTGAAACCAAGACTGCTCCCTTGTAAGGTTTCGGTTTCTGGAGAACAAAGAATAGCCACTGCCATTGACCTCTTTGGCTGCCAAAAGTGCACAAGGACAGGGTCTCGCCATCAAAAAGCATTGTCTCAGAGGAGAGCCTTGAGGTCAAACAGCGGAGCTAACCAGAGTTAGAGTTCCCAGCTGTGTAGCAATGGAATCGCCAGCAAGCCTCCTTGTGCTGCTGCTTCAATGGGCACGGCAGATGGTGCTAGCAGGACGGTGCCTGCGGGGTTTATTTATGGCACATGCGTGCTCTTCTTGGGGACAGGGATTCCAACGTTCTTTTATGCGCTGCACTTATTCTGTAATCTCTTTTACAATGTTGGAAGCACGACTTGAGCTATGCCGGGAACACAAGTCGACCAGTTCCCTTTGTTGCATAATATCTGGTGGCTTGTTACATCTTGTATTTCATTGACATTCAAATCCAGAGGAAAAAAACCTCACACAGGAGAAGGGACACCTCAGATATTTGATCTAGGTGTCCAGCAGGTTACTCTTCAGCATATGCTGGGTTCTAAAATTGCACGTCTTAAAATTTGTCTGCGTTCTGCATTTTGCAAATGATTTGCTTGCTGGCAGACTGCTGACAGTTGGCATCCAAAAGATTGTGACCATTTGACCTCTTTTTACCACGGGATCCTTAAGTTCATTGCATTCTACTGTAAAGGCCAAAGGTATAATCTTCCATAGTGTTTGAATCAGGAAATGATCACTCTTAAGACATTGTGTTCAGCTGTGGCTTTGAAGAAAGCTGTGTAGGAAGCTTATAAGAGGTTCGTGCATAGACTCGATTAGCTAGCTTGAGGAAAATGTTTTGCCATCATAGGAATTCTCTCTCTCTCTCATATATATATATATATATATATATATATATATATATATATGCTTTGCTACCAAGTGTTATTAAGAAAACTTTCAACATCAGCTGAAAGCTGCAGTGTGACTTGCCTGAGAAAGATGTTGTAACCCTGTGGACTCGGTGTGGTTTTATCACATGATGCTGTGCCTAGCCCAAGACGCTGTTGTTTATCAGAGATAAAATGCAATTCTAGTTCACGGGTTTCTAGTGAAGTCATATGATTGCCATTCACATGTTTTCAGCCATTGTCTGCCAAAAAATTTCAAGGCAGTAGCAATTCTAACTCTGCACGAGTTCAGCATTGTCTCTTTAATGATCAGCTTCTCATAATGGGAAGTTGTTCTTATGAGAAGAAATGAATTCTTGTGCTGCAGCCATAAGAAAAGAAAAGAAAAGGGAGTTCTAGCTGGCTTTGCATAGGCTAGGCTGGCTGCCATAAGATCAGTACTGGGAAACCCTGTGGCTCTCCAGAGGTTTTGGACTACAACTCCCATCAGCCTCAGCTAGCATGACGAGCAGTCTGGGATGATGGGAATTGTAGTCCAGCAACAACTGGAAGCGCAGAACTGCCACCACATTTGCTTTAGATATTAACTTCTTTACCTTCCAGTAGTTGTCACAATAGGAGAACTGTAGTAAAAACTGCTGGGTGGGGGCAGATGTAAGCTACTGAGTGAGGGGCCCCTTTTTCCTTAAAATATTTATTTGCAATTGCAGTCCCCATTCTCATAAAAATGTTCTGTTCTGGTGTTTGCAAAATCTATATCACAGGGAGAATTTTAGGTGCTGTTATGATGAATAGCTGCACATGTGGTTCTCTGAAAGCAGTCTGATTTCATGGGATTTTTTTTTTTTTTACCCCAAACTTAAATATGGAAGAAAAACGAAACCTTCCCAGGTTTTGCATATTTGTCCCTATTGAAATTCATTTTGTTAATTTGGACCCAGTTCTCCAATCCTTTAAGGTCATTTTGAATCCTGATTCTGCCTTGTGCGGTGCTAACTACCCTTCCCAGTTTGGTGTCCTCTGCAGATTTGATGAGCGTCCCCTCAAGTCGTTTATAAAGAGGCTGAACAACAATAGGCCCAGGACAGAACTCTGGGGCACTCCACTTGTCCCTTTTTCCCAGGATGTCGAGAAACCTTTAGTGAGCACTCTTTGGGTTCGTTCAATCAACCAGCTACAGATCCACCTAGCAGTAACATTGTCTCTGAATCCTCTGAGCCTAATTCCCCATCCCTTATAGAACTCAGGTTGAAGAAAACCAAGTGAGAATCCACAGCCACATGCAGGCTTCTCCTTAGAATTTAGAGCTCACTTTTATCTTCCACATTTGAACACCATTCTTCCTTTGGCACAACTTCACTCCTATGTTTAAATATATAAACACTGATACCTGCATTGCGGGAGATTGAACTAGATGGCCCTGGGGGTCCTTTTCACCGCTACAGTTCTGTGATATGATTTATGAAGTGTTGAACATTGGATTTGTGTATTACACATCTATCTCCAAAGCAAAAAGATAAGACTTATTGAAATTATTCCTATTTTGCAAAACGGTTGGCTTAACTTCCAATCTCCATTCTTTCACTAATGCTAAAATGCTTGTGTTCATCTCGCTAGTTTTCTTTTTCTATGCCCCGGATGCAGGTGATCTGTACTCTCAGAACACTGCTTTGAGGATTACTAAACACAATGTAACAAATACAATTTTTACTCCACCAGAAACTCTGCAGCGATGCTCAGGTGAAAGTCATTGGGAAATGTTGCCAGCTCAAACCTGGAGGGGACAGCTCTTCCTCTTTGGATAGTTCAATTAATTCGTCTTCTTCCTCTTCTGAAGCAAAAGAACAATGTCCAAAATTTCAGGTGAGAGGTCCCTCTTTTAACTGTATCATGCTGGCATTGTGACTTGTATTGCATGTTTGAAAACATTGCCTTATTAGGAAATGGCTTGGGCTCCTGGTGGAGTGAGTGAGCCCGGAAGCTGTTCTTTGGTGGTTGTCCAACAAAACAGATGGCTGTTGTCATGTAGGACTGCAAAAGGAAACTATCAGAATATCAGCAGGATGAATGTTCCTACAAGTGGCTTATTTGAAAATCATTCATGAAGAACAATAGCCAATGAGCCACTAAGAAACCTGGGGCAAGGATGTACCAAACAAACGTGATAGTATAGATCAGTCCCTTCCTCTCCTTGTCCACCAACAAAGATGAAACAATTTAACCAGGAAACAGCTGAAAATGCAGTTCCCCATTCTAACAAAGGCCCAGGGGATGGATTTACATATGTGGCCAGCCACCCCACAATAAGTTGTCCCATTTCTAATTTTTCTTCCAGAAATGTGCTGCAGGGATTAAGTTTTCATACAGGCTAGTGACAAAAATCCTCCACTTACTTTCAGATGTTTGTGATTAATGCTGAAGTTTTAGCTTTCTCATGAATTGTGAAAATATTGTTCACTCAAGATGTCCATCCAAAAAAATTTAATAATACAGGTTTTCTTGGAGTCAGAATCAGAATGGGACCAGGAATCCCTCTCAACTTAGTTTTTGTCGGTCTGCTTCAAATCCCTGCGACAGGGTGAGCTCCTGTTGCTCTGTCCCAGCTTCTGCCAACCTAGCAGTTCAAAAGCAGGCCAGTGCAAGTAGATAATTAGGTACCACTGCAGTGGAAAGGTATATGGTGTTTCTGTGCGCTCTGGTTTCCATCATGTTGTGCCAGAAGCGGTTCCGTCATGCTGGCCACAAGACCTGGAAAGCTGTCTGTGGACAAACACCAGCTCCCTCGGCCTGAAGCAAGATGAGTGCCGCAACCCCATAGTCGCCTTTGACTGGACGTAACTGTCCAGGGGTCCTTTACCTTTACCATCCTAAAGTGCTTCCTTTAACTATTTTGTAAAGCCTTATTCTGTAGGGCTTTTTTTGCTTTTTTAATGTCTTGAAAAGCAATTTTAAAACATTCAACTGCAAATTTTTGCTTGCTGGCAATTTAAAATGCTTATGGCAGTGGCACTCATTGAACTTGAGTTACACTTTATATAAGAGGGGAGGTTTTGGCCACCAGTGTAGCCAGAGTCATCTGACTGGGTATATTTCTGTCATCTCACCTTGCACTGATCACAAGTGTTTTCTGTTAAGCCTTCCTAAAATAGAGCTGAGCCTTTACCCTTTGTACTGAAGTAATTCTCTGTTTTAGAGTGGCTGATCCCAACATAACATATTCTCGGGGACGTCTTTAATGTAATGTAATACTAGGCTGCCAAGCTTTAGTAAGCATACATTAGTTGCTGCATTTCATTGCACAGACTCACAGATGCTCACCCACCCACCCACAAGGTCATGCAACTGATTTTTATATTGTGTTATTGCGCCTGAGAACGAAGTTTATATTTATCTCTCTCCTCATCATGGAAGAGTATTTTGCTGTGGTTTGGACAGGAAGAGACATGGGTTTCTTTGAACAACATTGCTCTTGCACAACGAGAACTGTGTACTGATCCCCAGAGTTGAGGATGCTAGCTTGTTTATGTTCCATCCTGGAAGGTTTCCTCACACAATCTAGCACAGGTAGCATTATCTGACATCATACTGTGCATGCAGTTTTGAACAGGCAGGTCACATGTCATTAGCATTTTAATGCTTTGTGAGAGAGGGAGGAATTAGAATCTGCTTGAAGGTAACTTGAATGAAGAAATAAGGGGTGCCTGGTGCAAAGTTGATGATGCTTCCCAAACTGGATGCTCACTAGCTGGTATGAGCTGCTTCCCAGAAATCATATTTCCCTCCTAATCAATAGGATAATCAGTTTTGTTAAGATTTTAAAGTTTGGTATTTGCTTTAGGTTGTGAGGCGACCTGGAACAGAAGTGGTGCCCTCTTCCCTCACCCCTGGTGAGGAACAGAGATTCGGCAAGGCAGTGATGAGACCAGGGAATGCTCCCCCAAATTCATCATCACTTTGCCTCACCCCATCCCAGCAAGCACTGCCACAGTGCCCCCCACCCCCCACGCACACTGCTCATGCCTGGAGAATAAAAACTACATTGTGAAGAATTTCAGCATTGTAGAAATGTCACGTGAATGTTACATGCCAATATCCTATTATAAACAACAGACATTTTTAAATAAGATAATACATTTGACTCAAGGAATTATTTTGTTCTCAAATTGTCATTGCCTAGAGTTGGATCTCTTTGCTGTATAGTAATCATTTGAGTTTTTACATTGTGGCTATTTCTCTTGTACCTGGTTGTGTACAAGATTTTGGTCATCTTTAACTGCTGTTTTTTTGGGGGGGGAGGGAATTCTAGCCATAGCAGCTGACAAGCGGGGGGGGCGGGGTTGAACGAAACCCCGTCTTCCACATACCTTACACCAGGGGTCAGCAAACTTTTTCAGCAGGGGGCTGGTCAACTGTCCCTCAGACCTTGTGGGGGGCAGGACTATATTTTTTTTGGGGGGGTGAACGAATTCCTATGCCCCACAAATAACCCAGAGATGCATTTAAAATAAAAGGACACGTTCTACTCATGTAAAAACATGCTGATTCCTGGACTGTCCATGGGCCGGATTGAGAAGGCGATTGGGCTCCTGGGCCTTAGTTTGCCTACCCGTGCCTTACACTAATAGTATAGGGACTAATTTTCCTCAATCCGCAATGCAGTCTGCTGACAAGCTTCTGAAATACACTACTGAGTCAGATCAGCATCCTTGCTTCTGAGGCGTGATGCAGAAGCATGTGATGTGCTTCTACGCAAACCTCTGCTGCTCTGATGATATAGATGGATGGGTGAAGTACTAGGTTCCTTCCATTAAATTTGCTGCATGGGCTCATGTAGTTCTTCCATAATTACTTCATTGGACTAGCATGGGATGTGATCACAGAAAAAATGTTCACTTGCTATGGCTGTAGTCTATAAATTAAGCTTAAGATAACCAATTTCGGTTTTGGGTCTTGCAGAGGAAAACAGCTGAAGTCAGTTACAGATGACATAAGAACTTAGATACTTGCGTCCATGGTTTTGAAATTTAATAATCGCCAAGACCAGGCTTGTAAATGTCTAAAGCTTCATTTAAGGCTACATGCTATGTAAATTTCACTTTTAACCTGAATCACAACATCCTGCATGTCAAAAACTCTGCTGTTGGTACTTGTCAGCTTAACAGGTCTTCCCTTGCAAGTAGTCCCTGCATGATAAATTTTTCCGTCCTCTTTATTTTTGTTATACATGAACATCTGTTTAGGTAGTTTTCTTTACTAAACTTATTAAATCATTGTTTAGTATGGGATTTTTTTCCCCTGCCAGAAAAGACATTCCAACCTCAGCCTTTCCCACTCAAGGTTTTTTTAAACTAACAGCTGCTGTGAGATGCTATGGCTATAGTCTTAAACATTAATATTATTGGAGACCTCACACTGATCTACATGCAAGACTGTGTTTTGACTGAGGTCTTTGTCAGGGTCATATTACTAATTAAGCACAGCTCCAAAACGTGAATAGCATGCTTTGAATTGTGGTTGATATTAGTTGCCATTTCTTCTCCCATTTTTGTTTCATTGAATACCACATTTTTAAAATTTAGAATATATTTCAGATATGGTGTGAAAACAACCCAGGTGCAGTATAAGCCTTTTCTCAAACCTACTGTCCTCAGGAAGGCAACTCCCCCATCCCACCAGACCCATTGCTCACTGAAAACATTTACAGTAAACTCCCTGTTTGTGTGTGGGTTGCCTTCTGGGTCGTCGCATGTGTCGGCAGAGCACAAGCCCATTCTGCCCCATTCCGGGGCCAAAAATGGTGCATGCGCCAGCAGTTTCATCAAGAAAGTATACATTACCCTGTGGAATGACACCTTTAACTGGTGCCAAATAATTGTACTTGCTTTTCAATCAGGTGTTAAATGTGTGTGAAACTCCAAGCCCTAATATTTTAATGCAGAAGCTGCCAATTAAAGATTAAGAGCAGATTGAATGCAGTGAATTAAGGTGTTCAACTCATTTGTCCTATCTTATTGCACTATTCTGCATAAATCCTTCACGGGTTTTAAAATGTACATGTGGCTGGAGAAAAGTATGTTATAGTAGTAATGAGGTCATTTAGTGAAGGGCCAGTTCCAATAGGCTCCACCCCAATCCAGTTGCCTTCTCTGGCACTAAAACAGAGGATGGGGGACATGTTTCAACCCCCCCTCCCCACTTGCTTATATGCTAGTTCAGGATGAGTAGTAGGTGAGTACACAAACTGAGATCATACCCCGGTGCCAAAAACGTAAGATCAGCAATGGTGGGTGGGTGAAAGATGCAGATACAGAAGAATTGAATCATATCTATACAAAGATTATTATAGGTGTCATGTGCATTTACCACAGAGTGACAAATGCCTAACCACTCTTTAGATCTGAAGTGCAAACTGCACAAGATATTGATCACATCATTTCCCCCAGGTGCAAGATTTTCCTTGCAGAAATAGTGAGCACAGTCAATCCAAACTCAAACAGGATCCTGGCTTGGGGCTTCTTCCTTTTTGGGCAGGGGTTGTTGTACCCTGCTGTGCTTCCAATCTGAATTGGCTTGCAAACCTCATGGAGAAAATTCCCATTCACTACAATGAGAATGACGTACCATGTACTTTGGCACTGAAATGTAAAAGTATTTTGGTCGGCAACCTGCCAAAAATGTTGCATTTCATTTTCCCCCTTTATCATATTTAATAATAATAATAATAATAATAATTTTTTATTTATACCCCGCCCTCCCCAGCCAAGGCCGGGCTCAGAGCGGCTTACAAGCAATAATAAAAACAAGAAGAATGATTATAACTTAAAAACAAAAATAAAATACAACATTAAAATATTAAAATGTAGCCTCATTGCAGGAGGAGAAGGAAAAGAAAAAAGAAAGAGAGGGAGGGAGGGAATCAAATTGGCTCCAAGCCAAAGGCCAGGCGGAACAACTCTGTCTTACAGGCCCTGCAGAAAGAAATCAGATCCCGCAGGGCCCTGGTCTCATGAGGCAGAGCGTTCCACCAGGCCGGAGCCAGAGTTGAAAAGGCCCTGGCTCTGGTTGAAGCCAATCTAACTTCCTTAGGGCCTGGGACCACTAGGGTGTTGTTATTTATGGACCTTGAGGCTCTCTGTGGGGCATACCAGGAGAGGCGGTCCCGTAGGTACGAGGGTCAAAATAATATTTGATTATTAAATGAAAATGATGTTTTCCTTCATTTCTACAATGCTTCAGTTTGGTGCTCAAAGTGATCAAGCATGCAAGATAATAATTATAGGCTTATTCTTTTTCAGGGTTCCCGGTGTTCCTCAGATGCAAATATGCTTGGGGAGATGATGTTTGGCTCTGTGGCTATGAGCTACAAAGGCTCAACCTTAAAAATCCATCAAATCCGGTAAGGTTTTCCTTTCTTCAGTTCGAAGTTTAGAGCACTATGCTAAACAGAATTGTCTCTAGTCCTGTGCACACAATCAAACAATATAGAAAGCATGTTGAGGAAGCAGATGAGAACAAGTTTGCAGGCCTCGCCCCTGTTCTTTATGAATTGTCCTTTGTACATAGATGTTGAAGCACGAAATTGAAGTACCTTGATTTTTACAAGGTACAGGCTGCACATTCAACACCTGTACACTTTGGGGTGCACACCTGCAGGCATCTGAATGCATCTTCTGATCAAGATGTGGAAGATCTTCTTGCATTGCAAAGTGAAAACAACGAAAATTCATATAGCCTTTTTTATTTTCACAACTTAAACAAAGGAGAAGATCCCCAAGTGTATGAGAATTAACATATGAGATCACAGGAACCCCAAAAACAATGAACATGGATATATAAAAACGAACATGGATGTATAAAAGCAAACATGAATGATAGCCACTGTTGTAACTGTTGTGTGACAGTTACAATTTATCTAAACCTCTCAAATGTTAGGTGAATTCTACTGGATTGCATCCTGTGTCATACTTCATCAGAAACAAAAATGGCGAATTTTTCACAGTTGGCAGCTGGGGTGTGTGTGTTGAATTGATCTGATTTGGCTGAAAACTGACAAAACTGTTTTTGACAAATTTACGTTCTGAGCTTTAATTGGGTCTCTGTAGTATTGTAATCCTCCTGTAGTGCGTTATTTTTAAACCGTTTTTCACTTCAAAAACACACTCCAGTGTTGTGTTATGCAGAGAGATGTTTTGGTATATTCCATGAAAACACCTGGTTGCTCACTCTGTCTAACTTTGCTTCACAGCTCTCCTCCGCAGCTCATGCTAAGCAAAGTTTTTACAGCTCGAACTGGAAGCAGCATCTATGGAAGTTTAAACACGTGAGTACAATCCGTGTGTGATCTGTGTGGATTTTAGGTATGAGGAAGGGAGGGAGTGGGGTATGGCTCCAACTCTTTTTAGTGCTGCTGAAGGAAAGATTGTCACCTAGGTCCTGTTTTCTCAGAGACTCATGGCTCGCTGTCATAGGACATAAGAGTGGGGGGGGGACAGGGAAATGTGTGCAGGGCACAAGCAGAGATAATAATAAAATGAAAAAGTACCGTAACAAAATACAAATAACCGTTTCTGTTTGTCCCCTCCCTTTGCAGGCTTCAAGACAGTCTTGAGTTCATTAATCAGGACAGCAATACTCTAAAGCCAGACCATAGCACAATTATGAATGGACTGCTTGGAAACATAGGTAATTAAAAGCGTTGTTACTTCCTTGGAATATTTGCACCGTAAGGCCTTTGCAGACTGATAAACACATTAATCTACACGTGTATAATAGAATATCATTGTTTTAAAGAAATGGTGTGGTCTGAGAGTGGGACAACTTTTGGCCTGAACTCAGATGTAGCTCATTTCTAGGAAATCTGAAAACTGGAATATTCTGTGACTATTTGGCTTGAAGTTTATCAGTTCAAATCTATATATGGTGAAGAAAGGCATAGTAGCTGATACACAATTTAAGCTAATATGAATTTGATGGAAATGGACACGGTAGGCTCTATTTTAGAGAACTAAGCACAGAACAGCACAGATATTATTTCCCCTTAGGGCCTCATTTATACTCAGAATTTTCTGCCTGTAGTCATAAAAATCAGGAGCAGCTGGCACAGTGAGGCTATTTTACAGAGCCACCGTCCAAACATCAGCATCACTGCTGCTTGCTGGTGCAAGGCAGTGGTGAGATTTGTGCTGTGTTAGTGCACCAGGGGAACACCAGCCCTGACCTCACTGATTCCCTGCCCAACCCCAGCAACACCTCACCCTGTTCCTGATAAAAACAACGTAATATGTGCTTGCAACAAATATACATTTTACAATGGGTGTGTCATACAGGAATGCATATCAGGAAACCAGTGGTGGTAATTATGATGGTTGATGCCACACAATTTGTGAAATGGCCTTCAGTCTTTGGGACTGAAAAGCACAGAAGCAGGAAGGGCTAGCAGGAAGAGAAAGTTGTTGTATTTTTCATAAAAATAGCTGCAGGATGCTAGAGGGTTGACTTAGTGTACAATTTGCTTTTGTGATTTCCTTCTTACCATCTTGAAGACGGTTATGGAAGTAAGATGGTTTCAAGGAGATGGAACCTTGGGCTTAAAGCAGATGGACAGTGTGGTCTAGCTTCTTTAAATTCAGTGCAAATCAGGCATACGCAAACTTGGCCCTCCAGATGTTTTGAGACTACAGTTTCCATCATCCCTGACCACTGGTCCTGTTAGCAAGGGATGATGGGAATTGTAATCCCAAAACAGCTGGAGGGATGAGTTTGCCTATGCCTGGTGTAAATGCACCTTTGTATTAAATAAATACAAAGGATTGGACGAAACATGCTCAAGTCTTGAGAGTTGTTTTAAGATTTGCTTTTGCAAAGCCATTACCCTTCAAATCATATACAAAAAATGATGTTAAGGAACCCTTATGGTTAAACATGCCAGGAAACTGCACTTCGCTGATGCAGAATTTTAAGATCTATTTTAAAAGAAAGGGTACCTTATCCAAACAGTACCTTGACCTGAAAAGTGTTTGTTTTTTATTTACCTGATATATTCACCCATCCCATTAATTAGAAATCAACCAACAAAAGAGCTACTGACACATAACCCCACCTGTACACCATATACAAGAATATAAGTTTCACCACCCCACCCCTCATCTCCCACCTCTCTTCTTCCCCAACCTTATACTGAATACAACACTAATGTCTCATATCAAATGATCTGTAGAAATTGATCTGTAGAAAAGAATTTACAACTTAGAAAAAAAAAGACAATGTTTGTACTTTTGTAAACCAAGAAAATCTTTAATATTTTTTTAAGAGGCACTGGTTCTAAATATACATGAACTGTATTGAAAATTCTGTCTGTCTTACTCAGTTTTGCATCTCCTAAATTTCTCTATTGGAATTGCAATGTGAATTTTCTAAACTGAATGTGTGGCCTCTGAGGCTACAACTGAAAACTGGACTAACCAGAACTGTCTATGGACTCTATAAGTAAATTTTGTTCATGATGTAAATCTGAATGAAAATCTAAATGAGTTACTCAGCTAATAAGCACCTACTTTCACATTTGGGGAAAAATTTGAATATTTGTATGCTGTATCACAGGAGGATTTTTGCACGGCATACTATTTGAATGTTATGTACGTCTTTTCCATTGCCACTTTAGAAGGACAGCAATGAAATGACCAATTAAATGAACTTTGGTGTAGGGTAGTTACTGAGAGGTTGAGTTTCAAATCAGTAAGTGGCTGGTTTGAATCTTGACTGTCGTTAATTTACTTGGTGACTGTAGGCAAGCCACCTCTTAGCCTCAGTATCCACTTCTGCAATATAGAGGGTAATAATGCTGAAGTTAAATAATGCACATGAAGCATTGTGAAGCACATTTGGAAGGACTATAAAAATGTTAATTTTATTATTACCACTACTATATTGAACAATATTACTTCTAAATTGTTAATGAATGCCTGTTTAATTGCATTCATATAAGACTGGCCTGCCTGGTTCTTCTTAGTACTGTCTTTATGACTTTTGTTGCCAATTATTTTTAAGCATTGCTTAATCAATGTGAAGAATGAGCTTTATTAATCACGATTATTTTCGCTGTTGTGTTAGCTGCAATTAGGTGCCCTTATCCACGCAGGTGTTCCCCAGCAGCCTAATTAATCTTCCATAATTGCACTGTGCCAACAAACAGAACAATATGATGATCTTGTCAAAATTCTCTTCTTTCCCATAAGCTATATCATTTACATTTTCCTGTTTCGGTGCCATCTGTGTGAACAGAATTATTTCAACACCCCCAGTTTATCAGATTAGTTGCTGGCTGTTTAGAATTGTGCTTTGGGCTTTCTAATGGCCCAGTCAACCTGGCCAGCTAAAAGGTCAATCTACCGTGTACCCATATAGCACCAGTGGGATTACTCTGTATAGTTAAACCATGTGCTCAAATACCCTTTAAAGCAATTTCTTTAATCGATATCACTCAGCTTTTAGGAATAGATTAGCTTTTTAATAGGTGATTAGAAATCAAGAGGATAAAGCTAAAGTGATTTCTTTACACTGTGTCACACCTTTATGTGCATCTCAAATTACCTAAATCAGAAGTACGGTTATCGTGATAATGTAGCTTTGGTGTGAATTCTTCATCTTGCTATAGATATAGATATATTGTGGAATACTCTCCCCAGGGAGGTGCGACTGGCATCTTCATTATACAGTGGTACCTTGGGTTACATACGCTTCAGGTTACATACACTTCAGGTTACAAACTCCGCTAACCCAGAAATAGTACCTCGGTTTAAGAACTTTTCTTCAGGATGAGAACAGAAATCGTGCTCCGGCGGCGCGGCAGCAGCAGGAGACCCCATTAGTTAAAGTGGTGCTTCAGGTTAAGAACAGTTTCAGGTTAAGAACGGACCTCCAGAACAAATTAAGTACTTAGCCCGAGGTACCACTATCCACCTTTAGGCGCCAGGCAAAAACCTTTTCTTCAACCAGGCCTTTGGCTGATTAACATCCTATACCTTTTAAAAGTGTTTGTGGGAGAGGGGATTATTGGTTTGTGGGGTGTTTTTGTTTTAGTTGTTGTTTTTATTATGTATCTTGTGTTTTTAGCTTGTATTCTTATGTTGTGAACTGCCCTGACATCTGCAGAACAAATTTAATAAATAATAAGCAACTAAATGAAATAATACTCATGCAGTGGTTTCACATGTTCGCCATTTTGTCATATGCTGGTGTTTTAGAGGTGATCTCAAAGAAAACTTTCAGTAACTTCACAAGTGTTGTTCCTGATTCGGTCAACCTCTGATTTAGAGTGGGACTGGGAAGACTGTCACCCTGCATATTGTACAGCAGGAATGGACCCTGTGGGTATCACAGAGGTCCTCAGTGGGTACCACATTGGGAACCATTACTGTTAGGACAGTATCAATACCTAGGGAATGAGTATTATAGTCTTTGATTTATAGGGAATATATATGCAAGCCACCTTCCCTGGACTCACTATAACTGGAGTATAACTATCAGTGGGGCTTGCTATGGCCAGTAACAACAATTTCAGAAGAGAGACAATAACATCTGTAGTGAGGGTATGCCAAAATAGGGTCCACTCAGCTGTACTTGCTTACGGCTCACATTTTAAAGCAGAGCAATCAAAAGAGTCAGGCATAGCAAAAAGGAGTTAATCTGTAACCAGAACATTTCTAGAAACCAAATTAAATAAAAAAGAATACTTGTGACCCATCAGTCTTTGCCAGTTCTTCATTTGTAAAGGTTACTGTGTGCTTTAGTAGGTTGTTGTGTACATGCCAACTTTTCCCAGCACACCTGGTTTTTGGTGGAACGGTTAGTCCTTGCAATCAAGCTTCCTTTTAAGACAACTGATTAGCAAAAATGGAAAGAAAAGAAGGTGGATTTTGTGGTAATGCAGCCGTTTGAACCTTAAAAGAAAAGTGTTTGTGTGCTCGGTGTTAGAACTGCAGACACAACATAGAGCACAAGCCTCCCATGTGCTCCAGTGAAAATATTACAAGTTTTCTGGTTAGTATTAAGTGAAAACCTTCAAGGAGTTGCAAAGACTGAAGGAAGTGGAAGCAAAGGATACTTATTCTTCAGTTTCCCTGCAGTGAATTGATTATTTGAGAAGCTGAATTGCGTTAATAAAATGCTGTGTCTGTGACCTCTCCTTCAGAACAAGGAATGCTTCAGTGAGAGATTGGACTCCTACTTCTTTAGAAAAGAAGGAAAGGCTAGATCTCCTCATAGCTCTGAAGTGACCACTGGGGAAAGGGCAAGCCATAGGTGTGCCAGAGTCTCAGTGCAGTTATTCTGCTGGCTCGACCCCAATTATTTGGATGTCAAGATAGAACTCAGCCCTTAGGGGTAGTGTACCAAATGGGGCTGAGAGAAGATGTGCCAAAGTAGTTTGCGGCCTCTGATCCCATTATTTCTCATATACACACAGAGTTTTTATTCCCAAGATCACTTTAGATAATGAATTATGGGTTGTGAAATTGAAATAATCAGGGTGACAGAAAGTGCTACTGAATTGTCTTCAAAGATAGTTTGAAACTCTCCCACCCACCCCTGAATTGATTTATTGTGTAGTAAATTAGGACAATTTTGATATATATAAAAACAATATATATCAAATATATATATCAATATATATATATATTTATATATAACTGAGGACATGGGCAAACTCATTTATCAAAGTAGATCATAGAATTGTAGAGTTGGAAGGGACCTCAAGGATCATCTAGTCCAACCCCCTGCAATGCAGGACTCTTTTGCCCAGCGTAGGGCTTGAACCCACAACCCTGAGATTAAGAGCCTCATGCTCTACCAAGGGAGCTATCCTAGGTGTGTTCTTTGCTGTCTGTGGGTCTGCATTTGTGTCGGCTTGAATCCTTTCCCCCCCTCCCACAGAATCTGTTCTGCTTTACTAACCTCATTCTTTCATATATATTTTACGTTTTGCCATGTAGGTTTTTCACAGCTTTGCAGCCCTAGGCGGGCATTCTCTGAACAAGGTCCGCTCCGCCTCATCCGGAGCGCCTCTTTCTTTGCAGGTTTGCTATGTGCTGTGTGGATAGTCTAGTTGGTGTGACAAAACTGAGTGGATTTCGTAGTTTGGCCTTGGAAATAAAATACCGTTTCTAAAAATCTCTCAGGCATAGTTTACGCAGTGGATATGGATCACTGCAAAGGTTATCATAACATGTTAAAATTTCAAAGAATGTAACCCTTAATCTCTATTTCTACTCAGGTAATGATTTGGATGGAGCTTATGAATTTTTCAGTAAAGTTTGAAGAAGAAAAAAGCAGGGGGAGCTTGTAAATTCCAGACAAAAGGAATTTGCCATTAACTGTTTAGAGCTTGATTCAATAGGAGCTCCATTTGCAAAAACATAATTATTTCACTGTTTGTATAACACTGAAATAAAGAGTATTTCCCCCCGCTTCTATTAGCCGTGTTTTATTTCCATGCCTGGTTTAGATTTTCCCTTCTACAAATCTGGCAAATTTATGATTTCAAAAATGAGTATGATCAAGAGGCTTTTGATCTGGTGGATGAAATCCTAGCTTTGTTGGAGGCAATTTGGCTAGGATTTCATCTCTCTGTTTAGTAAGGACTGGCTGCAAATGCAGATAGCTTCATGCTTAGTTGAAGAAGCGATAGAAGTCTAAATCCAAATCCCATCTGTCCTAGAGCACCCACTTTACAGCTGTTTGCTATAAATTTCTTCTTTAGCATCTGCTTAGAGCTTGCACTGAGTGCTTTTGCTTCGTAGCTAACTTGCCTTTTGTTATGTTATTCCACTTGCCTTGAAATAAAGAGATGGGCTTTGGCAAACACTTGTCTGAACACTGGTCCAATCAAGTGCATTGGCTTTATCAGCTTTGCAGCCTTTCTTGGTGATGGGTGTGTGTGCTTTGCTGTTACTTTCCGTGTCCTAAGTGAATGCAGCCAATGAGCATGATTTATTTTGATAATTAAACCGAGCACTGCAAAGCCAAAGAGAAGCGTCATGTTCTCGTGCTAACTGGTGACTTTATCTGCATAGTTCACAGCAATCCTATGGACATGCCTGGGAGAGAGCTGAATGAAGACAGAGACAGCGGAATTGCAAGATCTGGTAATGTTTCTATCAGGAATATAAGGCCATTACACAAACTTTCCCTACTGCATATTGATTTGGCCTGTAATTAAAGTGTTATTTGTTTCTGCTTCTTGACCTCTCCCTAAGATGTGTTTCCCTTCAAAAAAAAAAAAAAGTTAACAAGTGATTTATGCTTTACATTGACCCAGTTCCTATATAAATCCTGAGCCAAGCCATATACAATATTTCCCAAATATTGGGTAATACTTCTAAAATATGTGTGGATTTTTAAAATAATATTTAACATTAAGAGGATATTCAGCACTTGGATATACAAAGTGAAATCAGTTCACCAATACTGGAAATTTTAAATAACGTAGGGCTAAGGTTGAAAGGTGGTGGAGGTGGCCCCAAGCCTGTGAGTTGTTAATGGGCATACTTAAAGTACCCTTAATGTAAACCAGGGATTTTCATTGCCTCCTTGCCAAATCATCAATTCACGTTTAAACCCCTAGCTCATGTTCTGTCAAAGCTGACAAATGCACAGAAGCAAGTTCCCATAGGCTGAATGCACTTGCTCTTTCAACTGTGCCCCAGAAATGGGTGCTGTAAAGGGGCCGCCATGTCTACACCCAAGGCACTACATGCTCCCCTCCAAACACCTCCTTGGTGTGGTTTTACACAATACTGGAGATGCACTCATACAAATCTTGTTTGGTGAGGCTTCTGGGATGAAGCAGAAATGGGAAGCGTCTTGCGTGGACCTGCTTCTCACAGATCTCTCTGCGAGTCTCCAAGGGCTAATGCTTTTTATCTACTGGGCCATACTGTTCACATTATTACATGATCACCCAAGTAGCATTTTTCTTCTAGCAAAGAGTTTTTTAAATATAACAAGTAATTTCCTTCTCTTTTGTTGCAGCATCTCTTAGCAGCCTGCTCATCACCCCATTTCCCTCCCCGGGCTCTTCGCTAAACAGAAGCTGTGCTAGTAGCTACCAACGGCGCTGGCGCCGCAGCCAGACGACAAGCTTGGAGAACGGGGTCTTCCCTAGGTGGTGAGTTAGGCATTACTGCTGGTAGTAAATGGTTTTCCTTCTTTCAAATTTTCACATGAAATATGTGCATTTGCTTAGTCTGGAGAGAAATTCAAATTCCTCCGGCGGGAATCTCCTCCTCATCTCAATTAAATCTGCAACCAGAAGGAGCTCTTCTTGCCCACAAAAACAGTATTCTGCGTACAACCCAGTAATGGGATCAGTCATATGCTAATCGCATGATATTGGGTTATTTATTCAGATCACATGGTGAAACGCAAGTACAAGTAATCAGGAAATGAATATAGTTATCAAGGAATGGCCGTAGGAATAAACCTCACCTTATACTCAGATTTAAACAAAGCCGTGATGGTTCCTTCTCCTTTCTTGCTCCCCAGGAATTGTGGTCTTGAACAAAGTAGTAGCAGGGCAAGAGGGTAGTTAAACTATTTCTCATGGAGTGCTTCTCCGCTCAAAGCTACCTCCCAAGCTGTCTCCCCCGCTTCGTGGTTGCGAACATGAGTTGGGAAGTGGAAAGCACTCCTCCTAAAGCAGCTTCTCCTGGGGACGGGGAGAAGCAAATGCATTTAGGTTCTAAATGTGTTGGTTCCTTCATAAAGCCACAAAACGAATCTGTCTAATGTTGGAAGTTTTGCAGAACAGGAACATTTGCATGACATACGTTTAAGCTGCTTTTTTCTCCTTTTCATGTTATGAAACCAAAATTGTGAGCAAAGCTAGACTGCCACACGCTGTAGACTGCAGGACTCGGAGAAGAAGCCTGCACATAAGAGTTAATTCATGTAGGGTGGGAGACAGATGCTCACTGTTCTATAAAAATGGTGGTATACAGTTCGTTGTTCATCCTTGTAATACATCCACACAGCAAAAGAGAGCAAGCCCTGATTTTTAAAACACAGCCCATTACTGGCAAATGCCCAGAACAACCTGCAAATGCCAGCATGCCACTTTCCTGCCATAGCTCAGTAGTAGAGAATCTGTTTTACTTGCAGACTGGGAATACCCCCTGTCTGAAATCCTGGTGAGCTGCTACCAGTCCGTGCAGACAGTACTGAGCTAGATGGACCAATGGGTTTGACTTAATATAAGGCAGCTTTCTATGCTCACAATGTTCTGAGATCAGCTACAGCGGATGTGGTTTTAAAAATGAAACAACTGTTTTGGGGAAAGGGGGCTTACTTCAGTATGTTTAAAGAAAATAGTTTTGAGATATTTTCTGAAGTCATTAACTCTGCAACCTTTGTAAACCCCCTAAAGGTCAGTGGAAGAGAGTTTTAACTTGTCAGATGACAGCTCCAGCCCGAGCCCAGGAATTGTCAGGAAAAAGAAAATAGCGATTGGGGTGATTTTCACGCTCTCAAAGGATGAAGAAGAAAACAGCAAATTTAATGAGTTCTTTTTCTCACACTTCCCTCTTTTTGAGAGCCATATGAACAAGCTGAAGAGCGCAATAGAACAGGTAAATACCACCACCACCAACTGCGTTTTGCACCTGTTCTAATCAGAATCTCCATTTTAATATGCCTAAGCTTCAGGTGGCGCTGTGGGTTAAACCACAGAGCCTAGGACTTGCCGATCAGAAGGTGAGCTCCCGTTGCTCGGTCCCTGCTCCTGCCAACCTAGCAGTTCGAAAGCACGTCAAAGTGCAAGTAGATCAATAGGTACTGCTCCAGCAGGAAGGTAAACGGCATTTCCGTGCGCTGCTCTTGTTCGCCAGAAGCGGCTTAGTCATGCTGGCCACATGACCCGGAAGCTGTATGCGAGATGAGCGCCATAACCCCAGAGTCGGTCATGACTGGACCTAATGGTCAGGGGCCCCTTTACCTTTACCTTTAAGCTTCTGTCATTTGGTTTTTCCGGATTGTTTTGTGGCTCACACTAGTTTTAAATTAGGGGTGCTGGACCAAACTGTGAACGAGGCATGGGCCAAAGCACACACACATAGACTCAGTAACACTGTTTCTGGGGAAGAGGCATAACTCAGTGGTAGAGAACATCCTTTTGGCCATAGCATGTGGCAGAGCTGCCCTTTCGACACGTGCTTCTGTGTGGCTTTGCTGGATTGGGCTGGGGCAGGGTGGCGACAGCAAGGTCAGGGTGGGTGCTTGAGTGGGCCCTATCTGACAACCCCAGCCTTGCCACTCACTTCCAGGAGACAAGAAGAAGACAGGTGGGATTACCTGCTTTGCCTAAGAAGCTTCAACTTGAGTTTTGCCCCTATCTCTTAGAACAAATCCTATCACCAAAATGAGTGGTGTTTACTGCTGGGTGCAGGCCGATTAATCCAGGGGACTGTTTAAACACTGCTCCTGAAGTGAAGGAGTCTCTGTGCGAAACCTTGGACCTCTTTATAGCCTTCTGCAAGCAAAAGCGTGGAAAAAGAAAGACAGTGCAAACACATATGCCTCATATATCTCTACCTTGATATGAAACTTGGAAAGCAGCCAACGTTTATCATGGTACAAAAACAAAACAAAAAAACCAACCCACTGTTTGCCTGTCCAGGAACACCTTAGATAGAACAGAGCACATGACTTTGTTTTTCATTTTCTGTTGCCCTGCCTAATGTTAGTTATATGTTTTACTATTGTTTTCAAGGCTATGAAAATGAGCCGTCGATCAGCTGATGCCAGCCAGAGGAGTTTGGCATATAATAGGATTATGGATGCCTTAAATGAATTCAGGTGAGTTTGTTTCAAACCTTTGTGTGTCGTTGCCAAGTATTTGAGTGCTTCTCTTGGAAACAATTTCAGGGTTTCTAAATCTGTAAAAACTTTCCATTTAAGCCCTTCATCTCACGGCTGAGATCTGTAGATCTAGTTCACTGCAGAGCAGCAAGGGAACCAGGTGGAATCTATCTGTGAAAATGCTTTTTTAAAAAAACGTTTTGAAGAAGGCATTGAATTTTGCATAGCTCACTGTTGCCATCTAGTGTCACATTTGTATATTGCACATAACAACACATTTAAAACGTTTTACTTGCAGATGTGTAGCTGAATCCCCAGTGCCAGGTGGAGGCTAAAGCATCACGCATTGCTGTGGAAACCCACAGTTCAAATCCTTGCTGAGCTTGAAGCTCTCCTGCCACCTCATGTTTGCTTGAGCCACGTTTCTGTGGGCCATCATCCTAGCAGAGATTGTCTTCTTACAAGACCAGTACAGAAGCGCCCTTGAGAAATTTTCCCTGCCTTCCTCCTTCATGGCCAACATCCTTGCTGAACAAATTGCTGTTTGGCATGAACAAATTGTTCAAAAGTGGCCGCATAGTTTAAGATCTGAGTTTTGCCCCTGAAATATTGATGGTCATGAGCTTGCTGCAATGGTTGCTGTGCCTCTGGAAATCCAGGACAGATCTCTTGCTGTGCCTGGGAGCTATCAGTGTGATACTTTTTTTTCAACCTTGTGCTTAGTTGGTTCTTTTATGACTAGAGAGGTTAAAGGGGCTTGCTGTTCTATTTGTTTGTGCAACTTAAAAACACTTCAAGGAAGTTAGTACACAGATATAGTCAAGTATAGTCAGGATTAGGACAGAGATTTGAAGGACAGGGGATGCATACTTGTAGTGCATTGCATTTATTAAGACAGTCGTACCTTGGAAGTCCAACGGAATCTGTTCCGGAAGTCCATTCGACTTCCAAAACATTCGAAAACCAAAGCACGGCTTCTGATTGGCCGCAGGAAGCTCCTGCAGCCAGTTGGAAGCCGCAGAAGCTGCATCGGACGTTTCTCTTCCAAAAATAGTTCACAAACTGGGAACAGTCACTTCTGGGTTTTCAGTGTTCAGGAGCCAAAACGTTCGGGAACTAAGCTGTTCGACTTCCAAGGTACAACTGCATTATCAATTCTGCTGCCACCCTGGTTTGTGCAAGGAATTCAAACAGCTTGTGTGGAATTAATACAGTGGTACCTCAGGTTACATACGCTTCAGGTTACATACGCTTCAGGTTACAGGCTCCGCTAACCCAGAAATATTACCTCAGGTTAAGAACTTTGCTTTGGGATGAGAACAGAAATCGTGCTCCGGCGGCGCAGCAGCAGCAGGAGGCCCCATTAGCTAAAGTGGTGCTTCAGATTAAGTACAATTTCAGGTTAAGAACGGACTTCCGGAACGAATTAAGTACTTAACCTGAGGTACCACTGTATATGAATCCCTGTGGACCCATGTCTGGGTGGAGGGTGAGATGGCTGGGTGCCTGGACTCAGAATTAGCACACAGTGAGCCCCAGTAGCAGAATATTAAACTGACAAATATAAGCAGCATTGGGAATATAAGTTGTTAAACCTTTTTATCCCATTCATCTGCACACAGCAGCAGCTGCCCTCTTTCTACCCATCTTGTAATGAGTAAACCACATACTGTTAAGTAGGTTTAAAAGGCTTTACTTACAGAATCAAGGTCTCAGTCATGCATTGTTCCATGCAGCAACAAGGATAATACATTTGGGTAGAAAATAAAGAAAATAACTCCAAACACATGCTGTAAGCTTGCAAACACTCTCCTTTGTTGGTTACATGGGGGGGGGGGGAGAAAGGAAGGAAAGAAGTAGAAAGGCTTCCTCGCTCTCTGAAGGAGGGGCGGGTAACCTAATTGAATGTAACAATACAACTGTGGTCCTTTACCCCTTCATGCACTAACTAGCCCTATGCTTGCTAGTTTTACTGGACTGCAACCTCCCACACAGCTGTCATTTTGGATTGGTTTGCAGTAGAGATTCGGCATGGGGAGGATCTTTCCCTCCCTTTTATGCCTCTGGAAGGAATAGCATTCATTTGATCCCTGATTTGTGTCTCCTCCTTGGTTCTGTTTCATTAATTAATTTGAGCATGGTTCCCTTTGCCCCACAGAGCAAATCCAAGTAGGGATCACTTTCCACCATGAAAGTAGGAATATGCTTTAGGAAGAAGAAAAGAATTCAGCTTTATACTGTACAACTGAGACTCTTGGCTAAGCCTTTAAACACATTGTAAATACGTGGCAATTCACATGGCACGTTGGTTGCATAATTTGTTGGGAGTGTGTGTGTTTGTGTGCACTTCCAGTTTTATGCCCCGGTTTCCATGGTGCAGCTACTATTGTTCCACAGCAGCATAACTGAGTGCACAAAATCCAGGATATATTTATACAAATGAAACTACCTTTGGGTGGTTTTACTTTTTAACTAAGCATGTTAATGTGTGGAAAGGCTAGTTGCCAAGGTGTTTTCTATGTTGAGTCCCCCTTTCTTTAGTGCTACGTTGGGTTTTAGTGCTGCAAATTCCACAGCAAAAAAAGTATTTATTTATGTGAAGCAGGAAAATCACTGGTTCTCCTTCCAACCTTCTTTGTAACAAAAATGAAAGAGGCCAAAAATGCTGAAATCAAATGGAGATTCAAATATCAGCTGGTTTGGCAGAATAAATTTAATAACCTAGCAGAAAGAGAGAAAATAAACCCATTTCTATGCTGTGTTAGGGATAGCATTTGAAAGGAAGAAGAATGAATACTTTTCTTGCTTATGATATTGATGACATTTTGGAGTATCGCCTGTTACTTGCAATAAGATAAAGCCAACTCAGGTCTTCAAGCTGGCTTCCCACACGTCAGTGGCCAATACCAGCTGCAGTTTCAGTGCTCTGTTTAGAGGCCATCTGACTGCTTAGAAATGTTATACACATGCGTGTTTCACTCACTTCATTGGGCCAGAAAGTGGAAAGAAAACTAAATTATTGTACAACTATTTTTAACCATATAACAAATGGGCTATAGCCATAGGTTTACAGTAAACATATTCATATTTTAGGTTCTTATTACATATCCCCCTTCTTTATGTGCTTTATATATGGGCCTGTTTTTTGCAATAAACAGTGAATAGGGATGCATTCAAACATCAGCAAACTAGATTGCTCCTTACTGAAGAAGCAGTGATTCAAAAGATTGCCAGTGACCTACCTGCATTCTTATGTGAAAGTGCTATTTTATTTTATGTGCTTTTACACACGGGATAATCAATTATGTTTTCTGTCCCACTGAGTCTAGAATGCTCTGGCAGCCTATCATGCAAAGTCTCTATTCTAGCATTTCAGTATCATTTATCGTTTCATTTAATTTATATTTTTAATACTTCTGTCCTGCGCTTCATGGAAATTCATTCCAAGGTGGTTTACAACAGAACAAGCAGAACATTAGCATGCAACAAACTGCACTACAACAAACAAACAAGCAATAAAAAGCAGGGTCTTTAAAAAAACACACAACACCCCAAAGAAACTGAATTTAAAATTTGCATGTGAATTTTGCCTGGCTCCTAGAAAAAAATCATGCTTCCCCTTTATGTTGCCCACTTATGCAGGTGTGCACTACCTACAAAGAGACGTTCACCTGTGTAATTCTGTAGGGAATGTTATCTTAGCAAAGCTACAGGATTTTCACTCATCCTGCTGACTAGATATCTTGTATACTCATCCCCTTTCTTTCAAGACCACCTTGTACAAGTTACAGATGTGCTGCTGTCTCATTTTTAGAACAAGCCTGCACCGTTCATAAATGATCATTGGAATGTAGGCATTTTTGACAGCACATCCAAAGCTTGCGTATCTGATTGCTCTTTTAGCTTTGCAGTGTTCCTTCTTGACAGTATGTGATGTCTTGCTGTGCTGATTAGATTTTTAAAAGAAGCTGCCTCCGAGGTTTAAATCTTGTTTATGCAAAGGGATGTTGTAGGCCTGTGTGAGACAATCTTTGCATTTTTGTATAGCCTTGTAAGGAAGATAGTCTTAGAATTAAGATACGGGCTATTTTTAGTATACATGAATGTATTTATTTGGGCCAAGGCAAATTAGTGGGTAGGGATGGTTTGGGGGGCGTTGGCCACAACTACTGAAAAATGTGTGCTTGTGCCAAATAATATCACATACGAAAGAAAATACCACTCCCTGGGATACAAACTACTACAAGCCAACTACTGAGCGTATTTCAGAGCTGCTGTAAAGGGAATCTGCCCCCTTGAGTTCTCTGCTTACACCTGAAAATTAAGACCTTTCCCTGCTGTTGTTTCTCACCAATTCAGAAACAAAGGTAGGCTGTATTCTGAGCCACAGTTCCAGTCTCAAGGTATTTCCTGCTAGGAAGTGTTGATATTAATAAATATCTCGCTAGTCTTGTGATACATTGCAGATCCACCTTGCATATTTATTAGTTATTATAAATGCACAAAGCATTTAAATTCATTATAAAACTACTATTAGTACTCAAGAGGCTACACAGGCTACTTTGACGTTGCAGTTCCTCTGGAAAACAAGCAACTTTGCTTGCACATGAGTTTGGTTGCTCTGAAGCCCCTGAGGGCCAACTGAGTGCATTAATGTTGATTATGCTGCTGAAAAACATCCGCATGGCATTCATTTCGGGGACAAAAATATGCACAGAAAGGAGGAAACTCTGAAAATGGGACTAAAGCAAACACCTCCTGAGCCTTGACACTCCTTGTCCACAGAGCTTTAAAACACAATGCACCCTGAGAGAGTTTCACTTTAAAAAAAAAATCCATTGTGCAGTATGACTCACTATCTGATTTAGCTAGGCACCTCTGCATTTTCCAGCAACTCCTTCAGAGCAGCATTGCCAAGAGGAGGGAAAAAGGTCTGTTGTGCATATCCTGGCCCCTTGAATGCCTTTAACTCCCTTCCAAAATAAGCTATTTATTAAAAGGGGGGCAGAAGCCTTAAGAGATAAGAGCACAGAAAAAATTGGTTCCTTAACCAAATGGATGGATAAACCCCTTTTTATTCTCCAGTTTCAGAACAGTTTTTTACCGGCATTGGTAAAGTTCTCTGAAGTCCATGGAAACTCTCTTAAGTGCTCTCCTGCAACCGCTAAAAGAAGCGGGCCTGCCCAGGGAACAGGGATCCCAATTGAACAATAGCGGTGAAAAAGAAAATGCTTAGAAGTCAGTCAGTGTTAAAATGTTGGCACTGTGGCCCAGTAGGCAGAGTAGGAGTCTTCATAACCTGCTCATCCACAAATACACTGGCCATAGTCCAGAGGTCTGTGAGCGACAGAAGCAGCTGGGTGGTTTACATTTGTGACCCAGCCACCCCCCATATCCATGTACTCAGTTGCCACAGTTGAGAGAAACTAGTCCATGAGAGGAAAGACAGCCACTCTATAGAACCCCTTGTTTTTGATTAAAATTAGCATTAAAAAGTTCCCCCCAAGGAAGGATTTGGGCCAAAACACTCTGGGCCCAGAACAGTTATATCAATTTCTGGAGTTTCTCACTCTTTTCCACTCTCCCAAATGGCTCCACTTATGGATCTCAGTCACTGAAAGCACCAAAGTATGCTACAAAGGGTGTGGTTACCCATATCTAGTTCCTAGGGTGCATACGTGGTAGCATTTATTCTTGCACAAACCCTCCACTCACCTTAATTAGGGGCCCTTTTTCTCTCACCCGCAACAAGTAAAACAGTACAGTGATCAGCATTGCACAAGAGAGTGAATGGGTTAATTTGCTTTCAACTGTTTGGGACATGAATGAGAGACTTCAATCCAATTTGCACTTGAGGAGTAGGTTAAAGCATCACATCCCCACACCAGTGCCCAAAGTGGGAAATTCTGAATTTATATTTTGCTGAAATGGAATCACTTTGTGAATGTGAAAGCCTACTTTTAGCTCCATTCTCCAAATAACGATTTTGACCAATGCAGTAACCAGGGGTGGGAAGAATCCAGAGTTTTTCTCTGTGGCATGAAACTATCCGACAGGATTTTCCAGCATTGTGAATTGAATCTGCAGTATGTCACTACAGGGATTGATGGGGAAGGTATGTGGCGCTGCCCTCAAACGTTAATGGCCCTTAAAAGAAAGAAAAAGCACTATGTAGTTCCGTAACTGCGAAAAGTGCCGTGTGGTGTTTTCTTTAGTACTCACTTTGTCAGGGACAGACTCTCTTTCTGTACCCCTGGAAGCCCATGGCTTCCTCAGCAAATGTTCCCTCAGCAAATGTTCAGACTCCCATAATGATTTCTAAGTGTAGGCCCGTTTTCGCTTTACTGGAATAAAGAGCTTCCTAAGTGAGATTTCCTAGACTCCCATTAAGATGCTGATGCAGATACAGAATTAAGGAAGTTGAACAAGGATTTTGTATACGGGACTTGGTTCAGACCTTCAATAATTTCTGGCTATAACAACTTCTTCTTCTTCTTCTTCTTCTCACTCGTAGCCGAGTAAGATTGTCTTCCATGAACATGGTCTTAACAGTGAGTCTGCATGTGACTGTGGAGGCCAATTCTGGATCCTCACGTCCTTCCACAGTGGGGACATAGGTTTCCAAGCAAGGGTTGATCATGGTGAGGGATTGCCAAGCGTGTCTTCCTCTCAGCACATTTCTCCCTTTCGTCCTGAGTTCAAGCGTCTTCAAAGCCCATTACACCTTTAGTAAAGGCTGTTCTCCAATTGGAGCACTCACAGGCCAGTGTTTCCCAGTTGTTGGTGTTTATACTACATTTTTAAAGATTTGCCTTGAGAGAGTCTTTAAACCTCCTTTGTTGACCGCCAGCATTAGCAGTGCTTAAAGGGGTGAAAAATATATGTGTGCAGTTTGTGTTATCGGGAGACTGCAGGGAGAAATGAAAAAACCTTTTCCCATTTGCCGAGCTGAAAGGCAGTTAATCCTTACCCTCGTGTTCAGTGCAATTACTTACATGTCTGGCATTGAGGGTTCCCTTTGCTGCAGTCACATGCCTGCTGGCAGGCAGCCAGCGGAATCTGATCTCTCTCTGAGGAAACACTATCAGTTGCAGATGCAGCCACGGTTACCAGAATAGTAAATAACGAGTCACAAGACTCGAGCTAGCCCTTCAACGAAAACAAATAGTTTAATATCTTGGTATCGGAACAGAAACTGCTTCCTTCCTCACACACACATGCACACAGTTCAAATTGAGTCAGCTTTCAGAGAGCTTTCTGTGGGGGTTGATGTTGCTAAACAAGACCCCAGAAGGCTCATTTTGGTTTGAACTTTAGATTTCACCTCAGGCTTTTAAGGTTGGCCGAACCTTTGTGAAGCAAAAGTTGGGCTCCACATTTTAAGTTCTCCTAAGGTGCTTTCTCAGCTGCTTTCTCGTTTGTCCTTTGTTTGTTCAGTGGGTTGACCACAGAAGTCCAAGGGGTGAAAGTTAATCCTATGGAAAGCTTGCTTTCTTCTGATTTTAATGGGTCTGAAGTGTGGGTGCCAGCAAACAGGAAACTGCAAGCTTTTTGTGACACTGAAGGCCGCTTGCAGCACTGCTCTTACTTATTCAATCATTTTGGTATAGTCTCTCGTTTATGACACTTTTGCTTAAAAAAATGTGGGTTTTTTGCCCCTCAGCAATTACGCTGCTGAATCCCATTTAACTTTATCCTAAAATATGCTCTTAGTTAGCACATCCCTTTTCCCTTACAATATGAAGCTGTCTGTGAAATATTTAGTAGTCTGTGGAAATAAGCCTGTACTCAACCTAGGGATGCTCTCACAAGAAGGTTCACAAGCAAGGGCATTAAGGCAGTAGCTCTTCTCACTTGTGTGCCCTTCACTTAAACTTCATATTCACAGGTATACTACCAATAAACATGGAGACTCCATTAAGCTGTTGCACCTGATAGCCATGGATAGACTTATCCTATGAATTTGTCAAACGTCTTTCTAAAGCCATCAAAGCCAGTGTCCAAACCATAACTTGTGGCAGTAAATCCAGTAAATTAATATGTATTAAAGAGGTGATTTTGTCTTCCATTGCCACACAGTTCCATTGAGGAATGTCTGATTTACTCTGAGCCACACCTTTGGCCTATTTAGCTCAGTATTGTCTACATGGGCTGGCCCACCAGCATTTCAGGCAAGGTTATCCCCCATCTCCACCTGAAGATGCCAGTGATGGAACCTAGGGCCTTCTGTCTGCAAAGCAGATGCCCTGCTACTGAGCTATAGGCCTTCCTCGCTAGTAATAGATTAAGGGAAATGCCTTCCCAGTTGTAAGGATCTTTAAAAACTGTTCTAACCTCTAATGCACTTATATCCAGGACTTCTGCAGTTGTAATGAGACTTGTGATGCTATTTCTAAAATGAAACTTGAGTCATCATTTCTGGCAACTACTGTGGGACCTTACTCCTTTCTCTGTAAGCAGCCTTTGGCTTGCTGTTTGAAGAATGTCCATCCTGATAGCACTGAGCTTAGAGGAAAATGCCCTTCACTAACCTCTGAAGATAAGGGGACACGTGCAGTATGATTAGAAGAATAGGATGTTAGGCAATTCCCTCTTGCCAAACCTAAACCACATTATAGTGATTCAGGGATAAATGACACAGAAACAGGGCGACATTTTGTAGTTTAAAAGCTGCAATAAGGATACTCATGAAATTTCCACACTCTAATTTTTCACACAGAATTGGGAATTTCCATGAATTTGGGGTTTGTTTCTAAGTGAATTTGTTTCAGGTGAATTTGTTGAACTAAAATATTGTTTATGCAGTTCCATTTATACACTTTACAAAGAATGGGCGGAGAGTTCCCTAAACCAAGGGTATTTCTATCTAAAAATAGACACAAAGGGAGAGAACAGCGGCAGGAAAGGGACGTGGAGACTGAGGTAAACTGGGGGAGGATATTCAGTTATTTCAATGAAGTGTTGTTCAGCTTCATTAAAGTAGAATTTTGGACCTTAGGTGTTGTTCTGAAGGCTTTGTGGAGAAGGCGAGTCTTTAGCAGTGAATTGGAGCTGGATGAGGAACAGGGTCAGTCAGGGGTGTGTTGAGGTAAGAGCAGAGATATGCGGGGCAGGGCCTTTGAGAGTTTTAAAAGTAAGAATGAGAAGTTTGTGCTGGATCTAGGATCAGACAGGAAGGCAGCGTAGGGATTCAAAAAGGGGGTGTCACATGATTGTAGTGAGGGAACAGTTGTGATAACAGAATGCTGGATTGGCTTGAGTGGACCAAGATAAGCAAATGGAAGGCCAGAGAGGCAAAGATTGTAGTAGACAAGGCAAGAAATGACCAGGACACAAAGCAAGGGTTTTTGCCAGGCATAGGAAAACTCAGCTCTCCAGATGTTTTGGGACTGCAACTCCCATGATCCCTAGCTAAAAGGACCAATGGTCAGGGATGATGGGGCTTGTAGTCCCAAAACATCTGGAGGGCTGAGTTTGCCTATGCCTGGTTTTTGCCATGGGGACAGAAAGGAAGAGGCATAGGGATGGGTAAGATTAAGCGAGACTGAATATGAGGAACAAAGGAGAAAGAGAAGTCAAATGAAAGACAAGGGTATGTGCCTGATCAAAAGGATGGCTGCCAGTGGATAAGGACGTGAACAAGGAAAGAAGGGATTGGGAAGAAAGAAGAGAAGACCAGTCTTAGACACATTGAGCTTGACCTGACAATGAAGCATACATGCAGAAGTACCAGAGAGACACTTGGAGATATTGGAGTGGACAGAAGGGAACATTTTGTGACAGTAAGACAAAGCAGGGACACCACTATGTCATTAAATTATAGGTGGTTCTGAAAGCCATGGAGTGGCTTGGGGGACATTGTATACTTTTCAGTTGCTAATCAAATAACCTCTTTTCTTGGCACAAATGGCTCTTGGAGCCATATATTATAACAGATGTGTCACTTTGGTGACCTATTGTTCTCTTCTTTTTACTTTAGAACAACAATTTGTAACCTCTACACCATGCCACGGATTGCGGAACCTGTTTGGCTTACCATGATGTCAGGAATGCCTGAGAAGAACCAGCTCTGCCATCGCTTTATGAAGGAATTTATTTTCTTAATGGAACAAGCCTCCAAGAACCAGTAAAGCATTTCTCGTCTTTCTCCTATTGGTTTTTTATTGTTGTAACATTAAAGGCAAAATAGTCCTTTAAAAAATAGACAGTGGCAAGAGGTGATTTACTTCCCCATGCTCCCTTGCAGTCCCAAGTAAAGAATAAAAAAAGTATTATGTATAATGAAAAGTGAGAACGTGGGTGGTGAAAAAGGCATGTGGGACTATGTGGAGACCATTCCAACCAAAGGGATAATAGACACTACTACTAACTGAATCAAAATCTCAGTAAAGGCCCCACCTGTAACTATGTTTTGTTCTTATAAAAAGCTGCAAAGCTCATGAAGGAAACAGAAGATGCCTTATCTCAAAATCCAGAGACATATTTTCAGTAACAGTATCTGGTGAAAATACATAAGAAATCCACAAAAATTAATTTTTCTTTGACTTCTTTAATGTATTGGCATTTGAATGCTATGCATGTGCAGTCATATGTAAGTTCCATTCAGTTCAATGGCACCTGCTCCAACTAAATGTGTATAGATTGCATCCTTCATTAATTAGCATCTAAAATATTTGTTAATTAACTTAGGTGTAGTTTTCAGTATTTTAAAAAATGTTTAATAGGCAATATTAATAGTGCCATTAATGATTGAAAATAACAATTGTCTGATGCTGAGCCCCTATCCTTGGTAGAGTAAAAGTCTGCTTTAAGTGAAGAATTACTTTCATCTCATCTTATAAAAATATTATTCAGGAAAAAATATTTTATTCCTTAAAATCTTTTAACAATTTTTAGTCAAAATTATGCTGTGTTTGCAACTACAATTGGTTCCTATGGTATTCAAAAACAAAAACAGAAGTCTAAAACTTTGGCCTCCTTTTAAGACTTTGAGCCAATGAGACCTGATGGCTGACTGACAGAATGAAGATGTGCTTGAACAGAAAAGAAAATTAGAGACAAACTGCCAAACCTTATAACTTCAAAACAGTACTGAAACCAGATACTACGAAGTCACTGGCTGCCAGATGTTGAAATTGCCTTCTAAACTATCAAAAATTAAACCATGATAAAATTAGCACAGTGCAATACTATGGCCATATTTCAAAAGAACTACTTCAGGGGGCTAATCCAGGGTTTGGCATAATAAGGTTTTCTTGCCAAGGCACCATGCAAGCTGCGATCTAGCTTCCGCCTTGCAGATCCAAAAACACTTGTCAGGTTTAACATTCTGGATTGCACGCAGGACATTTAAAAGATAGTAATACTGGAAGCTTTTTAAAAAGGCAACACGGCAGAGCAAAAATAAGTTTCAGACTGTGTAGCAGTTTTATTCAAGAGCCCCAGTTTAAGTACTCTAGGGAGCTTGTAAAACTCTAGTACAAGATGCAACGTAACTCTTCATTTTATGTCTGCATATTTCCACTGGAAACATGTCGCTCCTTCCCAATTGGGAAGCCAGTGTTGTTATGCATGGGAGCTGTGGGTGTGCACGAGACTCTCCACCCTCTGACCCAGCATCCCTGATTCAAACTTTACCACAACAAGAGGCGTGATTACTGCATAATGGGGTTCCTTTTACAAAAGCGGATGGAAAAGAACCGTGAGTTGGGATTTTGGATTGTGAATGGTTTTTTTTTCCCCCCTTACAGATTTTTACCAGCTCTTCTGACTGCAATTTTGACAAACCATCTAGCCTGGGTCCCAACCGTCATGCCAAATGGCCAGCCGCCCATCAGAATCTTTCTAGAAAAGCATTCCTCACAAAGTGTGGACATGTTGGCGAAATCTCATCCATACAATCCATTGTGGGCACAGTTGGGTATGTCTGAAATCACACTCGGATATTTATTCTAAGGACAAAAATTTTAAATGGTTGACTATACTGTAATAGAAAACCAGTGGAGTAGAAGTGTAGTTAAAGGAAAACAATGTAACAAATCACTGTGTCAACAGTTTTCTACTGAATAAAATAAAATAAATAAGAAATAAACCTGCCTTTTAAGTAATTATATTCCCCCTTCCCTCCTCAGTGGCTCCACTTGTGCCTTCTTCCTGTTTCTTCCATGTACCCCTTATTCATACTTTGGGATGAAGCGTTTTCTTTTCCTCATAAAAGTTACTTTCTGAAAGACATTCCTTAAGGCCTTTTCAGTATTATCCTGTGAGTGCTTACTCAGAAGAAAGGTGTATTATCTTCAAGCTGGCTTATTTCTAGGGAATTTTGTTTAGAATTGTAGCCTTTGTTACATACCAGCTTAGCAAAGACTCATATGAACAGGGCTGAAGTTTATTGCAATTGAATGGTTTTACATCCCACTCTTGGAGTTGGCTCTGATTTGGTGTTATTTTTAAATAGGGCAGGGCTGTAGAATATTTTTGCAGATAAAGTTTGCATAGCCATTCCAACAAAATAATTTACAAATCTTATAAATCTGCATAAGCCTATTGTCCATTTTTGGAAATTTTCAAGGATCTAGTTTTTAGCCATGACACTGTATTTTTTCATGTGTTGTGTAATTATCATACTACTTTTATATTCCGTCCTGTAGGAGACTTGTATGGAGCTATTGGGTCACCTGTCAGACTATCAAAAACAGTTGTGGTTGGCAAACGACAAGACCTTGTGCAACGTTTGCTGTACTTCCTCACTTACTTCATCCGATGCTCTGAACTGCAAGAGACTCATCTTCTGGAAAATGGAGAGGATGAAGCCATAGTGATGCCTGGCACCGTTATCACCACCACACTAGAGAAAGGGGAAGTAGAGGAAACGGAGTACGTGCTGGTCACAATGCACAAGAACAGAAGCAATTTAGCCTTTCAAGAGTCTGAAGAAATGAGGAGTTCTAACTGCAGCTGTAAATATTGCAAAGGCCCTCTTAACCCTACCCAAAATACAGAGGCTGTTTCAGGACAGGAAAGAGAAGATACCCAGAATATCTCAAAAGTGGAGGCTGAGGCTCTTTCAGATGAATGCAGGGCTGCACCTGCTGACTGCCAAGAAAGACCTGCTGATGTCAAGCAATGCAAAGAAACAATGACCTCTTGCCTGGATATAAAGTTAGAGAAAGAGGTCTTCTTAGGATCAGCCTCAGTAGAAACCTGCGTGTTGGCAGAATCCAGACTGGAACCAACAGGTGGATCATGGAGGAGTGAGGAATCATTAGATTCTGCTAATCAGGCTGTTGAAGTAATGAGATCTACAAGTGCAATGGTAGAGAAGAAGCCTCCTGACAAAATTTCGTCGGATGCAATTCCTTGCAGCACGGCTGAGGCTCAAACAAAGGTGACCTTCCTCATTGGAGATTCCATGTCACCTGATTCGGATATCGAGCTCCGAAGTCAAGCAGCAGTGGAGCAGATGGCCAGGCACAGCAACCAGGTGGATGCTGAAGAAAGAGTACCTGCTGATCAGAACTGTGAAGCAACACAAACCCTTGAGGACCAAAAAAGAGATCAGAATACGCCTGAAGCGTTTCCTGAGGTTGCCAGAGAGATCCAGAATTGGACCCCTTATGGTGCAGAAAGTGCAAGCTTGCTTGATGAATATGAGGAGAGTTCAGTAGAAAACAGGACTATTGATGATATTCCAGTAAAAGGAACAACAAACATTCTAGATCCTAGCAGTAGCTTAGAGTTTCCCCCCAAAGTGTGTACAAAGAACAAAAAGCCCCCCAGCGAATTTTGTAAGTTTATGGAAGCTGTTCGACAAGAGACTTGCAAAAACTGCTTTGCAGAGCAGGACCAAAGAGACAAAATCTCTATGTGTGTCCCCCATGGGGACAGAGATAACTTTGAGAAAAAGGCTGACCCTGGTGTGGATTGGGACATTCCAAGAAATGAGAGCTCAGACAGTGCCCTTGGTGACAGTGAAAGCGAAGATGCTGCTCATGATGTGGCCAGAATAAACAGTAACTATTACGGAGCAGAGCAAGAAGAGTGGGCAGAAGAAGAGGACATACCTTTTCCTGGGTAAGTATTTCTTACCGAGATTAGGACAAATGTATTACATTCCTACGAAACAATGGCATTAGAGTAAAAAGGCAAACAGGGCATCTTAGAGACAGAAAATACTGTGTATATATTATAGAAATAGATTGTAATCTCATTGGATGGATCCAGTCTACTTTGGTCTTGCTTTAGCCCTATTGAAGTCAATGGGAATTAAGTTACCCATTGACTTAACTTGCACCTATGCATTTCAGTAGGAGTAAAGCATAACTTAGTCTGGATCCAGCCCTATGCTTTCATCATGCAAGTGATACAGCATTGATTATTTCAGCTGGACTCTCCCCCAGCCGGGCATTAATTTAAGCGATGCAGCAATGTAAGAGTTGCTTATTTCACTGAGGCTGCAACTTAAAAGAGGCTCTAATTACCTTTCACACTTTGTGGAGTATACTGCTAATTTAGGAAAGTCTATTAAAGGAACAGCACTTGACTAAGGGAACAAAAACTGTTACAATCATTAGTTTCAGCGCTGGTTCATATAGTTTAGGTGTTTGTACTTTATCCTGTCCTCAAACTGAAACTTTCTTTCAACCCATTTTCTAACATCTTCTACCCTTGGGTCAACAATGAAGACAAAACGATTCCCCCCAAAGACTGCCATCCAGCCTTGTGGTTTACGTGATTCCTGTCCCACTGAAGCAGAGGGTCTTAAGTGTACATAAACTGTGCACTAGATTGCACACTGAAATAGAGAGAAAACAGTGCTAGTTGTAGTATACATGCCCATGTTATACCTTTCTTTCAGGTCAAAATTAATTGAAGTGAACTCTGTCCAGCCCAGTATTGCCAATTTTGGAAGGTCCTTGCTAGGTGGCTACTGTTCATCTTACGTACCTGACTTTGTTTTGCAAGGAGTAGGAAATGATGAGAAACTGAGACACTGTTTGATGTCAGATTTGTCGCATGCGGTACAGGTAATTTAAACTATATCCAACAGATGAATTTATATTTGACAGTCAACAAAAGGAAATATTTCTGGAGCCTGCTGGAATAGGAATGAAGTTGTAATTCTGTTAAGCTTTTCTGATTTCCACAATCTCATTTAACAAAGATTCCTAACGGTCACAGAGATGAGAAACTTTTATGCAGTATAGAACGACAGTTTTTGAGACTTATGAGTTGGAGGGTTGCTGCCAATATCCTTTGTAGTTTGGAGTCTGTTATGGAAGTACCATGATTAACATTTTGGGAAGCCTCTTAAATTATACATAAACAAACAATAAAATATTGACATACTGCTTGCAAATTTTGCAGCCAGTTGGGTTAAACAAAACCATTCAATATCAGATTACGATAAGGCCCCAATAAAAGGACTTTAAAAAGTAAATGGTACAAAACTAGAAAAAGCTTGTTGTCCTTAAGTCTTTTGGATATAATGTTCTTAGAAATTGGCACAAATCCATTGGGGATGCCTTTTTTCCCGTCGGCGGTCAAATTTCTGAGCCTCTAAGTTCTATGATGGTGAAGATCCTTTAGAATCAAAATCACCTTGCCTTGTAAGCCATCTTGTCATCTGATTTAGCCATGAGCTGAATGCAGTGTCCATGTAAAAGTCTGGAAGGCACAAGGGTGGGGAACCTCTGTCCCCTCTAGATATTGCCAGACTACAGTTCCCATCATGACCTTCCAATGACTATGCTAACTGGAAGTTACAGTCCAACAATACCTGGAGGACCACAGGTTCACCAATACTGTGAGCGACTGGAGGCAAGCAAAAGGATGGCTGCTGCCATCACTTTCTGGCTCCTAAGACCTCCAAGCTATCTCTTTCCCCACTTGATCTCATCCACAAAGGGATTTTTAAAATGTTCTTATCAAATCACTGGGGGGAAAATGATAAATGGTTAAAAAATGGTTTAAAAAAATGTCATTACCAACATATAAAATTAATAATGGACTATTAAGAAGGCAATATATATTGAGCATTACAATATATGTTCAATAGAAATATCTATTTTAAATGGCTTTTTAAGAAAAACAGTTGGCTTAAACTCATCCTTCAACCATTTTTGGTGTTACAGTAGCCTTTAGATCAAAAGTACACTGGATGTAGAAACTAACATTTTGTTTCTAGAAGTACTGTGTCATTTTACTTGATATGAATGCTTCCCACCCCCCTTTTATACCAAAAAAGAGAGAAAACTGTTTTCCCCCTAGACTATAATTTAACTTCAAACATCAGTAATAGTCATAGGGAATATACATAGAGAATATTGTACCTTAGCTGTGAAAATTAAAAGTATCCTTGTTTGCTCACATTGTTTTTCTAATATTGGGAATTAAATCAGTTGAGGACCCCAAATCTGAATAATGCAGACATGCTTAATCTGTGTTTGTGCATGTGTTTTTAAAAAGAATACAAATGAAAAATACTTCAAAGCCATTATTACATAAGTGTTTCCTTGCACCCTCTGCTGGTCTTCTTGCAGTATCAAGTAGAAGCTAACTGAGCCATATCTAAACTGATCCTACTTGCTCAGACCAGAGAAAAATGCAGAATTAGCAAGGGGTAATTTTGCAAAGAGAAAAGGGCAAAACAGTTTTAAGATGTTTTGAGCTTTTAACTAGTTTGCCTCATAGGCAAAGTTACAGGATTTTAAATTATAAATCTTTTCAATAACCTATGAGACTTGGAAGTTTCCTTATACATCAGAAGCGGACACGTGTGCACACACAGAGAGAAATTCAAACAATATTTTAGGCACGTCTAAGGGTTTGCTTTTCTCCATGGTTCCATGCCATATCACAAACTGCTTTAGAAGCTTATAGCAGTTGCAGAAATGGCTTGCCATGTGGCATCTGGGACTGCTGTTCTAGAACCATAAGCTCCCGTGGGCATGCTGGCTAGTTTCACAGTTCTTAGGATCCTGGTTCTTGGCTGCACTAAATGCAGTGAAAGTTTAATTGCTCTATTTTATAGTGCTAGGATTTAGCCCAAAGCACATGTGGCAAAGTGCATGCACAACTACTAAAATCTTCCAAGTGTTCGTGCTAAGGTTACTTTTTTTTCAAGGTGTGTTCGCAAATTCCACTGATGCTCAGAAAAAAATGTACTTATTTATTCACAATGTTTATTGTGGCTTACGCCTCGTATTTCTCTTTGCCTTCTAGCACCCTGTTCTGGATGAACCAATTGCAGAAGCTGTCTGCATTATCGCAGACACGGACAAATGGACAGTACAAGTGGCCAGTAGTCAGAGGCGAATCACCGATAATAAACTTGGGAAGGATGTGCTAGTTTCTAACCTTGTCTCCAACCTGCTTCATTCCACTCTTCAGCTTTACAAGCATAATTTATCTCCAAATTTTGTAAGTACCCAACCTGTGAGGCAAGATGAAATCACAAAGCCTAATCAGAATGAGGGTATTTTTTCCTGGCACCACTCTGATTGAAGATGGACAGATAGACAGACAGACAGATAGATCCTGCCATTCAGGATACAAATTCTACTAAGAAGGCTGACAAGTAATATACAGTGGTACCTCAGGTTAAGTACTTAATTCTTTCTGGAGGTCCGTTCTTAGCCTGAAACTGTTCTTAACCTGAAGCACCACTTTAGCTAATGGAGCGTCCAGCTGCCGCCGCGCCGCTGGAGCACAGTTTCTGTTCTCATCCTGAAGCAAAGTTCTTAACCCGAGGTACTATTTCTGGGTTAGCGGAGTCTGTAACCTGAAGTGTATGTAACCCGAGGTACCACTATACAATTATGTAATTTTAAAATAAAATAAAAATAGTCGCTTGTGAAATGAGGTAAATATTACCTCATTTCACAAGCTTCCACAAACAGTTGCTGAAATAGTGTGTATAAATTTCACATAGGCAAATTTTTCCACAACACTTACATTCCCCTGTTTCAGCTCATCCCTGGTTATATTCAACAACATAGCCATCTGGTTACAGTAGATGATAAAGGCCCAAACAGAACGTAACCTGTTAACATCTAATCAGTCACTTCGGTACTTTAAAAAAAGAAAGATGTAATTTGATCTAAGTCCTCAATGGAGGAAATAAACTCAAAATGTATTTATGTTGATGTACCTTGAAGGTGGACACGGGTGGCGCTGTGGGTAAAACCTCAGCGCCTAGGACTTGCCGATCGTCAGGTCGGCGGTTCGAATCCCCGCGGCGGGGTGCGCTCCCGTCGCTCGGTCCCAGCGCCTGCCAACCTAGCAGTTCGAAAGCACCCCCGGGTGCAAGTAAATAGGGACCGCTTTACTAGCGGGAAGGTAAACGGCGTTTCCGTGTGCTGCGCTGGCTTGCCAGATGCAGCTTGTCACGCTGGCCACGTGACCCGGAAGTGTCTGTTGGGATACTGCCAGGGAGATAAAGGCCATCAAGGCCCCCAAGCCGTCTGCCGGACATCCATCGACCTCCCGTAGTCACGCAGTATCAACAATTAGCGACATGAGTTTCTCGAAGATTTCTTGCCACATTCCAGAGCTCATGCACACTCTTATCAGCAGATAGCACAGCCAAAAGTTGCAATCAGGAGAGCATTATTTACAAGTTTATTCAGCGTTGATCAGAACACAGAAAAACATGACTGACTGCTTTAGTGTCTGCGACAACAGAGAGAAAACGAAAGCAACAGAAAACATAAACATCCTGTGAACAGGAAATACGCAGACTCTGACTCACAAAGCCTGCTCCCTTTTAAGGTGGAACGGAAATATCCTAACATCCTCCCCCTTTCCGTGTAACCTGTAGTACCTGTGGTTCAACCCAATTGCAACCTTTGTACATAAACCTTAAGTTGTTCTCTGTTAACAACCTTAGACAACAGATCAGCAGGAATTTCATTTCCTGGCATGTAGGACACCTGAATGAGTCCTTTCTGAATACACTCCCTTGCACGATGTAGCTTAATCTGCAAGTACTTGGTCCTTTGCTTGCAACTCTCTGAGTTCAGCAAAGCCAAACACGATCTATTGTCTTGATACACTTGTACAGGACATTTCACAGAAACTCTGATGTCCTTAAACAGTTGCATCAACCATTCACAATCCATGAGTGAAAATGACAGAGCATTGAGTTCTGCTTCACAGGAACTTAGGCTCACTGTCGTCTGCTTTTTGCACAACCAGTCAAACAGGCAGTGGTTGTACATGTAGCATACTCCAGAAGTGCTTGTACCATCCGTGGTGTCACTTCCAAAACTTGCATCTGCAAAGATTTCAAGACCTCCAGTCTTCTGACTGGTGAACCTCAGCCTGTAGTGCAAAGTCCCTTTCAAATAGCGGGCTATGCGCTTCAGAGCTTTCCAATCCTGAACAGTAGGATTGTTAGCATGTCTGCTAAGCAGGTTACAGCTTACAGCTATGTCAGGTCTTGAGCATCTAGCAATGAAATTCAACTTGCCTAGAATGCATCTGTACAGCGTTGTGTCAGAAAACGCTTCAGCAGTACTGTCTACCTGGTAACCTGTCACCATCGGTGTGTCTGCTGGGTTTGCATCAACCAAATTCAACCTGGTTAATACATCAGCAATTTTCTGTGTTTGGTGTACCAGAAAATTACCTGCTTGGTCCCTCTCCACCTGCAGAGAAAGATAGTTGGATACCTCACCAAGATCCTTCATGTCAAAGTGCTCCTTCAGCTGAGCTAGGGTGCTTTGGTAGAAAGCCTGATTCTTCCAAAACATCAGAAGATCATCAACAAAACATAAACAATACAGTTTGTTTTGCCCCTCCTCCTTGACAAACACACATGGATCAGCTTTGCCCTGGTGAAAACCTAGAGAAAGCAACGTCTCAGTGAGTTTTGTGTTCCAACACCTGGCACTCTGCTTGAGACCATATAAGGATTTCCGCAGTTTACAGACCATTCCCTTCTGTATCTGCATCCCATCAGGTGGAAACATAAACAGCTCCTCGTCCAAAATCCCGTACAAAAAAGCTGTATTAATGTCATGATGGGAAACATGCAGTTTCTCCTCTGCAGCTATCTTGAGCATCAGCCGAATGCTCTCATATTTGACAGTGGGTGAGTAGGTCTCGTGGTAATCCTGTCCTGGTACCTGTGAAAAACCTCTGGCAACCAATCTGGCTTTGTGTCTGACAACCTTGCCATTCTGGTCTGTCTTGGCCTTGAAGACCCATTTGCTGCCAACCAGTCTCATTCCTGGGACTACCGGTACCAGTTCCCAAGTCTGGTTCCTGTTCAAGGAATCAACTTCAGCCTTCATGGCATTAAGCCAAGGCTCAGCATCTTTAGAGGTTAACTCCTGAACCTCTTTGAAGCTTGAAGGTTCCCATACCTTCTCTGAGCTACTAAGAACAGCAGTTGCTGTCTTAGCAAACTCATCAGCAAATCTCTTTGGAGGTCTGCCCTTCGTGGCCCTCTCAGATCTGCGTACTAGACGCAAGTCTTCTGGACTCATCTCCTCCTTCTTAGGAGAAAAGTGACCAATGGTGAACAGTGGTTCTTCCAGTTCATTGTCAGACGCATCAGATGGTCTGACTGAGGCCTTTGCGCTCTTGTAGTCTGCTGTGTCATCACTGTCACTGACACCAGCAGCAGCGCCGCCCACTGAACTGGAATCCGAACTCTGATCATCATCATCATCATCATCATCCTCAGCAGCTTCCTCAGCTTTAGCTGCTTTCTTCACATCACCTTCATCCTCCTCTGGGTAACTCTGGAAAATTCCCACATTTTCCCCCCACTTAGGATTGTACTCAACACTCCTTGTGAACTTAATGGACTTAGAGTTGGTCATCCATACCCTGTATGCACCTTTTCGTACCCCATGAACAAACCATGTGCCCCACGCTTCCCAAGCTTGTTGCTCTGTGGGGTGTGTACCCACATGTCAGAACCAAAGATTCTCATGTGCTTGATGTTCGGTTTCTTACCAAACATCTTCTCATAGGGAGTACAACCAATAGGCGATGACAATCTGCGATTAAAAGTGTAAACAAACGAGTTCAAAGACTCCCCCCAAAACTTCTCAGGGAGATTGGCATCATGCAACAATGTTTTCAGTCCTTGCAGCAACGTTTGCTTTGCTTGCTCACAAATCTCCCATGGAGATCCAGGACTTGAGAGGCTATGCTGGATTCCCTTCTCAGTCAGGAAAGCTTCAAACTGCTGAGAAGTGAACTCCCGCCTCGATCAGTAAACAGACAGCCAATGCGTTTACCATGAACATTGTCCAACCAAGCACAGAATGCCTTGAACTTAGGAAATGCTTGCGATTTCTGCTCGAGCATAAACACATGAATGTACCTGGAAAAAGAATCAATTAGAACCATGAAGTACCTTGCTCCACCCAAAGAGGGCGCAAGTGGACCAACCAGGTCTGCGTGCACTAGCTGGTAGGGTTTGGAAGCCTGCCTGCTAGACTCCTTGCCTTTTGGAGCAACCTTCACCTTGTTCTCTGCACAAGATACACATTTCATGTGAAACTTACAGGGTTTGATGTTCAAACCCTCAACCATCTCTGGCATCTTGGCCAGCGCCTGCCAAGACATGTGACAAAAATCTTCTGTGTGCATCATGAATGCATCCTGCATGAAGAACTTTGTTAGTTTGTGCAACACAACAAGAATCAGCATTAGACACAATAGCACCATTGTCATCATAAGTTATACAGAACAAGCCATCCATAAACTTTGCATGCAAAATGTCCTCTTTGCCTTTTCTGATGACACAAATGCTCCTCTTGAAGGAAATCTCAAAACCACGCCCAGTAAGCTGTGGGACACTGAGCAAATTGTCTGCAGCACCTGGAACATATAGTACATCTTTGATGGTAGTGTGCAGACTTGCCAGTTTCACAGTCCCTTCTCCCGCAATTCGCAACGTCTTTCCATCAGCCAGGTGGATTTCACCTTCTTGAGGTTTGAAGGAGATAAATAGGTGGCGGTCCTTTGAGATATGGCGGGTACAGCCTGAATCAACAACAAACCTGGCCTTGGCTTTTGGAGCAGCCTTTGCAGCAAGCAAAACCTTGTTTTCCACCGGCGTGGGCTTTTGCAGCTTGCCCCCCTGCTCCTGGCCATCAGACTTGCCTTTAGCATTTGTCTTCGGACAGCGCTGGCCCTCGGCCTCTTAAGCGAGATGGGCGCGCAACCCCAGAGTCGGACACGACTGGCCCATACGGGCAGGGGTACCTTTACCTTTTTACCTTGAAGGTAGCATGGTTGGATGGACTGTCATTTTGACTGAGAGTAGGGACTGGTTTGTGACATTGTTTCTCTTTTCTTTTGCCTCCAGTGTGTCATGCACCTTGAAGATCGATTGCAGGAGCTGTACTTCAAGAGCAAAATGTTGTCTGAATATCTCAAAGGCCAGATGCGAGTGCATGTGAAGGAGCTGGGAGTGGTACTGGGGTATGGTCCATGTAGCTTCCTTGTCCTCAGCTCTTATGTAACCTTATCCTGAACACACAGCCTATACTAGTAGACAAAGCTGTAGGGCTATTTGTGTCAAGATTTTGCTCATTGTTAAATAGCAATGCCATTGATAAGGCTGTACTATAAGCAGCAATCTTCTCATTTTAAGCATACTCTACCCAGCTGCAGAATTCTTCAGAACATGAAAGGTTTTTAATGCACATCCTGCTTAGGAAATAAGTTAGTTTTCCAGCTGTGCTTGGAATCAGCAACTAGGGCAGGCATAGGCAAACTTGGCCCTCCAGATGTTTTGGGACTACAATTCCCATCATCCCTGCCCACTGGTTACCTAGGGATGATGCAGAAAGCATGCATAGGATTGTGCTGTAAACCTCAAAGTACAACCTACCCATCAAAACCTAGCCTACTGCTGTCCTCCAAGAGCAATGAGAGGTGGGGCTTGAAGATTAGCAGCTGTTTGCCTAGTGAGAAGTGCACACCACCTCTTTACAGAAGAAGCAAGTCTTTTTATGGACTTTAGACAAGGAGGGTCTGTAACAGATAGCCTGTTGAGAAATTAAAGGGGAAAGTTCTAGAGGTGTTAATTCCCATCTAGTTTTAAGAATGCAATCTAAATTTCAACCCAAGGGTCTAATCTAAGATTCATTGGGTCTGTTGGAATTTTTTCATTTGCTTCAGTTAACTTTGGGTCCCGAGACAGCTGGAAACAATTAAATCTTTAGTAATACAGACCTGTCGCCAGAGGGAATGCTGCTTGTGACAAACAACCTGGTCATGTGTGTTTATGATATAAATTAGCATGCTCTTTAATTATATAAATGCATATGGGCTACTGCAATATATTTGGAGTGTCTTGACAGTTCAAAGGCTTTATTTCTTTTTAAACATACAACTGCTGATGTTTTAATAGTCTAAGTGCAGGTACCTTGACATGAGACAAATATTACGCCATGTTAATAAGCTGCGGAATATTGAGATTGCGAGCTTGGATTGAAAATGCCCATCTGTCTTTCTTTCAGGATTGAATCCAGTGACCTCCCTTTACTGGCAGCTGTAGCAAGCACCCACTCTCCTTACGTCGCCCAGATTCTGCTCTAAAATACCAAAGGGCAAAGACAATAACTTTATTTTTTATAAAGTGGAAGACAAGGAAGCAAACATGAACCATTCTTGTCCGGGCTCTTTCTTGCCCTCAGGCAAATAGGCTGAACAGCTTGCAGACTTGACTGTGTGCCTCTGCAACTGAATACATGATGTGCAAACAAATGAAGTTGTTTCCTTCCTTCCATCCATCCTTCCTTCCTTCCTTCCTTCCATCCAAATAAGTAAAAGACCAGAGACTCAGATCACTAGAGAAGACACTAGAACTTGGAGGCCTGGCTTGGGCAATAACTTCTGAAATGCATATAACTGCAAACTGTTAAAATCACAGGATTACTGGAGGTTAGAACTGCTCCATAACCATATGCAGTGCTGTTACTGTTTATACAAGAGAATAGAACCAGCTGGCTACTTGGTACAAATTAGGAGAGCATTTAAAACAAATAACAACAAAGCTACAGCTATTTGTAACAGTTTTAACCATTTCCGTGCTAAAAGTTGAGGCTGCTGAAGATTTCTTTCTTTCTTTTACTGGGGGAGAAATTCAATTTACATAGAAGTAAGGGACTTGGATCATAGCCTGCTAATAGCACTCACCTCAGAAATGTATTTGCAGGCATTTCCCCGTGGATATGATGTCTGGGAGTTCAAGCCAAGAAACACGTCTCATTTTACCATAATTTGGGTGTGTAATTGACATTATGCTTTTGATGTTGTTCTGATGTTGTGTTGCTATCTAAGTACTCCAGAAAACAGAACATTTGGCCTAGGAAATGTTAAATGAAATTTGTCTCCCACATTTTGTTAATGTTGATTTAAAACACAAACACACACACAAGACATTATTTACTTTGATCTTGTCCTGTTTGAAGCACAATAAATAAAAGTTACCTGCCCTCCAGGCCCTTTAATATCTGGGTGATTCAGGTGCTTAACTTCATAAAACCTAAAATTTGCAGAGTTCAGTATGAAAGAGAGATAATGTATACCATAAGAGCCAAAACTGGATACAGAATAAGAGTACTGAAAAAATGTTGCCCTTAACTACTTCAGCAAATTTTGTTTTGAAGCATCAGATTTTGTTTTACACCACAGTTTAACAGTTGCATCAGCATCATTTAGTAGAAGCTACTCTGATGATGCCACCCTGTTTGTTAATAATTGGCTTAAATAAAAAAGAGTAGCTATGTAGTCCCTTCCCCCTCATAGTTTTATCCTTGATTAAGCAATAGCATCAAATATTAATAACGAGGGAGCCATAATTTATAAGACATGCATATAAGTAGATGAATAGATAATATTCTGAGCAGGCTCTACTACCTCACTTTGAATATTGGGACATGCGGGCTCATTTTTCCTAGCATCTAGCACCACTAACCATATGTTCGTCATTAATTATTTTAATTATTAGTGTTCTGAATTTCATATGTCATCCCACAGGGAAAATTAAAAGTATATATTTCCTCATTTACTAAAATAACACCTGCCATGCCAGATCTTTTAACTGTTTGCTCTCTGTGCAGGTGAAAATTGCAGTCCTGGAAACAATTGCATGCCCTGCTGATTTTGGGTTCCGCTTAAACCCTTCAGATAGTTTCGTAATTTCAGTCTCATGCCACCTTCGGTTGGGACTATTGCATTTGCTCAAGTGCTTTTGCTTCTTCAGGCTGAAGTGTTTAGACATGGGTTGAAGATTACAATTGTGTGCCCTGATCTGACAGCTGCCCCGTACAGAGCAGGGGTTGTCACACAGCTGATGAAGCATCCTGTACAAATGGACCAAGAATGCCCTGCTATGCTTTCTTAGGGATTTCAGGCAGAAGGAGCTAGCCCATATCGAATCAAAACTTTTGGTCCACTTAGCTTAGTAATCTATCTTCCGATTGGAACTGACTCTCCCAAGGTCTCAGAGAGAGGTCTTGCTGCGCCCTGTCTCTAGACCCTTAAGTAGAAATGGCAGGGATTGAATCGGGGACTTTCCATTCAAAACATTTGCCCTGCTGCTGAGCAATACCTCCTCCCTAATAAATTGCTTACCCCAGAACCCCAAGATTTGCACTCTTCCTAGATTTAATGGTGGCATACGATGTCTCCTGTCCTTCATCCCACACTTCCTTTCCATCCATTTCTGCGTTGTTTTACAACAGTGTGTGCAGCTGCTAGGCTACATCACTTGATGGTGGGTTTTGCTGTTTCAGAAACAGCCGTTCAAGTTGCTCCCTAGGTGAGCTCACACTCTGAAGTGTGGTGTTCCAATGTATCAATCCTACACACCGACTTGCAAGTGCAGTTGCATGTAGGATCAGTAAGGCGGCCTGATAAAATCTTCTATTCAAGCAGTAATAAGTGTTGCCATAGATGTAGTCTCTCACATGCCTTCAAAGGCATTTGATAACCAAACGCTACCCATCTCTCCCCAGCATTGGGTTCATTTGAGATGCAAGAATAAATATTTTTTATGCTTGTCCGAATGATATTTCTGGAATGGTTACTGTGCAAAAGACATTGTAGCATGATGGCATGCTTTCCTGTGACTGATAATTGTTACATGCAGAATCAAGGTACTACATACACCTGTTTGTTTGGATTTTTGTTTTTTTAAAAAAGGGAACTATAACAGCACTGTAGTGTTGACCTCTTAATGTATCATGCTTTTCAGAACAATGTATATGCAAAACTAATCTCTTTGATTTTTGCAATATTCCCAATGTCCATTAATATGTCTTAATTTTAAGGCTGAGAATAAATTTTAAGTGTATTACACATACATACTAGCAAATGTCTTTCTACCACAGCCTGCAAATGCAAGGCTGCCAAGAAAAGCGGGGAAATCCAAAGCCGGATTTTAAATCTCGCCTTTTAAAACCTGTTAGTTAAGTTAGATGTTTCAAGAGGGTTTGTTTGTTTTTTTGTTTTCGGTCTCCTCTAAATTATGTAGATGGTGGTATGTGTAATATGCTGGGCAAAATGTACATACTTGTTATCTTTTGTGTTTTTGTATATATATATTTCCCAAGATGTGCACTTGTATTATAATAACCATTCCCAATTTTAGGGGAACTTTGTGCAATAAATACAATATTGTCCATTGAATTGCTAGTTTTCTTTGTCTTGTTTCCACAGGGCTGTTGGTGAGAGAGTATTTTGTAAAGAAAAATGTTGCAATCCAGAAGGTTGCTTCAGGTACTCCAAGGGCCTTGAGGCACTCTGTGAAACCTTTAATTTTTTTCCTTTGAAAAGGCAGATCCTCCCTCCTACCAGGGGCAGAGGAAGGGGTGTGTGGTGGGGGCGGGCAGACCCGGGTGTCACCACTGAGGGGGGTGACAAAAAGCTGGGCGGCACTCACCGCGGGGCCTGAAGCATGCCTGAGCCACGCGTCTCTCCTGAGAGTGACGCAGTGGCTTGAGCACCTGCAGGCTCCATGCTGCCCCAAACGGTCTGCCCGCTGCCTCCCCCTCAGCTGTAGGGCGTCTGAGTGGGATGAGGTGGGCAGACTCCTTGGAGGCCCCACGGAGCGTCCTGCCCCGGCTTGCCCCGCCCCCACGGTGGCTGACCCCGCCCCCGGGCACCACCCCAGGCGCCCGATTGGCTTTCTCCACCGCTGCTTCTCCTACCCATATCACAAAACTCACTGCAACTTCTCCGAAGTGATTGCCATAAAGCAGGGAGCACTGCTATTGAAGCCCAAAGTGCTTATACCACCTGGGTTTGGTCATGCTTGTAGTTCTTTAAATTTTGCACTGCGGTGCCCATGTTGAACCTCGTGAGGTACCTGCTCTGCTGTGCACATCCACCCGATTCACCCACCCTCTTCTCATGTGATGGTGTAGGTTCCCCATGCAATTTAGAACATAGATTGCACAAAGTTTAAAATCTCTTGGGGATTCTGCTAATTTACAGCCAACATCTGTCCTCCTTCTCCTACAATGATTGAAAAGCAGGGTCTCTGGCTAGTAGGAGACATGACAGTGAGGGCAAGTGTGAGCCTGTTGTCCCCGTCCCCCCCATACAGTGGTAATTATGTGGAAGAAGAATGAGAGGAATCGTTCTAAGGATTCGAGGCCCAGAGGTTCAGCCAGTCTGCTCCAGATGCTTCACCACCATGAACATACGTTTGCATCTTCCAATACAACAGAAGGGCGGAATAGTTATTTCTACCACCAGCACAGTCATGACGTAGCTGTAACATGAATCTATCTGAATGGAGACATTCCTTATTTTTGAAAATACCAGCATCAGTAAATGCTATCTTCTCCAATGAAACCTTGGGTGTATACTTTTGCCATTCAGTTTACAGTACCCTGGCTGTGGTCTAGAAAAAGTTCAGATGTGTGCTATTTTTGCCATTCAGTTTACACTACCTGCTTCATGAGCTCAGGCACATGGGGATGGGTGAGGTTGTTGCTGTTGGTTTTTTGCATCTCTATTTTAGATCTTGTGATTGTTGAGGAAATTGTTTAGTTAGGTTGTGGGTTTTTTAATGTTTTATTTATTGTTTATGACTTCTTATGTTGTAAAGGTAAAGGGACCCCTGACCATTAGGTCCAGTCGTGGCCGACTCTGGGTTGCGGCGCTCATCTCGCTTTATTGGCCGAGGGAGCCGGCGTACAGCTTCCGGGTCATGTGGCCAGCATGACTAAGCCACTTCTGGCGAACCAGAGCAGCGCACGGAAACAACATTTACCTTCCCGCTGGAGCGGTACCTATTTATCTACTTGCACTTTGACGTGCTTTCGAACTGCTAGGTTGGCAGAAACAGGGACCAAGCAACGGGAGCTCACCCTGTCGCCGGGATTCGAACTGCCGACCTTCTGCTTGGCAAATCCTAGGCTCTGTGGTTTAACCCACAGCACCACCCATGTCCCTTTCTTATGTTGTAGTTATGTGTGTGTTTTTCTTGTTGTGAGCTGCCTTGAGTGTGATTCGAACAGTGGGAAGGCGACATACAAATAAAATTATGAATGAATGCATGTATGTATAATGCATGTATGTACTGTATAATGCATAAATTTAAGGACAGGGCAGAGGAAGGATGTTTCAAGCATGATAAACACAGTCTAACTCAGGGGTCAGCAAACTTTTTCAGCAGGGGGCCGGTCCACCGTCCCTCAGACCATGTGGTAGGCCAGACTATATGGGGGGGGGGGATGAACGAATTCCTATGCTCCACAAATAACCCAGAGATGCATTTTAAATAAAAGAGCACATGCTCTAACTGTTTCAGCAGTGCGGGCAGTGTTTTGTTTTTTCAGATTTCTATTGAAGGCACTACTGGATACTTTCCCTGAAACTGTATTGAGGAAGCAGCTGCAAGCAGATAAAGCTGCCGACTTTTGACCAAGCATGTTTCATTTTTGAGAAACGGTTGCTCATGGGTGCGACAGGTGCATTCTGAGTGCTCAGAACTTTTTTGGAGCATGGCAAGGCTGATAACCTAAGTATTTGAATCTGCCACGAATCAGGTTTCTCTGCTTTCTCTCCCTCCCCTCTCCAATTGTATTTTTCCTGTGCAACATTGCATTGCTTGTTCTTCAAGTAACACTCCCTTTTTAACTTGCTTTTTGTCCTCAGTCAGATCGTTGCCCCATCTAGCTCAGTACTGTCTACACCAGGCATGGCCAAACTTGGCTCTCCAGCTGTTTTGGGACTACAACTCCCATCATCCCTAGCTAACAGGACCAGTGGTCAGGGATGATGGGAACTGTAGTCCCAAAACAGCTGGAGGGCCAAGTTTGGCCATGCCTGGTCTACACTGATGGGCAGCAGCTCTCTATAGAGTTTCAGATGGGTCACTTCGAGTCCTTCCAGGAGATGCCGGAGATTGAATCCAGGAGCTTTGCATGCAATGGATTTGCTCGACTACTGGACCATGGCCCTCCAGATGTTATTGGATTCAAACCATCAAGCAAGGCTGGATAGTCAGTGGTCAGGAAAATGGGAGTTGCAGTTGCACAATATTTGGAGGACCACAGGGTCCTTCATCCTTGCACCATAGGATGCCTGATTTTCTAGCAGCCTTATAAAAAGGGATAGCTGCTAGGTATTCACAACCCTATATGTTTTGTTTTTGCATGGCATATTCATCTGATGAGCAGTGCCTGTGGCATAGAGTAGAGGCACCCTGGACTTGGTCAAGTCATTTGCAACATGTAAAAGTGGAGCAGGATTAGAATAGCAACTGCCCCGTATCCCATCATGGAAACTATGGATGAGAAAGTGATGTCACCATCAAGTTTCTGAATGGCCTCACATGAGCCACCTCCTGCTTGTTGCGCAGTAGCTGCTTTTAAATATATGTGTATATATTAAAATCACATTATTAAGGTATTAGATTTATGAATGCAAAACAGCACAGGTTAATCTTGCTCTGCAGAATGGAGATTCTCCACTTCAAAGCGTTTCTCCCACCGTTAACTGTCCATCATGCTTAGAAGAGAAAGCTGAAGAAGTGGGGAGACTTTGAAGAATTAGAGGCTTTAAATAATCAGTGGTTAAAAAAATTATTTTAAAAAATTCCTTGTTTTTACATGCTGATAGCTAGAGTTTGTGCTTCATTCTCTACTACCTGAGAAGATTTGAGGTGGGTAGGTTGATATCTGTTGCTTTAAAATTGTTTTCTTTTGAATATCTCAAATTTATATTTGAATATTTCAAAATTATGAGGGAGACCTATATATATGACATATTCTACCTTGCTTTCTTAATGGAAACAGTGTCACCACAGTCCAGGAAATTAGCCAGCTGAGCATCTGTCTCCTGTTGGACATGTACAGTACTCATTTCACTATGCATATTTCCTAGTAGCTTTTGTGGAAATAGCAATAGTTTCCCCAATATTCTACAACAGTTCCTTCCCCCCACCCAACTGGGAAATGCTTACCCGGTGTCATACTGTTGATTGCTATCGAGAAGACTTCTACTGAAAGAGAAGTACTAACAACACACTAGTTCTTTGGATGGGAAAAGTAATCTGAAATCAATTGTGAACAGTGTTGCCCTGAAATCTTGTCCTGAACCCCTGGCCTGTCCGGCGGCAAGTCAGTATGTCAAGTCCAATGTTCAAAATCCAGGGGTCAGTCCACGTAAGCAAAGTCCAGGAAACACAGTCCAGGGTCAGTCCAAGCAAGCCAAGTCTGAAACCCTGCAGTCAGAATACAGTCCAGAGTCAAACAGGAAGCACAGTCCCATAGAGGTCCAGGAACATCCAAGCCAAGGTCCATCGACATGGGCAGTTGAGCAGACACAGCACCTCCTCTGCTTCCCTTTTGTACTTTGCATGCTGATTGTAGCATCTGGGCTTGATGAGGCAAGTGAGCCTCACCTGTTCTGAGCCTACTCCAGCTGAGGAATCACATGCCTCCTTTCAGAGCTAGCGAGCCCCACCTGGCCAGCTAGGGAGCTGGGCTGTGGGCCTTGCCTGCCTCAGCCTCCTGGAGTGTCCTGCCTGCTGCTCCCTACAGGTCAAAGCCTGCTGTGTTTGTGGAGACAGGGGCCCCTCTGGCCCTGGAGATGGGTCCTGCTCCTCTGGTTCCTGTGCACTGACCCCCATCACCCAGTGAGTATTCAGACGCCTCTGAAAAGTACTGTGCATTAGACCAGCATGAGCTTATTGAAGAGAAGGGCTGTAGCTCAATGGCAGAGCCACCTGCTTTGTACGCAAAAGGTCCCAGGTTCAAATCTCAGCATCTCCAGGTAGGTCTGGAAAAAAAATCTGAAAATCTGTAATAGAGCCATTACAATTACCGAGCAAGGTGGACCAGTTTTATAAGGGAGCTTCCTTCTATGTCAATCTGTACTCCCATTAGGAGGCTTCTCGGCCCTGCTCAAATGCTAAATCAGTTTTCTGAACTGGATTAACAAGTAAAACTGCTTCTTTAACTTTAGCTAAATAGAGTCAGGAGCAAATGATCACAGTAAGTTCTTCTGGACACTGAAGGGACGTGCTTGGCTAATTGCTCCTGTGGCGCCTCTTTGGGGGTATGTGGCAAGAGTTTGTCTTGCTGGGAGGCCATTTAGCAAATGATTTTATGGCAGCAGCAGAAAGGCACACGTGTCTCTCATCAGCCCTTCCCTCAGCACCTCTGCAGGGATACAACTTTTTTATTTTACAGTATTTTCCCCTCCCTAGCCCCAAAGCCGCCTTTCTGAATGCTGAATGAGATACCCATAGGTATCATTATTATAATTTCTACTTCTGGTCATTCAGAACACATCCAGCTCAATGTTACCTGCAGCAAATTAACAAGGGTTTGCCTGGGAATCTGCAAGCCCAGGCACCATTTAACATGGGAAAGCCTGACCACTTGCTGTGGCCCCTAAACTTTACACTCGTTAGACAATGTGGCAGGGGGGAAAAAATGGCACAGCACACTTTCATTAATAGAAATGACCAAGCAGAACCATGGCAGAAAAACTATCAACTTGGAATTCTGTAATGGGCCATAGTCACCAAATGCACATATCATGCATCACCAGATTTGAAAGACCCATTAAACTGACATTTATATATTATGAGGCACCCTGCTTGAATTGAGTTTTCCCTTATAAATCAGTCACTAACGCTAGTGCATTTACAGTGTTTCTGAATTGTAGTTCTCCAGTCTGAAGTGCCCTTGCCCATTTTTATTTTTGTTTTTGCAAAGGTCTCAGGATTAAATAATGTGCAAGGTAAATTTCTGATTATGAGGCAGCAGGAAACTACATTAATTAAGCTTGCAGGTTGCCCTAGAATAGTGTACAGATTGTCTTATTTACCATCAGGTAACAGGTTTGTTGCTGTTGTTTAGTCGTTTAGTTGTGTCCGACTCTTCGTGACCCCATGGTCCAGAGCACGCCAGGCACTCCTGTTTTCCACTGCCTCCCGCAATTTAGTCAAACTCATGTTGGTAGCTTCGAGAACACTGTCCAACCATCTCGTCCTCTGTTGTCCCCTTCTCCTTGTGCCCTCAATCTTTTCCAACATCAGGGTCTTTTCCAGGGAGTATATATTAAATTTAAGGTAACAGGTTTACCTTAAATTTAATATACACAGTTCTTAGAGCCCTGGTGCCTGTTCTCCCAAGGGAATCCACAAACAGGTGCATTTACATAGGTGGGCAGCGTAAGCTAACCTTAAGATGAGCATTTTGCTACAAAGATCCCCTTTGCTACAGGGATTGCTACAGGGAATGGTAATAAATGCATTTAAAAGTCTCCCCCCCCCCCCATTTTCCAACAGAAGGATAGGCAATATGCAGCTTAGGGATTTGCTTAGGTATTGAATGACAAACTGTGTGCAAGGCTTGTGACAGAGAGCTGGAACTTCCTTCCGTACTGGATCTTTTCATGCTGATAGGGGTGCAGAACACGTGTGAAGTAGAACACATTAGGAAAGTGTAGCTTCCCGGGAGTGTGATCAAAAGGGGAACCGATATTGTTTTGTGGGTAGGGAACGGCTGCTGTGTAAGACCTGGATATAAGAACATCAGAGCTCAGAACAGTCATTAATGATCCTGACAACTAAAAATGGTATGGATAGAGGCATTTTCCTTCATCGGTGGTAGCTCGTTTACTTTGCGTAAAGAATGTCCCAGGTTTAACCCCCAGCATCCTCAGGGAGAGCTGGGAGTGAACCCTATCTTTTTATTTAAGCATATTTTATTAAAGATTTCTTGGTTTACAAAAGTATGTGCAACCTCTCTTTTTTCAAGTTACATTTTCTGCAGATCAGTTTCATTTGTTGAGACATTAGTGTTACATTAGGAAGCAAAGGGGGGAAGAGGTGGAGGGGGCCATGGTGAGTAGGGGTGGGGTCGGGTGGCGATGTTTCTATCTTACTTAATCTATGTGTGGGGTTTTGTGTCAGCGTCGCTTGTGCAGGTTCTCTGCTATTCGCTTGTGTTCTTTTGGTGGTGAGAAAGGTTGGGTTTGTTCTAGGGTGTGGTTGCTTGTGATGGGTTGTGGTGAATTTTGTTTTCCTGTGTGAGTGGGGTGGGTGGGTGTTTTTGAATCAGCTTAGCCATATTGATTCGTATGCTGTTGGTGGATTCTTGTTGTTGTCTTGTTGGGCTGTGTACGTGATAAAGGGGAGCCATACCGGGGTGAAGGCGTCTTCTTCTATTTGTCCCTGTGTCAGTTTCAGTTTCTTGGTCAATTTTTCTAATAAGGCTGTTTCCCATACTATTTGGGACCATTGGTCCATGCTTACTCCTGACAGGTCTAGGAGAGAACCCTATCTGAGATCCTGGAGAGCTGCTGCCAGTTGGTGTAGACCAGGGGTAGGCAACCTAAGGCCCGGGGGCTGGATGTGGCCCAATCGCCTTCTCAATCCGGCCCACAGATGGTCCAGGAATCAGTGTGTATTTACATGAGTAGAATGCGTCCTTTTATTTAAAATGCATCTCTGGGTTATTTGTGGGTCCTGCCTGGTGTTTTTACATGAGTGGAATGTGTGCTTTTATTCAAAATGCATCTCTGGGTTATTTGTGGGGCATAGGAATTCATTCATATTTTTTTCCAAAATATAGTCCGGCCCCCCACAAGGTCTGAGGGACAGTGGACTGGCCCACAGCTGAAAAAGGTTGCTGACCCCTGGTGTAGACAATAAATGGACCAAAGGTCCGGCTCAGAAATTAAAAAACAGATTCCAGTGTTCCGAATGGCCCACACCATCTCTCGATGTGTGGTTTTGTGATGCCACATTTTTTGAAATCTATTAACTCTCTTAATAAGCATAAAACTTTAGGAAAGTTAAGTCGGGGTAGGATAGAAAGGGTTTCTTTGCATAAATAAAGGGGTTTTGTATTTCAGTTGTTTAAAAATGCTGCTGCCGCCGCCGCAGCAAGATAACTCTCCCCTGCACTTCCACCTCCCTCCAGCCCCCCCCCCAGCTGCTTGATCACTTCTGGCCAGTTGCACTACATTCCTCTGGATTGGGCTGATATGCAGAGACATCAAATAGTATCCCTTTCAAATAGATGACGGAAAACATTATGGCTTGTTGCCACTTTTTAAATGTGATCTCTCATTATCTGATGGCAGCCTTGCAATCCCTAAAAAACGTAATGCAAGAAATTCAAGATTCATAGCAAAACCCAAACTAGAATAAACAGCGGTCAGGAGCAGATCCAAGCCCCAAAGGTGCTCAAAGAAGGAAGATGAAAGATAATTCTGCTTGTATTTGAAAAAGGTCGGGCAGGATAAAGCAATACTCAGAAGATGTGCTCTATGTCTATATGATGTAGTTTCATACCTTATATTTATAAGCCTGGTTATTACAAAATATGGTGGAGTGAACTGTGCTTCCTTCTTCCACATCCAGTTAAACAAAAAACCCTCTTGTGACTGTTCTTTGTACTTCCTTTAATACCCCCACTTCCCTAGAATGGTCACTTCTGTTTAATTCTCTTTGTTACAGTAACAATAAGCAGAAATTAATTGTAACCACCAGGGGTCAGAATTTGCATCTATGGTGAGCAATGGTGTTCTTAGCCAATCCAGGACTCGCTTGGTTATGCAATGTGATTTGTTTCCTCAATCTGAAGCCAGCTTTGTGCATGAGCAGACAGAATGACTGGCAAGCCTTTTGGTCTTTTTCTGAGCTCCGGAAACCATAGTAAATAAGGAACTTTAGATAACCACAGTCATATTTGTCCATTCTTCTCCTGCTCCCCGGTTTAAATTCATGTGGCCTGAGGCGGCTTGGCTGTTTGCAATGTGTTCCACGTTTCTGTTCTTTTAAAACTTTAGCTCCTTAGCTCCTTTCCACGTTTCTGTTCTTTTAAAACTTTAGCTCCTTTTTCGCCCCCTAGGGCAATAGCTGGGCGAACTGCTAAGCTGTGCACTCCCATAAAAATGAAGTTTGCTACTTGGAAACATTTTAAGAACATAATACACTTAAGAGAGCCAGCTGGATCAGGCCAAAGGTCCATCTAGTCCAGCATCCTGTTCTCACAGTGGCCAACCAGAAGCCTGTGGAAAGCCTGCAAGCTGGACATTAACACAACAGCACTCTGTGATTCCCAACTGGTATTCAGAGGCAGCGCACAGACATTGTGATTAGTTTTATTTAGACTTATACCCTTATTTGCCATGAGTATGCATTACTGTCAGCACTCAAATGGCATAAAACACAATAAAACTATAATAACAAAACTTAAAAGCATTTACAAGCAGATAACCAGCAAATAATGGAAGTTTCCAACCACAGTTCAAAGTGTTGGTGATGACCTTTAAAGCCCTAAACAGCCTCTGCCCAGGAGGGTCTTTACCCCCATCACCCAGCCCGGATACTCAGCTCCAGCTCCAAGGTCCTTCTGGCAGTTTTGCCACTGCGGGAAGTGAAGTTACAGGGAACCAGGCAGAGGACCTTCTTAGTAGCCCTCTGAAGTAGAGCTTCATGGCCGAGTGAGATTTGAACCCTGGTCTCTCAGGTCCTAGTCCAACACTCTAACCACAACACCACGCCAATTCCAGTGGAACTCTGCATACATTTAGATGTGAAGCACTGTAAAAGCTTGCTCCCATTTCTTTTTCAGTACTGCAGTCTTCTAGCTGGAACACTTCAATTTAAGCTGTTTTAGTTTAGACTAACTAGTTATTTCAGTTGACAGGGTGGATGCAGATAAAGGTAAAGGGTAAAGGGACCCCTGACCATTAGGTCCAATCATGACCGACTCTGGGGTTGCGGCGCTCATCTCGCTTTACTGGCCGA